GTGATTAGGGGAAGCCTCCATCTGAATGGACTGAGGCTTGGACACCTGGTTGGTCTCCTCCGCCATGTTGCTTGGCTTCTCTACCTCCTCCGACATGTCAACGGTGTCGTCCTTGCTGGAGAACGCATTAGCCGGGGGCAACCTGTGCACGGAGATGACCGGAGCGTCCAAGGACTTTGCTCTTCTCTGGGCAGTCGGAGATTGAGTGGCACCCTGACGCTGAAGAGCGCCTATTCCGCTGCCCTCCGAGAACCCCAGACGAGCTCTCGCGAAGAGTATAGGAGTCTGTCCAGGTTTCTTCAGGACTACCGGCGATTCCGAGAGGTCCTGTCCGGTGCCTGGCTTCCTGACCTCCCTCTTCTTCTCCGGCCTCGGTCGCCTCGCATCCGAAGAGTGGTCCACGTCGGAGTCGGACTTGGTCTCCACCCTGGTGCTCCCATCGGTCGTTGCCTTCATCTCCGAGGAGCGCTCCACCTCGGAGTCGGACTTCACCTCGACACTCACCTGCGTTGGCTCGATGTCCTTCGCCGGGGTCTCCTTCGGCGACTCCACCTTGGCGGGTTCTGGTCTGGATTCTGGCCTCGACTCCGACCTGGGCTCTGGCTTCCCCAACTTGGCACCTACGGCTCTCTTCGGGGATATTTTCTCCAAGGAGTCCTTTTTCTCCGTACTCCCCAGGCTCTTGGAAATCCCGAGGGACTTCGGCCTCTGCCTGCTGTCGCTCTTCAGGGACTTGATGATGTCGTCGTCCACGGAGGCGGACTTGGCTCTGGGCTTCTTCGGGTCCTCCTTCTCGTCCTTCGAGGACGAGAGGGACCTGTCCGGCAACCGCGTGACCGATTTCGACCTGCCCTTCTGGACTATCTGAAGAGTGCTCTCCGTGGTCACGTCGGTGGAATCTATTATGATAATTTCCTGGGGCATCTCGCCTAGTTTCAGCTTGGACTTGTCTATCTTCGAGCTCGCCGGGGAGACCTTCGACTCCTTGGACCCGGCCTTCTTCAGGGGCGGTTTGTCGCCCTCCAAGGACTTCGACTGTTTCTTGAAGTCCTTCTTCGGCTCCGACTTGGCCCTCTTCGCGCGTTTAGGGGAGATGTCCTGCACGAATACCTTGTTCTCCACCTCGGGCGACAGCAACGTATCGATGGGAGCTTTCTCCTCGGCAAGTGACAACGACTTCGACCTTAACGGCTCCGCGTGAGGTCTCAACATAAACGGAGTAAACTCCGGGACCTTCAAGCTGTCCAATTCCGGCGCCGGCTTGACGGGCACCTCGTCGAGGGGAAGATCGGCAACCGGGTCTACAAAGTCATCGAACCCTGTGTCGATGATCTTCGGCCTCGAGACCTTGGCCTGGGCGTTCTTGTTGACCTCCGAGAACTTGGACTCGATCTTATCTAAAATGCGCTTCGTCTTCTCGGGGATGCTGGGCTTCTCCAAGCTTTTCGCCTTCTCCAAGCTCTTCGGCTTCTCTAGACTCTTCGGCTTCTCCAGGCTCTTTGGCTTCTCGGGAACTCTCGGCTTCTCCGAGGATGCTTCGCCCTTCCCGGATCTGGCTTCAGGAGCTGAAACCCCCTCGATCTTCCTCCCATGTTCGGCGACGGCGATTTTAACAGCCGCGATATGTTTCGGCGGAAGTGGCGGTTTCTCCGGAAGCGGAGGTTTCTCAGAAATTTCGATGATGTCGGGCCTCTTCGGGACCGGACTCCTCTTGGACGGCGACGAGGTCGGCAACTCCGGCAAGGGCATTTTTTCTATGCTGTCCTGCTTCTCCACGGAGTCGTCCGGAACGCTCAGCTTCTCCCTCTCTCGCCGTTCCAGCTCCTGCTTGATCTCCAGGCCCACCACGTCGGCAAAGTTCATGGCGATCTTGGACTTGGACGGCGCCTTGTCGGAGCTGCTGGGACTCCTGGAACTGGAGTCCGGCGACCTCTTCTTCTCCAGCGCTGAGATTATGGTGACCATGGGATCGGTTGGCGACACCTTCGGAGAGCGCTTCTCCAGGGCCGAAATGATAGTCACGTAAGGATCGGTCGGAGAGAGCTTAGAGGGCTTTCTGTCGAGACTCAAGGTCTTTGCACACGGTTTCTCAGCCTGCGCCACCTCCGATTTGGCTCTGTCCAGAGAGCTGGATTTCGTCGAGGCCCTATCATGACCAGGAACCTTGGAGCCGACCTTCGACGGCGACACTTCTCCGGCCACCTTCCGATCTCCAGGCGCGACCTTGGAAGTGGGACTCAAGATGCTCTTCGGCTTGTCGTAAGGACTGAGTATCGACTTCGGCTTGTCCGGACTTATCAGGATGCTCTTCGGCTTGTCCGCCGTGAATTTCGTGATGGGCTTCTCCGAGGTCGGCAGTTTGGTCAAGTCGAGGCAGGACACGTCGGTGACCATCTTCAGGGGTAGCTTCGGTAGGTCCTTGGGGATGGCCTTGACGTTCTTCGTCGTCTTTCCGCTGTCCGACTCGGATTTTTCATCCGACGCGGTACCGTTCATCACGTGACGCTTGTGCAGGGTGTACGGGATCTCAATGTTGGATTTCTGGATAGGAGTGCCATCGGAGAAGGGATCCTCGTCCCCGGAATCCGCAGGGGTGAGGTCTATCGACTTCTGGTGGGTCAGCATGTGCCGTTTGCTGTTGGACCCCAGCCTCTGCCTGGCAGGATTAGGATCGCTTTTCGTGCGCTCGACCGGAATGTGACTGGACAAGGACGAGTCGTCAAAGCCCAGGACAACTCCGCCGACGATCTTCGGATCGTACTCCGTGAACACGGCCTTTACCTTGACGTTGTCCCTCTCGTTGGGCACGCCGATCACCGTATCCGTTCTGGACTCCAGAGACAACCTCGCCTGGCGCTCCCGTTCCCTCCGCTCGTCGTCCTTCCTGGCCTTCTCCAGGCTCCTCCAATCGTCCCTCTCCCTGGGTTTCTCCTCGGATTTCCCTCTATCCGGTTTGCCCTTGCTCTTTCTGTTGTCCTTATTGTCCAGCCTCTCGGAGCTGCCTCTCGACTCCAGGGATTCTCTATCCAGCCTCTCCAGGCTCCTCCTTTCCCTGGAGTCCAGTTTCTCCAGACTCCTCCTTTCCCTCGAGTCCAGCTTCTCCAGGCTCTTCTTCTCCCCGCTCCGTCTCTCTTTCTTCTCGTAGGGCCTCTCCCTCGAGTCGTACCTCTCCACAGGGTGTCGATCCAGGGAACTGTAGTGCTCGATGGTCCTGAGGTCGAAGTCGAAGGTGGGCCGCTCCCTGAAATCGAGTCTCTCCACGCTCTTGCCTCTGGCCTCCTTGACGGGCACCCTCTCGAAGGGACTCCTGTTCCCGGAGTCGAAGCGCTCCAGGGTGTGCCTCTGGTCGTAATCCACGTGTTTGCCTCCAGGACTCCTGCGGGATTCTCTGGAGTCCAGTCGCTCGATGCTCTTCTCCCTGCGTTCGCGAGTCTCGTAGTGGAACGAGCCCTTCTCCCTGGGCGATCTGTCCAGCTGTTCCATGGACTTCCTCAGCTCGCGAGCGTCCAGGACGTCCGCGCTCCTGCCTCGGGTTTCCCGAAAGTCGTGGCGCCTATGATTGGACTTGTCCCTGGAGTCGAGTCTCTCCAGACTCCTCTCCCTCGTGTCCAACCTCTCGACGCTGCGCCGCAGCTCCCTGGCGTCGTATCGGGCGTCCATGCTCCTGCGACCGTAGCTATCGCGCAGGTCCAGCCTCTCCGAGCTCCTCCTGGCCTCCCTGGAGTCCAGGCGCTCCATGGACCTCCTTTCCCTGGAGTCGATCCGCTCCATGGACCTCCGCTCTCTGGAGTCCGCCTTCTCCAGCCTCCGAACCTCCGTCGAGTTCTCCCGCTTCCTGTCGCCGCTCTTCCTCTCCTTCTCCTTGGCCGAGCCCCTCTCGGCCTCCCGGGTCCTCCTTTCCCGGGACTTATGATCCCTACCTAGACTACCCGTCTCCACGAAATACCTAGGACCGTGTTCCTCGAGACTCGCGATGCTCTTAGCCCTAGTCGTCCTCCCCCTGCCCTGGTCCAGGACCGCGTCGTCCCCATCCCCGGGGCTGAGGTCGTCGTCGATCCTGGACTTGGGCCTCATGATCCCCTCCTCCCTGAGTATCTCCGAGTCGACGTGGGTGATCTTATGCTTAGGTTTAAGGTTCTTGAGCTCGTTGAGCACGGTCATCTTCTGCTTTTGCACCTGCAGGACGACCGGGTCCTTCCTAGCGGAGTCTTGGGATACCAAGGGGACCCTACCCGCCAGGTCCAGGGAGTTCGCGTGCCTGGCCTCGAACCTGCGCTCGATCTGGGTGTTCGAGCGCTGGATCCGCGACTCGGTTATCACGTACTCGCCCTCGGGCTTGGACGCGGCTGAGTACCGATCGATCGACCTCGACTTGGAGCCCCGGAGGTCCGCGAGCACGGCCTTCAAGGGCTGCCGGTCGGCCGGCTTGGCCGACCGGGGCTTGACCGAGGAGTCGGTCTCGGAGTCCATCTGGAACACCTCGTGCTCGATGCCCTCGTCGGAGTTGTCCGACGCGGGCTCGTTCTCGTCCCTGGGGCTCGAGGAGGACTCCGGGTACTCGAACTCCTGCTCGCGCTCGAGGAGCTCGTAAGAGTCGTGGGACAGGTCGTCGTGGGAGAAGTCGCCCGCTGGACCGGACTCCTCGTGCCCGGACTCGGTCGACAGGGACGAGGTGCCCGGATAGGAGCTGCTGTAGACCTTGTCCGGGACGACGGAGTCGTGGTCCAGCGAGGGCAGCTTCGAGCTGGCCGCGCTGTAGGACCGGTTGCTCTCGTCGTACCGAGTGACCGGGTTGTCCAGCTCCCCCTGGGAGGGCAGCTGGAAGGGCTCTAGGACCAACTCGGTGGTGGACCTCTCGACTTTAGGCCTCGCCCTGCCCGAGTCCTCGAAACTAGAGGCGTAGAGCTCGCGGCAGCTCGCCGAGCGCTGCCAGGGGTGGCGGGGCAGGGGGCGCGGCGGGGGGAATTCAGGGGGACTGCTGTTAGAGGGGCTGATACGACCTGTTGATGAAATCCGCTGCGGACCGATAGCAAGGGACTGCCGCTGCGCCGGCACCTGGCTGGGCGTGGCCGGCGAGTGGACGTCTATAGAGGTGAGCGTCCGAAAGGACATAGCTGTGTCGTCGCGACGGTGACTCGTCCCTCCCATCGAGACACTCGTCACAGTCGTCGGAGAATCCAGCGTCATCGAGCCGCATGACAGAGACAGAGCTGGCGTTTCCAGAGCTGCAACCCAAACCGCGGATCAGTCTCCGGCATCGCCCCGTGTGGCGATAAGGGCGCCTCCCGCGAGGCCTCGAGGAACCCCCGGGCATCCACCGGAGCGCCTCGCTTTTCCAAGCGAAGCCCACGCGGGCATCCCTTAAAATCTCCCTCCCACGGTGGGGGGTGGAAACGGTACCCGACTCGGGTGGGTCTAGCTCTCGCGGCGACCGATCGAAGAAGCCTCCTACGTGGCGATACACTATACTACTCTACGATAGGACGGTCAATGAACGATACTGTAAAGGAACGTAAGACTGGAAGAAGGATAGAAAAATAAATGAATAAAGCGTCCGTGTGGTGGTTGGTGTCGGTCGTGGTACGTACCGGGGTCGCCGAGGGGCAGGAGGGGGTGGGCCGAGATGCTGGAGCTGCCCATAAGGGAGCTGCTTGGAGTGGCCCCACGATAGCCTCCCCCCTCCGAGCCCTGCAATGCCCTACCACCGCTAGTCTGCCGGAACGAATTGGACCTGCGAGCAAGAGAGAGTCAAGTTCAGCATCAGACCTATGCTGCCAAATGACAAGCTCGCCATTCCCCCGGGTCCCCGTCCCAAAGCTCGGCGATCGCACATCCTCGCCGGCGGTTCGCCCTCCGAGTTTGCGATTCTTCCCGGGTACCGGAGTGTGCGGACGCGAGGGGGAGAAAAGGTGTCGAGAGAGTCTTGACCGTGCGACTACGCGGAGGCTTAGGTCGCCGAGAATGGGTATCGCCTATCCGTCGACCGTACGCGATGGAAGGCACCGAATCGAAGAGCATGCTTCTCGAGCTGGGGATCGGTGGAGACTCGACTATCCTTGGACGACGATCGGACTCCGATTAATTGCGAGTTGAACGTTACCGACGTATTTACAAGGGAGCATGATTACAAGGTGCGACAAGAGGTTGCTTTCTATCATGGAGCGAGCTACGACTATCGACGAGGACCTTGCTGGTTAAAAATGTCTGGCAGGACGGTGATAGGGTGTGGAAACTGTTTACGGCGTGAGCGTGTCAATAAATTAAGTGGTTGTACATCGTTGAATCGGCTTATCCGAGTTATCGGCGAAGGGTACATTGATCATTCGGGTTCATCGTGCCTGATGATGAGCCTGACTCCCCGCCACCCCTGTCCGAGCAGGCAAACACTGACGAACGGAAATGCATAAACCACACGGTGGAGACATCTTCAACTACGTATATATATGTATAAATATATGCCAGGTAGACGACACGCAATGAGACGCGATGGTGTCGAGCCGAAACCGCAAAGTATCGACCTGTGTCCGCGGCAAAAAGCAAGACCGTGCCACCTCCCGTCTCGTCCGCAAGAGTTGGTGCGCACATTAATTAAAATCTTAATGGTTCCAAACTAACATCAGGGTGAGGGGTGTATGCACAACGTTCGCATGCACTACCAACACAGTACTTGGGTGCCCAGAATTCGTTCAGGGTGTCGATCATCGTCGGGGAGAAACGCCGTCAAACTCACCTCTGAAAGGTTTGCCTCTTCACGTAGTTGTCGCGCACGAACTCGACTATTTGCTTCTGCGTCTTGCCGCTGTACCTGATGGCAGAAATTGTCCACTTGACAACGGCCTCGACTATCGATTATCGACAAGTCCGGGTATAATTATTCCGGATTCACTTCGGTCTCTAATTACGAGTCGAAGACCCACCTGAAGGAGGAACCCCGACTCAGCACTCTCGTCTTCTGTCGTACCACTCGTTTGACGACGGAGCAGCGGAAAAATCCATGATTCTCGACGCACTTCTTCCAGAAGTTCTTGCACTCGTTGCGACCCTCGAAGAAGAACTCAACGGTATCCTTGTAATAACCCTGCAACAATTAGGGGATTAAATTAAACGTTGCAAAGCCTTCTCCGAAGGTGGATCCTCCAGCTTCCCATCCGAAGGTCACTTACATAGCCCTCGGGATGAAGCTTGATTAAAAAACGTTTCCGCTTGAAGCTGATCTTCCTGATCTTCGCCCAACTGAAGGTATTGATCTTCGTGTAATTCTGATAGACCACGATGCCCATGTGCGCCACGGCCAGATTCAGCGGCACCCCCTCGTGATCCTGCAAGTCAAATAAAAATTACCCCATAAATTTTATTATCTCTACGGTCTCCAATAATTAATAATTATATGTAACTCGGTTACCTTGGCCGGGTGCATTTTAATTCCGTAGAGCTCGCATCGCCGCGCCGTTTCGAGAAGATTGAGATCGGCTTCCGCGGGGGACTGACCTCTGGAGATAAAAGAGAAAACAGAGCGTCACTTAGAGAGATACCCTTATCGGATTACCCGCTCTTCATCTTACATGGCAGAGTTCCAAAATGACGGATCACAGCCGTAAGAGGAAGACCCGGAGGAAACGCTTAACGGGCGGGAAATAAATCTTACGCGTGTTTCTTGTGATTCTCCATGATGCGCCGTTCCAATTCCTGATCCTGGTGAGGCACGAACTTGTACGTAGAGAGATACGTATGGTCAGGATAGTCCTCGATTACGTAGTCCCCGCATTCGGCTGGTGGAAATGCACGAGTCAAAGAATTATCATCGTATCATGCCAGGCTACTCGATTACGACGTCTAGGACCGAGTGCAGATAAAGAGGCCCAAATGAAGAAGCGCTCGTTGTGCAACATTTCGACATCCATTACTTCTCTCATGGTGCGTCAGGAGTTATGAAAGCTAATCCTTCGACAATGGTCTGTGACAATGAACCAATTGCGACCAGATTGAGATAATCGAGGCTTCCGCGGCACTTATATCATTATAGTTTTGTGACTAAAACGGCGGACGATAACGGCTCCTCCCCCGGGCATGCACGACGGAGGATTTAGAGGATCGCCATGGCGATCGTGCCGGAGATTCCCCGAGTCCCTCGGTATAAACGTCAGCTCCGAAAGTGGCGCATTGACTCACCTTGCACGATATAGCTGGCCATCAAGGCCGCCGTGTTGTCATTGCACTGTAACAATCCCTGGGCCAGATCCCGCTTGATTTGAAGACAATACAGATAACGGGTGAACTCCTCTTCCAGTTGGGCAGGATCAGGTGTGTAGAATTTAACGCAAAATCTGAGGAGCGGGTCGACCAGCGAGAGCCCCACTTGTCTGCACACCGGCTTCTCTAAATCCAGCCAGTACTGCAAAACGACCTTCCCTTAATATATCTCGCCTTCGCGTAACTCGCTTCAACGGCCACGTCGATCATGGCAGGGAAAATCCCCTTGTACGATGATTAAACGCACTCGTTGCGTTTCCCTTACCTTTGTTCCATTGGGTTCCTGATACTCGAGGCCGAAGTAATCAGCCTCGAGGAGGTGCAGCTGCTTGCAGACCTGATCGAAGAGGACCCTGCCCAATGCCTTAGCCTGGAAAATAAAAAATACGGAAAGAATTACCGTCGATCGAGTAAAATATCCAGCGATTCGCAGAGCCGAGGGAAAGAAAAAAAAAAAAAATTCCGCTGATCCTCGGAAATCGGAAAGAGCCGGAAGAGATCGATACGACAGCTTGCATCTTGTCGGACGTATTTATTACATGACGAGGTACCTCCGATACATAATGTGCTCCAATAGCTCACCCTTCTGGAAGTATTATATAAAGTTTCAGACATGGTCCGTGTAAAGGGTGACTCGGTCAAGGTGGATCGGACAACCGGCAATTTAGTATTTTAAGCCGGACGAGCGCCGTTCAATTTACACATCGTAACCGCCGATTTTCCCCGGGAGAAACAGGACTTTACTTATTCAACTCCTGCGGGAGGTCCTCGCTCATCGATTGCAATCACCGGCTCCTTTCGAATCCGGTGTCTCTCGGCCTGATTATTTTATTCTCCGATTTATTATTCGACGATTCATCCTTTTTGCCAATAGTCGGGAGGAACGATTAAAGGTCTTGGACATTAAGGCATGCAACGTGAATGGCATTGTAAAGAACATCTTAAGTGGACATGCAGCCCACGCCCCTTGACCTCGATAGTCAATGGTTACGTTAAAGTGCCCACGCAGCAAATTCGATGTAAAGCAAATATCATGGAGACACATTCTTGCCGAGACAAAGAGATGTAACGAGCGACCGAATTTTATCATGACTTCTTGTTCATCTAAAATATTCCCCCCAGCTCCTTGCTCGCTGATAATAATTTAGGCTAATGATCTGAATGTGTTAAATGAGTTAAAAAGTAAAAAATAAAAATTCTATAAGTGTAACGATCCCCTGCGACGATTTATACTCCACCGGTGACATTATGTGCTATGTCAAGGGTGCTTGATTAAATTCTTCGCACAAATTCTTTGCAATTATGCACTCGGGTTACTGTCCCAGTGCCAATAGAACCACTTAACATTCATTGTTAAACCGGTGGGATTGTAAGACTTAACTAGCGCGACTTTACCAACAAAAACGGGAGCCGCCCATATAATGGTGCCTTAAAGCGATGCGAGCCATTATAATTTAAATATAAGAGTCATTTTAATTTCTCAGTGTTTCCCCTCCTGGTATGCTTCCTTTAATGCACAAGAGTACTGGAATACACGAAATTGCAAATCGAAACGACATAGATAGCCTTTGCTCTTAGGGTTCACTTGTAATACGAGGCATGGTAGTAAAGTGATATGTCAGCGATAAGGAATTATGCCATTGGGTTTGTTTGGATACTTTTGTTACCCTGTCAGGATATGTCTCAAAGTAACACGCCTATCTTGACAGCAGAATTTATGGCTTCGCATGCTGCTACCGTTACAATGTCTATGTTGAAAATTTTCTCATGGGATAAGAATATGCTTTCCTTACCTGTACTTGAAACATGGTGATCGTATCGTCGAGCATCTGGACCCGAACGGCAAGCATCTTCCCAGCTTTCCTTGGGGTAGCTGGTGGTGTCCGGCTGCCGCCGTCCACCCCAGCTGGCGTCGAATGACTGTGAGGCATTTTTGATCCACCACCACTCATGCCTATGCTCTCGATATCATTCATTCTTCAATCATTTGTCATACGTCTATTACCACCTCCGCGCCTTCGATTATTGAAATTCGGTCTCGTTTGTGTTAGGAAGTCATCTGCAACACCCCGGTCCATAATTCCAATTTATTGTCCTAAACCTAAGATCAATGCCCCGACTGATTTCCAAGAATCTATCACAAATAGCTAAGCCCTATAGAGCCCAAAATTCAAGCGATCATCTGCCAATAACGTCCTCTCCGATCCAACTATCCAGGACCATTTACACTGTAAAAATCCCCCTCCAAAAGTCAAATACCACCCAAAAAAGCCCATAAATAAACAAATTCGCATACAACTTCGATAACTTACTCTCCGGCAACTCGACATCCCTCCTCAACAAGTTCTCATTCTCAAAACCTCTACGACGTAACATTCATGAGTTTCTGGAATACCCGACAAGAATCGCTTCCTCGACCGGAACTTCCACCGTTCACCTCATCCTGAAGCAAGTCTGGACGCATTGCATAATATCTGCCTAGAAACAAAAAAGAGAAGATAAAAGAGGCGCAAAAGAGGGCGAACGCGCTCCCGCCTATCTGCATTAAAGAAAAGGGACAAAACCGCTCGATATCCTCGCACTTTGTTAAATGAAGCGATTACACCGCCTCGTTAGTAAGGCAATCGCGACGTCACATAGCCCGTGTCGCCGAAGTACGGACTCCAAGGATAATCCACCCCGTTCGTTAAATTTCGCTTTTAAACGCCCGTCAAAAAAAATGTTCTAGACCCCACTTAACCTCCTAAAGTTGGGTAAATGGAAAACAGCAAAAGCGTACACCACGGTTCACATCTCGAGCTAAACGATGTCTATTGTCGTCATATTTGGATAACGGCTATATTTTAACACCAAAAGTGAATGCATACCAGTCTGGATACAAAAATGCAGCAAACTCGAATAATCCTTAATTCACTCGGAAAAACGTGCCGGGGAGAAAAAATGCGCTCGCGAGCGCTCGCGAAGCGTGTAGAAAAGGAACTAACGGGAAAATTGAGGCCGCCGTGTGTTTCGGGCGACGACACTGTCACCGCGTTGAAAACGTCGAGATCAGGCCCGGGTTCGGGGCCCGACGGGCCCCCGCCATCTTCGAAGATCCACTAAATAAACCCACTCATCTCCGTTAAGCATAAAAGCCCCAGAAACCCGAAAATTACATTTCCCTTCGGCATACCAACCTTCGGTTCACGATGTGAAAGTTTGGAGGTTAGAAAAATTACTCCACGCATCTACCGCAATTCCCTCGGGTTACCGAACGAAGGTATTCGAGTTATGTCACATTGAGGTTATACATCGACAGCGCGACCACCTCCGAACTCTCCCAGGATCTCCAGGAAATTAATTTCGATCGAGTCCTGCCAGAGATAGCCGTTATCAAAATTGACAGGCTGGACTATCGCTATCCACCCCGCGGGGCGTAAACTCGAAATTCGTTTGACCGAAGTTATGTCGATCCACCGGGTAAATAAAAGATAAAAGGGAAGCAGAGTCCGGAATTTGCCTCGTTAAAGGGACGAGCAGGATGTCGTTAAAACTTAAGGCCTCTTAATTACATAATCCACGCGCCTAAAGGCGGCTTAATTAACCCCGGGCAGATACAGTGAGGGCACTCGTATTTATACTTCATCTAAATTTAATCAGGGGCTTAACGTCTCCAGGCAGGACTACAATGTGTTTGGGGTTCCTGGATTTCTCCCGTTGAGAAGATCCGGGGTGAGCCCGGTGGTCGCGCGTCGAGCCGCAGGGTGCGACCGGTCCAAGGGCGTGATCGGTCCGGAGAGGCGAGGCGCTGCCGCGCGCACCCGCTGCTTTTTCCGTGCACCTTGGAAAATGGAGCCGCCGATCGGCGCGACCGAGAGCGCGAGAGAGACGGACTGAGGGGGCAGGCCGCGGGAGAGAAGGAGACGCCGATACCGCGCGCCAGGAGGCGTCTCTACGTGTCGCGCTGGTCGACCCTCTCGGGGGACGAGAGGGCGCGGGAAGGCGGAGGCCGGCAGGTCTGCCACGGAGGCAATACGCCCCAAAACACGGAGTTCATTGATCACTGGCGCCGGCTCCTCTTTCTCGCCCGGGACCGAGAGGACGATCGATCGTCTCCTGGCTCGCGATCGAGGCACCTCGGAGTCACTTACGTTCGCGTCGCGAGTGCTCCGGCTCGGGCCTCTCCTCAGACGCTCGCGCCCGCAGGGCTGGCCAAGGAAGTCCTCGCTAGCCGACACCGCACCGCACACCCACGGAGCACTGCTCCCACTGCTCGCGCCCCACTAAACCCTACTGGGCCCGACTGCGCCCCTCCAAATCTCGAGTGTTTGTACGCAAGTCGTCGCGAGTGCGCTCCGATTCGTCCTCCGCTGCCCCCTGAACGAGACTGAGCGCACCCGAACGCGCTCCGTCGACTAAGAGGACGAACGGGTTCCGCCGCGCGCCGAGAGATGGTGCCACGCGACGGACGAAAATGGCGGCGGGAGCGACCGATAGTACTCGTACTTTTATAAATGCATTTGATAAATAAATAAAGGCCAGATTCGACGAAATCTCTGCCTATGCTAATTTTTAACTACATCCTAAGCTTCATTTAGAGCCAAGATCAAGGACGCTGGGACGTTTCTTTTACAAAATGTGAGTCTTTGAAGTCTGAGAAGCGCTCCGAGCGCGCGGAAAATATGCTCCTTTTTTAAGTTTCTTCTTCAGGGGACTCGAGTGACTTTTTCCTTTTTTCAAGGGAGTAAACCTTCTGGGGGCTCGGGTCATCCACCCAGACTGTAGCTGGACGAAAGCTGTATCTTAGGTGATCTTTTTTTTTCCGTGTAGGACGTGGGGGAAGTCTGATGCCGTTACTGGATATTTTATTACTCGCTTGAAAGACTTCCACTGCAGCTGCATTATGCCTTAGTAAAACGTCGAAGCAAATTATAGTCTATTTCTTTAATAGTAAACGGTCTTGAAAGGTGAAGGATACTGTTAGAATTAGAAATCAGTATTCTCTTGATTCGATTTCTGTGGGCAAAAACGCGTGACTTTGATTTGATAATTTTACGCCTAAGAATACGACTGACGGGATAATCACGGTTTAGCAATCTAAATTTGAAATATCTTCACAAGCCTTTTCCGAGGTACAGTGCTAGTCTTCACTTGCGTGATTTGGTGTTTTTGCCACTAGACAAATGACGGTCACGTCTCAGTTTAGTACGTAATGTTATCAGCGAGGTACATAAAGTCGTTAATCATCGCTAGTGTCTTCACATTCCCAAGGGAAGCAACATGGAGACCATCGTTCAGGAAGTAACAATCAATAATCCTCAAATAGATAATTCTCCCGAGAGTAAATATCAATTGTTTCGAATTTCTCAAAGAGTTAGAAACTAGTACGAGCATCCATGTAACCGGAAATTTATTTAGACTTGCAGCAAAAGGAGAAGCTAATTGCGGATATAAAGAAATTGAAATTATTGGCCTTCCAACTTGAATGCCGTCTTAACATTAACAAATTCAAGGATGTTAGAGAAACATTAAAATTACCTGCACCAGTTTGCAACGTCAGGGAACATGCCGAAAAAATGGCTAACACGGAGAACCAGTTGCAGGAAGAACTTTATCGATATGCAGGCTTGTATTGCGAAAGCTTTAATGAGAAGGAATATGTATTTCGTATCATGTCCTCTGCTGATAACGCGAAGACCGATACTTATTGCGTTCAAATAACGACCAACAATGGCGCTTTGAAAGTTGGCAAATGGTGTATGCCCATGTCGGTGGACATGGACGAAATCTTGATGGAAACCCCGCTGGCCTCTTTTAAGGATGTGAAGGATTTTTTAAGAAATTGCAAACGCTGGACGGATTGCTATAGCGTCAGGCTTCGACAGTTCAATGAATTGAAAGTATGGGAACGTAAATGGATGACTAAAATGCCCAGACTAGTGAGAAATTAATTTTTTATTTAATTCAGCATTACTTTTCAGTCCTTCCTCGAGAATATAATGGACTGCACCTTAGAGGCGAATTTAGGCCATTCCGAAATTTATTTACAATTGAGGAAGATCAGAGATGTAAAGTCTGAACAGGATCACGATGTCATCTTCTACTTATGTTATAAAACAGACGAGACCAGACCTTGTGAGATATTAATAGACTCGGGAAACATTAATGGCATATCAGCTGAAATTCAGGCGAGATTAAAAAATTACTTCAAACGGTTTCACGTTTGTACGTTAAAAACAGCTTTTGAGAAAACCATAAATGCAACGGATGACGAATTTCAATGGAACATGGTACAGGAGAATGAAGATATTGCTGCATTATGCGTAAGTGGGATATTTTTTTTTTTTTAGAATACACGTCATCCATCCGTGACGTAACAGGATGTGTAGTTAGGATGATTTTTTAATGCGCCTCTTGGATTGTTACACAGGCTGATGAAGACATCGATAGTGAAGACGAGTTTCTAAGTACCATTAAAAGAGGGAAACGAAAAGGAGGACCGACGAAATTAACAATCGAACGTAAAAAAAGGAGGCATGGTGACACTGCGAATGAAAGTACAAAAACAGATGACACCCTTTGTGATAACAGCGATAATCTGGACACCGAAAGTGTAAAGCTGCCAAGACGTTCTGTAAAATCGAAAGAACCTCGAAAAAAGAACGCAGAGAGTAGGAAAGGAAAGACTGGGGTGCGGGTCAGGAAAAATAAGCAAAAAGTTACCGCACTTGATGAAATTCCAGAATCTGCTCAAGAGGATAGTGGTTCCGCATCTAAAGATCAGAATAATAAATTAAAGGAACTTGTAAATAATCATCAGACTACAACGGCGACTGAAAAAATTGAAACCCGTTTAAATAATTCGGAATGTAACAAAGACAATGAAATTCAAAAGTCTACACCCATCGATAACAAAAAATCTGGTAAACTGAAAGGCAAGATAATTCATAAAGATTCCGCCGAAAATACAAATGATATCTTTATGAAATGCAGTACGCCTTTACGTCGGACAGGATTCAAATTTTCATTCCCAGACAGCAATCAAATAAGCGCGATAGAAAGCGAAAGTAAACAGGAAAATGCGAAACCAAAAGAGGAGACGGAAGGGAAAGAAAGAAAAAAATCTGAAATAGGCAACAGAGGGGTGGGAGAAGTAAAGGAGAATAAAAAGAAAGGTGCAAACGCTGGAAAATTGAGAACTAAAAAAAAAAGTAAACCAGATCAATGCAGTTAGTGCTGAATCTAACGGATACACCAATTTTTATCTCCAAGTATCTTTAACTTATTATACCATTACGAAAAAAAAATAATCCAATAAAATAATTGTTAATAATTTCGTAATAATTTCTGTAAACCTTTATAAATTATTAGAGCACTTTTAATACGTTATCGGATTAGTAACGCAGTCCTCCCGATATTGTTTAACAATTTCAAGGAACACCTGATCCATCGATTGCTGAATCACCGAAAAATCGGTAATAACAAGATGCGTTTTCTTCATTTCTTCAAGTTTGTGGAACACGTTCCCATAGGGCATGGTGTTTGGTATCTCATACTTAAGCATTCCCTAAAATGCAAGTAAATAATCAAACACTTCATCCCGATAGCTAAAAATGATATTAGTGGGATTTTTTGCTATGACAAACCAACTGCTTCTCTTTAAACGTAATATTAGGAAAGGTCTCTTCGACATCTCTCTTGACGATTTCCAGGACGTGATCTTTGACTCCGGGTTGCAATCTAATGCACATCAGGAAGCTGTTACCATGTTTAAGCTTCAGGTGTTCGCAAGATCCAGTAGCAATAAATTTTCCCTCTACTAAAATACCAACTCGCAGGCAGAGTGCTTCAGCTTCTTGCATGCTGGTGAATATAAATTCAATAGCAATGCCTTTCCCAATTTTTCTTCATCGTGTACAAATGTATTAATTTATTTTCTACAGAGACGAAGCTGCAGATCTTGAATTCAAACCTGTGGGTGGTGAGTAAAATGGACCTTCCCATGTCCCGAATTTGGTGCATAGTATCACAGAGAGCATATCGAGCCATCACGTCTATGCCGGAAGATGGTTCATCCAAGAGGACGATCGGCAGATCGCCAATCAACGATTGCAACACGCAAATCTTTCTCTGAACTCCCCAGGAGCACTGTTCTATCCTGTGATTCTCAAAATCCAGAAGTTCTGTCGAGTTAATCCAAATGTTCATTTTGTTTGCACCTTCGAGGTAGTAAACATGTATCGATACCTAAAACGTCCAACCACTTGTTGACTTCGTCCGTAATGTCATTTTCAGGTACACCTCGAAGAGTAGCATAAAATCGGAGAGCTTGCCTGCCTGTGAGAAAATCGTGCAAGCCTCCATTTTGAGGACAATATCCGGCCATTCCAAAGAACTGACAATTTCAATTTTATGTTATTTAAAAATTGGGTTAATAAATTAATTAGTTCGAACCCACCTGATCCCTGTCTTTTTTCATTTCACACCCTGGCATAATTATCCTCCCTGAAAGGGGTTTAACTTCATCGGTTAACATTTTGAAAATCGTTGATTTGCCACTGCCATTTAATCCCAGCAACCCGAAACACTCATTCTGCTTGATCTTGCAATCGAAAAATGTGTAATGCATAAGTGAAAAAATATTTATGTTAATTTAGAGGGGTCAGAAAATATATACGCAATAAATAGATTACTTGAAATGTGATTCCTTTAAGCATGATCCCACCGTCATACTTTTTCGACAGATCATGAGCCAGAAGAGATATATCCGGTGGCAATCGATTGGTCTCGTCATACTCTATGTAAAAAATATATAAACAATCTGATTCTCATGTTTTCTAAATTATTAATACCTTTTAGAATTTCGTCAACTTTTTCCCTTTCTCTAACGACATCATCGACGTTTTCCACGCGTAAATTATCTTCAGGTACTGGTATCGTGTGCGAATCCGCAATAAACCACTTCGACCGATTTTTTTTCTCAAAAATATCTAATATTATCAGAAAGCCGCACGTTTGCGACATCATTATTAAAACGTCATCGATTATTGAGTGGTAATACACCATCCCTGATTGCCTCACCACCATGACATCCGAAGGAGCATAACAAGTTGTATTGCCGCATTTATCTACCGAAGAAAAATGTATTTTATCTTCATTTCGGAATGTAATTTACCAAAAAATGGAATAACGAAAAACTTACGGCAACAAGGATCTTCAACGCCAAACTCTGTGCTACAAGAATTATATCCCTCGCATTGTCTATTGTGAAGACTTAGCGTAATATAATTACTGACTGCACAAGCGAGTGCATACGGCGGAAGTGCATGGAAAATGATTTCACCGGCATAATTTCCGAAATTTCCAAACAGATATGCAAGTAAAGGCATGGTAATGGATCCGTTCAAAATCATAACTGAAAATTGGAAAGGGGAAATTTTTTCCATGAATTAAAAAAATCTGGCTTAATAAGAAAAAGTGCATACCGATAACGAGATTGATCGCAATCACGGCGAGATACAATGTCCCCGTTCTGCGAATACACAATTGCAAGCAATACCCCATTGGAATTGCAGCCGTGCCGTAGAAGAAGAAGATAACGAGCATCTGAACTGCATTAATTGTGAAGGAATAAAAATTGATAGTTGTAGAAAAATTATGTAAAGGAGATTTGCAGCTCACGGAAGTCTCTGGGAGATATGGCCACTCTTGCGTGGTACACGATGAAGCATATTAATGCGATGACCAGGAAGGAGAATAAATAAAGTAAAAAGTCCATCAAGTAGATCGGCATCCAATATATCACCGTGGACACCCCGTGAGTGTTCATCTGCAATAATTTCGACAAAGACCTGACTTCCTTCATTCCCAGATCAATACTCGGCAAAACGAGGAACAAAGTCACCGCGATGGCCGAATTTTCTAAATTTCTGATAGTCTGGTGGTGCACCAATCGATGTTGCCACTGAAAATGAGACAAAAGATCCAAAGATCTGAGATAGAACTCTCGATAAAATATTCGGCAGATTCGAGATTTTTTTCGATACCTGTTTGGGATCTACTATCGGCCGACTTATCAACTTGATAGAATTATCCGCAGACCCGCTGTGATAACGCAGAAGTGCATTGTGCAGCAGATTTATCACGATCGGTGCACTGTGTATCGCGGTGGAGGAGTGCATGATATTGATGTGTCCGTTATCAAAGATGTCAATCGAGAGAAAAAATCGATCTCTAAACTGAGGAACAAAATCGAAAATTCGGTCATAGAAAAATGAGGGAAATTTGGAAAAGCTAATGAAGGCAATGAAAAATCGCAACCTCGATAGAATGCAAATTAGGGTGTATCATGAAATCGGATGCGGTGATATTGGCTGAAATGTGATAATTTTTTATCAGGTCGTAAGACTGTCCAGTCTTGTACAGAGCGACGAGGAATTCCTTCGGGCCTTTGTAATTGGCTGCATAATATAACATTTGGAAATCCTTTCTCGTGTATACCGTAACGTTCATTTCGACGTCTCTAAAAATAAGTACGATATTACCGAACGTTGTGTAATAATACGTGCATTATCAGCTGGCGATAACTCACGGAGTTCGAAAAATCTCCAAGGTACTCATCTTCATGACCAGCATGGTCAAAGCGAAGGCAAGTATGGAACACACGATCTGCCGAAATTTATAGAGAAATGCACAGAAATGGAAACGACCAACATTTATCCGGTTCGGTATATTTGCAAGGAAGAGGAAACTCACCGAAAAAATGTACTGCTTCCAGGCCGATATGATATGTAAATTCTTTTTGTAGAACATACCGCGCACTTGCTGCCACCAGAGTGCTTTTCCGGAAACCCGAGTCCAAGGATTTCCTGGGACCAAGTAAACCTGTACAGCTTATATATTTTTATTTAACCGATAATCTCTTCCAGGACGAGTTACCAGATCGCAGGATGTCTCTTCTCCTCTTCTGCAGGACCCACTCGCACTTGTCGATGGGAAAGTGCACTCGACGTTCCTTAAACTGGCTTGCCATACCTATCCTGAATAATTGTCATAATTCGTCAATGACCGAAAAAATCTACGTTCTATTTTCATTCCTCCTTTCGAATGTTTAGGCAAAATTTGCCCACCTCAAAAAAGGGCCCTCGATGCTGGCTGCGTTCAATGCCACCGACGAGATCATCAAGGTCTCCTTTTCCTGGTCCAGGTGTTGAAATAATTTCGTGAACCTGGCAGAACGAGGCATGTCGAATTTTGCCACCAGACCCATTGTGCCTCGAAGACTAATTGGCCCTGGAGAAAAAATTTGCAGCACATTTTGCAATTTCGATAAGTCGCATCCTTCCTTTATCACTATGCTCAACACGTAGCCGATTCCTAAAAAGACAGGATCATACGTGAAAGGAGTCGAAGGGTGGATTGGCGCAGGTCGATATCCTTAAAAAAAAAGAATACTTAACCAAAACGCCGATTCAGGTACATTTTGGAACCATAACATTCGACTTTGCCACTCGCGATTATGACAATTCTGTCTGCGAGCATGTCGGCAGCTTCCATTGAGTTGGTCGACATGATTATCGTCTTATCTCTTTTAGTAGCCTTCGGACATTAGAAAAAAAAAAAATAGTCATCCTGCAAAAGTTTCGATTTTTGACAGCACACTCACGGATATTAAATCCCAAATTTGCAATCGATGCTCCGAATCGATCCCGTAGGTCGGCTCGTCCAGCACTAAAATCTTTTTGATAAATCTTATCACTTAATGATGAAATCAACTCGAAGAAAGTGTATAATTAAGTCGGTACCTCGGTATTTCCAATTAAAGCCATTGCTAGGCACAGTCTCCTCTGGACACCAAAGGAAAGACTTTTTATCGTCTTATCCTTCACCATATCCAGATTTAAATGCTCCATAAGAAAAACTGATTTCTTCTTCGCGGATTGGAAAGACAGTCCTTTCATCTGTTGCGAATTCGAATATTAAATTTCTAATTTGTTATCGAATTGACGGTAATTGCTATTCCGTACCATTCCAAATAAATAAATGTGTTGCATCGTCGTGAGATAATGAACTAAAATATTCTCTTGCGGACAATAACCAATTATGTTCTCGGATTTTCTCTTCCCGAAATCGTTACTGCCGACGTAGATGTTTCCACTAGTTGGTTTATACATTCCTGTCAAATAGATGTAAATGTCAAAAATCCATAGTGACGTTAATTATAGATTAGACTACCTATTATGATTTTTAAAAGGCTGCTTTTCCCAGCACCATTATGTCCGAGAACGACATTGAATTCCTTTGGGTAGAAGTCAATAGTCATTTCATTTATTGCAGTGATTCGATGACGCATGTTGCCAAACTTTTTCGTGACTCTTCGGACCCTGATGGAAGGCTACTTATTTGGTGAAATATATTAATTTTTTTTTAATACCTCTCGATTAAAATATATATAAATACAATTGCTCAATTTAAGACATGCAAACATACTTTGACAAAAGATGGAATATATTCTACAGCTGACCAATTGGTACTCCCTCTGTAATTGACATCGATTTCCCCGTCCTCGGGACCACTGCTCTGGCAAAAAAATAGGAAGTTATTATTAATAATCCCTTGCTCTAGGTAATTAATTAATAGTCTATCGACATACTTTGCACAAATAATACGGCAGTTTGGCACTACCGAATTTCCCAGGATTTATCGTGTCCAGATATATCGCGACGCTGTACCAGAGAGCGATGTGAATAAACCAGGAAAAAATGATGACACCGATATCGATGCGATCGTTCGAATGAAGCACTTCGTACATGTCGTGCAACTCGAATTTCCCCGAAAGCAGGTGATTTAAACTGATTTTTAATCTGTCCACGTAACTTCTCTCGACGGATCTCTCGTTGATCGAATGTTTCATTTTTTCACTCAAAAAGTCCTCTGTTAAAAATGACCAATCAGGTTTACATCCAATGTCCGAATGATACTAAATCTCACCAATGTCACTTTTCGAAGTTAATTGTACGAGTCCGTAGAGTAAACCACTGTGGGGCAGAAATAATGACAAAATCCTGAGAAGCAGCGAAGAATGTACCAAATTCTGGTCCACGACAATGGTAAAGTGTGCCAAAAAGAGCCAAATGATGAAACTTGTCAGTAACGCTTTCATTGCTGCGAGAAAAAGAATTATAGATTTAAAAAACTGAAGGCGCTAATAATTTATGTCGGTTATCTTACAATGTCCGAAGAAGGTGCCAATCGCAAACATGAAACACGAGGTCATGGTAATGTATGTCAGTACGAATAAAAAAATCACGGCGATGCTGCTATTAGAATAAATAGGATACAGGATCATTGTCGTCACGATCGCCACTGGGACAGCTATTATCATTAGATAATTAATCCAGCTTAAATACAGCATGGTGAACGACAAGTTCATCAGATGCATTAATTCCTGAAAAAAAAGCGACTGCGTCATTTCAGCCTTGCAAAATGACCGGATAAACCTGAGTGATATAACGAGCTAGTTTTACGATCCCGAGAGGAAATAGAGTATTTTTGACAAATTACCCTGAAGCCGGTCTCTTTATCATGGATTACCATGTTCACGGTGAAAATGGGTGAGAAAACGAAGGATATGATGGTCATGTAGTAAACGACACTGAGATTCGGTCTGACGACCGAGGGCATCACAAGGAAATTTATTTGGAAATATGGAAACCGCCCTAATGTAAACTATGGAAGGAAAAATTAATAGGAATTATTTAATGCGTGAAATTAAAATTCATGAGTAATGTAAAACGAAAAATAACACCTGTTCGCCTGTGATAGGTAGATTAGGACTTTTCCAGAGATTTAGAAAGCAGCTTTCGATCGCTGTCTGGAAAGCGATAAATCCACTGGATATATATGGATCTGAGGAAAAATGGGATTTTGCAAAAATACAGATTTTGTGATCCTGATTCATGAGAAATGTCTTTATAAAATAAGCTACCTATGTCATCCGCGTCATTCTCGTCGTACATGATCATTCGACTTTTACCGATATCCGAAGACCGGATCATGTACTGCAAACTTGTATGTTTTGTATCAGAATTATCTGTGTTCTGAAAAATAGCCCAAAGTGCCGTCTCCGTTCCATTTTTCTGATAATGCGATATCACGAGTTCCTCTTCGTTCGCTGCCGGCGATACTGAGAATTTTTATTATTTTTCCTATGATTGATCCTCCAAAATTATCCTGGCTATTACTTACTAGGAACATTCAGGACTTTCGAAACTTCCGACATCAGCTGATCCAAGAAATTATTTTCCGGGGCGTATCGGAGCTGCGCGTTGCTAGGAATTTTCGATAAAAGTTCGCCCCTCGTAAACTGATTAAAGTCCTAGGAAAAATTAATTAAGAAGCTACCATGTAGATGAAAAAATTAATTTTCGCCTCATCATTTATTCAAATCGTGTGTACTGAAGATGTGTCAAAGGTGAGAATAAATGTACGATCGCGTTGACCTTCGAAAATCATGAATGAATCCAGTACTCCAGTGATTCACCTTCCCTTTCGGCTCATAACCTCATTAGCATAATTAAGCAATCCCAAACCAGGAATCCCTTTACGCACCTGTAACTTCAGAGCTAAAGGTTCGAAGATCAGTCGAATTTGCACCGAGAAGATAATCGGGATTAATATTTCGAAGAGAGAGGCGACGAGGGTGTGTCTCCTGGCAAGGATGGCCTTCAAGAAAAGGATTCTCCATCGCAGCCAGAATTTAATCAAGGACGATACGGCAGTCTTCGACATTTCTTGAAGACTCTAAAATCCCGGAAAATCCTCCCTTTAATTATTTCTCGTACGCAATGCGCTTAGAATAATTCCCTCGAGTCTGCGGCGAAACAACCGCGAGATGTGAATTTTCGGTCCAGTATCTATGAACTTCTTACGATACTCTGAGGATATCGCAGTGCGAACAACAGGACGATGCAAAAAGTGCATGCGGACTAGACTTGCATAGAACACCGTGTCGATCGTGTAATTTCACAGAAACTTTCTCGCTTTTCTCGCTGCTCCGACTTCCGTGCAAAAGGCCAAGTGACGTAACTTGTCTTAAGAAAAGCGAAACCAAAAGATGTACACTAAAAATCATTTAACGATGCACTTTGTTTAACTCATATTAATTACCCGGTACGGTCGAGTTATTCGAGAGATCATGAATCAAAGAACGTACCGAAACAAAAGTCTATCTACGATGTAGACGAACAGATCTTGATTGGCAATTCTGGCTCAACGAGAAGTGTCACATCTCCGATTGACACTTTACAGCCAATTAGAATTGATGTTAATATCGTAGCTCGATCTAGAGCGAGAGATAATTAATTAAACGGTGATCTTATCACTCCTGTTTATCGTTGATATGGAACTGCAACTATTACGTATCATGGCCTCGTCAAAGTTCCTGAAGACCCGACCTACGTATCGCGCCTTCGCATCAAAGTAGGCTTATCATTAATACATATCCATTAGCCTAATGAGATGATCTGCCCTTTCGATGATAAAGTTACCTTTCTAGGTTTTCCAACGTAGGGATTTTCGGCATCTACAAATTCCCGCGTTTGTTCTTCGATTTGACTGTTCTATCCTTGAAGATCACCCTGGCGACGTTGATAGCGACTTTCAGGATCATCGTCCCCCCAGCGATGAAGAATCTCTCGGGAGAGACGGTTTTGGTCCTTAAACAAGAATCGCTACACTTCGAAATCCCAGATTTAACCCTCAGTACCGCTAGATAATTATTAAAAGAAAATCCGCGGAATTAATATGTTAATAAAATAATTTCCAGATAACCGGGGCGGGTCATGGCATCGGCAGAGAATTGGCGATACAATTGTCAGCTCTCGGTTGCAACGTGGTCTGCTGGGACAATGATAAGGAGGCGAATAAGTCGACGATGAACGCCGTTTTGAAAATCGGAGGACAGGTACCTTATCAATAATGGTTAGATAAAGTCTAGGACGAGGAAACGCGAAAAAGCCTTGGGAAAAGCTTGGTTGACATAATTGACAGGGTCTTACCCGGTCGCGGAGGAAGGGTTCTTCATCGATCATTTCTTTCATTGTCAGGTCTACGGCTTCGTGGTGGACGTGTCAAAGAGATTCGAGGTCCGTGAGACCGTGAGATTGATGAGGAAAGTCGGCGTGCCGGAAGTGACGGTGCTAATCAATAATGCGGCTGTTTTGGTGCACCGTCCTCTTCTTGCCCACGATTCTGACAACATAGAGCGAATTTTTGGCGTCAACGTTATGTCGAATTTCTGGGTACGTCACGTATCGACAGAGCTCAGTGAACCTAGACGAACTAGAGGAAAAGTCGTAAAATTACAGATACTTAAATCCAAATGTTGCTCGATTTGTAGTCTAGGTAATCCGGTCTGAAAAAACCAAGATATGTTGCCAAACGCCGGAACTCTCCCGTCACACCTGTTACTTATTAGTCTTTACATTTGCATGCAAAAGAGAAATCCATTAATCGTTTTATCAGACTATAGAGGCGTTTCTCCCGAGAATGTTGCTAAACAATAAAGGCCACATTGTCTGCATGAGCAGTATGTGCGGCATTTATGGAGTGCCATTAAAAGTGCCCTACTGTTCGTCGAAATTTGCAATCAGGGGTAAATTGATTTTTACTTAGCAATTTTTATATCCATTACGTTATTAAATGCGAAATGATAAATAATTAACTGTGCTGAGAAATGGTTTATAATTGTTAGGGCTTATGGAAGGTCTTCACGAGGAACTCAGGATGGACCCCAAAAAGCCGAAAATTAATTGCACCACGATTTACCCCTTTTGGATAGACACTGGATTGGACAAAGATCCGAAATATAGGTGGGCTAAAGTCATGAAGAAATTTTTCACGTACGATTTTAATCGGAAACAATTACAGATTCCCGCAAATATTCGGAGTAGTAACACCGCAATACGCGGCGCAAGAAGTCATCAAAGCCGTCCGAAGGAATTACACGGAATACTCGATCCCAAAATGCCTCTTATTTCTAAACTCGATCAACAGGTATTTAAAAAAAAAATGAATTGCCACAAAATTGTGCAAAACGTTTATAAAAAAAAAAAAAACTGTTTCATTTCAAGAATCGTTCCTGAAAAGGTGATGCGCTTGACCCTCGACTTTCTGGCTGACGGGGACAAAAACCAAAAAGAAAACAATGCAATTAAAGATCATCAAATGAAGTGCACATAAGATCACTCCCCCTGTCAGTAGACACTAGCCAAGTTATTTTACATTGCGTTAAAAAAAAAGAGAACTTGCAGAGCAATTTGTTTCGCATCGTAGTGACTCGTAATGATCTTTCGGATAATGACTGTATTAAGATTGTGAAATAGGAAATAAGTATGAACTATGGCTCGATTCAGCTAATATTTTCAGACACGAGATAGGCGATATTAAGAGCGTTTCACTTTTCCATCAGTCCTGCACGAGGAGCAGAACTTTTCATTCGACTCGCAATTACCAAAGTGGTCCTTTTTGCGCGGTTCATAGTGAGTGTCCACGGTTCACATAGAACAGTTAATCATACCGGAAGAAAATGTGTACGTAGGATAAGCTATCTCTCGTAAAAAGTTTAGGTTGGAACATGTTTGTCTTTTTCCTTTTTCTTTCTCCCACTCTCTGCCCGTTCCTTAATATACATGCCGATGTTAAGGTGCATTACCGAGGAAAAATTAACGTGACTACTGGTACTCGCGTAACCGCAAATTGGCAGAAAATATTATTACGTCCTCTTATTATCCTAGAATTATCTCATTTTCCTGGATTCTGCCATCTTCTCTATCTCATACCGCAAGACATTCATTAAATCGTCATCCGCGGATGAGCATCGATTTCGACACCTCCTGGTGTACGTTCATATCCGTAAAAAAAATCTTTCAAGAAAATATGATTTTAGTACCGAATAAAAATAAATGTTACCATTAGTTTCGGCAGTTATGCGTAAACTAGGTGCATTATGTAACTCTTCCATCGAGCCGATATGATCTGAATATGTCTCGCCGTTCCAGTACACCAGGAAAGAACTTTCCCCGTTCCATTATTCTATTTGGTGATTACGCCTTGGTTGTTCGCATTTAGTTGGTGAGAAAAAATTAGAAGTGGAGATATTTGGCATTCCTAGAGGCGCGGATTTATATGGGAATTTTTCTAGGATCTAAGTCTCGATGGGAAATCATTTCGCAGGAGTGAGAAGTATCGGCCGGATTGTCGATAGACACGGCCCGCAATTGTTCTTCGTTCATGCCCCTCGCTTCCATTATGTTTTACGAGAGCCCGGATAACTCTTGCGCAATGAATCCACCTTGCCGAGCGTTACGCCGAACGTGTTTCCATCCGCGATTATGTCGGCATATTCGACGATCGATCGCTTATCGGTTGCATAATTCCGCCCGGGATAATAATTTCCCCGGAAATGTCGCGCTTTCGCCCGCGGAACGTAAATTACAATTTTACCGAATTCACCGATGGAGTGTCGCAACTCTCATTGAATATTAGGAACAAGGTCGGTGAGCGAGAACGAGGGAGATCTGGGGGCTATTGTGACGATGGGAAGACTCTGCTATTTTTTATATCAGTCAATGAGATTCGGTGTCGATTTTCAGGGATTTTTCAGAGGTGGTTCGAGGCACTCCTCCAGCGAATGGCTATTGGAGGAAAAATCCCCCTCGAAGAGAAGAAAGTATGCCACGCTTCGTTACCATGTCGAGAGCCTAGATCAAAGAGATGCGACATGAACTATCATTTTCTCCCAACAAACGGCGCCCTTTAACATCTCGACGGTGCATCACCTCCCTTCCCTCGGTCGCATCCTTCCTCTTCGACTTTTTTCCCCCGGGTTCGCGTCGTCCTGGCATTACTAATTAACATAATGACTACTTTCCGTGCAACCGAGCCCGGAGTCGCAGCACCCGATTCGCGGCAACGTGCATCTCAAGGCGGCAACGAGATGACCATGACCCTGGTCAAGGAACCGTGCATATATATATCACGCGCAACCGGTTCTCAGTCAAGTTCAGGGAATCCTTCGGCATGCGATGAAAGGAACTAATAATTCATCGTATTTCATAATTCCTCGAAACGTCACCCTTCCACCCTGGGTGCCGACAGGATTCGGAAACCAGGCTAAATTAATTCCGCCTCGACTTAATGAAGAATTCTGGAAGACCTCGACTTCCCTGATAACCATCGTTCTCTTCGAAGCAACCTCTCTAAATTTAATCCCTGATAAAAATCTACCACGGTACAGGAGGAAATAAACGGCGGAGACAACGAAATGATAATTAGAAATGGCGAACATACTACTTGCGCGGAGGTCGGTGAATTAATTATGCCTTGGATTGATTCCGACGAGCTAGTAAAAAAAATCTGAACTGCTCTGATGTACCTAAAGAGTCCCTAAATCCACCGGTGGAGCAAATTAAAATCGAAATAGATGGAAATTAAAATTGTCAAAGAGACAGTCGGGGAAAACGCGTGCACCGCTCGTAGGATGAAGGACGACAGAGGCCTTGGTTCTTGGGAGCGAAGGCATTATAGGTGTGCGTTGCTCCTAACCGGTATACAGCCAAGTTCAAATGGTTTGCTAGTCGGTACACTAGCGGTGTGCCGACGGGGGAGTCCGGAGCGGAGACGTCCGCGAAACAAGGAACTCGCTCACTACGATCCAGCGATCCCAGTGATCCACCTCTCCTCCTGCGAACTGCGCCGACCTGCCTTACTTTCGGCCCCTACACCTCGAAATTCTGACTTGTCCCTAATCCACCCATAAATCCTCCCAAAAAGTCAACAGAGATAGTGTTAAACCCCGATGAAAGAAATTCCTCAACTTTGTAACATAAATCTCGCGCCGTTTTGAAAACCCATGGTTTCGATCATTCCGTGAAAAGTGAAGGAAAACAGAATTACCAGTGAAAAGTTTGTGTTCCGAGGTTTCTTTTCACCACATTGGGAATTTCCGCAAGGGAGGATTTGCGAGAACCTCGTGAGTATCCTGGGGTTGATTACAGGGTCCAGGTGATAAGGTATCCTTAGTACATTTTTCTGGGACTTAGAATTTCTATGATTTGAATTTTAAATGGAATTGCTTTGAACTCCATTTAGGCATCGATGTAAGTATCAGCTGATATTCAAATTGGTGTTTACGTTTCTCTTTTTTTTTTTTGGATCCGAAGATGTCATACGTATCGTCGACTTATATGATTAGCGGAGCAGTTAAAGGAAACGCAAAATGAACGGTTTAATAATCATCATTGATGTCGTACCTCGGTAAAAATATCGATTAACCGAGTACTTATCGGGTAATATTTACAATTCCTGAATCACCGTCGATAACAATGAGTTATTAATATGGAAAATTCATATCCCGAGTGGCTCGCGGATAGAAGTGTTCGCCAGGCTTACGCAATGCTGTTTACGTTTATTTTCTCCTGTTTTTTCCGTCATGCAACCGATGAACAGTACTTTTCCTAAACGCTCGTTACATTCATTACCTCAATTGCACCCGCAAGTTTCCGCCCGGGGAATGATTTTCTACTTCTCCCGAAAATTATTAAAAATTAAGATCCCTCGGTTTGATAATCGTCACGGGAAGTAAGTTGACAATTTCCTTTTAGAAACCCGAAAACCGGAAGTTTCCCCAAGGCGCGGTACCAAACGTCGCCGGAAATGGTCCGCTTGCTTGTCATGAAAGGCGATACGATATCTGGGACCCCTCGAAAAAAAAAAAAAAAATATACAAAAGAATTTTACATAAAAGTATTAATAAAGCGAGGATTTATCTTCGAAACTTATTTCCTCTCCCTGTCGTGCCTTACTGCACCGGAATTGTTACGTCCACTTCCGACATGTCAAGATGTATCATTACGTTTCGTAACAGTTTCGGACAGTGGTCGTCCTTGTTTCGTAGGCTCGTACGTGCGACAACGTCAATTGCGCAATTGCCGGTACTCGTACATGAATATACAATATGACACGCCCTTCAGGAAACCCGAGAACTCTGGATTACGAAGCCGATCTAAATTACACAAGTACAAGTAATGACTCGTCTTTCACGGCAACGAGAGAAAGAAAATTCTAATGACTCGACAGGATTTTTTCACGGATTAAATTACAAAATCTTGAGTTCAATCGGAAATAGACGAATAAGTATACAGCGCAAAGTTTTTCTTTTCTCTATCGAATTGTTGCAACATCGCTCTGGTTGAATAATTTCATTTAATAATCAATCCAACTCACGTGGAAGGTGATCACGTTGAAGGCGAATGTAAATCAGGGAATTAGAACGCAGGATAGGAGAAGTTTAATGTAAATCCTCGAGAAGCACTGTAATCTATCGGTTTTTTGCGCTCATATCGCGACCTTCGATTAAATCCCGTTCACGATGCTTGTCACACGTAGCGAGCTGATCGCGGAAAAGTAAATGTAACCTTTGACAGTCTCTCCATAAAGGCAAGATCAGGTACAGTGATAGTGCAATCACTCGTCGATTAATTCAGGAAAAACTGAATTATTTCCGGAAATAGTTTGTTCGTCTGTTCCTCGCGTGAAAAAAAAAAAGGCTTCTCGCTCCCCGCAGATTCTGATTCGGTCGAGTGATTGGTAATCATCGGGTAATTAGTCTCATTTTTACGGTATTCTTATTAACGAAGCACGCAGCGGCATTACGTGTAATGAAGTAACTTAATGTACAGACAGTTACTTCACGTTAGATAATCGGAATCCGAGCGTGGATTTCATTTCCGAGACGCGGAGTTTTGCAACTAACCGAGGATTTCCTCGGTAAGGTATCAACAATTTTCGGCAAAAACGTATTAACAATTATCCCCCGATTTATGCGAGGCATGTTATTTTCAGTAAGCGTAAAAGTTAAGTACGGGGAAAGCGGTAAGAAACCGTGGGAACCGAATAGCCGCAGCGTATGTCTTAAATGAACAATTTTTGCATATGGCGGCCGTTACCGGTATCATCCACTTCGTGAATTAAAAATAGAAACAGCGCCTTTCGATTTCTATAAAGCGATAAAACGCGATCATATCACGATATGCTAATTGATCGGAATTAACGACTTTCTGAAAGATGCTCCCGGTGTCATTCCTTGGCCATCGGCGAATCGAAATCGGTCGTCGGTGCATTTACATTTTATTGAAGTGCTATCGGCGAACCTTAGATCTCGCCTATGCTATCATCGATGTCTCCTTCGGACGTCGATGATGTCAACTAATGAGCGTTTGCGGACTTAAAGGAGACATTAGATAAGATCGAGAAATAAATGAAACCAGGAAATATACGCCGTTAAAAATGTCCGCAAATAAACCTCGAATTTTATACCTTACCGGAGAATTTTTTTTAGCTACCTTGTAAAATTAAAAATCATGTCTGTTATAATTTTAGTTTGCCCTTCTGGACATTTTCCGATCCTTGTCTCGGTGATTCAGGACATCGGGGAAGTAAAGGTTCGTCGACCCAAAATATCGAAAGTGAGTGGACGATCCTGTCGGACGAGAATCCACGAAACTTAGGAACCAGAAACCAGAAACCAGAAACTGGTCGAGCCGGTATTCTCTTTCCGAGTCTCGAGGTGAATTTTAAGCAAGTTCCCAAGACATAAAGAGCTCTCGGTTGGGTTCTGGTTTCCGGTGGGAAAAAAGAAATAAGCAGAAAAAAATAAAAGACCGACCAATCGGAGGACACCCGACACGCGACTCCTGGTCCCAAAAATCCACATTTTGCCTTCTACGTCGCACGCGAAGGTCGCGTTATTGGTTCACGATCATTCGATCAACTTCCCGGAAGTTTCTCAATGATCTGTCGAGAGTGGAAGTCCTTCTCGATTTTAAGCAATCGAACATTAATCGGTCCCGACTTCCACGTGGGCTCGAAGACCACGTGGAGGTTGTAAACAGAAATTTAAATTTATTCGCCGTGGATTCTCGTCTCATTAAGCACGTATGAAGCCTGTCATCGATTCAGCAAACCCCGGAAAATGTTCCTCTCATTTGTAATTATCTACTCAAAGTCCCACAAAGGCAAGGGAAAAATTCTCACATGACCAAATCTGTCGTTATCGATAATTATAGAAATTCCACGATGATTCACGATCGATTGGTCGAGTTCAGATTGATTTCCTAGGAGCTTTCTACTGATTTTGATGAGCCCCCAAAGACGGTTCTATCCATTTCCCAATGATTGGCAGATATTGCTCGATTTATGGTCACGGATGTCGAGATCATCCACTGATTTCGATCGATAGTCCGCTCTAAATAATTTCGTCTCATGCTGAGCGTGTAAATAATGCCATACTTATAAATAATTGCCATTGAGTGACAAATTCTTGTTTCACGGTTTAACTACGTAATAAGTTAACTTGTGCCGATTGTCATTTTCAACTGGGATGTAATGTACGTACACCCATTTCTGACAAATTCCGACAATTATGGCATACTTGAAACAATGAACTCCGGGGCACGTAAATCGTCTTATAGGCTGCATACTCGGGCTCACGTTTTCTCTCGTAAAATTGCCGTTATGTAAAGACATGAAAGAGGAGTCACATCTTGGGTAAACGGAGTTCAGAATTTCGTGAGAGTCTAAAAATTATGAAAAGTATGAAATTAAATGAACATCAACGTTAACTATTTCTTCCACAACGACGAGATCTTTTGCAATCGCGGCAGCAGATCGAATTCACGTGGTTGCAATGTACAAAAAAAAATCTCTCTTTGCGCTTGGCCTAAATAAACCGCAAACAAATATATTGTCGCGGCGCATAATCCTACTCGCGTTACATACGATATAAGACATGCATCATACGTGGGTCATACACCAAGTTATGCCCACAACCAACCATCACTTTTACTCCTTTCTCTCATTATCCAAGATAAATATTCAGGGGAGCAGGGATTTTTTTTTTCAAACCCTCCGTAAAAACTATGCACTATTATAGCATTTAATGTATGCCGGTAAACCGATTTAATGCGTGTACGTCGAAGCACATTCCTAGGAAAATCACGGCGTGGGTTTTCCATTTTTCTTCGGCCATGAAAGATCGGGTTAAAAAATGTCTCATACAGAAAGTCACCGATGCGGATTGATCGAACCTATTGTACAAGTACCGCAATCGCGCCAACTTCAATTGAACCGTTCCGCACGTCCGTTCGCGCGTGGCTACTTGCTCGTATTACTGCAATTCGAGATAAGTCATGAGCACCTTTCGCAATTCCTCTTTTTACTCCCCGAGACTCCGTACAAGGCAGAGCAGGAAGTGTCCTAGCCCTTGTAAAAAAAAATAATTCCGCCCGATCACGGCCCATTTGCCGCATTAATCCGAGCAATTACCGATCGGTCGAGTCGATTAACTAGTTTCAAGTAACGACCCATTTTCGCGGTGTTTATGCGACATATTAAATTTTCCCGGAAAGATGAAATAAAAAAATAAATATACGCGTGACTTCAAAGTCACGTGGCATTATACAGAGATACAAATAATTGGTCTGTCTCTTCCAGAACACGATGCTCCCCGTAAGGGATGAACAGCTGATATCGAGCTCCAAGTCGGTCGCCCTGCCTTCGGTCGCCTGGTTCTACCTCAGCGCTGAATTCCTCATCGGGGCAGCTCTCTCAGGAATTCTCGCACTCCTCGCCATCATACGAACCGCATTACCGAAACCACCGAGGGAATTGTCCGGCGACGTGGTGCTGGTAAGTCCGGTAATTACTATTTATGGTCCCCAATTATTCAGTGCGCCCTGACGACCTGGCCGGAGCAACTTCATCAGGAAAGAACGCGCAGTCATCTCCGGCCTTGCATTCTTGAAAACGGCTTTCTTCGCCGTACATCATACTTTATCTCCTTAAACAAATGAACAAGTAAGGTTCCATTAATATATTTTACCTAGGTCACGGGTGCGGCAACACCTCTTGGGCGAGCGGTCGCCCTAGAGTTTGCAAGGCACGGATGTTCGATGGTTTGCGTGGACACCGACCTAAACAGGGTGAAGGAGACGACGTCCAGCATCGTCTCGAGGTGCTCGAACGTCGAGGACATCTCGCCGGAGCATCGTCGTCAGGATGTCTCCGTAGCGGAGCGCAAGGTGTACGCTTATCAGTGTAATCTATGGGACAGGCACGATATCTTGCGACTTGCCAAAAAGACCCTCGACGAAGTGGGCCGAATCGACGTGCTCGTCACCTGCGTGGGTCATCCCGGGGAGGACATCCTGGACACAGTCAGCACGACCCTGATGAGCCACTACTGGGTCTGTAAATAATTACTTCGACTTTTGACCGTTCAATGTCTCCTCTTTAACATTTATTTTTTATTCTTGCCTTGCAGACTGTGTTGGCTTTTCTGCCCTCGATGCTGCGAAACGAAAAGGCCCACGTGGTTGGCATAACGCCGGCGAACTCTTCGGCAGATGCTTTCAGGGGGTCCAGGGCAGCTGTGGTAGGTCAGTAAAATCTAAAACCCAACAGAATTTTTTATAAATTAAATCTTGCCGTGAAAACTCGAGAATCTTGTAGGAAGAGTTTATTTATATTTATTTAACTTGATTTTTATTGATCCACAGGGCTGATGGAGAGCCTAGGACACGAGTTGTCCGACCGAAACAGTCACGTAACTTTCATCACGATCGCGCCCAAGATTGAGCCAAGGTAAATATAAACGGCTACTTGTGATAAATATTAGATTGTCTTGAAAGTAACGACCGTTTTATAAATTCAGGCAAAACGACGAGGAAGTTGCCAAGAGTATCATCGACGCTGTGAGAAGAGATCAACGCAGCATCGACCCGAGCTGGACCAGATCTCGCGTCCGATGAGAACGGGATCGTTAAATTGATTTTTCTTTAACGTAATTTATTGAAATTTTATAATTTATCTAATTCTCGACCTCCGAGCATTATTTCATCCCGATTGGAACGCTCATTTTTATTTATACACCCCATGAACGTGCGCAATTTTTTTAACGGAATTATTGCACGCAAGGAAATGCAATGATTCCTACTTTTAACTCGATTTTAATAATAATATAAACAATTCCTGTAATTTAGGCTGCCAGAGAGTCGCATCAACGAACGTACCGAGTTGCGAATGATTTTGTTCTAGATTAAGGCCCGTTTATACATCTCACATTTCCATAACCGTTTCGACTTGACTGGCATTGGAGGAATTAAAAAAGTATGCATAATTTCGGAAATTCGAGGGAATTGAAATTTTTACCCAGCACCCTCTCAAAGTCGCCGTTCGGAGATTCACCGATGATGAACAAATCCCCTTAATCGCAAATTAAGGTACCAGTCGAAATTACTCCGAAGCATGCCAGGCATGGTAACGTTTCATGGATTTGACATAAAAAATTGCGAAGAAGCGATAAACTGGACAATCGTGTCGCGGACTCGATAGCATTGCTGAAGACGCTATGCATACCGTGTTTCTGGTGTTCCTACATTTGCACCCCGATCTTTGAAGACGGTAAGTAGAAAGTACTCCCTAAGAACCTATAATTGCGCTCGATAAATCTGTATATTAAAAAAAAATTGGATGATCATTAGAAGACTACGTGCGCCCTACGTTGTCCAATAATGAGAACGAGTGCGATTCCCGTCCTCCCAAAAATTACTTGGACAGAGGAGACAGCAACGAGGTGCGCAGTCTTCCCAGGACCCAGAAGAGCTCCTCGAGGTCTTCCCAGGAGGTCTCCAGGACCTCGAGCACCCTCGTCGCCATTCGGCACGAAAGACTTCTCCGGAGCCACCCCAGAAGACGCGACCAAAGACGTCTCCCTAAAAGAGGTAAATAAATCCCCCCAGATTCCTAATAAATTTTTATAAATTACCATCCGCACCCTAGCACGAGGTGTAACAAATTTCTAAACGCTTTCCCAAGGTACGGCTCGATTAAGGTGCCCGGAAGGCGCGTTTCGCGTGCATAAGATTTACGGAGACGGGAATTGCATGTTCCGGGCGATCAGCTACATAATATGGGGTGACGAGGACCGACATGGACACTTGCGATCCACGGTACAATTTTGCGGGCCGATCGTTTCTTTTCAAGAGCTCTAGTTACTATCGTTACGGGTTCCTCCTAGTACGGAGTTAATTTAACGAGACCTCGTCTCTTGGAACAGGTGGTTCAACATATCCGCGACAACTGGCGGGAGTACGGTCCCTTCGTGATGGCGGAGTGGAACATAGGAAATCGCCAGGAGTACGTGGACTACATGCAAACCGACGGTGTTTTCGCAAGCGAGCTCGAGTGCACCGTCGCGACGAAGCTCTACAAGATGAATCTCTCGATCTACCGGAAGATCAACGAAAACGGGGACCTCAAACGCGTATTTCACAATCGGGTCAGCGGGAGTTTCGAGACGGCGAGGTTGCTCTTCACCGGGCGTTCCGACAGCGGACACTACGACGTCCTGTTCCCAGATTGAAGCGACTTCAACAACCATATAATTAATCAAATGTCGTCCCCCGTTTCCGAAAAATTCCCGTAAATTCCCCGTGACATCCCTCGACCAGTCTACCTCGTGCATGCCTCGGCAAACCCATGTATTGTCTAATTTCCAGGATGGAAAAAAAAATCACCGCCGTTAAAACGTCCCTCTCCGTCGAATACAACCCAGTTCTCGGGAATCGTCGTTTCTAAGATTATTTATTGTATAAATATATCACCAAATAATAGTATAAAATCAAAAGGACGCTCCTACGTACAGAGAAGCCGAGAGAGAGAGAAATCGGGAGTGGCGGAGGGAGAACTGAGTCCCGGGAGAGAAATAGAGAGCGAAACTTAACTTAGTATTCACTAGCACCTAAGTCGCAGCGCCAGGAAGGTCCTTGGGGATGGACAAACTCCTGCGTCCCAGGAAAAGGAGACAAGACCTATCGCCCTGGCATCTCCCAACGGATTAAAGGATCTCGTCGCGCGGCCCTTCTTAATTCTTTACACGCACAATGTAGTTAAACAAAAAATATATATATGTATGTATATATATCTCTTCAATTTTTAGGAATTATCATAAAATGTTACCTCGGCTCGTATATCACTAGAACAATGGGAAAATCGTAACGCGTCGTATATCTCTCACTCAAGCGGAGCTCCTAGGAGAGGATCATCCTGGATCCAAGAAAGACGGAGAGGAAATCGCGGATACCGAAGAGATTCCTTATCGTCCCGAGGCCGGAGTCCAAACGGCACCGACAAGTGTAATCGTGGCGGTCCGCATCGAAACGCTCTTCGGCACGTCCGCGCGATAACATCCCGCACCTCTTAAAAGTTAATTACGTATACATATATATATATACACTCTGCGTATTGCACATCGTGTCTTAAACCTTCAGCGGTCCCGACCCCGAAGGGGTCGCGAGGCGCGTCTCGGGGACGTCAAAACGATTTTTATACACCTTCCCGACCTCCTCCGCCCAAGAGAGCCAGCGGACAACCTGCAGGAATATGTACAGCGCCTCCCGGTCGCTCGCGCCCGCGCCTTTTTCCTTTTAACCGGCGCCATTAGCGAGGTGCGGAACCGCCGCGGGTCGAACGCCGACGCGACTCGGTCGACGAGGAAATCGGCCTGGAGCGAGCGATCTTACGAGCGATTTCAGCCGAGACTCAGGTCCTAGGCCCCTCTAGGGGACTCAACGACGATCGTTAGCACCGGATAACCGATCGTTACGTCTAATTGCGACCGCCTCTCGCCGAGGCTCGAGAGTCGTCCCTCGTCGCTCCCCGAAAGACTGCGGTCGTTCAACGACCAACGGAACTCCCCGTGGTTGACGGGTCTCGGCCTCCCGGTTACCGATGGGCGGCTCGAAACGACCCTTCCGCGTGGAGAGGGTCGAGCGTCCCGCCAGCGCGACATTCGGCGACTCCTGGATGTTCGTCCTGGACGGATGTTAGTATCGCATCGGTTGCCAGACCCCGGTCGCCTCGTCTCGGCGGTAGTAGCGGGGTCTGTTGTCTCGGAAGACCGTCACCGCCGGGAACTGATTGTCCTGGATGTACTTCAGGGTCGCCCGTATCTGGAAGAGAGAGGATTAGCATCGAGAGGCGAGGGTATCCTGGAAAAGCCGATCCCCGGTGCTCGTCTTATCACCTGGGACACGAAGTGCGGCAGCTCCACGTCCGGCGAGGTGGAGAGATGCTGCAGGATGAACTGATCGGACTGGGCCAGCCACAGGTCGACTCCTCGCAGGGGGTCGTAGTTGAAGGGCCCGATTCTCAGCAGGCCCAGGGTGCAGTCATAGACGTCCAGAACCTGAACCAAGGGGAAGCCATAAAAATATCACCTACCTTCCATTTATTATACACCATTGTACCAATAAACTAATAACAAGCTCCAGATCTCTCCCCACCTGCTGACCTCCCGTGAGCTGCCTGGCCATCCTCAGGGCCTGATCGGGACCCTTATCGGGGAAGGTCGCGGGGAAGATCTCCCCCGTCTTCACGTTGAGACCTATCCCATATATCACCGGCCAGTGGATGCTGCCCCTGACGGTGGTGTTGAGCTCCCCGACGCAGCACAGGGTCAGGTCGATCTCCACTGGCTGCTTGTGAAAGGCGGCTGAAACCAACGACGCCGTTGATCCTCTGCCCTTCTACCGTTACTCCTTCCGCCTAGTTCCAAAGCATCCCCGCCACCTTACCGAGGATATTATAGAACAGTTCCTCCGAGTAGTTTCTGGGGTCTGAATAACCCCCGACGAGCTGCAGCTCCAGTCGTCCCTCCGGGAACCCGAGGGCCAGCTCCGTCACCCTTTGGACCATCGCCGTCGCGGCGTCCTCCGTGCCTGCGCCGTCCAGGTGCGCCAACGCCACCGCGCCCGATCCTAAAATCGAGAAAGAAATCCCGTCGTCCTTCCTATCTTCTCTTATCATTACCTATCCTAATTCTATCGAGACGAGTCCCGAAGGTGGCCGCCGGAGAGAGACCCGCGTCTCGGTATCGCGCGCCTCGCGGAAAGGCGCAGCCGATAAAAAAGAATCCCGGAGACTCTTTCTCGGAGCGGCAGGGCGAGGCGAGGGACGATCTCGAGCGTCACGGCGCTCGATTTAGCGATATTTTCCAGTGGTTTTTGCCCGCGCGATCCGCGTATCGCTCTCCTCCGGGAGATTCCGAGAATGTTTTCTGCGCGCGTTTCCTCCCACCTCGGTCTCGCCGACCCGAGAGGGGTTTCGCAACGGTCGTCCCCTCGCCCCGCGAGGAGCGTTTCTCGTCCTCGTGGACGAAAGACGAAAGAAAGGCCCAGAGGAATCGACATCTCGGCGAGGCCAGGGTGTGCGCGCTCACCGGAGTGCCTGAGGACGACGATGATGCACGTGGTGGTGTCGTCGGCGCCCAGGATGCTGACGTTCTCTGAAAACCGACAAACCCAGATTAAGCCCCAGGAGCAACGTTCAACGAATAATCAACGATAACGTATATCAATACAGGATTTCAAACACCGAAATTCTCGGAATATTTTCTTTTATTAATTCTCCAGATGTATAGGAGGTTAACAGGAAAATTTTCAAAGACAAGGGGAACGAGAGGGTTAATGGGGTCCCGAGGGAAAAGGGGACTTTTCTCGGGGAGGCTCGGCCGGTGCGCACCGGATAACGCGAGGGAAAAGGGAGTAAAAAAAACTGGGAAAGGGGGGAAGGAGGACGAAAGTCGAGCCAAGGGAGAAGAGAGACGTCTCTACTGACTGTCGTGAGGCAGAGTGGCGGCCATCTCTCTCTGTTGTACGTAGAGGAGGCCCACCGGACCCACCAATTTGGCCGGCATCGAGTGTAACTGGGCGGCGCTCTCGCTGTATACCGGGTGGGCCGCGTACAGGGACCGGCTGTCCGAAGGGACCTCCTCCTGCAGGACCCCGTTCACCACCAGCACCATCCTGCTGCAACACACGAGGTCCTCGTTAGCGTCGACTCGCCGAGGACGTCAACCGAAAAGGGAGCGAGGAACACTTTTCGCCTCCACCTCGCCACTCGTGGAATAAAATTTAAACCCCGGTTTGTACGATCGCGTCTTCAAATTATAGAAAATCCTCTGAAGTACTTTTTAAGGTTCCTACCGATTGTCCGTGAAAATCCGATTTTTTAGTTTTATTTATTTTTTTATTTTTTTTTTTTATAGAGATGAAAGGAATAATTTCTTGAGAGATTCCAGGTAACGCTCCGTGCGACCGTACGCGGTGGGCGAGAGTTTCGCCTCTTCGGGGTTTCGGAAACAGGGCCTAGGTGCTTATATATAGACTTCGCGGTAAAGACGGAATAAAGAGAACACTCGGATGGAAATTCGCCGGCAACTCGAGGCGTCGCGGCGCCGACCTCCCTCCCTCCCCGACGTCGCGGCCCGGCGCTCTTCTCTTTCTGCGTGCTATTCGGTGCTCGCTTCCGCGAGTGGATTTATTTTTCGGTAAATAAAAAACCCCGGAGCTCGGGTCCTCGGAGTTCGTCTACGGTCTCGAACTTTGATCGATCCGAGCGCATCCGAGAAAGACCGTCGATAAGATTTATCGCTCCTCCGTTTCCAGCCTCTTTCACAACGGAAAGGAAACGAGCGACGAAGACCATTTCGCCTGGCCGAACGACGTCTCCTCCACTGGGGCCCCGTGGAATATTTCTCTCGACCCGGTGGAATACATCCCGGGGAGTGTTTCCCGAACACGCGACACTCGCGACGATTCCTTAGCCCACGCGTCGCGGGCCCCTTTGTTGCGCGGACAATGAAGTCTTCTCCGGCAGTATCGGATGCATGATCTACGAGGCGTCGCGAGGAGAAAATAGCGTTATCCAGTTTCTTATTTTTTTTGTTTTCTCTCCGAGATGCGCGGCAGACCCGGGGAATCGTCAGGCCCAAATCCGTTAACGGGCCCCATCATCCTCGGCGACGGTCAAGGGACTCACCTCGTGCGCCGAAGTCAACAACCGATGACCGATGGACGGGGGATAAACGCGATAAAAAATGTGAGGAACAAGGAAAAACTAGTGGAACCGAGGAAAAGGGAGGAAAAGGGAGGAAAAACGAGGAGAAAAACGAATCCGCGCGGGCCTTACGGGCCCAAGGAGCTCGCCCGAGCCTCGCCGAGCCGGCGATCGAGAATCGAGGTTAGCCCCCGACTAGAGTCCCGGAGGGTTCATTCGGACGGACGAGGCTGGCTCGTTAACGAATCGCGCTAATTATGGCCGCCTTATCAGCAGGCCCCCCGATTGGCCGAGCGGCCCGGTGGTGGGAGGGGTTAAAATCCAAGCGGGACCAATCGCCGGGCCGGAGCCAATCGGATGGGAACTCGCCCGAGAAAATAACATGTTTGGCTCGGCTTAGGAATCGACGTGCTCGTTTTTCGACGACACGGCCGACGTAGAGGGGCCCGGGGAGGACGCTCTACCGGGTGTCGAGGAAACCCTGCTCCGAAATCGGGCCCGACCGGGGGCGGGAAAATTCGGACTCGAGGTCCTTAAACGTCAGTCGGGATATAGAAGTTTTACTTAAAAAGGGGAGAAAAAAAGAATGGGGAATCTTGGTATTAAAAGTGGAACGCGTCCCCCTATGGTGGGTCCCACCCTTGGGGCCCGTTCCCACGGGAGTGGGAAATTGGCCCCGTAGACGGCGAGATTACAGGTAACGTGTGCCGGCCATTGTCCCCCAGGAAATTACACCGTTGAAAATCCATTGTACCCGGGGTGGAGCGGCGGGGCCTTATGGGGGGCCTTTTCCCTGCACGCGGTGTCGCCAAAGTCGGCGTCCCTCTTTCTCTCTCTTCGGGATCGGGCCCATCGCAACGGACAAGGTCGACCGGTCGGGCAACGGTCCCCGCGGGTCGGGCCCGCGTGCTTTCGATTTTTTCCTCCGGCCGCGGAATTATCGAGATATCGATCGGGGGGAGGGGTTCGATTATTGGAGCACGGCCCCGAGGGGAGGGCGAAGAGCAGGGCCCGGGTCTTCGTGACCGTAATCGGCGAGGGGCCGTACCGATCGAGCCACACGGAAATCCACTTGAAAAGTAGCCATTACCCTTAATTACCGCCCTATGCCGAGTGGTGTTCCGAGCCGATCGAGGATCGTCCTCCCGGGGCCCGTGGGCCCCGAGGAACGCACTCCACGGGCCGGTCCGTTAAATCCCCCAAGTTCCAACATCCGATCTAATAAAATCGAGCGCATGGAACACAGAGAGTCGATGAAAATTGAGGGAGACCCTAAAAAATCATCGCTCCCCCGATGCACCCCAAAATCGGAGGAAGTCCCCAGGACCCCGGGAAATCTCGCGACGGGCCGTCCGGGGAAGAACGGGCCCCGGGTCGCCAGAGATTCGAGGATTTATCGTAACTCGTTACCGGACCCTCGGACGTCTCGACAACCGATACCTCGTAAATTATCGGACGCGTATATTCCGAGCGAGGAGAAACGTCTACCCGGGGTCGAGGAAGTGCGCGCCGGAAACGTGGGCCCGCTCTGGTCCGAATTATCCGGGAATTTCCCCCAAAATCCTGAACGGTTCTCTCTCTAAAAAAAAAAACCCTAGAAAAACAAATAAACCGTGCTTACCCTCGGGGATAAAAAATGCGAGGTAATTAGCGAGCCTTCTCGGGGCCCGACGAGCGGCTCCTCAAAGCCGCAATTTAGCGACGGAGGCATGGATCTCCGATCCACCGGATGGAGCATAAAGTAAGACGTCGGACGAGGAGCCTGCATCGGCCATCTTACGTTGCTACGTTAATAAAAAGAGCCTCCCTTTCCCGATAGATCCTCCCCGCGTTCATTTCCGACCTAACCTAACCGTGCGCGCGCAGCCGATTTACGCGTCGCGCGTAAAACATCCGCATGCCGCATCTCTCTGTCTCCCTCTCCGCGGCGTAATTGCAGGCTCGTGGCCGGGGTTATTTATTTAACCGCGCAAGGAGCGTTGCCATTATCGAGCGGCTTTCCGCGAATCGCCGGCGCGTCGACGGATCCAGGAGTTCGGGCTTCCGCGGCGGTTATCGGCGACCGGACCCCGTTGAAATTAGCATAGGAACCCATCCCCGGCGCCGCAGCCCCCGAGAGACGTCCTTAATCGTTAATTAGCCCTGATTAATTAGACGGGGGTAATTACGGAGCGACACGCCGGGCGCATCCGACGCGACGAGGGGGCGCCGCCATTTTGGTACCGGATTTCGGCGCGAACTGGAGAACGATTAACGCCGCGAAAATGATAAACGCTTCGCGAAGTACCTTATAGACGGGTCGAGGATGGTCCCCGAGGGTTTTCTCTCGGTTTAGGAGACCGGACCCGAGGCGGGGAGTTTCGAGTTTGATCGTAAGCACGTTACGAGAAAAGCGCGAAAGATGGGCGCGACCCCGGGGTCGCGGGGACTCTTCGTCAACGTCTCCGCCGACGGCGGGTCTCGTGCAACCCTGTTAGGGCCCCCGGACAGCCCTCGTGGAAGGTAAGACACCGGTAAGGGGGATAACGAAGCCGTCCTTCTCCGAGGGCCGCTTATTGCGCGTCATAAATCGGATCCGATTGGCCGATAAACCCGGGAGTAACACGCCTCGATCGGGGCATCCTCGCGAGCGAGGTGCGCATTTTTCTTCCCCTTCGCCTTCCCTCCATCTCGACCCTTCTTCGAAAAAAGGAGACGGCGGAAATATACGATTTATAGCGGGGACTCGTATCCGGCGGGCGTCGCAACTCGTGTCCCCTGGAAATTCCCGAGGCATTAATTATTAATAAATAATTAGGAAGGTCGAGACTCGAGAGGCGAAAACAAAACGCCGAAAAGCCGGGTCCGGAGACGCCGCGAGAGATATACCCCGAATCAATGATTTCTCCACCGGCTTAAGAGCGGGGCCCGATAACGCGGCGTGATAAGGACCGACGCGTGAATTACGACCGGCCGATAAGCGGATTCCTCGCGCTAAATTCCCCCCCGAAGGGGGTCATCTCCGCATCCCGAAAGCTCCGGAATAAGGCATCCGCTCGAAAATCATCGCCGGTTAAAAATCTACGCTCACCTGTTTTCTTATCACGGTACCGATATCACCCTCTCGGACACGTTCCGGCCGCCATCTTCGGGACGCACGTCCTTCCTCGGTCGGTCCTCTCTCTCCTCCTCCCTTAATCACCCCCTGAAACGAGAAACCAAGTAAAGAAACACCCTCGACCTTATCACTCGTTATCGCCCTCCCCTGATTTTCCGATTTCCCTCGGAAAGGAGAGGTCGCGATAAAATCGTTTCTACCGTTCGAAGAGGGTCGAACTCGCCCGGATATCTTTTCGAAGAACTTCCCCAGGAGGTGAGTTTTCTCGAAAGAGGCCGGTGGAACCCTCGCGCGAGCTTTCTCGCCCTCCCCGCGGCACTCGGGTGCTCTTATGCAAATCGGCCGCGACACATGCGGAGGCATTTGCATACAGTGGCCGTCGGGCCACCGGAGTCCCCTGAATATTTATGGGGGCCACGGTTTCCTGCTATTGTTTTCTACGCGCCGATCTTTTTCCCGGTCCGAGGGCCGCGGCCGCGTCATCGTGGGAATCGATTTTTCCGGGGGGATTTCGACGCCAAGGGGAGAGAGAGAGAGAGGTCGTCGGGCCCCTTACGGAGTCATTATACCCCCCTTTCGGGGCCCCGGAGGAAGATACGTCCCGGATAAAGCGTCGGGTCCGAAGAAATCTGGACGCCGAGATAAGCCGATAAGGCCGGGAAAGGGACGGCAGACGTCGAGGATGGAAAAAAAAAAGAAAAAGCATCGATAAGCCGCAGCGTCGGGCGAGCTCGACGGGGAGGACACGATCCGAGAGATCGATAGGGAAAATCGAAGGCTCGATCGCGTCCGTAAAGCCAGGCCGACCGCTTCGCCGGTAAATAGAATATGTAAGGGAAAACTTAGTGCTCCTCCTCGTGGAAGATTTTTCTTTTCCCCGGCTCAGGGTCCCGGCAGTGGCCACAATTAATTCCTGGGAGTGTCCCGAGGATAGTACTCGAGTAGAGATTTTTTTTCCGGCAGATAGGAGCGGTCCACGGCGGTAAGGAAAATCCAAGAACTCGGAAGCGTTATCAGGCCGCGCTCCGGGGACGTCCACCGCGCTCCGTGACTCCGGCCCCCTAGGATCCCCGGTCGGGATCGATTCCTCGATTCTTGGGACTGGGGCGATCCCACGAGAGCGGTGGCTTCTCTAGCGGCGAGGTGCCGGGGCCCTCGAAGCACGCGCGGGTGCAGGTCCGAGCGGATAATTGTGCTCGCGGTGCTCGGTGCACACACACGCCGGTCCGCATTCCACGAGTGGAACAACCGGTACACGCTCCAGTGGTTCTCAGGTCCTGGGCCGAGTACGAGGGCCGTCGTTCCTTGCTCCACATCCCCCCGACCCCCCTGGTCCCCCGAACCGCATCCACTTTCCAGGGATCCAGGTTACCGCACCCTGAGCACGGACCTCCGATCAGGCACCCACAATGCGAACCGCCCCGGAGGTGGAGGCTCCCGCGACGAGGAGGTCGGGTAAAAAGAGGGATCCAGGAATCGTCGAGGGTCTCGATCCTTTCGCAAGGGAGAAGAGTAGAGGAAGAGAGAGAAACGGTGATAAGGACCGCTCGATAAGCGTCGCTCGCGTGCCATATCGTGGGTACATCGGGTGCGTGCGCGGGCGTTAAGCGCGTAATTCCACGGGGAGGTCGGCACCACCACCGCGGCACGTTCGCGGAATCCCTTCCGTAATTACGCGTGATTATACGCGTGTTGAGCGGGTAATGGCGCATAAACGGCGCGTCCACCGGACATTTCGCCCGTGGTAAATGTTTAATAAATCCCTCATTAACTCGACCTCGTGTTTACCGGCGGGGGGGTGAGATCGAGGCGGGCGGAAAGGGGAGTCCGGACGCGTAGGGAAAAATCCTGCATTTTTTTATCCGCCCTCTGGACCAGAGGGGAGTCCGCCACCGCAAGGTTTACCGTTCCCGCGGCTGCATCCGCGGTTGCATCCGCGGCAGCATCCACGAGAGCACCCTCGCGTCCACGTAACCCTCGGCCGAGATATATCCGAGGTGCCTCCTCCTCTCCAGCATCTCGGCGTTTCTCTCGCATCCCGGGATCTCTCTCTCTCTCTTCCTCTCGCGGGATCTCCTCCTCGAGCCCTCCGCTTCTGCGGCCAACCGGATTATGTATTCCGCGCCGTTCCGCCTGGCACCTTCAGCCCCGTAAGGTGCTAAATCCCGTGAAGTTGCCCCTCGCGAGGGATATCCCGGAGGAGCGGTCCTCCCAGGACGGATTTCGAGGACGCGGAAGGAGGCAGCACCGAGTCACGGGAAGAGGGACTTCTCGTAAAATCCGACTCCAGGGTTCCCGGTCTCGGACTCGCGTGTCAAGACCGGGGCCACGAGAGAGGCCGATACATCTCGCTCGTCCCCAGGGGCAAGGACCTCTCGATCCTCGCGGATGATCCTCGGCTCCGCCTCGAATCCGTGGGAAAGCTCGCGATTATCGGGCCGGAGGGGGGAATCGCATCTCGGCCCCGGGTATAGGCCTCTCGATCCTCTCCGTGAAAGTGTAGCATTTGCATAGCTATGCTGGACGCGAGTGCCCGGGCACGAGGGCGAGCGCGAGGATCGCGGCCGCGGAAATTCTGCGCGGCGATTCCGGCGCGGAAAAAAATTTCCGCGCCGGAGAAAGGGAGACACGAGAGAAGAATCTCGCCGGTGAGCGATGATCGCGAATCGCCGAGAAAAACCGGGGAAAAAAAAAAGAAGAAAATTGCAGCCCCTCCCTCGGAGCTGTCATTGATCAGCTGATCGCCGGAGAGGAACGACGGAACACGTGGAAAGACATTTGGTAATGGATTCGATAAGCGAGCGGAATTATTTTTTTCCACAGGGGGGGGTATCGCACGATTTTCCAAAATTCCGGGTGGAGGGAGACTTTACCCCCGGAGGTCGATCGAGACGTCGGAAAAGTATCGGGAGAGGTGCGCCGACCTCTGTCGTCGGTCGACCCCTGGGCGATAGCGCTCCCGATAAGGAGCCCCGACAAAGTTGGCGCATCTCGCGAGAGCCCTCGCGGATTACGCCTCTCTCGCAAGGAGTTGCGAGCCGAACGAGACAACGGCGTAGAAATGCCTGGCAACGCCGATCGACCCGGGCACTTATATCCACCGCCGACAGGGGAGTGATAAGCAGGAACGACGGAAAAAATGCGTAGCAACCGACATCCCGACTGGCGTTAACCTCCCCCCAGGTGAACTCGACTCGACGAAGGGTAACAACTTCTGCGCGATCGAGGCCCTCTAAAAACCATAAACGGGAAAAATATTTCCCCCGATAAACCATAAATAGAATTTAAGGCGACGCGAAGACGGTCCTCCGCGATGTCCGGTTTATGAGACCTTTCGGGTGAATTAATGCGAGGAGCAGTTTGAAATTTAATTACAGAGCGATGGGACCATAGCGCCGTGGTGTTACCACGTTACCGTGGTACCTTAGGACTATGGTACTACCATGTTACCATGGTAGTACCGTGCAGTCGTAAGACGGTGCGGCAGTTCGGCGCTCTCAGGCTGCACGTAGCAGAGGCGGTACGAGATGAGGCCCCAGGCGCGGTCAGATTAATGAAACTCATGCCAGTCAGGGTCTCTCAACCCGGGTGTCTCTCCCCAGGTCCTCTCCCAGAATCCCTGGGAACGGAAATACAGGACCACCGTCGAATCCCGATTGCCCTCCGAACAGTTGCATCCCCGATAAGAGTAAGACGCGCGTCGCCACGTGGACCTCGACGCTCGGCGATAATTCATTTTTTTTATCCCCCGAAATTCAAAGATCGATCATTCTCGTTAGTCCTATAAAAGGACCGATCTGACCCCCTCTCGAGTTCCCAGGTTAGGCCCGACGAGACGATTACCTCCGTTTCCTCCCTAGGGAAGTGATAACAGGTGACTCGCGACGGCTGCGAGCTCGCCGTTAATTTCAGCCACGCCGAGATCCGCGATCCCCGGTTAATTACCCTGCCGACGATGCTAATCCGCGAACCGATGGCTATCGCCCTCAAAGCCCCTCTCGTGTACCCCCGTCCCCCTTTTCCGCCCCAAGGGGCCCCATGAGGCCCTCTCAGCACCCCGTGGCGCCGCGCAAGGAATTAAACCTCTTATCGAGATATACCCCCTTCCCGGTTTCCAGGGAAATAAAACCGGGACAATCATCATTTCTTCCCCGGGCTCCGAAATTCATCCACGCGCCAAGCATTAAGACCCCGCGATTCCGCCCGATAATAGGACCTTCCCCCATAACTCGCCGAATTAATCGACCCGGTGCACGAATGGACCTCCATACCCCCCCAAAAAAAATTCAAATCCAATATACAGCGACTGGTTATCCCGGGTGATCGATTTACGGCGTCCTCCTCTGGAGTTACCGAAACCTCGCCGGCGTTATCGGTCCGATTTAAATCAGAGATCGGCCCGACAGTCCCGATAAGCCCGAGAGCCGCCGAACAGAGGACCCCTTCATCCGGGTGCCCTAAAATAACGACTTCCCGGGGGAAGCGGGAGGAGATAAAAAAAAAGAGAGAATAATCTCGAGGCGACCAAAAACGAGGAATTTTTCGGAGCGATCAAACTCGGGGTATCTTGATTTTTTATCTTTCCCTCTTGCGGCCTTTTCTCGTCTGATTCTATAATATTCTAATAAAGCACGTCGAGAAGACGAGCGAGGAGGACGCCGTTCGCCGGGGTGCCGGCGTTGGTTCCGCGGCGTTTCTCCCGCTAGTCGGTACACGAGATGCACTCTCGGCGACCGAGAGAGACTTCCTGCGACCCGCGATCCTTCCTCCCGGTGTATGACCCGTGTACCTCTAGAGATGCCCTAGGTACTCCTAAGAGAGCATCCCAGCATCCCGCTCGACGAAGAGCGTCGCCTTGAAGCCCGGCAAAAACGGGAAGCGATTACGCACGCGGCCGAGACAAGGCGCGTTTATACCGCACGCGAGCGAATACCGCGCCGATCGCTTCCTCGAGGTGCATCGAGACAGAAAGAACGGGGAAACGCGTACATGTAGCATATTAATTGGTACTATGCATAGAAGTAAACAAAAAAAAAAATATATATATATGCGCGTATTATTTTTTTTCTTCGTTTACAGTGGACTCTCGATTACCCGGAGCAACGACCCAGGATAAATACCCGGGTGATAGGAAATCGCAAATAATGTATATAATGATCGAATTATGTGTATAGTAAACTTAAATGTATACAATGACCCCTTTGTGTCGCTTTAAGCCTGCCACACCTGAAAGCGTTAATTTCAGAGGTGGTTGACTCGATGAGGGGTCCGACAGTGACAGCGTGTAACTGCCGCGCTTTGTCAATGGGAGGATCAGGGTATCGAAAGTGAGAGAAGGGATCGTAAGTACCTGTTATAAGTGGTCCTCGCAGGTGGTGGAGGCTCCTCGACGCCGATCCCCCCCGGGACCACGCGGCGCGGCCGAGGGGTCGAACCTGTCCGCGGAGCGCAGGGAAACGCGCGGTTACGCAACGCGCAACTGGTGGCACGCACGAGCCGAGCGGCCGTGCGTCGCGGAGTACTCGAGTCCAGGGAAGCGTTTATAGGTTAGGTACGAACCGAGTCGGAGCGCGACCTCGACGGGACGTGCGGGTGCCGCGACGACCGGGACGCGGCCACGAACGACCGAACCTCTCCGACCTCGCGGTCCCAACGCGTCCCTTCGCGAGCCTGACGAGTCTGGAGGCGTACGACTGGACGACGCTGGACGACGCGCACTCGCGACTCGTAGTACTCACCACTGACGGGCGCCGACAGTCACTGAGCCGGCCGCGTCGCGCCGCCACTGCCCGAGGTTCGGTCGACACCGAGGGCGGCGCTCGCGATGCCAAGATGGCGGCCTTCCTCAGCTCGAGCTGGAACAATTAGAACGTTACCTTATACTCGTTGCAATAGGTATTACCGGGTATGCCGGACGTTTCCAGGATTTCAGGAGATCTCCAGAGGAATCGCTGACGTAAAGTGCGGCTCTCCTCGTGGGAAGCAACTCGGTATTGTTAGAAAATTCTTGAGAATTATAGTTCGAATTACCGAGAGAGCGTTGGCGACCGTGGCGTCATCTGGCAGCGGCAGACGGAACCTCGTACCCAACTCGCCGGTCGATCACCGGAGGGATACCTGCTTTGCCTCTGGTGGGTCGCGGTAGCGCAACGGTGGCGTCGTCTAGCGGCGCGACTCGGCGGGCTAGCGTAACTAAGATGGCGACCGGAGGGTAGGGCCGGGCTAGGCGCTCCGCAAGGAAGGTGGTTTCCTCACCGCGGCACGTCCAGGAAATTCCGGTAAGCGAGAGAACGTCGACGCGCTGGCGCTCGCCGCCCAGTCCGGAAAGTCCGACGACCGAGCGGTCGTCGCGACAGGTCGCGGCTCGCTCCTGGTCGACCTCGTCGCCTCGATCGGGGCGCGCGCTCGGGTCGGTCGGAAAGTTCGATGCGTGCGGCGCGGTGATGCACGCGTGTGCGCTGCTCCTCTTTCCCGTTCCGATATTTTTTTTTTCTCATCAATTGCAGCGCCGATGGCTCGCCCGGCCTGCGAGCCCCTGGAAGCGGACCGAACGAGCGTCGCAGCTCGCCGACGCTTTATTTTAATCCCCGGCCCACCGCGGCCTTCCGATCACAATTTTTCATCCTCCATTTTCACCGACAAATCCCACGTATGACGTTTTTTTTTTTCCACTATAATCCCATTGAAATGTAATATCGTTAACTGGGTATATTTAGAACGAGAGACTCTCTGGTGGCGGGCGCCTCTTGTGTTTCCGTTCTTTTTCGATTCTTCCGTCTCCGTCGCCTTCTCATAATCCTTCCGGTCTTTACAGAGGTCCCGCGCGTCTCTCACTCGCATGGACGCCGACCGATACTTAGCCGTTCCCTCATCGACGACCGATTTCGGATCTCCCTCGCATGCGAACCAGCACGTAGGTGTTCCGGTGGACCGAGAATTGGCTTTGGTATTTTTAATCCACTCCCCCGTTGGTAACCGATCTCAAACCCGACTTGCACGCCACGCGCACGTTAGCGCTCCGTGGGTATAAAATTTGCTTTAGGGTTTCTAATGAATCTCGTTATCGCTAACCGATTTTTAATCTCCCTCGCGACGCGCCCGTAGACGTACTCTTGGACATGGAACTGGCTTTGGCATCTCTACTCGTTCTCTTTCAGGTGGTGGCGGTCTCCCTCTTCCACTCTACTAACCAGGCGCCGGCGTGCTAACCGTAGTTAAGCGTCTCCCGAGGAGTCATCCCGGCGTAAGAGCGAAAACCAAAAATAAATCCCAGAAACAAACGAGCCTGGACCCTCAGCCTCGTCCACTAACCTCGAACCCGGAGCCGCGTCGAGAGTATCTCGCAGAGCCCGAAGGGAGCAAGAAATACCCGCGGCGAGACCGAAGCACTGCGGTACATCCACTCACGATAACAGAGGCTCTACACCAAAGAAACCAAAGCAAACCCACCATCGGGTGACATCGTCTCCGGGAGCATCCGACTCGAAGACCTCCGCAAAGAGTGAAAACCAAAGCTTAGGTTAGTAAAGCGAAATTAAACCGCAGGATATATATTCGCATACCGCGTGGAGAATTTCTATATCCGTATATCTATATCTCCGTGTATATGGACGTGCACTGGTAGCCATAATTAGCGATAAGTAGAAGGGTCATCGCGAGCGCCGCGCACAGCGGGCGACATCGATGCCCGCCGACGTCGCGACGTCGCGGCGCTCCTCGAGGGGCCTCGTCGGGCGAGGTCCCTCGCGATCGATCGCCGGGGACCTCGGCGGCGTCGGTCTGGGTCGAGCGGTGACATCGACGCCGGGGAGCGGCGTCGGTCTGGCGGTGGGTCGCGGCGCCCCCGAGAAGGCGCCTCTCCCGCGGTAATCCTCGATTAGGGGGAGAGCGACCGGCGGGGTCAGAGTTCATCCTCGGCGGTCACCGTCGCGGGGGGAGGGAGAGGCGCCCCGGCCGGCGTCGCGTATCGACCGCGAATCGCGCATGCGTCGGGAAAGCGCGCAATCGCGCGAACTACGGGGTCGCGAGGACGGAGGCGAGGCGCGACGCCGACGTCGGTCAGTCGTTGGACGGCGGCGGCGGGTCCTGCGTCCGGCCAGACGCCGCGGCGCCGACCCGGCCACCCGGTGACTGCAACGCCCGCGCAGGAGAGGAGCCCCTGGTCGAGTCCCGGGCCGGCGAGGACCCTGGGAGCACCGCGACGCGGGAGAGGGAAGGAGAGGAGACGAGGAAACGGTCCTAAGGAGCGAGGTCGACTCTCGAGTCCGTATCTCCGCGATAAGGGGCGGCCGGCCGATAAGCGCGCCGCTCCGGTGTTTGCCGAGCCGAGGCGAGCGGCGGGAGGGGGGGAGATAAAACGCGGCCAACGCCGGGGACTCCGAGTCGATCCGGATCGATCCTCGGCGACGAGGATGGAAAAGGGGACCGGCGCGCCCGGGCGTCGAACTCTCCGAGGGTGGAGGGAGGAAGAGAGACTCGGTGGGGTGGTTTTCAATCGTACGAAGGGAGACCGTGAAGGGAGTTCCTAGTGAGGAGGGAGAGGAAGAGGGAAGAGGATCGAAGAAGAGGAATGACCAACACCCAGCAGACGATCCCTGGCCAGGCCTCCGCTGCCGAGCAGCCCAGGGAGGAGATGCGCTTCACGGAGCTCCTGCCGGTGGAGAAGTCCAGGATAGAGGAGACCGTCGATGGGAAGGACGCCGACGCCACCGATGCTCTCAAGGCGCTCAGGAGCTTCTCCAGGAGCCTCGTCGGCGAGTACGCCGCGCAGATGCTCGACTTCGCGCCGAGTACCGACGCGGTGGACTTCGCGGTCGAGGACCCACCCAGGGTCGTGGTGGAGAAGAAGTCCGGGGATTCCGGAAAGGCGGTGCCGAGAAAGCGGAGAGGCAACAAGCAAGGTGGAGAGGACGGAGGAAGGGAGAAGAAGCCGGGGAGGAAGCGGCAGCGCCAGAGAGTGGACGAGCACGTGGAACACGTGGACGAGAGCAGGGAAATCTACGAATTTCGGCAAGAGGTCTGTTCTAGGGTGGAGGAGACCGAGGGCGAGTCCGTGGATCCCATCCTCGTCCCCAGCACGGCGTTCGACGAGGAGATCGTCCTTGCCACCCCGGAGGCCCCCACCTGCGAGGAAAGCCTTCGCAGGAGGATCAACGCCATCATCAGGGCGAACTACGTCTTCGAGCGGGAGAACAACAACGTCGCGCATGGGGACGACGACGGAGACACCCTGGGCGCCCCGACGACGGGACAGCTCGAGCTTAATCCAGAGCAGGTGAAGAAGTACAGGTGCGTCGCCTGCAGTGCTAGGTTCAAGGGGAGCGGCGGTTTGCGGAACCACTACAAGGTGGTCCACGCAACCGGGCCCATCTTCACGTGCAATGAGTGCGGCAAGGGATTCCCCCTGAAGGAGAGGCTGAAGCTCCATGTGAGGACGCACACCGGGTTCAAGCCGTACAAGTGCCCGGAGTGCGACAAGAGCTTCGCGCGCGGCGGTCAACTGGTGCAACATCGCAGAACCCACAGCCAGGTCAAACCCTACCGCTGCGCTCTCTGCTCGGGGACCTTCACCTGCGCCGCCAACCTGGCGCTTCATGTGAAGCGACACAACGGCCAGAAGGACCACAAGTGCGAGATCTGCGGCCGCGGGTTCGTCCGGCGGGACGCCTTGAAAAAGCACCTGGAGTGCCTCCACCGGGACGTCAAGTCCTTCCTGTGCGTCATCTGCAACAAGACGTTCAAGGGTCACCTGCCCCAACATATGCGCACTCACGCCCAGGACCGACCTCACGGGTGCGCGACCTGCGGTCAGCGCTTCGCCCAGAAGTCCCAGCTGACCGTCCACCTGAGGACCCACTCCGGACAGCGGCCTTTCCGCTGCCTAGTCTGCTGGCAGGCCTTCGCCCACTCCACCGCCCTGAAACTCCACACCAGGAGGCACACCGGAGAACGGCCCTTCAAGTGCGCCGAGTGCAACGCCGGGTTCACTCAGCTCCCCCACTGGAAGAAGCACATGAAGTGCATCCACGGGAGAAGCGAGCCCTACCGGTGCTCCCGCTGCGGAAGCTTCTTCAGGATCAAGAACGACCTGGAGGCTCACGAGAAGGACTGCATGCCCGGTGTCTCCGACGACGCCCTCACCCAACCCATCTGCGCTCTTCAAGGGGTCACGACAATCTCCGCCGCGATGCTTCCTCGCTACCGGGTCATGACCGTCGAGAAGATGAGGCTGTTGCTCGCCGTGCTTCTAAAACGGATCTCCAAACCCCGCAGGCTGGACGAACTGGGCTTCGGAAAGCGGCTCATCGACGAGGTCCTCGTCGACTCCCTCATCGCAGCGGGCAAGGACCCCGCCAAATCGGAAGGCCTGGGGGAACTAGATGTCCTCAGGAGGAACCTGGAAACCTTCCTCGAGTGGACCGTACCTAGAGAGCACTGGGAGAATTTTCGCAGGATGGGCAAGACGCCGGAAGACATCCTGGAGACCCTCACCGCGATTTAGGACCCTGAGAGCCTAATTTCGGCTCGGAGACGAGAACCCTGGAGATCTTGGGGTCCTTCTCGAGATGCCCTTCGTCCTGTGGGGAATGTTAGGGCCTGAAGAGGACACCAAAGACCCTGAAGATCCTTGTGGTAACTTCGAGTTATGCCTCGGAGGAGCCGCGGGTCCTTGCCATAGTCCTTACCGAGGAAGCCGAGACGCTCTTTGACCCTCCTCGAGGACGCCACGGGTTTCGAGGGAACTCTGAACTCCTTTGATGATTTTCCCAGCACCCGAAGGGGTCCAGTTTCATTTTTCGGGCTCCGGGTTCCCTCGTCACTAAAACACTTGCCATACTCTCACTCGCGTTTCGCGCCCCAATGCGAGGACCTAGGTTAGGACTCCTTTATTACGTTTAGTTGTACCTCCGGGTCGCTTAACTGAAATGAAACGCGAAAGAAGAGTTAAGTTTATTTATGTTCCTGCTAGGCTGAGAAAGATTCTAACGTTGTTACGGTTTTACCCATGTAGAATGTAGAGGAGTCGCCGCTGAACGTTACGTTTTTACGTGGTCGTGATTATATCGTTTACGCGTAGTATATGCATACACCCGCATTACACATTATATCTATATACAACGCACGAGAATACGCATATATCGGTATATATATGAGAAGTATATGAGATTCGATTATGTGTTCAAAGGCGACGCACGCGAGTCCACCCTACTAGATAGATAGGTGTAAGTCAATGTGACCAGACAATAATGCGAATTCGCAAGATCGGCTATTGTATATTAGCATTTAGCGGAAAACCGACGCGCTAGTAGGTTGCGGGTCATTTTGGATCTCCGTTTCCAAATCAAATTGATGCACCACCTATTATCGAATTCTTCGATCCACGAAGAACCTCTCCAGGATCCGATCGCCACATTACCCCGAGATTAATTATCCACGTGGTCCGGAAAAAAAAAAAAAATCTAAAGGGTTCCCTCGAGGATCCTCGTCGATCGGGAAATAAAAAAAGGAAATGAGAAAAGGTGCTCAAGGAGCGACCTTCGACTCGTCGGTCTCTCGGCATTACTCGGTGCTTCGTGTGGTTTTACTTTTTTTTATTCCGTTTCCCCTTTATCTTTAATTTGCCCGTTACAGGAGGATTGAATGGTTCTACTTGTTTCTAGGGTGGAGGGATTTTCCCGAAGCTCTTATCCAAATCGGAAACTTAACAAGCCCAAAGATTTAGTTAACTATTTCGTTGCCAAAAGGGTCGGTTCACGACCCGCGTCGTTTTAGGTTTATCCCGTTTAACGGAGACTTTGCGTTCGTTGGAGGAGAAATGAAAAATATATATATAGATACATAGATATATACATACATTATATATTATATATGGAGAGAGAGACAATTAGGAAAGCGTGTAGAGAAATGCGCGGCAAGGGAGGCACGTATGCATTAATGCATAGACCGACGTCGAGCCCGGAGGCACTTTATCGTTTTCAAATTTATTCCGGAGATCGGATCGGCGGTTTGCTTCACTTCTAATGCAAATCGGTGTCGCCGGCACTGAATAAAGATCGAGGCCAGCCGATCTGACCTTCCGAAGGCTCGGGTCGACGGTTTTGCGCCTTTGTCGACACGATGTGACGGTGCCAAAGCGATGCCGGACTCGCGGAAAAGGAAATTAAACGGCCACCGAAAGACCGCGATGATAGACCGCTTTAGGTTCTCTAGGTTCTATTGTGTTATGCCAATTTTCAGAGCTTTATGTTTACCAGAGACGAGGGGGATTTTTTAGTGCCCTGTTCCGTTCGAGTTTCCCCAGGAAAATGGGGAAAAGGCGGAAGGATGACTCCTGGCCGAAAATCCTAAACGAGGACGGACCGGGGCAGACTGTTTAAGTTTAGTGCCATAAATTCTGTTGTTACTGCTGATGTATCGTACGATCAGTGATTCGAATAAACGTTGCCTCTTTTAGATTCAATGAGGGCGAGTCATTGGACGATGGAACTTGGGCTGACTTCTAAGTCATTGTTTTAAGCAAGACGGTGCACGACTTCGCGTTGACTCGACTGACTGTAGATGATCGAGGAGAAATGATTAATCCGCTTCTTTTTTTTTTTCCTTTTAAAATTTTCGGTACGTTCCTATGGAAAAATTTAATGTGCAATCGGAGATGGATTAGCCGATCGTTAACTCGTTTGGTTTCTTAAGCGTCGTTGATTTTCCTAGGTAGTTGAAGGTTTAACTAATCGTAGAGGAGGATGAATCGAATGTGATCGATAATAATTAGGTGTAAGACGACTTACAATCTTGTCATTATAAGACGCTAAATCAAAGTGTCCGAGTATCGAGACGTACTGTGTGTATCGACGTTGTTTGTATCAAAAGCGCCTGTGGTATAAAAAAAAATACATTTGCACCTACATATATGTATGTACGCACGATAAAAATATTCCGACTCTATCACCGTGACATCGGGTTCCTTCAGAAAGTATTTCATGAATTTTTGATAATGATATTTTACTTACAAATAGTAACCACAAGCTTAGATGTATTAAAAATATTTTCATAGCATTGGATATCATATATATATATATACGTTATAAATGAAAGGAATATTTAACCAGTCTAATACGCGACATACTTTGGGCGTGTATATCACGGCAGAGTTTATAATATCACGATTTAATCCAGTCTTTTGTGATTAATTGAAGCCACTGGTATTTCTTACCACTTGCGATATTCCATCGTTGAAAGTGCATGATAACCAGCGACAAAACATTCATCGTAAAGCACGTTTATTGGTCCTGCCAGGACATGACGAAGTATTGCTTGAGATCCACCGAGAGATTTTTTACCCTCAGGAACTATAAAGGAAAAAAGAATTATTAAGATATATTTTACATCTAATTAATTCCTAAACGTAACTCGATTATCGATCTTTAATCTCACCGATACATCGGAGTTGTAATCGAATTCTGCAGTATTGTTGTTCAGGAGCACGGTTTTTACGGGATTCTTCACCCCGAAGATCTCTATTGTATCCAGAATCATGATCTCGTCAAAGGAACCTTTTTTCATGTCCACATTGGAGAGCATCTGATTCTGGACCGTGAAGAATATCCATTGATACAGTCCATACTCCACCGTGTCTGTTGACGATATAATAAATGTGAAAATCTGGCCCGAATATTTTTTTACGATTTATGTTTTTCCCTGCGTACCCAAACTGTCACCGTCGTCCCAGTACAACTCCCCTTTGGCCATTCCAGACTCGTCAAGAGCTACTATCAGTTGAAATTTGTTTCTTCTACTAGCTGTGGTTGTGAGGCCAGGTTCTTGAGCTGGTAAAATTGATCCTCCACGGATGAACAGAGGTATCGTATCAACAGGTGCTCCGATAGTAAAATATTCCCCAATAGAGGGCTGCGACATTTTAGTATGGAAATCGTACCAAATACCACGAGGAAGATAGGCTCGTACTGCTAGTGCGCCCTGCACGATTCAATTGATAATACGATTATTCTCTAATATTTCATGTCAACGAGATTTAGGTCTGGGAAGAAATCAACATGTACCTCATCAAGTACAGGAACGATCATCAGACCGCTTCCCCATAAAAACTGCGAATCAATGTCGTACGTAGTGGTATCATTGGTGAATCTAAAAGAAAATGTTTAATTGTCGATTAATTGCTGATAGTAACCGCAGCATTTAATTTTCCTGTAGCTGAGAAGCTTGCAATACTCACTCGAAAAATAGGGGGCGAGCCACGGTCTCTCCAAACCGATGGGCACGGTAAAAAAGTGTATAGAGATAAGGCAACAGCCGATAGCGAATCGACAAAGCTTTCTTCGTGGAGTTAACCACCAACTCACCCATGGCCACAGGATCTTGTTCCTGGACAAAGCGATATTAAAAGAAAATTATCGCCTGATTATCTGTGGCGATAAATGGACATTTAGTCATGTCGCACTTACTATCGCGTCATCCGTGTTGTGATTACGCATGAATGGATAGAATGCACCAAGCTGCATCCAACGGTTGCACAAAGCTTCCGTCGTATTGCCATTAAATCCACAAATGTCCGCCCCTACCAGAGGGATTTGGAAAAGGCTGTAGGATAAGATGTCCGGGATGCTCATTCGCATGTCATGCCTGGAAAGGTATTGCCGTGAATTCATTAGAACGACTGCACCGACATTAACGACGTTAAAATGCATCGCATACCATAAAGAGGTATCGTCTCCCGTCCAATGTCCACTATAAAATCCCTGACCTTCCCACGTCGATCGAGAAATAATGAAAGGCCTCTTTCCTCTGATTTTCTTAAGTGCTCTAAGAAATAAGTCACGTTTGGTACCGTTAATGATATCTATTATTAATTAGATATTTGGAAACGAGCAACGGGTACATGACATACCGATTAGAAGCGACCGCCTGACTTATACCGTATGTGTTGTGGAGATTATAATGCGGCCCCAAATAATGTTGAGCATTCATGCATATGGTTTTCGTCGCCAGATAATTGTCCAAAATATGAGGAATGTACGGAGGGTAGTCCAAGTCGTTGTGGGAACATCCATTTTCTTTGCCGTTGTAAAAATTGGACGGGTCGTTCATGTCCTGCATTGTTAAGAGTAATCAAAGATGGAGGTATGAAACGTCAGGTTAATTTCAATCCATGGAGAAATATTCTTCCCGGATAGAAATACTTACGATCCATATTCCATCGAAGGCGAACTTATCGTGCAAGTCGCTCATCATCTTGAGGTAATAGTCCGGCGTTTTTGGATTCGTAAAATCAGGCCATACCGTTAAACCTAAATTCCAAACCTTCCCGAAAATCGGTTCGTTTGAAGTACCATCCTTGATGAGTAGACCTTCTTTATATGCCTCGTCATAAGGTGGATATGTACCTTCTTTCTCCGATGCACCTATTCCGGCGTCGATCAATGGTACATAATGCATTCCCACCTGCGAAGAGAGAATCAGAATAAATCTACGTCTTGAATCCCGGAATTCTAGAAAAACTTACAGCGTGAATTTCATCCACGAATTTCGGCAAATCCTTGAACGTGTCCTTGTTGTAGGTAAAATCGTTGTTTCTCTCCATGTAGTCCAGATCGTTCCATTGCACGTCCTAAAACATATTTCTCGTGTCAATTCTTAAGAACATCTTTGTTATCTAAAAAAAGAATGATTGGGATTTAATTACAAATGGAATTTGCGCTGCCCTAGTTCGATTCCACACTTCCTTAGTCTTCTCTAAGGTTCCGTATCCATATCTGAAAAGAAATAAATCGTAATTTACAGAGTAAGGAGCGAAACGAAATATCAAAAAGGGCAGAAATTAAATTACTTGCCTACATAAATGAAAACCGAGACCCCAGTATGGTGGTAGAAATGGTTTGCCAACGATAGCTGAGTATTGCTGGAGGACATTCTCCGGCGTTGGTCCCATGAAGAAGTATATGTCGATGATACCTCCAATAGTTCTAAATGTTATACCCGGTGTGGGTTGTAAGATGACATCTAAAAGTTCGATACTTTGAAGAACAAATCGTACATTTGTTTTTAATACGTTTATCTATAGCTTCCCTACCCATGGCATTGCTATTAAGGAACAAGACTCCATGACAGTTACCACTATTTTCAATCATGAGGTAAAATGGATGGGAACCGTACAAGTTTGCCTAAGTCATACAAAATAATGTGAGTAATATCTCCAATTTATGTATATAAAGTAGGAAGTATTGACGCATAAGTACTTGGTCCATTATGTAATGATCTCTATTGAACAAAGTAAACAACTGCCAGTTAGTGTTTAACTTCAAATGGGTTTGGTGTTCCCCTAGTCCATATATATTATGCGAAGGCACTAGAGCACTTATCTGTAGAAATTGATCAGCAAAAATGAAACCACCAGGATCAAGTGTATTGAATCTGCATAGAGAATTATGTTATTCGAAAACTACTCTAAGTTATCTGGAGAAAAATTTATTATAAACAGTAAATAAAGAAGACTTTTCTCTGACATGGAAGTGCCATCTGCTGCTCGAGTAACATTAAAACCAAATTTAGACTTGTCTGTATCAAGACGGTATTTTGCATCTGGTACCCTTGTTGTAAACGGTTTTGGATCAGATCTTAAGGGCCATGGTGGTTCGTACCGTTTATTTTCAGGATCATAAATCTGTAACTTGTTTAATTATAGTATATACATTTTACCAATAATAGTTATAAAGTATACCTTAACACGCAGAGTCGAGCTGTCAATACTGCTTGCTTCAACCTTTATTATGTTTATATCCTTTTTGTAAAATGAATTAGCCGAAAGCTTCATATAACCAGAGAAGTCGTTATTAATGTGGCTATAATTTAGATAGCTGTATTGACGCCAATAGGGTGGATAATAACAGTATGGCGTATCTAAAATGTTTTGTTCCTTGTCAAATGTCGATAACGGTCTCCAACAACACCTTCGACTTTCACACGACCATTGCGATGCTCCACTTTCTGGGTGGCAATCAAATCTCAATTCTAAGGGTACGTTCAAACATTGTTTTGATTTATATTTTTGAAAATGCCGTATCGATAGATAAGGCTTTTGTTTTTGTAACGTATGATCCAAAACATCAGTCCCAGTATCATTCACTGAATTCAACATTTCGTTTCTCCTGTGCTCCTCTTCAGTCTTGCGTTGAAACATACGATACATCCTATGGCTACGAGTAATGAGGGCGTAAGAAGTGTAAATCAGTAATAGAAATATGGTAATGCTCAAAAGACATTTAAAAAAAATACGCATTTTGCGTGATATTTTCTTCTCTGAATTCTGAAAAGAATTCGAGTCTTTTGGAAGTACTCCAATTTTATTTTCCATCTCAGTACTTAATCCCGACTTAAATTGTGGTTCTTCAAGATGTGGTATTGACGTATACACGTTGTTTACTGTGGTTCTCATATTCAGCCTCTAACTCCCAAGAACAAACAGCTCACTTTGATACAGATACAACGATAATTACGCGTAATTCTCGAAACAGTACTTAAATGTTATAGGTTAGGTGGATCGCAGCAGACGCAGTCTACAGCCTCTACCAGAGATGAGTTGAGAGATTCACGGGAAGGATCGAGCGACTGCGTCTTGTGCGACCTCCGGTGGAGGATGCAGACGGCTAATCCTTATGGGATGACACCGATTCGCGAACTAGCTGTGAAGTAGAATTTAATTAAGATAAAATTTTTCACCTTCTCGTAATTTAAATATGGTAAGTGAAGGGTAAAATCAAAGAGGGCGCCACGAGTGCTCTTCCCTTACCATCAAAAGCGAGCAGGGTCAGTAAGCTTGCTTGCTTGAGCGTCCTTGCTCGTGAGCAATCTCCAAACTCTGATTGTTTATTGAAACCGGCATGTGTTCGGCGTTTATTTTTTCAATATAATATCATTTGGAAACATGTCTGGAGATTTCGAGATCATCGTTGGAACGTACGAACAGTTTTTACTCGGTTACAAGATTCATCAAGTCAAAGATGTAAGTCCACACGCTTAATAGAGATCGTATAAATAGGTTAAGTTAACTGTACCAAAGGAATAGAGTTTATTCATCATTCTACGATCGGTCATTGTTTGTATATCGCACATTTCTTTAAATACTGTTTTAGGAATTAAAACTTGAACGTAGTTTTGCTACTCACAGTCACCAGTCCAGTATACGTAGCGTTTCTAGCAGGAAACACTATTTAGCATCAGCTGGTGCCGATGATTTGGTATCGCTCTATGATATGCGACCTAGAGTTGAGTCAGGTAGATTAGCGCATCATAATGGTAATGATTACACTTTATTCTCAATTAAATTATTAAATGACAATGACGTGGTTGCGATTGAGTTCTGATATTTTTTGTAGGGACAATAAATGTCATAGAATTTACACCAGATGCATCGCATCTGTTAACGGGTAGCAGCGATGGCAGTATATCCATTGTGCGTTGTGGTAACTGGCAATTGGAAAAGCACTGGCAAAAGGCACACAAAGGTTTCCCTGTAAATACTTTAGCGATTCATCCCAGTGGAAAAATAGCTCTATCAGCAGGAGGGGATGGTGTGCTTAGAACGTGGAACCTAATAAAGGGGCGACCTGCTTATGCTACAAATTTGGTTCCAAGAATGAAACTTCAAGCGAAACATATTTCTGTAATTAAATGGAGTCCTAATGGAGAAATGTACTTGGTGGCAGCGAACTGCATGATCGATGTATACTTTGTAGAGACAGCTGGTATTGTTAACGAAATCAAATTTGATTCAAAAGTTATTTGTGCAGATTTTTTAAACGATGATAAAATTGTAGTCGGTCATGAAAATGGACAGGTTACGTTATATGATATTAAAAATTCCACTAATATTTTCCAAGTAACCGTACATGACAGTAGGGTAAAATGTATATCAACACATGGTCGCTTTTTAGTTACCGCTTCCAGTTCTGGAAAAATAACTCTGTGGAAAATTTTGAAAAGGAAATTGAATTTATTGGCTAGTGTCAAATGTGGAGCAAGAATAACTTGTCTCACCCTAGCTTTGCCCTGTGAAGATGTGAGGATCAAAACAGACGAAATAACAGAAGTAACCAATACAGGGGATTAATAAATCTATTTCACATTGTTCAACCCAGTGTCAATATCAAAACCGCTTTCCTTCTGTTTTTTTAATTATTGCACAAACAAAACTAGAATTCAAAGCTGAATTTTAATATCGATACCAGTTGAACTCAGTTTCCACATCGTTAAACTATAAGTATTAGAGCTAAATTTCCACTGACTGCATAATGTTTCTAAAATGCAGCATAAATCGGAAACATCTTGAATACTTTCAGTATCTTCTTTTCAAGCCTTTAATATTCCCATCCAATAACTTCAGCACTTCTCTAGAGTATTTTTCCACATATTACATTAATAATCCCTTACTTTCCTTTCTTACAAATTATTATCCTTCAATTACTTACGAGCACTAATTTTTTAGGCTATTACCAGCGCGTGTAATAAATTATATACATTTTGTCGAGGTCAGTCTATGTACAGTTAATCAATGGGAAATTCCATAAGACGATGTTTTGAAGAGAGGATACTAATCCGAACAAATCTTGATGTCTCTCCTGCTCCGAAGTATCGACTTACTATGCCCGATAGTAAGTGATTATTAAATTATATAACGCACTCACTGTCATAAAGCAGCTTATTCACAGTTGCTCGCTTTTGACATCGATTCCGTCCATCAATACCGATTAGCTTATGAGCGATTAAGCCTTCCGATGACTCGTGTGAAAATCGAACTTGTCTCCTAGCACTTGAAGAACATCGAGGCTTCTTGCGAGCAGACTCGTTCATGAATGGAGCTCTTTATTCCTTAATCATCGCCCTTGGTACACTCTCACTGCTGCGTACTACCACAGAATACATTTATGTGGTGGGTTCATGGGGCTTCCAACTGGGCATTTCCAAGCTTCCGCGAACTCGGCATTATTCGACAAGGTCCCGATAACCCGAAAATGATTTGGAGCATGGACACCCTCGATAAGCTTCGACTTGAGTGCTCCATTGGTATAATTCCCACACCAGACCTGAAACACGACATTACTTGGTAAATTGCACATTTCCTACCCAACCCCAAAAATTAAATTCTCGCAATTTAACGCCACCGGCCAAAATAATTATCTACATCTGACACTAAATTCTGGCGAACGAAATTTCAGATGCGAAACCGAGAAAATGTCCTTTGCGGAGGAACCAAGACCCATGAACTAGGAAGCGAAATTTTCATCTCTTTGATAGACATGTAGAGGGAACTGAGGATTACTTGTGCGAAGCCCAGGAAGAACAATTGTTCTTGATTGTACACCGTCAGACCGGGCAAAGCCTGCTGACTCGAGTTCCGGGCCTTCAGTCTTTGATAAGCCCTGTACGCCTCTCTTATGCCGCCATTGTCGGCGATATTTTCACCTTGAGTGTTGATTCCGTTTACCTGAAACATGATCGGTCGTGCTGAAACCTTGAGGGGTAAAAAATCCACGGAATTAATTCCTATATCTTCCGCGGAATAGTTTCCAGAGTCTGACGTCTCGACGGAAGACCTCCATGCGTTTGTTAGACCCGCGATGGACGCGTTTTGCAATATCTCGTGCACTTTGAACGTGCAGATTTCCACGAGGAACATTAAACACGCATTTCGGCCATTAATGGGGCGAACGGGAGAAAGGGTAATGGTCGAGAGATCGTCTTCGCAGCCTCCGCGATATCGTGCGGTTGTGCATAGAAATGGCCATCCGCGCTTTTCTAATTCGCCTACGGTCTGCCACTTACCGTGAAATTGTTACCCAGCTCTGGAAGGTGATACTTGCCGTATTGCTCGATGATACATTCGACCTTCTCGTAATAATGGAGCAGCGTCTCGTCGCTCCACCACTGTCTGAGATTGCCGTTCTCGTCGTATCTGCGACCTGGTAGAAAAATAGAAGAGAGAGAAAAATCCAGCAACGTCGCGGGGAATAATTGTCTCGAGGTGTCGACTGGTCGCGGGATCGCGAAAAAAAAATATCCAGGGTACCTACAAACCTTGGTCGTCGAATCCGTGGGTGAGCTCGTGGCCCATAATCGCGCCCATGGCCCCGTAGTTGATCGATCTGTTTCAAGAGCCCGTAGTGAGACATCGTAAAAATAACTCGGCGCAAGGAACGGCTCGTAAAACATCGTTACGATTCCCTCCGGTTTAAAAGGACATTCCTTCGAATCAAGCCAACCTTATTATCTGCCCCTGTCAATAGACGCGCCACTTTGCGCGCGGTTAGAGAGGAATAAAGAAATCAGAGAGCGTCACGACGAGCCGTTTCTTATCGCCAAGTCGCGGAATTGGGTCGAAGGTCTGCGATCTTACGTACTCTAGGCCGTTTCCGTAAAAGGGAGGGTGAAGGATGCCCGCTGGAAATGCTGAAAGCATAGGAGAAGGCTGATTACGAGGTCTCTCGGATTCAGCCGGGTCGATTTCGAGGATCTTTCGTTGACTTACTGACTGAGTTCAGAATCGCGCTGTAGAACGCGTTCACGGTCGTCCCCGTTGATATCCACCTGTCCTTGTCGGGCTTTTCCCGCAGGCTGTTCAGGCTCTTCTTCGCCCCCACATTCGTCAGCTTCAGGAACGTGTCGAAGAGCTTGCCCTCGACCACCTCGACCTAGAGGGTTGGATTTAAATTTTTTCTCTCGGAGTTTCGGACGCGTTAAGGCTCGTTGAACTTGGCGGAAGACTCTCTCACCCCGTCGTAGAACTTTTCCAACTTCTTCGGGTCCGTGATCCACTCCGGGAACCCTACGAAGGGTCTCATGGCGTGCAACTTCCGGTGAGCCCTTGCCCTGGTCCCCACGTCCATCCAGTCCAGCTCGGTTACCATCTCGTCGAAGGCTGCCCTGACGTCCGTCAGCATCTCTAGGGCCTTTGCAAATAATTAATTAGAAACTCGACGTACAGAGATCATCCCTAATTCCTTCGGCAAAGCCGAATGGCGATACCTTCTCGCGCGACCGCTCATTGAAATGCCGCTGGACGTAAACGTAACTAAGAGCCATTCCGAAATTGGAGTTGACGTTTCCCGTGCATCCTTTCCACCGAGGGGTCTTCTCCTTCAGACCGAAGACCTTCTGCGAGAAGACGAAACCTAGGTCGCGGAACTTCTGCAGGGTCAATGGCGCGACTGTCGAGTACACGCTCCACCAGATGAATCTACCTGAAGAATTGATACGTTTCCATCAGTCTGATAAGAATTGCAAGTCGCGAGAGGTACCGACCAACGGTCCTCGGCGAGGTGGCCGCCAGGAGTTGCGGCAACTCCTGCAGGTAACGCAGGTCCATGATGATCACTCTGTCGATCGACGGCTCCAACGTGACGTTGGTGTCGTGGAAGACTGCCTCCAAGTAATCGGTCCAGTTCCACTGAAAGGATTCGTCACGCGGATAATGAAATTCAGGTCGGAACTTTTCCCGGACTTTTTTTTTCATCTTATTTTCTCGTTTACCTGTTGGGCGTGTAGATCGGTCAATTGTTGCAACTCGTTGATCGTCACGTCATGGAACAGGTGGTTTGCGCTCCTCCTCTGCTCGGGAGTCGTCATGATCTGTGAAAATGATATGAAGAAATATGCGAAGAATAATTATGACGCTTGGAACTGGCCCGAGCTCTTTAAATCTTCCTTTCATTTCTTTTCTCGTTTCAAGAAGACCGACCCGCGCGAGTTTCGTGCTGAAGTCCAGAAGCTCCGTGGCGAATTCTTGACTCTTGTTCCCAGCTCCTGCTAGCTCTACCATCGCCGCCACGTATTTTTTATATTCCAAAAGCTCCGACTTGAAGCGCTGGGGGTCGAGCAAATAGCGTTCACTGAATCCTGGGGACACTTGCTCCATCTGCGAGGACAAGGGCAGGATTAGGACCGAATGAAACCCTTGGCAGGACGATCTTCAAAGTAGTCTGGACCTCACCATCATCCGATTTCGCGTGGTGTCCCTGACATCCTCGCTGATATAAAAATTCACCAGCAGGTTCAATCCTAACGCTCTCTGCGCTACCCCCGTTATCCTGGAGACGTCCAGAGGGGTTGCGGTCTCGTTGAAGGGTGGATCCTTTGGAAGACCAACCTTCCCGAGGACATCGTAAATCGGCTGCAAGCCCAGAGCCTCTACTCTAGCTGGAATTAAAAGTACATCGCAGATAAGGTCGAAACTTCCTCAAAGAAAAAAAAAAAATTCTCAAATCTGCAGATATTTTTCATTTGCTTCTTTCATTGTTTCTGGAACACCCACCGGTGTCCATGCAGGTCTTGTAAAGAGTCCTGGCCAGTTTGACGGGCTTCAGGTCCTCCTTGCGATCCGACTCTTCCAGCAGGATCCTCAGGTTCTTCAGGAGCTCCTCCCTCAGCAGGCTCAGCTGGTCCCAGGATGTCTGACTCTGAGGGATCGGATTTTTGTTGATCCATCCACCGCAGGCGAAGTTGTAGAAGTCCTGGCAAGGGTCTACCGATCGATTCATCGCTCCTATCACTCTGGCGGCTGAAATTCAGAGATCGATGTTAAAACTGACCTCGGTCACGCTAAAGGGGTGCGCCTCTTTGGAGGACCTTCCTGCGATCCGAAACGCGTTCACGGGCATCTGGGTACGCGTCCTTTGATCCTCCCTAATGGGAAGGAATTGCCAATGCTGCACTTTTGTATTCGGCTCTGATTAATTTTCCCAATCAAGGTCAGCCCTGGCGCGCCTTGCACGCTAGATCGAACCTTACATGGCTTTACAGATCGTGACCTAACCCAATATACTCCGATCGATGTGATTCTATTAAAGTATCTGGTCCTTGGCCAAGGAGACGTCGAATTGATCTCACGTAGCTGGACTCGAGAATCTAATCGAACGTGAGTTATCATTGCTTTATCATTCGACAACCCCGTAAAGGACTGATTTTTTTAGTACCTTGTGCCTTCCTGCTTCACGTTTTTGATATGGACTCGATTTCAAGGATAATCCCGAGGATTTCTCAGGTTTACCTGTCCTGATGCAGTCCTCGGTCTGGCACATCTCCCTGTAGGCTTCCTTCCTTGAAAAAGCCACCTGCAGCGTCAGCGTCACTATCAGCGCTATCACCGCCACCGCCAGCAGGCCGACGACGATGGCCAGCTTCGTCTCCTTCTGGCTCTGCTTTTCATCTCGAAATAGGGTCCTGCGGTTCGGGGAATCCTTCCGAGGGGTGGTCTCGATCGGCAGCTCGCCGGATCGCCGGATGCGGATTATCCGGAAGTACCAGGGGTTCGAAGGGCACGAGGGCCGAGACGGGGAGGTCGGACTCCCAGACTGCCTGGCGCCCTCGGGACTCCGGCCTCCGTCCTCGGGATCGTTGACCTAAAAAAATAAGAATCACGGAGGAAGGATTCGCGCAGGCTTCCGCTCTTCGTAGAGGAGAGAGGGAAGAGATAGAAGAAAGCGAAAAGAACGAACAATGAGAAAATAGAGGAACGGATCCTCTCCTCCGGGGAGAAGGTCGAGTTATCGGCGAACTGGCCTTGATTTTCCCGGCCCGGTCTCTGGAACAACCCCGGATGAGAGATTCGTTCCACGCGTTCCTCTTGCGTGCGTCTTCGACTCGCCTTGTCCCAGAAACGGACCGCGTCGGGCGCGAAATCGGAGAGGGGCCTCTCGGAGGAAACCAGGCCGGGAAAAAAGACCCACCGGAAACGCTTCTTTCGTCCTATTTTTCCCCTTTCCCGGGGAGATGCGCGAGAATCGGTGCTTTCGGCTGGACCGATCGAGATGCCGCTCGCGGGCGTAAATGACGCCCGGGGGGGTGACTTCTTTTTCCGGCAGTGATTTATGATCGGGTCGTGCACCGACCACTTCTAAAGATAGATGCACTTTTCTCACAGAAGAGGAGGACGGAAGAAAGACTCCGGGTGACCCGAAATACCCCGAGACTCTTTGTATTTTCATAAAGCGCCGTCGGGATCCTCCGCTCACCTTGTACCGCATCTTCTGCTCCCCTCTACCCTCCGTGGCTGCGTACCCTGAGGAACCAGGAGAGACGGCGATTACTATCGGCGAGCTTTCTTCCCCTCGGATGCACGTGAGCCCGACCGATTGGCATCGATATCCGACGATAACGCGAGAAGCTTCACCGCTGATTAATAATCCCTCTACTCGTTAGACACCCACTATTGTACTTTTTTAAACGAGCGCTATCAGCCGCGCTTTATCGGGACCCGAAAATCGGATAACGTCCCGACATGGAGCACAGCCGAGGGCATTCGGCTCAGATCAATCGGATCAACCTCGAGGGGGACAGAAAAAAGGAATCGGCGCGCCCATCCGTCCGACTTCGAACTCGCGAAGCTACAAAGGCTTCGAGGTGCGCGCCGGCCCTCCTATTATATACTCACCGAGAGGAGTTTTTTTTTTCCCCCCTCTATTTCGAGGCGCGAATCGGGCGAATCGCTCGAATCGCTCGAAAAGTCCTGCCAGGAGCAGGAGTCTTCTCAGGGGGAGGGCATGCCCTGCGGAAGGGGCCGACTCCGAGGAGTCTCTCAGGGGTACCGGAAGTCGGTGCCGAGACTCATCGGCGAGATTTCCCAGTTCGGATTCGCGATTCGCCCGATTTATCCCGCCTCGTGGCGATGTTACGCGAATCGCGTTTGACCGACTCTTATCGGCCCCGTGGAGACCGAGTCGCAAACGCGGCTCGCTGTCAACTGGAGTAAAGTTCGGCCGGGCGATCGAGTGAGACCACTCGTTGGCGGATCCGGATCCCTCCTCTCGCGGTGCCGTGCCCTCCGAGGAGAGCGCGGATGCGAGGAGCCGGAGGTGGCGGGAACGTCGCAAGCTCCCATCCAAGGCACGTTTTTCTTCGGCCACTTGCCCCGAGGAGGCCTCCGCGGGTATTTCGGAGGCGCCCTCGATGCGGAGCTTTTGAGCGATAGGAGAAATCACCGGGGAACCTGGTTATTAATTATTGATCTTAAAAGCCGAAACCTTCGGATCTCCGGGAGATGTCTTGCAACGCTTCGGTACCCTCGAGAGGAAAGGAGTACTTGGAACTTCTCCCCGCAGGGTACCACTACCGTCACCACCGGTTGCTTCTTTGTCAATTTTGGAGCACTCTCTTGGGAAGGGACTTCGTAAGAGTCTAGGCGATGATCTCGATGTAGAATCAGTGAAATTTGATAAAAAGGTTTAGAAGGAGTGGTAGAGTCTTTGAGGGGTATAACGTTGCCGCGAGGGGAGAGGACGAGGCGGAAGTACCCGGGACCATCTTCGACGCGATCCGCACCCCTACTCCGGAAAGATCGGATTCGCGGGCATCGGCGTCGGCTTCGACGCCGCCTCGGTACGCCCCAGTGCGACGTAATCGGTCAATTCCCCGACTAACTGCTCGATTAGATTGCACTTTATCTCGCTTCTTTGACCCGGCGAGACCCGGTCCGCTCTCCTTGGCTAGGAAGCGTCCCTGCCTTTGTCGCGTCAATTGACAGGGCTCCGGAATGGCCGGATGCTGCGCTTCCGGGTCGACTTCCGGTCACCGCGCTGCGATTTCCTCCCTCGAGGGAAACCTCCTCCGATTCGCACGACTCTTCCCCGGTTTCCTTCCCTTCGGTGAACCGACCAAAGGGAAGGCGAGGAGAAGCTCGCTCGATCGGATCGCAAACTTGGGGCGAATCGCGCGACGGCGGATGACACCTCGCAAAAAACCTGGCGACGTCTTCGCGCCAATTTCCACGGGACGCGCAATCGTCTCGGCTCGCGGCGTCGATCGTCCATGGAAACGAGGACTTTTCTTTCAATTCGATTAAGCGTTACTTCTTACGTAGACGAGAAGTGCCTCGTTCAATTCGTCTAATTCGCTCGATTCGCCCGTTTTGACCAATTCGCTCAATTCGCCCAATTTACCGTGAGATGCGGTATTACAATCTATCGGCGATAAGAGCTCGTCGAGGCCTGGAGGTTTCCCGGATCTCTCCTGCGGAGCCCCGAAAGGACGCGAAAGAGTCGAAAGCCGCGGCGAAAGTCGCCCTCTCGTTCGCCACGCGTTTCCGTCTTTTCCTCGCGGCGGTCTCCGCTCTCGGACAGACGAACCGGCGGTTCCGAGGATATCCCCGACACCGCGTCGTTAGGCACGAATTGTCAAAACGTCGAAACGAAAGTAAACCGGCAAAAACGCTCGGTCGCGCCGTGGCGAACGCAAGCGTCGAAGCGAGAACTCGGGCGGCAGAGACGCACGATGCATCCGATCTTTAACTAATTCAAAATTGTCCCTAGTTTCGAATAATTATCAACGCATAATTGTACAAGCGTTGGAAACATTTCGAGCACTAAACCGCAGGATATCGCGAGGGAATACCCCCTCGGATGTGGATTTCCTAAATTCCGCGAAGAGAACCGCGAGGATGGAATTACCGGGGTTCTTGGAACGTGACGACCTCGCTCCAGTCCACATACGTGTCTCGATAATTTTTATTAAAAACCTGAACGTTAAAACGTCAATATAGAACACTTAAAGGCCGCCGGGAGCTCTCGAACGGAGCTGGGGAAGCCCCTCGCGTTATTCCATCCTCCTCGCGGGATGTAAAAAAATTCGCGATAAAAATCCAGCGTCGACTTAGAGTCTTCAGGAGTCTTGGTATCTGCAGTAGGAAGTATCCTCGATGAGGTCCTGGGAGATCCACTCCTCCGCCGGAGGCTGACCGGAAAGGGACGAGGCAAGGGCCTCCACCTCTTTCAGAACCCTCAGCAAGTTCCCTCCGACGAGCTTCTTGATGTCCGAGGCTGACCATCTTCGGTCCCTCGTCAACTCGGCCAGCAGGAACGGGTATCCGGAGACGTCCGGAAGTTCCGCAGGCGGGCCACTGGAAAGAAGAACATTTGAGTGGATTTCGAGTTCGCCGACGGTTCTTCGCCGTCTATTTTCAGTCCGACAGACCTAGTCATGCCGTCGTAACCAGCTCCCAAGCCGACGTGATTGACGCCGGCGGTTCTTCGTATGTGATTGATATGAGCTGAAAGCATAGGGGGTCGGGCCAGTTCTCGATAGATTACCAGCTCACGGGGAACGCCGCAGCGATATTCTCGTCCGTCTTAACGAGCCACCTCGGCGTTCCTCGTGGCGCCCCGAATCTCGGCGGGATTATCCGTGAAGAAAATCCGCCGAGCAAGATGGAAGCTATCGCCAGGGAGAGACGGTCGATTCGCGCCTGGCACCATTCGTTATCCACGGTGCGTTCCAACGCACCAGCGCCTATCCTGTACTTGGAAGCCAATGCTGATAGTCGGCGCACCTTTGTCCAGGCACGTGCCGGGGAAGTCGTATGGCGAGCTCCAGAATGAGCGCACCGCTCTTTATCGGCTTCTCCGGCGCATTCCTTATGACCTGGTCGCTTTGTGTCAAAAAGTAAGAACTTGGACCAAAGGGAGAAACGCGATGCGTACCGTGAACTCGTTTGGCACCGTGAGAGAAAAAACCGGCTCCCACGTGGCGTTCCAAAGTGCAATCTTTTCCTTGCATCGCATTAGCGCGCCGGGTAAATGTGCTCACCTATGACGTCGTACATGGATGCTTTGGCCCCGCAACTGAGATGAGCGCTGTCGAAGCTGACCATCACCAAGCCTCCGTTGAGGGACTGTAACGAGAGAAGCGGCTCTGATAAAAATTCTTTGTGGTCTCATCTTTCGCTGAGATATCCAGGGAGCATTGCCCCAGGTTGAATGAGATAAGATTTACCAAGTTTCGGAGGACATCGTCCGGCACGTTGCTGGAGGAGTTGCAGAGGCTCCTGGCCGCACTGTGCGAAAAGACGACGGGTGCTCTGCTGACCCTCAGAGCGGCTCTCATGGTGGACACGGAGACGTGGGACAGGTCCACCAGCATCCCTAGTCTGTTGAGCTCTCTGACGACTGCCCTGCCGAAGGTGGACAGTCCATCGCTGTGGAAATCCAGCGGCGCGTCCTCGTTTGGGTCCTCTACCGAGCAGGAGTCCGCCCTGAAAACGTTGCAAGAGATTAATAAAAATTCTGGCGGAAGCTTGAACCAATTTGGGGGATGACACTTTACCAAGGCGTGTTGCATCGGTGGGTGAGCGTCATGTAACGTGCCCCGAGGAGGTGAAAGGTCCTGAGCACGGCCATGGACGCGCCTATGCTGTGCCCACCCTCGATGCCCACCAAGCTAGCCACGGCACCCTCCTTATGGGCCTTTTCGAGCTCCTCGCTGGAGGTGACGAGTCTCATGCTCGACTTGTACTTGGACGCGAGCCGGCGGACGAGGTCGATCTGCTCCAGGGTGAGCTGGACCGCGTCTAAAAATTGGGCCTCGCAAGGCACGTAGGCGGACCAAAACTGTGCCCCGACGATTCCACGGCGAAGTCGAACCAGGTCCGTCTGCCACCCCGAGCCCCATGACGAGTTTTGAGATAGATCTTCCTGGAAGGGAAATCCTCCCAGTCGAGCGCCTCCTTGGTGGCTCCTGAGGTTCCAGGCGAAATCGTTGTGCCTGTAATGTACCAAAGTTGGATTTTTTCGATTTTCCATGCAATCGTTGTCGAAGAATGTCTTCGTCAGTAAGCCTCAGGAGGGAGACCTACCTACCCGTCGATCAGGGGCGTATCCGAGACGATCCTCCTGACGACCTGCAGCCTGGCCTCCAGCAGGTGGGAACTCCTTAGCTCCAGAGCTAAGGGCAGGCCCACTCCTGCGACCAGGGCGCACCCCAGGAAAAACAGACCCACCGAGACCAGACATCTTCTTCCCAGATTGCGACCTGAAAGTAAAAGTCCATCGTTATCGCGTTCCTCCGAGGGAGGTACCTCCGCAGAGCCCCGCTGGATACCTCGCGGCTTCGCGTTCGCTCGGCCGTGAATAGAAATCATATCAAATCACGAAACGAACGGGCTAATCGCGCCTGGCCGATTGCTCGCCACGCCCGCGGATTTACATAAGCGCGACGGTTCGCCGATGCTCGACGATGCGCTAAATAAGGAAAGATCGCACCTCGTCGCGGGTGGTCGCGGTCGTTGCGACCGAGGAAAGCGGAATATCCTCGAGAGAAGTCCTCGGCTAGAAAGTCGAGAGAGAATTTCCGTCGAGGGATAATCATCGGAGGTGTTGAGCAACGGTCTCTCCGTCGAGAAGAGTCATCCAAGAACAAACCATCAGGGTGGGCCCGATTGCTCGAAACGTTAAGACGATCCCGGTAAGTAACCTTTAATTAAGGTCACCCATTAAGTCGCCCATCCGGCGATATTCGTAACTCATTGCAAGGCTCTGCCAAGAGGACGAGTATTTTCCACGGATGTCAAGGAACCCGTGGCGCGAGGCCATCGCCAAAAGGGCTGGCACATGGAATGTTTTTGCATAATCACTAGGGCCATTGACCATCCGATAAAAAATGTTACGCAACTTGCCAATGAGTCGTACACGTGTCTGGTTTTTAAGTTCTCTCATTTTAATGAGGTCTTCTGGACGACTTACCACGCTCTCTGGGTTGTCCCTTGTTCTTTCCCGAAGATTCTGCCGAGGTCGCCGTCGTCGCAGCAATTAAAGTCGTTGGTGTCATGTCCTTTGCGTGGTGCGGAGTGTCGCCGTTCGGCAATTTCCTCGTTAATTCCGGGGACGTCAGACGGAGACATGTCTACGAATATGACTTATTTATTTATGCATAATCTTGGAAAACATAGCGCTTTCGTTCCTACCTACGAGGGTAGAAGTAGCCATGCAGATGTAACCCTGTATACGCATATTCCGTTATTTAAAATTCTATGGATGGGAAAAATAGAAAATAGCGAAAGAGGGTAAATTTATATAGGAGACGATGTCTTAAAGAGTTCGGAAGGGAAAGCGATCGATCCGAAACATAGATACCTCCAGGATGTCGACCTCTTTCCGCCGCGGCGGCGGCGACCGATACACCATGGAATCCTTCGTGCCGTATAGCTCGAACATGTCTTCTCCCGTGTCGAATCGACGAACATCCTTTCCGTAGGAATCCCTGGTACTCGTAAACATCGCGTAGCGTCTCAGGGCTGAATCGGCGGGCATGCGCCAGTGCCGGCAATTCCATATCGACCCGTTTTAAGACGAAATACACACCGCGATGCGGAGATTCGAATCTCCCGCAACTCCCGCTTTCCGCTGGGCCGGTCGATTCCGGGTCGAGAGGGTTCGAGATATCTCGAAAGCTTCCGCGCTCTATGCTTAGTCGACTCGTAATCGATAAACAGCTTCACGGATATCGCCCATTGTCGAGTTGGAACGTTCAGGATATTTTTTGGGGCTTCTTTCTACGGGGTGTGGGAGTTTTTGGTTATATTAGAGAAGGTTTTTGAAATATCGAGAAGAGTTCGAGGTTCGAGGCGAGGCTCGCTGCCATCTTGGCGTAGGAGCGCGCGCGCGGCAGCTCGGGAGCGACGGTGGCGCCACCTGGTCACCACTGATCGCCGCCGGCCGCCATATTGTTTGCGGTGTCGTGCACGTCGTCGCTCGTTCGCTTCAGCTCGTTTGCTCGCTGCTCGCGTCGTTTTTCTAGTGCGTCGGTTTCTAAAGAGTCGCAAAGATTTCGCGCAAAGGCAGCATGAAGAAGACCGAGGACCTGTCGGACGAGGACGAGTATTCGGCGGACGACCCTGAGGAAGTGGAAGGCGCCTCCGAGGAAGAGTGGAACCCCGAAGCCGGAGCCGAGGTAAACCCACGCTATCTGCGAGTTTTCTCGGGTTTTCGGTCCTTTGGCACCTTGGCCGAGCGTTCGAATTAGTCGCAGTCGGGTTGAAGAAGCTTCGGGAAATCGCGTGGGCCGCGACGAGAGCGTTTAGATTCTCCGAGCCGAAATGCCGGTCGCCTCTCGCGCGACGCCGCGTCGCGAATTTCGGAACGCTCGACGTCGGCCAACTTGAAGGTCCAGACGCGAACCGAAGCCTCCCGAGACTTTCGACATTTTCGATTTTTCTCGCGCAGCTTTGGCCCGTTTCGCTCTCTCGTTCGGTTAGGGAGACATGGAAATTCTCGCGAGGAGGAGGGAACTCCTTGGAGGGACCGAGGCGAATCGCCGGCTGCCGGTGGTCGCGTGATTTCCAACGGAAATGCGCGGCCCTGGTTATCGGATATTTGGACGAGTTCTTGCCTCGAATCTTCCATTATAAACGTCGGAATCGACCAAATATCGAAGCGAATATTTTCTGACTAGCTTTTGGATTGGTATTTCTGTATGTTAGGACTTATTTCTCGTGGTGGCACAATTGTTTTCAATGTCGCGCTATCGCTCGCAATGACTTCGTTGCCGGCCGGCCCGTGACGCCGAAACCTGGTTATCTTAACTGTAATTACTCTTATTATTTATAAGACTTGTGGATTGTATTTATGGTGATTTATCTTGAGTGCTGCTATCTCAGGGAAACTAAATTATTAGTATTTTTCATTCGGAGGCATCAAATATGGTACTGCACTAGTTCTTGAGAAAATGGAACTTGTAGGCCAGTCTTGCGAATTGTTATGATTATACCCTCGATGGTACTTAAAGTAGTTGGGTTCTTCCAGAGTGGTGCTAAGAAGAGGCCACAACGAACCACCTCTAAGAAACGACAACACTCGGAAGAGGAGGAGGAGGAGGAAGAGGAAGAAGAGGACGAAGAGGAGGAGGACGAAGAAGACGACGAGTCTGACTCTGATTCGGGAAAGAAATCTAAAAAGAAGATGCGTTCCAAAAAGGAAGAGGAAGATGAGGAGGACTCCGACGATAACAGTTTTAACGAGTCGTCCGGCGTGCCACCTAAAGACTACACGGTATTATCGTAAAGAAGAATTTCTCGGGGTGTTCGTGTAGACATCGGCAGGTTCATTAACAAATTCTATGTTCTCGTAGTCTGGAGCATTTGTCGTCGCAAAGGCAGATTTAGGTGCGAATTCCGATCCAACTTTGTGGAGGATAGACGGGAAGGCACTCTTGCAAAAATATTTGCCTTTTAAAGAAGATGGCAAAACATTGTACAAAAGCACGTCCACGGTATGTCCACTATCTCATTTTATTCGTATTTATTCTTTACGCATAAGAACGGTTCGACAACTTGATTTTGTATCTCCTTTTAAAATTATTTCCTTCGACAGTATTCAGGATGGTCAGTGAATAACAAAGACAAATACCTAGCAGCTCAGGTGACCTTCAAGGTGCAAAACAGAAGCGAGACAATTGTCGAACTTCACCTTGATCGGCAACAACAGCAGGAGGTTGTAAAGTAAGTCCCCAGTTGACTTTCGTTACTTGGTTAGTCAAAAATTTGTTCTTAAGAGAGCTTCTAACGTTTTTGCCTTTGGTTGTAGGGAAGAGAAGGAGGATTAAACGTAGCACGAGTGCGTTCTTATCTGTTCATATACATTTTAAGATATATTAAGGACTCGGATGGATGCAAGCGTACAGTACATTCGCATGTATGCAACACGAATGAGACGGTATGATCGACGAAGGGGTACTCTTTACTAGGTTCGTGTTTAAAATTGAATCCAGTTAGGCCGTTTAACTTCGATCCAATTGCGAGGGAAGAACAACACGAGCGCGTTGTTAGACAGATTTGACGAAGCATTTAAACCAGTGCCACATACTGGCATCGGAGCCAATCTGCAAGACTGTGTCCAAATCGGATGACTTCACCGACGACTCGATCGTCAAACATTTAACGAAGTTGATCCGCTTTTATGTTCTTGACATCGTGCCGACTTTGAACTTAACCGAAGTGCCGACGGACGATCGGTAGTCGTTAACGCGTCTTATTATTTCCTCACTAGGCCGCATTTCGGGCGCAGTCTTCATTTAAGATCTGTCAGACCGTTCGTTACGACTGCACTTAATCGTAAGCGACTCCTCAGTTGAAAAACCTTCCACTAATGCAGATATCCCATGCATGTGTGATCGGAGTAACGTGGTGCCTGGTAATCGAACGTGATTTGCATACATTGTTATTAATTACAGAGTCAGGGTTGGACGTTGCTCGTTGATCGGTGTCGTCGTTATAGTCCTTGTCAAAGGGAAACGGTTAGCACGCGGTCGACGAATTTCACAAGAAGTTAGGGAATCGGTGTCAATCCTTTTTCCCTCGCAGGGACGTCTTTGGCTTTTCGTATTCAGGTCACCCGGGTAGCTGACATCGACGTAAGTTTAGAAGTCAATATCTGGAAGGTCTCAAGGCTCGGATTATGCATATTGTCGTACAACGTGTCCGATCTGTCTCGCTCAAAACGACACCCCGTTTTGCCTCCTTGACATGGCGTTAGTTAATCCAATTCCTCGTATTTAAGTCCTCGGTAACTTTTTGTAATTACGTCCACGATTATTCTAAGAAGTTGACGGAGATGTTCTTTGCGTTCTTAATGATGCAGTCTAAATAAAAATAAACGTGCAGTCGCATCGGGTGTCGCCGTAGTTACTTTTCTCGATTAAACGGGGGGAAAGGGAAACTCGGTTCTCAGATATTACCAGACTTATTATAGAAATGTATTCGATATCCGTTTGTAACTTACAGATATGGTATTTCTTTAGTTTAACGTAAAAAAAAAAAAAAACAGAAGACTCCCTTACTTTAACGATATACTATTCGACAGATGATAAGGGTAAGTAACCATCTTAAAGTTCCTCGGAAAGAGTTTTAAAGATTCTCTTATATCGTTCGCAAATTTGGAATTAACTAACTGGAATGGATTGTCTTATTCACGATCTTGTACATACAGGTATTAGTACGTGCACGAATAGTGTATCACAAACCATAGTTGCAGATTTACGAAGGAGAAAATATATATCTATATAAAAGAAAGAGGAAAAATACAAGAGTCAAACTCGGTCCCTACGACTATTGACTACAGTCTTATAATAATTTACCCTTCGATTGCCAAGATATATCACGCGATCGCTTTGTCTGCGAAAATTCCAGACCACGTCGCCTAGCAATTAAATACTTCAACGGGGTTAAACTAATTGGTCCTAACGGTAACGCTCGTCTTTTTTTTTTTTCTTTAAATATATGAAAACGTAACAAAGTGTATACATAAATACATATCTCTCACTTAGTTGAAAACTAGTCGACTTAAGGGGTTTGGTCATTCGTAGTTGTGTCAGTACCTAGGCCTATTGTACTTGAGCATGGAAGAGGATCACTAAAACCCGGGGTGCGTGATTTTCGGTAAAATTACAAATCCATGCCGAGAATTCTTACATAGAAGGGAAGAATTTCTTGCGACGTTTGTGCGGTATCTCTTTGGGGGGAGATCTTCCTCACCGTAAAATATAATACCGGACTTAATATCAAATCCATTAAGTGTAATCTCAGCTCGTAGATTGTCGATTCGTAAGGGGTAATCGCAAACCCATGGATTCATGGACTACCCTACTTGAACATATCGTATACCTTAATTAGACGCGGAACGTTCATTTTGAAAATGCAACTCCAACCGAAAGGTGCATGCTCCTTGCCTCTGCAATCTCATCCGTTTTGCGTCAGAGTTCAAGTCGATGTGATTTTATTAGAACAAGCAACTCGGGCACGCCTTCATCCTCCGCCATCAGAAACCCGGCTCCATTTTGACCGACCGAACGTTGCTTAAAATTCCGCGAGTCGTGGTTTTTTCTTGCTTGCGCTTAGGAATCACATTTTCCAATTTCTTGGTCTTTTCCGATTCATCCGGACCTCTACAAGGATCCTTATCGCTAGGGCGGTAATGGCTATCCCTACGACTGTCTTCGTGCTCCTCGCTTGGACAAGAGTCCGTCCTTTCGGTGTCGTTCTTATTTTCATCTAAAATCTGAGATTCTCGCGAGGATTCACCCGCGTTTGCGTTGATATTTGGTCCCGGACTAATTGGAAGTTCTGGGTCCCGATTTAATTGCTCCCTGTTCTCTAACTCCTCGGCCACGGTGGGCCGAACGTCGTCCAAGATACAGGACGACGCCTCGTCGTTGCTGATTCTTGATTGTCGCTTTAAACTCTTTCTTCTGCCGTTCGGTGCGCTTCTGTCGAAGTCTTTCCACGCAACGTGGACCGAATCTTGGCTGAATCTTCGCTCCTCTCGAGGTGGCTTTTCAAATGCAGCGGTAACTACTACCCTGGGATCCAAACTCGCCCTCCTCGCAAGGGAAGACTTCTCGTGGCCGTTAATCCTGTCGCGTGGAACATTTCCCTCGACATCCTCAGATTCCGTCCTCGACGACGTAACCCACGTTCGATTGCTCGCCCGGCTAGCGACGTCGCTGACTGACGTGTCGTCTTCCTTTTGATTTTCTAAAGTGGCCGCGGTATCGTCGAAAGATAACTGCTTAATTAACCTCTTGTCCACGCGATTCTTCCCCGGGGTCAAACTCCCTTCGCTCGCCCCGCAACTCGAGCCCACGTTCGAGTTCTCCATCGTCCCAGGGCTGTCGTTTCGGTAAATGTCAGTATCCTTATTCATCTCTCGCTCCGAGGAACCGATCTCTATCAAATCCCCGTCGCAACCGAATGCGAAGGACCTCTGACCTGCGGGAAGAAAAAATTAACCTCCAGTTAATGGCAATAATCAAAGCCGAATAATTCGTTAAACCGGCGTTTAAGTTAAAATCCTTAATCGTGGTTTACTTAACGCGTGGTTAGATTTTCGCAATACGAATTGCAGGGGCTTGAGAAATTTTGTCTTAATCAGGATTGCGGCGATCGGGTATAATTTAAATTTCTGTTACCTATGATCATGCGTTTGTTCCGCATGTCGGGGCTCTTCGATCGCGGTCGATCGAGGTATTGTCTGTTGTCCGGTGACAATACGGAGAGTTTGCCGTCCTGGGGTGGGCTGAACTGCTCCGTGCTACTGTTGTAAGCCGTGTATGCGTCCAATTCGTGACTCTCGTGCTCTCGGAGACGATCCATGATTTTCTGGACGATCTCTGACGGCGCTACGTAAGGGGACCCTTTAAAAATTCAAGGAATCGTTAGGAAGAGTCTTAATCGTGGAACCGATTTCAATTAGTTTACGGTACAACGGTGTAATTAGCAAAATTCTCCTACCAATGGCTCGTACAATTGCCGAGTTCCTTCGACCTTCGACCGAGTTTTCCGCAATGGTGAAAAATGTGCAGCCTGGTTGAGGTGCAAATTTTCCATCGGTGCGGAAAATATTGGAACGAGTCGAGGAAATTCGGACCAACTTAAAAGGAGATATGCGTACCATGCAATCGGCTAATTGGTATTGAAATAAGCAAACGAAGCTGGAAATCGTACTTTATGCTTGTTTCTTGCGCCATTGGACGTCAACTACTTGCGAAATTATAGAGAATTGCGAACGGTAGAGTTTAGCAAATGATACGCGAGACAATGAAAGTTATGGATACTTTTAAGAGAAAGCAGTATGCGCACACACGTGAAGGAAATCATAGAGTAGCTTAATGCTTCGCACGAAGAAATACTATGTTCCACAACCACGACAGGACTTACAAAGTCACTAGGTCCAGAGTGCCTACGACGTGGAACGCGTGAAGGCACGCATAACGTGCCATCGCTTCCTATAAAATCATTATCGGCATTTTATCGGCGTGTAAAATTCCTTGTATGCTTGAAAAGTTACATTTTTCACTCCGCAGGGTTATAAGAGTTAGAAAGAAACAACTGCGCGGTTCTCGAGCCGAGGAAGTACCGCGCTGAATGACTCATAGCTCACTCACGGTCGAGATTCAAAGCAGTGGATATAAATCCGATTCCTTACCTGTCAAACCTCGATACCCCAACGAAGTCGAATCCAACGACTCGCTGGTCTCTTGCTGATGCTTTGCGAAGTCATTGATGGCAATACCTTTTAATTTAGATGGCTGTAGGAACCTTTTAGGGATTCGAGACAGTGGTCCGTTCTCTCGGGTACCCGTGGGACATCCTCCGAACCCAAGACCGAGCAAAATCGCTTCGGGGTCTGCTCTTCTTAACTCTAGTAAACTCTCCACGCTGCTGCACCGACTGCTGTCGGACCGCAAGCTTGGATCACGAGTTAAAATGCTTCGAGGTGCAGAACTGAAGAAAGCGGTGATATGAATCCATGTTCTATGATATAATTAATTTCTTAATTGGTTTTATTGCACACCTAGGTAATCCAGGTGTACTAGTTGCTGCTGGAGAAATGGGAATAGGCGTCGATACGGATGTATCTAAATTTTTATCTCGATCCCCATCGACGAGTAGTTCTTCCGACGAGTTTTGAAATGTTGGTAGCAATACGTTATCGTTATATTCATCATCTTTTGTTGCGGTTGATACGCTAACGTTCGATTCCACAGGTGTCGGGATGGAATCGACCCATCGTTGAATCGGACCAGCCCGGCGTCTCATTGCCCAGAGACCACGCAGCCAACCCGTTGCACGTATGATCACTTCTTTACCTGGGTTTTCTGCAAAAAACATACAAATTCCCATTTAAAACCCTTTACACCACATCGCGAATTCATTTAACCATGCTGTGGGACATAGAATTTGAGCCATAACAGATGGATTAGTACAATCCACAGGTCATAAAATTAAAACCCCACCAAGGAATTCCTTTCAACGACTGATAACTTATGTCATGTAACTCGTCTCAAAAAGGGAATGCACCGTGTATATGTCCACGTAAACAATGTCGCAAACGTGCGACTTACTACAAACAAAACTATCTCCTGAGAACTAAAACCCATCGGAGCAGATAGCATTTCCTCTTCGAAACGACTAATCGACATGCAGCGAAGTGTGCAACACGTGGCTAAGCATCGAAGAGGAATTCTTTCGGTGAGGCTCCAAAAAAGTGCTTCTAACATTTAGCCGCATACCTGGATCCATGTCCTGGAAGCGTGTACAGAGAGATTGAGTGTACCGAGGGAGTAATGGGTGTGAACTGTTATAACGTTATTGTAAATAATTATAAACTTAGAATTATTTTATCGTGGAACTTACCAGGATTAATATCTGGTTGTAATGAACCCTTGAAAGCGCAGATGTAGTTTTCGCTAATTCGTTATTTCGGCACTATGTCGAGAAGTGTGGTTAATCCGAGGCGGAACGCGTCGCGCGTTCCGAGACCTATCACCGTCTCGACGGCTCGATTGGCTCGAGGCTCGAGTCGGGCGATTTGTGCTTCAGCGAACCGATTGACGGATCTACCACCACGGAGTGCTCGTTAATCGCCTTCCTCCGCCTCCGCGACCCTCGCCACGGCCATGCCTGGCCATGCCAAGGACCAGCGCGAACTTTATTCCACTTTGTTCGACTTCGGGCCGCTTAAGTGCGGCGCGGCGCGACGGTTCCCCGAAATCCTTTAGAAATTTTTCGAAATCAGAGAAATCTTGAAGCACTCGACGATTCGGCTGTGATAGAGTTGCAAATGTGTACGAGGCGGGGGGAGAAGTGTTTAATTTGGGTAATTGAAGAGTTGGAATAATTGCGCGAGGCTCGGGAGACTGGAATAAAGGGGGAATGTAAAGTGGAACCGTATTTCGGAACGGGTTTTCAGAGAAGCGTAGCTGGTCTCGTGAGACGCGTTTTACTGGGTGGATCGCTGGTAGTGGCTTCACACTCGGGCGCCCGTCGTTGCGCAATCGCTGGGTAATTCCTTGGAAAAAGAAGTTCCTTACCTTAAATGTCGGAAACCACGCAAAGTGTGCGCGATTATCAACCGCGCGTAAAAAGCGACGTGACCTCGTTTCGATCGCCGAGCTACGATTGACTGTAATTAAGACCCGGTGATAAGGGAATGCCGAAACAGTTATTTCGAAACGCCGCTGACTCATAATCTGAGTTTATAGCTTCTCGACGATTTGTAATATTTGTAAATAATTATCTCCGTGGATTTATTCATCTGTCGACGGAGATATAATTAATTAATGATAACGCGAAATTTAAACGGTCGCGCTAGTCGGCAGGCTGGTTTCGATAATATCGATTCGTAGATATCGAAACTCGAACCGCCATTTTGAATGCGAGTTGTGAAACACGAAGTGTGGATGTTTATGGAGTGATTTACATTGTCGAACGTAATTGCATGTAACTTTCGTGACAGCGGATGCAGGCATTGGCAGATACTTGATAAAGCTGTTAACAATTACTTGGTGGCACGTAATTGCGTGCCACCTTCCTACTTTGGAGGTCGTTCGGACTTCGTGATTTTAAGTCTTTATTGCAGGTGACGTATCTTAGATAATCGGTAGACGAAACTTTGGAAACATGTCAGCTCGAGGAAAAAAAAATAAGGGCAAGATCGTGGAAAGGAGGAAACGTCACGTTGTGGGCAAAGAGGGAAGGTTTCTTCAGGAAAGGGACAAGTCGGATAAAGAGGATGAATCGGGTAATTTAGTAATGTTATTAGGAGACAAATGTTGGAAAAACATTGTGCATTTATAAATTAAATCTATTACAGAACCTGAGCAGGAACGACTGGTTGCATTTCCAGTGGCTATGTGGGATTTGGAGCATTGCGATCCAAAGAAATGCTCCGGTCGGAAACTTGCTCGCCATGGACTTATAAAAACATTAAGGTTAGGAGTCAGATTTCCAGGATTAGTATTAACTCCAATGGGTACAAAGGTAAGGCACTTGGTAAATTATTAAGTAAACTAAATCTTACTTAGATTTTTATAAATTTTCTATACAGTGTGTAAACCCATCGGATCAGGATATCATACGAGACCATGGTTGTGCCGTCGTCGATTGTAGTTGGGCCAGGCTCGACGACACTCCATTTGGAAAAATGCGAACACCTAACCCTCGCCTTTTACCTTTCCTGGTCGCAGCCAATCCCGTTAATTATGGAAAACCTTGCGAATTGAGTTGCGTCGAGGCAATAGCAGCTACTCTTTTAATAACTGGCTTCACAGAAGAAGCCAATCTTTATTTAGGAAAGTTTTCTTGGGGTGGTGCATTTATAAAATTAAATGCCGAACTCCTGGAAGGTTACGTTGCATGCACGAATGCTGAAGAAGTCATCGCGGTTCAGGAGAAATTCCTTGCCAACGCGAGGCAAGAAAGGATAGACAGGCATTGTAAGATTTTACTTTAAAGTACCTTGGTGATTCTTACAATCATTACAAATTGATTAAATTGAATTGCTCTCTCTATTCAGCAATACCAGACTTTCCATCATCTGAGAGCGAATCCGAAGACAAGTCGGAGGAAAGGACCCCATCGGTTCCCGTCGTAAATACACCTGTAACCGAACAACCGGACAGCAATAATCAAGATTAAAACAAAATCATTGGTTACTGTAAATTTCAAGCACATTTGTACATAATACAAGATAATTTTCCTAATTATGATAAATCAAAATCCTTCCTTCCAGTTGAGCACAAGTCTTTGGCGCTACAGCTTCATTCATGCTCCAGTCTCTACCTTTCCATTCTTAAATGTCAGGTGAAAATACCCTGAAGACCCATTGTGCCATTTTCATCACACGAAACCAGGAAAGACGAGCTGCTCCCCGACAAATGACACGTGATGCGTCAAGTACCGTCACCGGAAATCAATATGGCTTATGATGCATCGAAAGGAATGCTCCGATTAATTTCACCACATCTTACACTCAAGAATTTTATTACATCCTTCCAATTCATACAGTCATACTGTAAGGCAATACCAAAGCACGCATTAATATTCACTCGTTTGACAATTTCCGGCCGCTGTTTAACACCTTGAATTTCTCCAGGTTTCTCCACACGCTTTCCAGCGCGCGCCTGCGCGCAACGTCCGTTTCTACTTGACTGAATCTCGAGAAGAGGAGAGCGGGACGCGGAGTCGCGCCAGCTGACAGCTCGTGACGTCACGGAAACAAAGCCATGCGCGGTCGATCGCGACAGCGGACTGAGCGGACTCGCCTGGCCGTCGAGCCGCCGAGTTGCGGACTTACGGAGCCCGCCTAGGAAGGACCACAGCATCCAGCCAGTCGCGAGCCAGGTGTCGAGCCCGTCGGCTGCAATTTACCGCGGCGCCCCGACGTCCCGACGTCTTCCGCGGCGCCGAGGGCGCGACGCACGGCCGTCCGAAGGCCTCCGACGCGGCGACCAGAGCGCCAGCGGCAGCCCGAGCGGAAGGTCGTGCGTTGTCGCGCGACTCCTCGGGGTCGCCCGGAGGATGCCCTTCATCTCGAAGGACTGGCGTAGCCCGGGCGAGGAATGGGTCAAGACCGTTGGCGGGTGGGAGAAGAAGAAGATCCTCGAGTGCGCTAACGGGAGGACGCTCTCGCTTTTGCTGCGGTGAGTGAGACAGGACGGAGCGTCGTCGTAACGCGACGAAACAAAGGAAGCGTCGCGCGACAGCCGACCTGGCTCCACGAACAGCTGGTCGCGACGCATCGATCCGACCGACGCATTCCCGAGTTCCCTTTGTTTATCAGTCGCAGCTCCTGTCAGTTCTGCGGGTCGCGAGTCGCCGCGTAGATTCTCGGTAGCAACAAGATGGGAACGTCCTCGTGATGCGCCAATCGACGGGCACTCGGTGTTTGGACCTGCTCGCCATAAGTTCACCGTCTGTCACCGCGTTGATGTCGCTGGGCTTTTCCTTGTTTCTTTTTTAAACTTTTTCCCCTGTTTTGTACTTTAGAGCTCGCCCGGCTATTTTTAGGAGAAAGTATTACGGGTGTAAGCACGTCACCTTGGGAGAATGTCTTCGGGAACTTTTTATTTCACTCCGCTGCGAAGGGTTTTCTCAAGGAATTTATTTTAACCGAGTTGGTTTGGATTAAAAATGAGAGTCAGGGGTAGGACTGTAGGTGTGATGTGGAAAGTTGTGCGATAAAGTTTTCAAGGTACAGGGATACGTAGGAAATTCTTAGTTGCCCTGGATCTTTGATCTTTAAAAATAGTGTTTTTACAAATGGCCTGCTGAATCGAGCACCTTTTTCTTGATTTTCAGCAGCGAAAAGGATGGAGACAAGAAGGAAAAGGAGAAGGAAAAGAAGAAAGGTGAGTGCCTCGGCGCCTGTTGTGCCATCGGGACCATGAAATTGTGGAAGAATTATCCGAGCGAGCTAATGAATGCCGTTTCCTAACGTTTCAGAGAGCGCGGTCCAACCGCATTGTCACATCACGCTCAAGTGCACTCGAGAGGTGAGCAATCTTGGGCTTCAAAAAATACTCAAGGTCTTGGAATGGTTGCTTCGTCTCCAATGCAGCGAATACTCTGTCACAGCATGGCTCTACTAAAATTAAAATTGTAATTACAGTAATTGGTCAAGCGGAAGCGTTCATCCTGTTTTTTTTTTTCCAATCCACAGATCGCCGGCTTCAACGGGCTGAGCGACGCCCTGAAGAGGCTGGACTTCCTATCGGCCGTCCACGATTGTCGACGCTTCAACTACATTGTGCGCCTCCTGGACCTTCTGGTCAGCCACTGGATGGGAGGATTGAGCGGATGCGCTCAGCGTGTCCTCTTTAACATGCTCGAGGAGGTCGCGTTAGAGGGTATGGCGTGCTCCGTCTTCTCGCTCGATTAATTCGAGAAAGTGTACGATGATTAACATTCGCGATATTTCCCCCAGTGTCTTTGTCGCAACAGCAAACGGGAAGACTGCGAAGACTGATCGAGCGGGTTCGGGCGTTCAGCTCTGGATGCTGCTGGGGTGGCAGGCCTCTGGGCTCGGTCATCCTCTGGGAGAAACATAAAGCCGCCCTGGAGAGAATCCTGCAAATAGCGTCGTCCATCACGATCACTCAGCCGGACGAGCAGCAGCATCCTCAATGGTCCGACCTGCCCGCCGAGTGTCGCCGAGAGGTCCTTCTGCGATTGAGCGATCCTCGGGATATAGAGAGTGCCTCGAAGGCCTGCGAACATCTCGCGATTCTGGCCCAGGAGCAACGAATCTGGAGGGAATTGGCGCGGTACCATTTCACGACCCAGCAGATCGCCACGACTCGGCAGAAGAACCCGGGGAAGGACTGGAAGACTATCTTCACGCTCGCTCGGAGGTTCGTTCCTCTCGGCGAAGATCTTTTGATACATTATCTGGTCCCCCTGGGATCTAGTAATTCTGTACGATGTATCTTGGGTTCACAGGTCCTTCGGTTTGCGTGAAGAGTACGCGGAGATGATCCAGCTCTGTCGCAACTGCCGATGCTTATTCTGGCGATCCTTGGGCCATCCTTGCATCGCTGACCAGGACCCAGCGTTCCAGGAGAAGCTGGCCGACGTGGACCGGGCTTCCTTGCATGTTCCGATTCCTCCGCAAGCCTTCCTCGAGTTCTTCTCGTTGTAGACAGGCCGCCTAAGTCCAGGCACGTTATCGGCAATGTCCGCGACTCAAAACCGGGTTCCTTGTCGGTGGGTCGAGCCGCGTTTCTTCCGCATCGCGGAAACAACTGGCGAGCGTCGAATTTTTTTTTTTTTTAGCAGAATCGAGCTCCCATTTGGATACTTTCCGAGCATTCGTCGAAACGCGGGATATACTCCATTTATTATCTGCTGATTTGTAGTTGTGTATATTTGTGATGATACTTTTTGGTGCTTCGGTAGCTCCGTGGAATCATTGATCCGACATCGGTTTATTTTTTTTTTTCTCTCTTTTCTACGATCCGAGTAAATACGCTCGAAAACGATTTATCTTGTAGTCGGCACGATCCGGACGAAATCGGAGACTGTGCTCTCGATCGCGCGACGTTTTATTCGAGGACGCTTTCAGAGGAATCGAGATGTCACGTTTGATATTACGGCGATTTGATCTTTCCCGAAAGAGGCGGTATCGAGGAGGGACGACACGTTGGCGAGGGAATTTGCGATTTTTGCGTATTTTTGCGGAACCGCCTCGTCGTGTCATATCAAAATGTTTAAAGAGTTCATCGTAGGTTCCGAGAGAAAATTATTAGCTGGAGATGCGTTCGATTTTATGGCGTAGTCTTTGGGAAATTGTCGAATGCCCTAGGCACTGCAGCGTCTCCGGAGCGAGTTCTTCTTTCAGCGTTTCTTCTTCGTGTCGCTTCTCTCTTGGATATAGTCTCCCTAATTTACGCAGCGAACGCAATCCCGTTCGTATTGGGACGTACATAAAGGGTCTTCTATTTAAGGCATTGCGAAGACTCGCTTCTGGAAACTTCGCCGGCCTGTTTCCTCGCGCTAGCGCGAGTTATTTTCATCTCTGCATACGTACGTACGGGTTTTGGACTAAACCGAGGGACTCTACCTCGAAGCGAACGTTTATTGTTAGTCCTCGAGAGCGTAGATGTCTCGTATACAGGATTTGGATCGTGTAAATCCATGTACTGCCACTGCGGATGCTATTGCATTTACGTGAAATTCCCATTCGTTGCGAGTCTTTCCGTTAGGGGCAACGCGAGGAGGTTGTTTTTGATATTTGCTTTGAATTTTTAACGCCACCGTACGATATATTTTATTAACCTAGTCATTACGTAGGACGACCAAATAACGTCAACCTTACGATGAGAAAAAGAGAAATATTAAATTACTATGAGGAAGGCGCAGGGGGAGAGAGGGAGGAGGTTCAAACGTCCGAATTCTCGATTTTGGCAGCTCGTTATGTTATATGCCAACGTAATTAATGTAGCAGGATTGTCGCGCTAAGCGCGACTTCTCCGCGACAGCCATGTTCCAGGCCGAATCGAATGATATTGATGAACACGAGATCGCGTTACTATTTTACCTACCTAGATCAGTGTGTAGTGCGGTATTGTGCAAAATGCTTCGAAATAAAAAATCTATTTAAATATATTTCAAGGACCTAAGTGGTAAACTCGATATATTTTGTAATGTCGGTATTTTTTGTTGAGGAATTATGAGTAGGTTCGGGCGTGATGCGACTGGTCCAAGATTCAAATTTCGCGGTATGGTTTCCCAGGTGTACTCGCGCGGTGGCGACGGTGGTGACATCGGTATGTTTGGGGCGCAACTACTTCCCTCGCCAAGCGACGCGCGCATGCGTCGCTCAGAACTTCAGTGACGCTGTGTCCTGTTGGGTACCGCGACACTCCGCGGTCCTCGTTGAATTAATTTCAAGTATATTTAGTGAATCAAAGGGAATCCACCGGAATGTCCTCCGCCCCGCACGGAAAGAAGCGCGTCTGTTACTACTACGACAGTAAGTTAGAAAGTATCCTGAATTTCATAAAATCGGACGTTCCGTGGAAACCCGTGCCTTGACGGGGGTTTGTCAAAATGTGTTTGTCCCTCCACGCTCGGATCACATACACGGTATTTTCTCCAGCGTACGGTTGATTTCTCGGTGATTTTTGTACGATTCGACTTGTGTTTCGTGGATATCGATAAGACCCGGTTTTCTGCGAGAAAAGATCGAATTTCGATCGCACTCTGTGGGCGCCAGTACGATTTTTCTAGCGTTAAGCCGAGAGATTCTCGAGTGAAGGCTCGCGTGCCTGTAGTTTACGAATGCCTCGTAGCGTCAGCCATGCCTACGGGCGCACGATGTTCACTTGAGAATCTCTACTGACACACGAGATTTCCCGCTATTTTTGCGACTTGCGTCTATGAATTTCTGCATTCGAGCTCGGTTAATTATTTCTTTCATTCCGAAATTGATCGCTTGATACTGAAAATATTTCAGAATCGATTTATACTTATTTTCTCGACTACGGTCGGACTCCGAATTGAAGCGTAACTCCGTTTTGGCGCCACTTTGACAGTATTTTCTGAATTGGATTACCTGATTTAGACATTTTTAATTTTTATTTCCGCCGAGAATATTCCTTTTAGAAGATAAACGGGTTGAAAAAAAATTATAGCTTTGCGGTGAGATCGATGGAAGCATATAAGGTGCATAGGTTTTGGTATTAGCTATAAAAATCATTAATTTATGTAGGCTTACCTCATTAAATACTTTTATCAAAATCTTTATAATCATAGGTGACATTGGGAATTATTATTATGGGCAAGGACATCCCATGAAACCGCATCGCATAAGGATGACTCATAATCTACTTCTTAATTATGGACTTTATAGAAAGATGGAAATTTACGTAAGAATATTGTATTATGCGTCATCATATTTTAATGAAGTCTTTGACGGTTTGACCAATGTCATGGGGGTTACAAAAAACTGTTCTTTACAGCGTCCACACAAAGCCACTGCCGACGAGATGACTAAGTTTCACAGTGATGAATATATTAGATTCTTAAGATCCATTAGGCCAGATAATATGTCGGAGTACAACAAACAAATGCAAAGATGTAAGGAATTTTTATATTAAAATTAAGTATATCTGTTGCTTTTCATTTAAAAAAATAATGTGGAGGTTGCATATATTTTTTGCTCTGATTAACAGTTAACGTGGGTGAAGACTGCCCTGTCTTTGATGGCCTGTACGAATTTTGCCAGTTGTCAGCTGGTGGCTCCGTAGCAGCAGCTGTTAAATTAAACAAGCAGGCATCCGAAATTTGTATAAATTGGGGTGGCGGTCTGCATCATGCAAAAAAGAGCGAAGCATCTGGCTTTTGCTACGTGAATGACATTGTATTGGGAATTCTTGAGCTGTTAAAGTACCACCAAAGAGTCTTGTACATTGACATTGACGTTCATCATGGTGATGGTGTAGAAGAAGCATTTTATACAACGGATAGAGTAATGACGGTGTCTTTTCATAAGTATGGGGAATATTTCCCTGGTACTGGTGACTTAAGAGACATCGGTGCTGGAAAGGTAATCAGAACATCAACATCTGACTCGTAAATCATGTCTGCCATTATACCAGTTAATTTCACAAAATCAAACAATTCCAATATAGGGAAAATACTATGCTGTCAATATACCTCTTCGAGATGGAATGGACGATGAAAGTTACGAGTCAATTTTTGTTCCAATCATTTCAAAAGTAATGGAAACGTTCCAACCATCAGCTGTGGTTTTACAGTGTGGGGCGGATTCATTAACAGGTAAATCAGTATGACCATGTTATGGCAAAATTGCACATTTAAAATGTATGATTTTTGGGCAAAATTTAACTAACATTTTTACACGATTCAGGAGATCGATTAGGCTGCTTCAACCTTACAGTAAGAGGTCATGGAAAGTGCGTGGAATTTGTGAAAAAGTACAATCTACCGTTTCTAATGGTTGGCGGAGGGGGCTACACAATCAGAAATGTGTCGAGATGTTGGACGTATGAAACATCGGTAGCACTGGGCTCCGAAATTGCTAACGAACTCCCCTACAACGATTACTTTGAATACTTTGGACCAGACTTCAAGCTCCATATCAGTCCATCGAACATGGCTAATCAGAACACCCCTGAATACCTCGAAAAAATTAAGTGAGTATTAATTTTGCCGTAGCTTAGGTATAAACATGACCGATTGACTTGTACATTAAAAATATTTTGTCGATCCCCGAAGGACAAGACTCTTTGAGAATCTGAGGATGCTACCGCATGCCCCCGGAGTCCAAGTCCAGGCTATCCCTGAGGATGGTGCGATAATAGAAGACTCGGAGGCTGAAGAAAAGGTTAACCCCGATGAGAGACTGCCGCAGAGAGATTTAGACAAGAGAATACAGCACGAGAACGAGTACAGCGACAGCGAAGACGAAGGAGACGGTGGTCGACGCGACAACAGGTCCTTCAAGGTAAGCTTCCTTTACGAATCGAATTCCTTCCCAACCGATTCTACTAGTGATCGACAACGATTCTAACTGCTCGTCTCATAATTGCTTTCAGGGGTCCAGAAAGAGGCCTAGGTTAGAAAAGGGCCAAGAAGGAGTCGAGAGCGACATAAAGGAGGACGATATCAAGTCCGAAGTAAAAGGTAAGTCGCCGGATGGCTGATCTATAATGGATATCAACTTAATTCTCAATGACGCAAGGCAATATCTCATTAACGCATTAATTTCTGGCAGACAATGAGAAAGATGATAAGACCAACGCGTCGAGCGACGAGGCGAAGAAAGACGGGGGCGCGAATCCTTGATAAATGGCGCTCTCGCGACTCTTATGCAATTAAGAGATCCCTTTATTTAATTGAAATCTAGATAAGCATCGGTAAATTAAGCGAGGAGGGAGATCCCTGGCCGGCGGAATCGGCCGCGGCGCTTCGACGAGGCCAGGCTCTTCTGCACTTCTGGACTCGCCTCGAATCGCGTTTTTCTCTTGGCTGTCATGCGAGACACCGCCGGGTGTCCCGTGAAAAGTCCACTATAAAGTTCATCCCGAAGCTCCCCCCTGGGAGGTCAGCTTTTTTCTTCTTCGAACGTCGAAGCGCAGGATCCGCCTATCGAGGAGGTTTAGCTTAAGGTCGATCAACCTTGGTCCGTAGCTCTCGCGAGAGACATCCAAGCATCCACCGATTGATTCCGAATATACCCTATACATAATTCATTATTGACTCGCTCCTTGGATCTTCGACTCGACAGTTGTTGGCGGCTCCAGCTGGTCCTCGGCTCGAGAGGACGTTGACTATTCGCGAGTGGACCAGGCCGAATGCGCGACTTCCATCCTCGCGAGGACTCGTTTCGCCGCGATAGGTCTTCTTTTGCTTCCTACGTCTGTACATAATAATCACGAATGCCAATCTCGAGTGAACTCCCGTGCGCAATAACGTATATGTTCGTTCTGACGTGTAAAGTATTTTATTTTTTATGAAATAACTGGAGAGAGAAAAATATTGAAAATCACCGAGGAGAAAAGTGCGAATGACGTGGAATATCGAGGAATATATATATATTCGTTTACGAGTACTAGGTATAGACTATCTCGAGTAATAAGTTGAGCGGTTAATAATTGTAAAGTGGATTAGGAGAGAGGGAATTAAGTTCTCTCCGCGAATTCTTCGTTCGTCTCGTATTTGTGTATGTTCGAAGTCTCGAGATTAGGGGCAAGCTCTGGTTTCCCGGAGGGAAATTATTCGGTTATCGATGGATTGTACGACTTCCGGAATTAATCAGAGCGATTCTTCAAGATCTTTGCACTCTCGACGACTTGATCCTCTCACTGGCGAGCGCGTATAGTAGGATATTTTTCTGCAACTACCCTTTACGTTAGTGAAAAAAATTATAGTGGTGTCATTTCGATGGGGTGACTCTCACTCCCTGCTGAACTAAATCTTTCGAAGGAAGGTTTCGACTTACTCAGCGTCATTAATCGTTCGTCGATGTCGTCCCGCGTATACATGTGTCCGTTTGGAGATAGAATCGAGCACAACGTATTTATGTCAGAACACGAGATACACGAATGTTTTTAAATATTTATAATAAAATGATCCAGAAATCTATTGTTGGTTCGAGTAACTTTTTCATGCCAGTCTTCGCTTAGGTCATTCGATGTTTAATTCAGACTTCTACGAAGAGACGAAGTTAATTAATCATGTGGATAAGCAACGAGAGTTTCAGGAATTATTAGAGGTACGGATATTTAACAGTCGCAAGATTTATGCACTTGGTACATGAATGTACAAATATTTGAACAATAACTTATTAGGGAAATTAGTACAGTGTCTGTATTTTATCAAGAGTTATGTACATGTTATGATTACAACCAGTTCTTAATTGTAACGCGGTAATAATTATACCCGAACGCCTAAGCATTGTACCAATCGAGAAACAATAAGGAAAATGACATAACCAGTAGGAAAAATAGTATCGATACCCTAAGTCCTGCGTTCCTTTGAATAGCTTGGCGAATCTGCTCGTTGGCTTCTTTTACATTTTCTGTAGAACCAACAACGGTTGTCATCAGTCGATCGAGATCTTTATCTTGGTCTAAAACCTTTTCGGTGAAGATTTCCTGTAGTTCTGCGATATGCACCACTTTACTCTCGATCTGTTTAATCTCTTCCGTCAAGGTATTTAATTCATTAAATAGCTGCTGATTTTCGGATTCGAACATTTGAATATCTTCGGGGGACAGTTCTTCTTCATAGGTAAGAGTATTGACATCGCCATTAATCTCTAGAATTTTCATAGGGCTCGATTCAGCTGATCCATCTGTATTATTTTTCTCTGTACTTAAATTATCTGTTGATTCCTGTTTTCTAGATGAACGATCTATGTTCAGAGAAGGTTTGATATCTGGCTCTATCTTTACCAATTTTCGCATCTCAACGGTCCTCTTGACTCGGATTGCCTTTTGCTCGGAATAAATCTTGCAAACATTTTTCAAGTATTCTTCAATAAGCAGTAACATTATCTCTCGGTGTTCTAGATTCTGTTGTGAGACTTCTTCTTTCATAACTTCTCTTTTTAATTCTTTAATAAGCTGTGAACAAGTACTCATTATTTTTTGCGCTCCGATATCAATTTCATCTCTGTCGACATCCGTCATTTGTGGGAGACTGGAAAGGTGACCAGAGAAATTCAAGTAGGCACTGCGATTATTTAACAAAAATTCACGTAATTTAGTAACTTGAGTTACCACATCACTTGCTTTAGTGAAAAATGCACTGCGTGCTTTAAGTATTCTTGATTGTGCTATACTTTCATTTGGAAAATCCAGTGCCTTATTGCGTAAACGTACCGTCTTTACGCAAGCCTTGAATAAATTACTGATATCCATTTCAGTTTTTTTATAATTTTCAAATTTTCTAGATTAGTAGATTTTAAACATCAGATTCTTTGCAAGTTGCTATTATTAATGGTGTGTCTGAAAAAACAGTGGATAATTGCAACAAATACTTGTGCTATAAAAGTAAAAGAAAATTCAGTTGAAACCAATTTGAGAAAGTAACATTTCAAATTAACGTTACATCTTGTCGAATATTAAATTATTCAGTAATATATTTTGACTTACCACGAGTATAACAATAAAATCAATTTATCTTATAATTAGCAGTAACGGATGCTGATGGAAGACAAAAATACTTTTCTTTTATGCTTCCTAAAATTATCTAAACGTATTGTCAACATCGCAAAGTAACCTCCAATTGGCGTAGTGGAATGCTAAGAAACGAATTACAGTGACGACGTATCATTTTAATGTCAATCATTTACGTAACTTGGAAATCATTCATTTCTACTGTTAACGGTACGAAATGTAACACCTGTTATAAAATATTTTCGACCATCAGTGCCCAGTATGTAAAATTGACAAGCATAGATAACAATTTAGAGAGACCTGGTGAATCTATTTTACCAGATTCTATAGCGCCATTTTGTGGAACTCTAGTGAAGCTCATACTTTCCTGACAATGTAACAATTTATTCACCTGTATCGAAAGTGACCAATGAAGTAGCTATTTTATATCCATCAATGACGTGAATAATCGCACGTCATTGGTCGATTCTGACTGAGAGCAACGGCAACGACCAATCGCTGAGCTCCATTAACCTCTCCTCAAACCTATCGAGTTTGTTCTACCATGCCGGGTAAAATCGGAATAACCTAAAATAACCTATTTCCTGGGTTATGATTAGTCTTTATTCGTTGTCGGTACTGTTATAAGCAGAATTTAGGAATTAATAGGCCTTTGTTCCTGGAATAAAACGGGGTGAAATTAGGAAATCGTGGGCGCGGTTTGTTCGACGCGACTTTGGACACTCCCAATACCTATATTTAATACCGTATACGAATATACGACCTCAAGCGGATTTAGTAAATGTGTCAGTGTAGAAGTGCACATTGGCAAGATGGCACGTCAGCAGCAGGGCGACGTCGATGAACTATTTGATGTAAAAAATCACTTTTACATTGGGAATTATCAACAATGTATCAACGAAGCGCAGAAAGTCAAGGTACGTATTCGTGGATCCATATAACACTAAGCCGCGTCGTGAGCTTTAACATTATTACCGAAATTCTCCCTTAATGACACATCAATGCTGCAGATCTCTGCAGAGCCTGCAGTCAGTTTTTCCAATTTGCTTAAAACATTGTCAAATTGTTTCTTTGATTTCGCTCCGTTTGATTACTCAGTTTCTTAAGTTTTCCAGTTGTTTAGTATCGGTTTCTGATCATTTTATTTTAACATTGTCCAGCCCTCATCCCCCGAAGTGGCTATGGAGCGAGACGTCTTCTTATACCGTGCCTACATAGCCCAACGTAAATTCCGCGTGGTTTTGGACGAGATCAACAATTCTTCTCCTCCGGACTTGCAACCACTTAAGATGTTGGCTGAATATTTTGCCAATCCAAATCGTCGAGAGACTATACTAGCAGAACTCGATCGAGCAGCGAATTGCACAAATGCAGAGAATCACAATTTCATGATAGTCGCCGCCACCATTTACTATCACGAAAGGAATCTGGAATCTGCTCTTAGAATACTGCATGATGCCGATCACTTGGAGTGCTTGGCTTTGACTCTGCAGATTTATTTGAAAATGGATCGATTGGATTTGGCTCGCAAGGAATTAAAAACGATGCAGGAGAAAGATGACGACGCGACGCTAACTCAGCTGGCTCAAGCTTGGATTAACATAAGTAGCGGGGGTAACAAACTACAAGAAGCTTATTACATATTCCAGGTAATTATTTTGAAGTTATTCGTTCCAAAGGATAATTTATCGTTTCATATCTTAAGAGTATCTTGAAAAGTGGGCAAAACAATTTAATTTACTTTTAGGAAATGATCGATAAACATTCAAGCACGACTATGCTTTTAAATGGTCAAGCTACTTGCTTTATTGGACAAGCAAAGTACGAAGAAGCTGAGACAGCTTTGCAAGAATCTCTTGACAAGGATAGCAATAATCCTGATACATTGATCAACATGATCGTGTTATCGCACCACATGGGGAAACCACCCGAGGTGTCTAACCGATATCTGAGCCAATTAAAGGATTCCCATCTTGAACATCCTTTTGTAAAAGAGTATTTACAAAAAGAAATTGAATTCCAAAGGCTAAGGAAACAGTATTCACCCTCGGCATGAGAGCTTTGTACTCGCCTTTGGCACTCCTTTGATTAGATCGAACTTCGACAACATGATATGGGGAGGAAGAGCATAAGCACAGAGTAATAAACCTCAAAGGATATCGACAAGATAGGTTTTCTTATGTGCTTTATGTTGTAATACAAAATTCGTGGATTTGTATAACATGCAAACATTTTCTTGTGATATGATCACATCTGAACTAGATGTGGAGAAGTCATACGTTTTTACCATATGTTTATCACAATTGATTATGTATACGCAGCAGGTACATACTAATAAATTCTCAAGTTGTATACATATGTTTTGAAGGAACCAGCAAGAACAAGTCACTTCCACATGTTGTCAATTTCAATGTCTGTCCAAGAGATGAAATTTCAGAGATCGAATTGATCTCCAGATGATCAAAATTGATCAATGGATTAAATAATGATATTGCTGCCATTTTATAATCGAATATTATTATTCAATTCTAATGCATGAATCATCTTTCTTACCAAATTTTACAAGTATTTAGAGTATTATACCATGTGCAACAGTTTGTAGTGACTTAAGTCACTTGTTTGCACCTTTAAAAATAATACCGGAAGGTCATGTTATTCTAAAGGTATTGCTTGAGTCGGTAGTCACGTTTGTGATAAATTACCACAAATTCTACACTTTTATACTCCTTTAATATCGATCATGTACTCCATCTAAGAGACATAGTTTATAAATTCAAAAGAATAGGTATATGATATGAAAACCTTTAGAGTAGTCACAGGTAATGAGTGACATAGTACAGGTTTAGGCTTTATTGCACAGTGCGCATTTAAGCATTAAAATTGCATTTCCTGTGCACAATTTACTATATACAAAGAATATATATTATAACACCAGCAAATTTTAAAGTACGAATCAAAATTCAATATACCCATAACATTTTATGATTGCTGGATTTTGTTAAGATTTTTAGGAGTCATGCATATTAAAATTGCATTCATATATCTATGCATAATGTAACATTGCTTCACCGAGACAATACGACATAATAGAAGAATATACAAGTCATAGAAGTCAAAAACTATTGCGTCTTCATCTATGTACCTGTCGATGCCCTGTCACAAGTAGTGAATAGATACTTTTTATTTTGATTCATTTAATTGATATGAAGTCACTGTTAAAATTTTGTTGATACAAAGAGTTTGTTTCCATTCTATGACTTTTTAATCTCTAAATCATATACATTATTATTTTTATTATTATAAGATAATTTTATGGCAATTGAATTTAACAACTCGTTTGTATGAAGTATCTATTGGTTGGGTTTAGTGTAACCTATAAATATTCTGGCTGTCTATTTTTGTTATTCGTCGGTGTAAGTGGTCTAATTAGCTTTTTAAAGTATCGATCTTTTAAGTCTTATATGTCATAATTATCAAGACTAAATAATGGTCAAAAGTAATTGAACAGTTTGGTTAATCGGCTTGCAGGAAATTGGTTTCACCTAACCTAACTTATCGATGCTGCTGCGGAGTTGTTGCGGTTATTGCGTACGATTGAATTTACAGAGATTTAATTCCAGGTACTACTGTTCGTAAATTGCATATTGCATTCAATAGTCAGTAACTCTCGCACTTGTTTTAACATCTGTCATTTGAACGTGAGTTCCATCCTTTTAGTTATCTAAATTTTTAATATAAAATATTCACGACGTGATATAAAATTTTGGTTAAATTCAATCGGTAATAGAAAGTTAAAAATGTCGATTCAAGTATTGTAAGTCATGCTGACAAGTGCAAAAGATTATGTTACGGTCTGCTAGCATAGACTAATAAGCTGAGAAGTCATAGGTAACCTCATGTGTCTTCTACCCCTTGTCATCAACTTCTCTATTTTTCCTTAACTCTGGTTTGATTAAAATTCTCTTTTCACTTAATTATTTATTCACAGGATTAAACGCAAGTTCTCTCAAAATACCGTAGACATGTCTTCCATGTCGGTTGACGATCGTATGTTAAAAGGCATCCGCAAAATTGTTCCAAATTTAAGTACCACAAAATACAAGGGTCAAGATGGAAGAATAGGGATTTTTGGTGGTAGCACCGAATACACCGGTGCACCATACTTTGTGGCGATGAGTGCCTTAAGAACCGGAGCAGACTTAGCACATATATTTTGTACAAAGGATGCTGGTGGGCCGATTAAGTCATTTAGCCCAGAGCCTATCGTTCATCCGATCTTGGATCACCATGACGCAGTGAAGCTAATAAAACCTTGGCTAGATCGACTTCACGTCATCGTCATTGGTCCTGGACTAGGTCGGGAAGAAAAGATCTTCAAAACTATTTCTGAAATCATTTGTATTTGTCGAGAGATGAAAAAGCCATTAGTCATCGATGCGGACGGATTGTTTCTTGTCTGTCAAAAGCCAGAACTCGTCAAAGAATACCCAGGTTTAATTCTTACACCCAATGCCATCGAATTCAGTCGTCTAGCCAAAGCAATCTTGGAAAAATCCATTCAGCCCGCTCCTGTTGTCAAGGTGTCAGATGTTAAACATTTGGCCGATATTCTTGGCAAAAATATAGTTATTCTCCACAAAGGGGCAAAGGATGTCATCGTCGATGGCCATAAAGGCACGGAAACACTATCCTGTGCATTCTCAGGGTCAGGTCGACGTTGCGGTGGTCAGGGGGATCTTTTAGGAGGCACGCTCGCTGTGTTCTGGTGGTGGGCCCTTAGTGCCGGACCTAGTGAATGTGCTCTTTCGCCTCCAATGACAGCTTCCTATGCCGCGTCCAGGTTGACCCGAGAATGTAATGCAGCTGCTTTCAAAATAAAACAAAGAGGAATGCTTACTACTGACATGATCGAACAGATCCAACCAGTGTTCGCTAGACTCTTCGAGACTCAGTGTACCAAGTGAGATACGTTGACTGATATATATCGAAGTGATTTATATTTTATATTATATTCATCTTGTGATGAAGGGAGCGTTAATTTTAAAATGTTACATTTTATATCATTTAAGCTAACGCATTTCTGTACAGGAGATTTAATATTCAATTTTCTTAAAACTGAAACTAGATCAGCCTCGCAGCCACCTTCTAGAGCATCTTCCTTCAGTGCAAGAAGTCGAACTCGAAGCACCGATTCGTAAAATAATTCCCTGATCTTACGTGGCAAAATTTCTAAATCATTATCGAGGCTTTAATGGCTGGTGTTGTCGAACGATTACTGTTTATACAAGGATATCGATGGGATGGTAATTAAATAGGACCGATTAACAAAATCAAGGAAGTCAGTTTCAAAGTAGCAAAGTAGCAATTTTGTATACATATTCTTACATCATTGTACATTTATAATAAATAAGATCTCTCAGCGATTGCTCGATCGTTACGTCAAGGTTGAGTAGTAGGGGCTACGCACCATGTCAAGGTTTATTCAACTTCCTTGCTTAAATTTATACTTCGTCACTGACACATTAACATGTAAGGGAAATTTAAGCAAAGAATCCTAGAGAGTTATTTAGCGAACGAGTATTTACGTACAGAGGCCTTGCGCGACCGTCGATCAAGTACGAAGGAATCATGACATCGACATGAACGAAATAAATAATGAGCCTAAGTTAAGGTACTCGCGAGAAGAAAAATGAATTAAAGTACGGTGTAGAAAAAAAAAGTAGGAATTGAACTCGAAAATGTAAGAAAATGAATGCTTCATTTCGAGCATGGAAACTGTCGTCAATTAACTCTATCATAATTTTTGTACATTGGTCCTTCGTATCGAGCTTACGGATAGGCTGCAGGATTCACTAAAGAAAAGTCTACGGTACATCTAGATTTAAATAAAACTCCTACGTATAATAGTTGTCAACGTTTCGGTAATGAAATCACTATAACGAGTTGCGAATTACTCGATATTCTTATCGCATGGTACTTGGGACTAATATCGAATACTGGTTCTCTTCCTCTTTGCGTACTTCATACGATGGTACGCACTCTTCGATTCCAATATCATGAAACCGACGGCTAAGCATTTTTAAGTACAAACACTAATGTAACAGCGCAATAGATTACGAGTAGAACGTTAACACCGAGGAATGATTTCCTCTTATCAGGAGCGTCGGGGGCATATCTCTGGTCAAAGCCTCCAGCCAAGCCATGTAAAGGGGAGCGGAGACGGCACCTTTTCTCGGCATTGGCAGAGACCTGAAACCATTATTTATCCCCAGAATTAATCCGAAGACGTCAAATCATTTGTTGATCACCTAATTATACGTACATTACGACCAGGGTGGACTCGCTGGAATTTTCCAGGAGTAATTCCCGCAGCCTGAGCTGCCGATACGTCTTATCGCGCAGAGTCTGAAGCTCCGTATCTGCCACGAGACATCCTGAACATTGCCCAATTAACGTTAATAACTTTAATGCAATTTTATCAAGAGGGTAAGCTTACCCGAATATTCGGAACCGTCGGTTTTCTTGAACTTCGACACCAGGTCGTCGAAGAAGGCCCGAGTGTCCTCTCGAGGCTCTACGCTGATATCGTCGACCATTTTCAAGCTGGTGTACCTTATTCGGAATTTAGCCATTATCTCGGCCATTCTGTAAATTACACGATTTTAGACCAAAGTGTTTACGGTAATTAATATCTGACAATTATATTTAATTTCAGGGAGTTTTTGGTAAACCTCGTTTACTCACTCTTGTTCCTGAGCACCTATCCCTTGCTTGTGATTAGCCAGGGCGAAGATCCGCATCTTGCAGTGCTCCCAGTTGGCTCGAGTACTGATTATGTACGGCAGGAGAATCGTCAGACCTTAAAACATTAATTTCTGCCACTTTTACAAAATGAACCTCATGTCGGTACGTATTTAGAAGAGCCGGTAGAAATGCGCGAGGTGGTGCAGAATTAATTACACCCCTCCTTGCGAGTCGGAAAGACCTTCGGATGATATTTAAGAGGCTCAAGAAAGGAATATACAAATTGTCCCACCTCGTCCATTCCACCGTTTATTGCACATTTCACGAATTACCTCCGTCGTCGTAAAGCCACCAGACGTCGATTGTACCGTGCTTGTGTTTCTTTTGAAAGATGGTCGTGTACTCTGGGGTGCCGTTCACTCCATTATTTCTAAAATCATAAACTCCACCTCAACTCATTTTTGCATTAACACCCGAGATGTGCAGGGTAATCATTTTATCCCTTACAGTAACAACCTATCCGCGATCTGTTTCTTCTTATTCTTTACGTGGTCCTTCGCACTGCCATGATTCGGAGAGTCTCTGAACATGGTCGGTACATCGACAGCTGGTGCGTATTGCGTTCCTTAAATTAATAAATGAGGTTTTGCATCGTAAAGCCGAACTTTGTACATGGTGGAATATTTTTTCAGAGCGGGTATGGGGATTTACCGATGGCCGGGACACTTTGTACTCGCGGGATTCCACCTGACATCGACAAGTCACTGTCGGCGTGCATCAAAGTGTTTCCTGCCAAATCGTAGCTGCTCTGGGCAAGGGTGGAGTGTTCTTCGTCCGAAAGCCCATTGACCGCATTAGAGCAGTCCAGCCCTTCGGGAACTCGCAAAATCGCCATTGCCAATTTATGGTCGAAGGCGTTGCTGCAAATTGTTAGATTGTAAGCACTTTGTATTCTCTCTCTCGGGGGAAAAAAAAATAGAAATGACGGGGCGGTTGCTTACTGGAGAACGTTGAAGTACTCCTGCAAGTCTTTGTGGCTGCAGGTGGACCAGTGAGTCTTGTACCCCATGAGGACGACGTTCGGTGCCAATTTCCCAACCCCGGAAGCCTGCATCAAGGCGAAAGTTCCTCTTTCCAAGCTGACGTCCTCCACGATGTGATAAAAGGACTTCACGCGGTGCCTTTGAAGCCAGGAGTATCCCCTTCGCAGTCGGGCCGATCGTACTCTGTGAGACAAGTGAGCCTGAAAAGAGGGAATGTTAATTGGAACAATGTACAGGGCTAGTTTTTCTTCACCTTGCGTACCTAGGTACGACCTTAAGAATTTAATTTTAAGGACTTACCGGATAAACTTCCCCGGAAATTAATAGAGAATGATTTTTTGTTATCAGATTCGCCAGGTGAAGCAAGGCCGGCCTCGCACCTGGGGCTCCCGATAGGGCCAGGATCTGCGGAGCATAATTCTTCACGTGCTCGTCGATGGAATTCAATCTGAAATATCCAACATTTTGTTTTCTTATGAGGATGATATTAAAAAAAAAAAAAATGGGAGGGGTTCTTGGCGGCACCTGTAAACGATCGAGAGGGCCGTCTTATAAGTCTGGGCTTGGGTGCTGCTTCCCCAATTGACGTTAGGCTTGCGATAAACCACGATAAGGTAGAGAGCGAAGATGATGACGAAAGTAATCAGAGATGTCACCCAATCGATCAGGAACATTATTCCCACGCAGAGTATGAAGCCCACGAGGGAAAGCCAGGTATTATAGTACTGCGAAAAATACCTTCATTAGTCTTCTACTAATCGTTCTACTAATCCCTCGCAATTTTTTCATCGCTTATCGATATCGAGGATTTACCTTAAAAGTCGGTCGCCAGCCGAGAGGCCGGATTAACGCCGCGTGGAATGTGCAGAAGTTGATAAGAGCGTAAGAGGCGAGATAAAAATTGGAAATCAACGGTGCGACCGCGTTGAGATTCGCTGGGGATTAGAAAGTAAGATAAACTTATCGAATGTTATTATATTTTTCTCTATTTCAGATATCCTCGAGTACTCACCGATTAGAAGGAACAGAGCTGCGACGCCGAACGTTAGGACGTACCCGCGATAGGGTTCCCCGGATTTGCCATAACCCTTCGCGAAGTATATGAGTCCTGGATAAATTCGGTCCTGCCCAAGGGCCTGGATGAGACGAGGAACGGATAATAAATTCGTCAAAGCTGTCGAGAGAGTCGCTGCGAAACAGCCCGCGTAAATGAACGGCCCCCAGAAGGACATGAGCTGCATCACCTGGATGGGAAATAAATTACGGGGATTGTTATGTCGAAACGAGTGCGTAACTCTTCGTGTAAACTATCAAGGGTCGCACCGTGTAACTATTGTGCAATCCGTAGGTGCAATTTACGGTCGGTATGCAGTCGACAATTGTGCCGTTTGCGGTGACAATGCCACTTGCATCCCTCAGGGCAGCACCCCCCGCGAACAAGGCGAAGGTGACATAGCTTATCGTCGAGATCAATAATGCAAGAAGAGTCCCGATTGGAATGCTGCTGGCAGGGTCCTTTAAATCCCCGGAAATGTTCGCACCAGCCTGAATCCCCGTCACCGATGGGAAGAAAATCGCAAAGACCGAGAAGAAGGTCTGGTTGTTGTTCTCGGAGTACCGGTAGTCCGGGCCCCAGTTCTTCATGAAGACCTCGGCTGAAATTTAATCTCTCTCGTTTTTTCAACTCATTTATAGCAACGCAGATCGAAGGCGAGGGGAGTATTCTACTCACTGGAGAAGCCCACGAACCCCTGAGCAACGTGGTCGACGTTCTTGGGACCGATCATGGTACCAATCAGGAAGTCGAATATGGCCCCGACTATAACGGCGATGAGGAAGTTTTGGGCCTGCGTAGAGAAGAAATTTAGAAGTTATTTTAACCGAAGGCATTTCATTCACAAATGGAAGGAGATCCCGAAGAGGGTAACGCGGTTAAGGAGCTCACCTTGGACTCCCACTCCATCCCGATCGCGCAAATCAGGATCATCACCAGAATCGCGACGACCCCGACGATCCTGACATCATTGACCCCGTTGTCGATGATCTTCAGGCCGTTTTCCCTGAGCAGGTCGTTCAGGGAATCGCAGAAGCCGATGGTGTTCATAGAAGCCGCCACCGCGTTCGCGAATGCGAAAACGATGCCCACGGATGCGCCAAACTCCGGACCCAAGGACCGAGATATTATAAAGTATATCCCACCTGTTCGATAATAATTCCGTATCTCATTGATCTGGCAAATTAACGTACGGAGTAGAAAAAAAAAAAAATAACCGATGATAAGGAAGTGCAGAAAAATTGCAATGTTTCGTTAATTCCAGGTATCGATGGAGTATCGATAGCCTCGGTTATTCCATCGTTATTTCGGAGAATATCGAGGCCATTACTGGAAATGAGTTCCGCTCACCCCCTTTGACTTCTCCATTAGTGCTGATTGCACTGAGGCTGAGGGTCGTGATAACGCACACTATCGCCGATACCCCGAGGATGATGGCGCTCTGCAAGATCCCGGCTTGAGCGACGACCCAGGAGAGCCTTAGGAAGAGCATGACACCCCATATGTTCAAAAGACACGGGATCAGGACACCTTGGATCCATCCCAGCTTGATGCCACCGTGACTCGATTGGCCAGCTCCAATTAATCCTGCTTCGACATTGGTGTCCTAAAAAATGAAGAACCTCCTCGTGTAAGTATGTTTAATATACTACACTGGGTTAAAAAAGTGCGAAGAGACGAGGTCTTCTCTTGGCCAATCTGCTCTCTTTACGGCTCGGCAAACTTAATGAAGTTACCAAACTTCTACTAAACTCGCCCTTCTCGAGGATCTTGGGTAAATCTCTCGGTACCTTTCGGAGAACAAACTGAAATTAATATATTGTACCTAGAGTTTTTTTCGGACAATTTATTATCACTCGAGGAATTAATTAATGAGTACTTTTAGGTAAGACTAGTAATCGCGAAATTGCTCGAAAAGGCTGCTGCGGTTTAATTCAGTGCAATTCTAGGCCGATGTAATTACCCAATCGTGCGTCTGTAAACAGACTCGTAACGGGGGTTTAATTGATTTTTTTTTTAAACGCGCGCGATCAATCATACGAGTCCACGGAAGTTCTGGAGCATCTAGGAAGAAAAATGTCCGCTGATTAACTACCAGAGGACTGGCACTTTAATGAGGGTTGTCAGGGAGCACGTAATGATTTTCCGATGTTTATCATCGCGTACTCGTCTTACGTCTTTGAGTCGAATTAGTTCCGGGATTAGCCTCGGATCGTTGTTGAAGTTTTTCTAACTATTTTCTTAAACGTATCTTTAATTTACATTTAAATTTGGGGACACGATAAAGTGCAATAAAGTCTGTTAAAAAATTGCCACTCACCTTTGTTGGGTTTCCATCGTGGAGTTCACTCAGAGACGGTCTCTTTGCACGTTTGCTCAGTCTGGGGAAAATATCGAATTAAATTTAAATTCTTGATAATTGTTTAAGAAATATTTGGAGTATCATTAAACCTGTAGTGATCCAGTCTTGGGACCACGTCCCAAAGTCCATTGACATTTAACGTCATGGTGGATCTCTTGTTATTCTGCTGGACCGATCCATTCGTCTCCCCTTCGTTTTTGCTCTGAAATTTACCCTCCATCTCTGCGGGTCTTAAAAAACAATGAAAATTGTTAATTTAAAATTCTCTTCAAAGGCGTACGCACTTTTCCATATAATGGCTAGAGTATTAATTAACGCAGAAGCTTTTGTTAGTCGGTGTTAGTCTCGATGACTCAAAAATGGGAAAATAAGATCCTTCCCCGATGTCAATAAATTTTTTAAACATTCCTCATAAGTCGCGTTCATAACGCGTGGATGCTCCGGAATGATAGTGTAAAATTAACTCGTGTTGTTGTTTACGATGCACGAGGAAGTCATTAAAATTCAAAAACAAGTTTTTTTTTTCAAGAAAAAGCAACTCGCGATTAAATCGGGCCGTCGTCCTCTGTACTTGAATTTTACGTTTCCGGTTGCCATTGGGCTCCGATATTTCCGCGCCAAGGAAAATAAATCCTTAAATGCCTGTGACTTGAAATTCCTGCGCTATTTATAAGACCACCCTGTGGATCTTAAATCTTTCCGCGAAGAAACTAAGTGCCGCTCAATTTCCAGCATTAGCGTATCTCTTTTCCGTGAAAATTTATCTTCCCACCGACTATCGATTTTTCCATTCTCAGTAATTTTTGTTTTTTATTTTATTTTTTTTATCGCTCCGTTACCTCGCTCCTAATTTCTCAGGGAATCGAGTCTCTTATCGCGAGTCTTGAACTTTCGTGAAACCGCTTCGCACCGGTCATTACCGTTCATTATCAAAGTAAACATTTATTTAGCATCCGTTAGTCCCAATAGCAACAGCCACTTCGCACTTAGATTTTCCTTAAACGCGATGGAAAAATTTCCACCACGTATTCGTTATTCCATAATTATCCCTTTTTTTTTTCGACATCATTTTCCAGACTTTTCATAAACTCCTCTCGTTAGCTTTCCGAGGGTTACCTTTCACCGGATGTGCCCGGGTAACCCGGAAAGGAATTACCTAGAGAACTCGCGCTAATTTCCTATCGACGTAGACGAAATGAAAACCGGCGCCTCCACCGTGGTTTTCGACGAAATTCGGAAAATCGAGCCAAAGAGACTCGCGCACAGAAAAAGGCACTCAATGGAAGCCCACCACCTTGATAACGATCCCAGAACGATCTCGGTGCCGTCAATTACTTTTTCTTCAGGGCACTCCTCACGTAAAGGTCCAGCATCTTGGCGAAGTCCCGCGGCCGCATTAGGCCGAGCACCGGAAGTCCGATTTTTTATTCTTTTTTTCTCGCCCCGGAAGTCGCACCGAGGGAATTCCGAAATTTCCCAGCCCGGAGGGGGGATTTCGAAACGTCGAGTTTTGCGGGCGAAAGGCTCCTCCGAGGGGGAGGGGAAATTCCGAAATAAAAGGGGTTCACTGGCTCGGATTCACAGGAGATTTCCGGTATTGTAACGGGTAAGAGTCGCGAGTAGACGGACGATCGCGCTCTCGGAGCGACGATCCGGACGAGCGATCGGAGGCGATCTAAACGGAGTTAGCGAGCCAACCCGAACTCGCGAGTGTGCTCGAGGAACCCTCGAGCCGCGGCCAGGTGTGCCGCTAAAGAAGCATGCGTCGTCCACTCGTCTTTCCCGGCCCCACTTTCTGCCCAATCGGCACCGCAAGCTCTCGGCTCTCTTTCTCCACGAGGTGGATGGAAATGGAAGGCCGAGAGGAGTCCGGAACTTGAGAAAAAAAATCAAATCAAATGGAGAACGGAAAACCCTGAAAAAAAAGAAAAAATATACGGGAGTCGAGTTTATTAATGACAATCGCCTGCTTTTTACTCAGTGCGTAAATTCAGAGCCTCGGACCCGGGAGAAGTAAAGGGAAATTGTACGGGAAAAAATTCATTACCGGAGCAGCGTTTAAGTTTCTTCCGTAAGGGCTGGATTCCTTTGACCGGGCGACCCAATATGGTCTCTATGTACCGGCAGCCATGCGCGGTTCTACCTTTCGTATAGTTTCATGTAGATAGTACGTCCGCGTGGCATTTCGCGTCATTGTTGCAAAACGCGGCGCTAATTAGCGGCTGTTCAATAATGCCAAGTAAAATCCGCTTTTTTCCGGAAATACTCGAGGTGAGAAGAACTTGGAGGACGACCACCCATGTCCCAAAATGAATCTATCGCGAAAATTCGATTTTATCGGGTCCGACTCTCGCGATCACGAATCGCAAGTCGTCGGATATAAATCTAATCTGCGAGAAGTGGACGAATTAATTCCCAGCGTTCTGGGAGTACATTGTTGGGCCAGGGATAAATGATGAAATTATGAAAATCGATTTAATGAAAGTGGGACGAATAACTAAGTGGCTTATTGATTTTCAGGTAACTCGGAGGACGAAGCTACCAGGGTGATGTCACATTGCAGAAATTATCCGAGTTAATGGCACCGGTAAACCTTGGTAACACGAGGTGCACTAAACGGAACGGGGTATGTAATTAATTTCGTACTGCCCGACGAAACGTTGAATTACGCCGTCCCACGTGCGCAGTGTTAATATTAAAGGGACGATAAACGTCATCGAGTAACTCGCTGGAAAATTTGTTGATCGATGTATATTTAATGAGTTCATAGCTCGATTTTTTCCCCTGAACACTGTTCAGAGGAAAAAAAAAAGAACATTGTCGTCAACATTCGGGACTCCCACGTGTCGATTGACTCATGTCCTGGGAAAACGTCACGACGTAGAGTTACATAATGCCCCGCACCTTGGAAATGATCTAGATACAGGGCTACTCCGATTAATCAGCGGGTATTGATATCGCAATTTTTCTATTTTGTTTTTACAACCGCAGAAGATTTCTTCCTCTCGATAATCGCGCTTCCTCTAAACGAAAAAGATATCCGCCTAGGTTTGCCATCCACGGCGTACACACCCACAGGCAATTACGGAGATGCATTTCCCTAATTAATAAATTTCCCCATAATTACCAAAGTGCCCGGCCGCTTTTCCCCTGTCTCTCGTCCCTCTTCGATGAGTTCTGGCTTCGTTCAATTAAGCTTGACGGGCTTCGATACACTTTTTCCTATCCTGGCCGTGGGTGACAAAAGTATTTCAGAGATACTTGCACCGAAGTGCGCGAACGTCTAAACGAATCTGGTCCATGCACTCGAAAAGGCGATAAGAATCCTCTGTCTGGCGATAGGGCGATATTTGAAACTCTTAATTAATTCAATCGTTAATTGGAGACTCTCGACATCAGATCACGAGACGCTTCGTCGATGATAATTCCCAGTTTGACAATACACGTTTTTCATAGCGAAGGGAGACGGAAGTATTAAAAAAGAAATTAACTCTAATCACAATTGACGCGATAAGGACTCCCTCTTGGGAGATACAGTTTGGGACTCTTAATTAATCCAACCGATAATTAATAATTTTGAGATTTGACGTCCGGACGCGAAACGCTCGGTCGAAGGAAACTCCCGGAAAATCGGCTACTCGCCGATCGCGGGCTTGACAGTAAACTGTCAGCTCACTAAATCCGACGTTTATATCAGCTACCATCAAGTTATTTAACTAACGAGTTAGTTAACCCGGTGCGAACCTTTCGGAGTATCGTATATCGGCTCCGCTTATTACGGACGCGATTCGCCGAGAGGGTATCAAAAGCTCGGTTCCTTTCCTCGCGCTCTTTCTTCAAGACAAATCGCGTATGATTAACGCGAGTTAGAGGAACCCTCGTTAACATCTCTCGGTACGCGATCCTCGATTGTTTACCACTGTTTGTCTTTACTTCCACCATCCATTCATAAGCGCTCGATTAATGTCCATTTTTCCTATCCAGATCCTCGCGCGCTCAGTTTCCGGAAGCCGTCATCGAACTTAGGATTTGTCATACGCTGATATGGATTATGCCTCACCGAGCTAACCCTGGAAATCGGTGAATTCAATTGAAAGCCGAGTCTTAACCGGATCAAACCGAGCCGGCAATTTCACCCAAGTGGTAACTAGGTTTATTCCTTCTGCGCTCTTTTCCACGATGGCGAGGATGAATCCGCGGTGTTGACGCAAAAGTGCCGGGGCAATTTGCTGTTGCACTTAGGCATTCCATTTATAGTCTTTATTTAGGTTCCAGCGAGCGGAGACCTCGGTCTGGAAGGAGACCACCGAATCCTCCTCACCAGGCTACCCAGGGTACATCTTATCATCCCAGCCTGACAATACCAGTGATATCGAGTACCGAGCGAAAGAATCAAAAAATGTCTTGGACCAAAGTGTCTCATCGCACGACGGAGGACAAGAGGTCTGCAGATTTGGTAAATTATTTACCGGCTTATCAGCACCGATACGAGACTGCATGGAGACGTTAGAACGCGACAGAAGTATATTGTGAAATAACAGGTGGCTGGAATACATCATCGCCAGGTTCTCCATTATCGTTAACCTGATCGCCGGAGTTTTTTTAATGTACCGCAGATTTTCATAATTTTCCATTATATATAAAATTATATTATATAGTATTAATTTTCTAACGGAAGCGTTCTTAAGTTCCTTGGCCTGGGGAAGGAATTAGGAATCGATTCTTTGTCGAGCCTCATTTTGAGAGCACGTGTTAAGGTCGTTTTCGGGAACGGCTTCACGATATATCCCTGATACGCGATATCACCCACTTTGTTTAACCAATCTCGCGTTGCAATGGGTGTGTTGTATCATCGGAGAGAGACTTTCCATGTGATTGAACATTAACTCGTGTTTTCAGGGTTCGCGATGAGAGTACGTGCACCATCGGATGCAAGAGTTCGTCAGCGGAGTCGAAGACCGAGGCTACACGACATTCTGTGGATTTTATCAAGCGGATTAGTTGATCGTCCAGGCTCGATCGAGCTCCCCACCCATATGGAAGGATCGAAGATTCGTAGGTGCGCCGTTTTCCACCCAGGAAAATCGAGCCCAAGGAAAATACCGGCAATTAGCGATTATCCTCCGTCAGCGCGCGAAGACCTCGGGGAAGACATTGACGACGTGGCGGACCTGGAAGATTGCGAAATCAGCGACGAACCGGAAAAGGGCGAAATTAATTAGCCCGGCCTGATTTTTTGGTCGAGGTGCGATCGCAAGGACTCCTAATTGGAGCGGAATTGCAGGAGGCGTGGGTAGAGCTTTTAACTTCGTGTTTACTCTGGGCTGCGGTCTGCGCGTGGCTGGCCTGCTAGGAGAGCTCGATTTTATGCGTTTTCGAGAGGTATCTATATAAAGCATAACGAATTTACATCTCGAACGGTTTCGACGAAAGGCGGCCAGCGGGGATTCGCCGGTCACGGGGAAAAATGGCATCTGGTCGCGGCCTCATCCCAAGGACCTCGGCAAAAGCGCCGTTTCTTGGGAGTCCTTCCGGAGTTCTAGGAATTATTCCTGGAAATCCAGTACTCGTTTTCAAAGGCCTTGGAATAATTTAAAGTCCTCCGTAAGATTGCGTTATCGGGGATTATTTATTAAGAATTGGCGGGGACGCGTGAGAGGTGCGCGCGCAGCTCGTGATCGCTTCTTCCGAAATGCGGCTGGCAGCAGCTGCCGGCTTAATTCCCTCGGAGTGGAATGGTTTCTCGAAGGCTTGGGACTCGCGCGAGTTCCCTTCGGCTGTGCAAGCCGACCGACCCGGTCCTCTCGAGATCCAACAGCCAAGATCCAGTTCGATCCAGTGCGATCCGGCGAGTCCGGGGCCTCCTGGATCGCGGACGGCCGACGGAAGGATCCTCGAGTATCCTCGGGCATCCTCGGGAATCCTCGGCCCTCTTCGCTGCCCCTCGCGCAAAACCGGCCGAGAATTCCGGACATCGCCGGCTGCCGAGAAACGCCCTTCGACGTTGCGACATGCATCGAGATTAACGGATAAACCGATAAGCAATCCAAAAACTGATGTACTTGCGCTACTTATATAATAAACTGTAAAATAATGAGTGTAATAAAGCAAGTTATTCAATGATAACAATGAGTATGTTTAATTGGACGAGACTGTCTAGCGATCCCTCCATTCGCCTATTCCTGATCCTTGAAAATCACCCGTGCCACCTCCTTGGTTGTCCTATGATCCTGTTACAAATCGGAATTTTCAATCCTTCAAATTTTTGCCCGGGAGAATTCCGTGCCACCTCCTCGGTTGTCCTATGTTCCTGTTACAAATCGAAAATTTCAATCGCTAAAATTTATGCCCGGGAGGAGCTCCGTGTCACCTCCTCGGTTGTCCTATGTTCCCGTTACAAATCAGAAATTTCAACCCTCAAAATTCTTGCCCGGGAGAAGCTCGGTGCCACCTCCTTGGTTGTCCTATATTCCTGTTAGAAATCGCCAGAGGTGGAATAGGATCATAGGACAACCGAGGAGGTGGCATCGAGTTTCTCCCTCCCTCCCCCCACTCGTACTTCCCACTGCAATTAGCACCTTCACGCGAGGTGTTCGTGCACATCCTTTCCGTGTACATGTGCGCTAGTAATTAGCCTCATTTGCACATGCCGGGCGGGGAATTAAGCGTAATTAATCGTACAAATAAACGCGTTTCCAGAAAATGGAAACCGTCCCGATGACGACACGCGCGACAAAATGTCGATCCTCCGCACACGCTTAATAATTTAATAACTCTGACGCATAAAAGGCCGATATATTATGTGTATGCACGTATACATCGCATCGTTACACTCTAATATACATGTAATATATTAAATGGTATGTACATCGGTAATACACTGCACAGTTAAGAGACACGTCTACATGGGACGTCGAACCTTTCGGAAACATGAATCAATGTCACAGCTTACGCGCTTTTCTGTCGCCTCTTATATTTATATATAACGTGTATATATGTGTATATATATATGTATGTAATAAAATGATCACTTGAGAGTCCGTGTATATACCCCGTGGTTCGCCTGCTGCCCGCAAATCCTACGATTGTCTGCGCAAATTTTCCGACGCGTTAAATAGACATCGGTCAATGGAGAAAACTTATTCGGTGGAATGTGTAGATACCCTCTTGCCGTGTCTCATATCCAAATCGCGTTTCGATATCACTAGGTTACCTTTTAAAGAAATTCCCCCCCTCCGAGCTGGTAGAAATTTCGGCCTCCTTTGAACGTAACCCAAGTATGACCTCCTAAGGTCCTTACGTCTCTCTTCGTTATGTCAAAAACGGCTGGAAATTATTCCTGAACCTTCTTCGAGGCTAAGATCGAAATTTCTACTCGCTCGGTTTTTCCTAAAACGCATAAAAAATCTTAGCGCATACGTATGACTTTCGAGCAACGCAAATCGCCGGTCAGGAGTGGACGAGGACAAATTAGCCTTCTAATTGATGACGCAAAACGCGCGCTTAAGGGAATCGCCTCGCGGTATCGTTAAAAGCGCCTTAGGAAACGATATCACTTCTCCTTATCTTTTTCTTATACGAGTAAAAACTATAATAGAGAGCCAAGTGCTATGAGTTAGGTAATCGCGATCTCCCGATCGGCGGTACAGGATCGACCGTACCGCTCTTATCCGTGACTTCTTTTTAGTCGGTATACATATATCTCGAGCAACAATAACAACAATAATAACAACAACAATAGTGCCTACGATTGCTTGGATAATATCAGGAACGTGCAATTTAGGCTGCCCGGTGGCCGAGGAATATCGCGAATCGCTCGTCGAGGAGAATTGACGTTATCACCGTAAGAGTCCTTATAGGAGATTTTCTTTTTTTTTTCGCACAAGCTCGTCCTGATCCTCCTCCTCGTCCTTTAATTATAATTATACCTTGTAGAGCTCTCTTCCGGGGAGATTTACGCACTCCGCGTCCCGTCGAGTTGAAACTTCCGGTGTCCGATTCGGACAATGATTGGCTCGCATTTACGCGAGTATAATACGGTCGTGGTCCAAAATGTACATCTTGTATATCTTGTATATCTTGTATATCACGCATCGGTGGTTTCCTCCTGTTCGGTGGTCAGTCGAAAGTATCCACTTCGTATCCTTCCTTCATCGTCCCCGCGGACTTCTTCGCATCTTTCCCGCGTCTCCGTCGCGAGAAGAACTCGCGGCGGCTTTAATCTATACGGAATTAAAACTTCTCTCTAATACTGACTTAGAATGCTCTCGTGCTTAGATATCAGTGCTCCTACGGACGTAGGACCTCTCACATGGACTCCAAAGCCCCTCCGGCAAGTTTGGTCGCGTAAAGGTACAATGCCTGGAAAATAGACGAAGAGGACATTGGCGAAAATTTCCAACCAGAAGTTTATCCTGGTGAAATGATTATCTCCTTAATTAATAAAATATTCCATTGGTTTATATCGTTTTGGTGGTACCTTGTACACGAAGGCGTACTGCTCCTTCGTTTGCACGGCTCCGGCTCTATCTCTTCTGATAGTGTAGACGACCCTGGGCACGTCCACGGTCCTGGTTATCTCGTACTGTCTGATCGCCAGGTCGAGGGCTATCAAGGTTCCCGTGCGACCCGTGCCAGGACTGCAATGGATCACGATGGGACCCGGGCCACCTCGCTGAAGAGCCCTGGCCTCCAGGAGAACCGCTATCAGACCCGCTCCGTCCGATAACGTCCCGTTGGCTGGCCACATGTACCAGATATGCGACACCTCCCGGAAAGTATTGTTCTCCAGATTCTGAAACGACAAAGGGTCACATGGTCCAGGAGATCTTAGCGCAGGCATGGAAAGTTCGCACCTAGTGCAGAAATAACGGAAGAGCAAGCGGGTGGGTCAAGCGATAACAGTATAAAATTCAAACAATGTGAAATAAACCGTGGATGTGTATTTTTTATCCTTAGGGAAAGGATGGTGGTTTACCTTCAAGTGGAGCGAGGAGATGGCGTACTTCTCTTTCGTCTCCCTCTTCTTCAGGGTGACCTGGAAGTCGCCGTAAAGCCTATGGCAGTCCGTCACTTCCGAGGGAGGGACGTACTCCGCGCACTTCTCTACCCCATTTTCCACCAGATCGGTGAGCATGATGATGACCTTACTCTGCTGCTCCCAGATCATCCTCCAGAAGTCGGTGACCGTCGACTCGAGAGGAGCCTGGCAGGCGATGTAGTATTTCGTTGCGTTCTTCGGGCCCTGCAACGAGAATTCCGCGTCACTGACCTCTCTCAACCGAGTCTGGCGAGGGCTCGCGGGTTCGGATTATCTAATCCTGGTTTAGTTTACCGGTTAACCGAGTTCCCGCGGACTCACCCGAACGTAACTGGCGTTTATGTACTCGCTGAGGGGATCGTTGTTGATCTTCTGGAGCGGCACCCGGGTCTCCGGAAGTGGAATCACGTTCGCGTATCTGTTCTTCACCTCCGCCCCGGTCGGAAGCTCGTCTATCCTGGCCGACTCCTGGGGGATCCCCTTGAACTCCTCGGAGATGGCGTTAACGTCGTTGCAAAACGTCGACAGACCGCCGAAATTCAGGGGATGCGTGGGGATGACGCTCTGCAATTAGGAATTAATAGAATCGAGACGAGCTTTTCTTATATCGGGTGGACTCTGTCGACTCCAGGTCGATGAGGAATCTCTATGCTCACCGAGTCCTCGAAGGTCGGGTTTCCGTAGCTCCTCTTCGAGGCTCTCGTCGCGCCTTTTCTGCGGACGCTGTTGTACGCCGAGACGCTGTCGAGGCTGTAGGCATCCAAGGAGACGGGCCGACATCGCTCCCCATAATTGAACCTCGTCTGTCGTTTCCTCATGATAAACTGGAAGCAAGAGAAATTTTCAACTCATCATCGACGCGGGATAAAGTTGAAATTAAATCCATCTCGCGTAAGAATTCAATTTAAATCTCTGATATAACATTTATCTTCTTACCAACAAGCCAGCCAGAAGAGCCAGACATATGAAAGCCACGCAGGAGACGACCACCACGGCGATGGCGTTCCCAGAGTCCGACTCCTGGACCAAAAGGAAACTGTGCACCTGGAAGAAAATTAAACTCTGGGTAACCTGAATTCTGTAATTTTTTTTTATCGATAAGAAATGTTGAAAAATATTGATATACCGCCAAGGGGAAGCTGATCGGCGAAACTTTGTGGAGACTCGGCAGGAGTTTCGTCATGATCGGGTCGAAATTGCCGTCCTCGTCGACGACGTAGCTCAGGACGGAGGTGGTCGGCATATCCGAGGCCAGCGAGGAGGACGTAAACGTCAGGACGTCTCCGCACTGGGTATGATGGAAAACGATTTGAGCCGGTGCGACCATCCTGCGACAATTGAAAACGTCATTGTTAACTTAGGCAATTGGACGGAATGATCGCCTAGATAAACCCTAGGCGTCGGCTTTTTAGCATCGGGCAGCGGTGGAGGAGAATATCCAGGACCGGCGATATATAACCACGGTCCGTGATTTCCTGCGATCAATTTATGTCACGACCGAACCGCCAGGAAGACGTAAATTGGCCTGCCAATTGGATTGCAGTTGGGACGGACATTTTCCTCACCGTCTTCCGGTACCTCTTCAGCGTAGCGAGTCGACGCGTCTCGAGATACACCTACTTAGCTCGATGAGGAAATTAATACGTATCGATATTAAATATTAAAATTAAATGTAGGTATTTAATTGAATTTATGGAAAGCAGAGGTGCATACTTCTCCATGCCGGAAGTCAATAGCTCGGCGAGGGACTTCCTCAAGGCCGGTAATTGAGGGCAAACGTCGGCCCAAGTGCCCTCCAGGACGATCCTGACGAAGAAGGGAGCATCGCCGTTCCCGGCAGGGTATATCCGCTCGTCGTTCCCCTTGGTGACTATTTCTATGCCCTGGGAATTGTCCGGACGCGTTCGATCGTCCACATTGTCCAGAGAAGTTGGAGCAGTTGGAGAAGTTGGAGAACTTGAAGGGCCTGCCGTCGTAGTGGTCGTAGAAGTCGAAGAGCCGGAGAGGACCGTCGCGTTTCCGCCGGAGGTAAAGTCGTTCCTTCTCGAAGAGCTCATCTCGGTCGTGGCACTTGAAGAGCCCATCGTGTCTTCGGGGACGATGCTCGAAGACGTGGCATTGCCGACTACGACGGCACTACTCGAGTTCCCGACCGGCAAAGATTCGGAGCTGCTCGAGGAATTCGAGAAATTCGGGAGGGTCGAGAAATCCGTAACTTCGGATGTTCCGGACATACGAGGGGTGCTCGACCCTGAAGAGTTTACATTCAAGCTCGAGGCAGTTGTTCCGAAGTTCGAAGAGCTCGGGCCGAAGCTGGAGAAATTCGCGGCACCGACGTCGGACGTCTCGTTCTCCGAATAACTGAGGACGCCTCTCGTAAAAGAGGTCTCATCTCCGAGAGCGCCTTCTTCCTGGCTCTTCAGGGTGGAATTCCCGGTCCCGGTTACGTCGTTCGTTCCGTCCGGTTGCAGTTCCCCCGTCACAAGGCTAGACTCCGAGGAATTCATCGAGGGTGAAGGATTCTCCGAGGACGCCGCGGAACTCCCGTTCTCCAAAATGGCGTCGCTGGGCTTCTCCCCCTCGTTCGCGACCGTGGAATTCTTCGCATCGATCCCTGGATCCTCGTTCCCGGAAGTGGATATGGAGTTCCGGGGATTCGCCTCCGTCAGGGCGACGAATTCGTACTCCACGGTGGTGCTGGCCAGCGTCGACGATTCTTCGTCTTCTTTGGTCCCGGGAGAGTCGGTCCCGTCGCTCTGCTCCTTTTCTTGCGACTTCTGGATCTCCTCCTCGGGAACCGTGGACCTCTCGGATGTCGCACCGAGAGTCGTCAGGTTCTCCGAGGAAGTGGTACCGGGGAGAGAGACGGAGAGACCGGACTCTTCGGCGTTCGATTCGGATGCGTTTTTTAGCGAGGTCTCCGGGGTCACGTTCGACGTCGCCCTCGCCGTGTCGACCTCTTTAGAGGGCCCTTCGGTGGAATTACCGTTCTCACCCGGGAGGCTCTTCGTCCCTCGAGGGTCCGTAGACGAGGTGGAGGCGCTCTCTTCCGTGATCCCATTTCCGGTTACGTCGATATGGGAGGTCTCTTCCGTCTTGTCGTCGCTCCTTCTGCCCACGTCGTTTCCTCCTGCGGTAACTTCCAACCCGTCAGACCCTGAAGAGGCGGTACTTCCCACGCCGGTCCCCGAAGATGCTGCCTCGTCGCTCGCGGTCTGCTCCACCAGGCTTCCTGGAGTCGTCGCTACGAATACCGAGGTCGTAGAGGTTGCGTTCAAGGTAGAATCCTGGAACCTGGACAAGTTCCCGGACCTCTTGGAGGAGGCTGGCTTCATCTGCTGGATGCTGTTCTCCAGGACGACCGAGGGCTCGGTTACGACGAACTTCTCATCCGAGCTTTGCCTACCAATAGTGTTCTCGAAGGCGGAAGCTTCTTCCGTGGACTCTTCGACGACGGGGTCTTGCTTCACCTCCTGGATCGGATTTACAACCGGCTCCATCCTTGGCAGCGTGGTTGGCTGTGTCGTAGGGGACTGCGCCGGGAACTTGACGTAAGGATAAGGCTTCTGCTCCGCAGTCTTCTCGGGGAGGATCGTCTTCTTCGGGAAGCTCTTATCGGTCGCCTCCTCGGCGTTTCGGTCGGCATCTTTCCTCGAGGGCGTTGTTTTCCCCTCAAGGTATTCGTTCCCAGCCGAGAACGAGATCGTGCGACCTTTTGGAGCATCCTTCGGGACGCTACCCAAAGCCTTCTCGTCGACTTTTTTATCAGCACCCTCTACTTCCTTTCCGGAAATATCGAGATTTCCGACCTCCTGCTCCAAATCGGCACGATTCGAGCTCTCGTCTCCGTTCAAGGTGGAGTCGACCCCTCGACTTGAATTTGACTTTGCATCCTCCTCGGTCACGTTGTCCAGGTTCTTCGCCACGAATCTCAGGGTGGACGGAAGACTCGCGTTCGCGACGACCTCGAATTCCTTCTTCGGGTCGTACACCTTGTTGACGTCCTTAGCCTCGTCCTCTCCTCCAGGACCCTTCGTCGAGTTCTCCGACCCTCCGTGATCGCTCTCCTGACTATTGTAATTGACCAGGGTATCGTTTACCAACGACACGGCGTTTCGATCGGCCTTCTCCTTTAAGGCGTCCTCGAGGGCCTCCCGCGAGGGGTCCACGTCGAGGTCCTCCAAGTTCTTCGTTCTAATTCTCCCGAGCTTCTCCTCCACCTCATCGTTCTTGGGAATCTTCGTGTCCCTCTTTTCCTCCTTTCCATTATTTTCCACCTTCCCTTCCGGAGGGTTCTTGCCAGCTGTCGGAGCAACACCGGTGCCATTGTCTCCGCGACTTTTGTTCCGCTCTTCGAGCACTTCGCCCAGGATCGGTAACGAGGTTCCTGTCGGGAGTTCCTCGAAGAAGAGCGCCTTTGGAGTTTCCTCGTCGATGTCCTCCTCATGGTCCTTGTCAGGGTTGTAGTCTCTCAGACGACGTTGGGCGTTCAGGGCCTCGTGGGATTCCAAAGTGGGATCGACCGTGGATCCTCCGAATCCCTCCTCGATCCCTGCCTGGTTCCTAAAATCCTTGGGGAGCCTTTCTTGACCCTGACCTCGGTGGTCCGAGGTACTCTCCTCGGCCTTGACCTTACTTAACCGGTCCCGCTCTTCGGGACCCTCCTCGCTCTCGTAACTCGAGTTTCCTCCGGGGCGATTCTGGAATTTCACCTCCTCGGACCACTCTTCGATTTCCCACGAGCTCTTCGAGTCGTTCACCTTACGAACCAACGGGGATTCCTCGAGGTCCAGCTTCCTCTTCTCGGGAACCTCCGACCTGGGGGACTCTTTCCCTCCCTGGCTCGAGACGGTCGTCGTTTCGGTGGCGACGTTGCCGATCAACAGCAGGATTATTCCTAAAAAAAAATTAATAAACCATTAATCTCACCCTTGCAATTTTTATGCATTTTTTAATCATCACATATCATGTCGTCAAATTGCATAGGAGACTATTAAATATCCCTCTGTACCGAGAACATGACATTTCTAAAATGTATAACTATTTTTATCAAACCAATATGTCGTGAAATTCTCACAGAGATTTTTTCTACCTCTTATCAGCACAAAGTGAACCTGCGGTACAAGAGACGCGGGGCCGCAACGAATTGCCCTCGAAACGAGGATAAGGAGGATAAGGAGTTTCAAGGCCAACCGGTGCACCGTGGCCAGGAATTCCTTAGGAATCCCGAACTCCCGGGCGAGGCGGAACTCCCGGAGGAGGTAAAAGGCAGAAAAACGGAGGGAACCGCTCGAGGCTGTCCAGAACCCGTTCTCCGGGACATGCCATGGAGCTTTATCGCGTCACCGGGTATGAAAACATTGTTCGTGTCTCCTCCGTGTGAGTACGCGAGTGCCCCGGCACGTGCTCTTGCATATTTCAATGGCCTCGGAATTATACGAGGAGCCTCGTCGTCCCTGCACCGTCCATTTGCAAACGGACGTAAAACCCGGAAGGCCTCCAGGAATTCCATTTCCCTCCCTGAGAACGGAATCCCCGAAGCGCAGAAATTTGTTTGTGACTTTCGGTATCCCAGGGAATTTTCCCAACCCAACCGATAAAGCCCTGATAAGAAAGAAAAAAAAAATAAACAGGACCACGAATTTGATGCTGCGGACAATCACGTGCGTAATCAGCATGTGTGATAATCTGATAGGTTTACCTATCCATTCCTGAGAAACGAGGCGCCTTCCTCTAGGAGTCATCTCGCCGATCCTTGGGGACCTCCTTCGCACCTCTGGAAAGATACGACACGCAATTGGTGAGTGAATAAATTTTTTTTTTTAATTAAGGCTCGCGATTTAATCGCCACGGGATAACCGGAGGTTCCGGGAATTAAACCGCGGATTAGGAGCGGATTAGACCGCCGGGCCCTTTAGAGCTTTCCTTAGAGCTTTCCCATTTCCTAAGCTCTCGGGAAATCGAGTGGCTCGGGTTCGGAGCTCCCGTAATTAATACCTTAGCCGAGCACACGCTTAAGGGCGGCCTCTAAAGTGTACCTCCATTAATGCCGGTAATTCGGTTTCCCGGTGCTCCCGCGTCGGCCCGAGTAAAGTGGAAACGCCATTCCGCTGCGGCGAACCGCCGACGGATTTCTCGGGTGCGGGAGGCACCTCTCCATTTGCGGAAAGGCGTTCCGCACACCTCCGCAGGTGAGACGTCGAGATGAAAATGATGAATTTAATTTTTAATAAGCATGGAGAAGTCGACCCTTGCCTCCCACGGCGGAATTATCAATTCCGTGCCATAAGGATCGCGTGGCAATTTTTTTAGGACGGAATCGCACATCCGCGAAAGACCTGCGTGCATAGTCACGGTTAAAGAGCGTTACATGCGGTAATGCATCCGCTTAATTAAAACGCAGACCGCAATTGAACCGCTTAGCCGATCGCACGGTTCACGTGAAATGTGGATTAATGGGATTCGCCCCCCCCTCGGCGTCCCTGAGGTGATATACAGGTAGATATGTACAATCCATACGACACGAATGGATGTACCGAGAGACCCGACAATATCCCCGAAAGTATGAATAAATAAATAATTAAGCGTGGTACGGTACGTCATTCAAGGCTCTCCCACTTTAAAGCGACCGCGATTCCTCAGTGGGGTGCGTGAAAAATTTAGAGCAATCTCCGGCCACCCGGTTGCGGTAACCGCATGCGGCGATGCGGCGTAGAATTCGTAGATTAGGCTGCGGCGCGACGCATGCCGCTTGCGGCCCGGCCCTGATTGGTCCGCGCCTGCCGCATGCGGCGGCACGCAATTAAAATCCAAGTAGCGAAGACTTTAATCAGGGCAAGATCCTCTCCTAGCGAAAATTTCCGATTTCTCGGAGAAATCGAAAAGAAGAAACCCCTGGAGGAAGGAAAGAGGGAGAATCGCGAGGAAATAGGTAATAGAAAAATCATGTGAATAAGGTGACAGCGTTAAACGTCAAAGGGAAGCGGAAGTAATAAGCTGATTAATATCTACGCTGGAAGGGAAATTGGAAAGCGAGGTTTCTATGTGGAGGAAAACTGATCGATTCCATCCGAGTGATTTAGAGGGGACGTGTATATTTATTCGATATGGAGAGACTGTCGCGTGTATTCCCATCGCGACATTTTAAGAGCCGCGTTTTGCGGCAACCATCTGCTCGTGATGGATGGCACGGTTTTGCACATATTTTCTCCCTTTTTCCCATTTTTTCTCTCTCGTTCACGGTGTCCCCGTTTTTCTCATTTTTTTTCCCCGGTTTTTTTCCCGCGCGTAATAACCGCGCGAACGGCTCGGAGATTCTCGGGAAAATGATTATCCTCTAGGCAGGATTCTCTTTCTATCCTTTTGGTTTATTTTCCCCGTCTTTTAGTAATTATCCACAGCTGCCCGATCGACCCGAGCCATTGAACTTTTCCCTCGGTAATTAATTACCGACGATGGTGGACGACGCTTCGAGAGCCTCGTCGAAATTAACACCGCCGAGGTGGAGTTTTTCTTTTCGGGAAGGAGAGAGCGGGGGATCGAAAAGTCGGGGGAAAAGACTCGGTTTTTCCGACGAGGGGAGATTTTCACCCGGGAAATGGCGACCCGTCAAAAGCCAAAAGCTCCGGTGACGCGCGTCAATATCGTCAGAGGACTCGAGACTCGCGGGAAGAGTCGCCACCCTTCGGGGTTGAACTCTCCCCCGGAGGTCGCAATTGCCGGGGGGGATGTTCCCCCGTGTAATTCAAACACACCTCCTCTGCTCCCTTCCTCTAAGTGCCGTTTCAATTTAGCTTAAGCGATCCCCGAGGAGAGTCTCCGGCAAGGAACGAAAAATCACCCTCGACTCGAGTCCCCATTTTTACGCCTTTACCGAAAAAAAAAAATCTCTCTTGGTATATAAACGGTGGATTAAAAATGAAAAAAAGAGAAATTCTATTCTCAATCCGTGAATATAAATTTTTATGCCGTGATACCAATTGATAATCTACTCGCGCCTTCTTCGAGAATCGCGATACTCCGCCTGGAATACCTCAATACACGACCGGATGAGGGATTCGCTTCGGAAATTTCACCCCCTCGTTCTCGTCACGGTGCTTTCAGAGAGGACAATGAAACTCGAGTCTACGACACGGATGCACCTTCAAGGGGTATCGGCAATTCGCCTCTTGAAGTCGGCCGAATCGCCGGATGCGGTTATGAGAAGCGTTATATGCACCTGAGAGATCCTATACTTTCGCGCGGTTCGATTACCTGGCGGCGATCAGAAGACGCAACTCTTCCGTTCCCACGGTGGGAAAAGCGGAGCTCGACGCTTGTATTGAATTTTTTTTCCTTTTTTTTTTTTCTTTCAACACCAGGACGAATATATTGAATTCCTATTACCCAGGCACACGATACATGATTTATGACGGAAAGACCCGGGGCAATTGTGTGGAACATATGGGGATGCGGTAAACCGGAGTAAATGGAAAGTCGTCGCAATTTCACCGACCAAGGGACTTGACTTTAAGTCTCGCGGTGGAGGGTCGATACGTAGGGCAGAAATTACTGGGGACGGCGGTTGTAATATAGCGAAAACTAAACTGTGGCGAGCGCCTTTTTTTTTCCCTCGCACCTAGCGAAACGTCAGAGGCACTAAACCGAGCTCGATGCATCGATACCGAGGGTCGATATCGAGAGAACTGGCCGATACCGGACTCGATCTCGAGCCTGCGACGCAGAGCCACCCACGGGTTCTCCAAGGCTTTTCCTCGGATAATCTATGATCCACTTAAAACGTCTCCGTTGACTCACGGAGAGGAGTCCGGAAGCACTCGACACCTTTAAGCCTCGCGAGGTCTTGCCCCGACACGTAGACGAGACTCCAAGGCGACTTTAAACCGAGATCCGTAAATTCTACGTGGAGTAAATTAATTATAAATAATAATAAGACTTAAGGTGATATAAAAGTCTAGAGAGAATGTAATAGAGCCACGAGAAACATTCTTTCCATTTCGCTCTAAACGTCCACGTCCTTAACCTTACCCTCTCGACGTCGCCTTAAACCTTAAATCCGGATCGTCGAGCTCGAGCACACCTGACATTCGTTCACGTAACATCTGAGAGCAATAGAGCTCGATGAGAGGCCCCTAAAACATTCGAATTACTCCTAGAAATTGAATAACGAGCGAAAGCGTAAATAAATCCTCAGGGGATTCTAATAAAACGTTATATCGCAAACGTTCCCGTAATGATACCCTAAACGTGAAATTATCGCAATCCATTTTCCGGAATGGTATTAAGCCCGAGAAAATGGGAAAAAAGGGGACACGTAGGGATGCGAGGGGAGGGCTTTGCAAATAAATCGTTAGGGGAGGCTAATGAAACGCTCGTTAGATTCCAGGAGGGTGGAGTTAGGCGAGTCCCGGGTCAACCGTCCCGATCGTGGATTCCGAAGCTCTCTCTCGTCGATCGAAGCTCATCTCGCCGGCCAATCGCCAGAGGGGAAATCTCTCCCCGTGGAGGTTATAGGGAGGGTCGTAATAAAACGACACCGGGTCCGAGGGAGCCCTCTCGGATCGACCTGGATGTCTTCCTCCCTCTCGCTTCCTGGAGGAGGAAAACCTCGCGCGATCCCGAGGGCCGACCTGGCCGGAAATTGAACCCGACGATGGAACTTCGACGAGCGACCCGACAAACGCATCCAAAAATTAATGCAAAAAAGAAAATATATGGGGGAGTCGGGGAAGGGCTAAACGGCGATTAGCGAGTCGCCTCACGATCGAGGGAGGAGCAAGTCGCAAGAATGGTCGTTGGAAAGGTCCTAGAAGCCGAGCTGTTATGCGATGAGATGTCTCGAGTGGCTTCGGGAAGCTCGACGTAACGTTAAGATGGATTAAGCCGCGTTAAACCGCGTTAAACCGGGGTTAAACCGCGGTTAAGTATCGGCAAGTCGCGAGAAGACGCGCGAGTACCTGAAGCGCACTCTCCGGCGGGGAGCGATTTAAACGCATTGTTGTCGGGACCGGTTAACACGAAATCACTCCAGAGCCTATTATTCCATGAAGAGCGTTGCATCAGAGGTGCGAGTGTGGGTATGAATACAAATAGTGCCCGTCCAATTATCCAATGACGGAGCCGCGGCCTTGCCTTGCCTTTCCGACCGATGACGAGCCATTAGGCTCTTTCGGCTTGTCCGTGGCTCGGTCCACATCGGTACACCTCGAAACGTCCTCGAGGGAATATAATAAACCTCGATTTCCCGGGTAAGCCGCCAACCCCAGCCTCGTACTCGATTTCTAAATTTATTTCATTCCTTTGTATTTCTCTCCCCCCTTGCAACTCGCTCCGCGACCCCTCGTCCCTCCCCACGGGGAGAAAGAAGCAGGACCCGACTTCCAAATTTTTCCCCAGGTTCTCCATTTCCTCCTATTTATAATTTCGCAATTTTCAATTTAAAAAATGATCCCTGATTTTCCTCCTCCTTTTGCATCGAACTCGACGGGAATTTCTGCCCCCGCTCTGAGAATACGATTCCTAGTTTGTAAACGAACGTCCTCGAGACCTGCGCTCATTATCGATTAATCTCAGATTTTTCATTGTTCCCCTCATTTTGCAACGAACTCGGCTAGTTTCTCTCCACGGAAGAGAAGGTAATCCCTCGGGGTCGATTTTTCGACTTTCGCGCGACTCGTGTTTGCTCCTGAAATTACATATGCGCGGTAGTTCGCGGTCTGCAAACACATTATCGCGGTCGGAACGATTCCTCGTATAAAGGGAGTAAAGTCGGTCCTTAATCATTTCGCGTTTCGCTTTTCCTCGCTCGTCTCGGCCACGTGCACTTTTCCCTCTCTATCGTTCTCCATCTCGGTCCGCGCCTTCCCACGTGTCTCCCCCGTAGCGTTCCCTCGTGGGAATCGTGACGATTCGTTTCGCGTTTCCCCGAGTTAAGTAATTCCCCCGCGAGAATGCGTCAGCAGGTTCCTGCCTTTCGATTTCGTTCGAGCTCTGTTGTACATCTCCGGATCCGCCCTCGAGATTAATTCCCTAGTCTGCCGGAAATTTGCCGGTCGTGCCTCCGCACAGGAATTAACGTAATCGCTCGAAAGAAATCGAAACCACCCTATAAGACTATCTTAACTCATAGGCTCCTAAGAGCACTTAAAGGCGCCCGACGTATGGTCCAATATTGCGTGCACGGTCAGAGGAATTTCGCCCCTATGTCGAAATGGCTCCGCGTTCAAAGAGTTAATATCGAAGGTTTTTCCATCGGATAGAAGTGCATAAAATTCCGAAACATTTTCTAACGATAAATAGGAACTTTTACGCGTATCGTCGCAATCCGTGACCCTGATCGCAAGGTGCCTGACGATCGATAATCGAGGGAATCGAGCTAATCTGGGATATCGTCGTTCGAGATAACGTTACCCCTCGAAATCCGCCATTCGAGGTGCACCGTAACTGTGTATCGACAAAGCCGGGGAATAAAGGGCACGTTGGTTGGTCCGGATGAACGAGAGATGTAACGCCATATCTCGAGAACGATGCCGTGGGAGCTGGGTGCACCTTAGAGTCCGATTACAATTCACGATGCACAGGGAACGCACGATAAGGGGACACGAGCCGATCCCTCGACCTGACATTTACCGCGACTGCACAACTCCACGGTTTATACCGTTTCCTCCCCTCTAAGTAGACCCTCGGAATACGGATACCGCAAATCGCGATTTCAATTCTACTCGATAGTAACATGGAATAACCTCTAATCGTAAGCCTTAAGGTGATATAAGATAACTCTATAAATCTCAAGACGTGAAAATATGAGACTTCTCCCCAAACTGGGTGCACCGAGTCGTGTAAAAGTTCCGCATATTAAAATTTCCAGTGGGAAAAAATTTCTTTTATCGTTTACCTCAGACTAGAACCAACGATATATTTTTTTTTTACAAATTTAAGATACGAAGTTTCATGAGGGGCGACGGTCGTCCTCTCGGAGAGCCTACGTAGGAAAATGGGGCACCTCTTAATTAATTCCGGGGACGTAATCGAGCTCTCAGGAATCACCTCTCGGCATTCCAGCACACGCGCCAGTTAATATCTCGCGTGATAAATTAGCCGTCTGTACATGCCCGGGTGTACACGTGTTTATATACGTCCTCCTTGCGTGTACTAGAGCGTTACATCGATCGACGATGGACAAGAGGGATCGCTTCCGTTTTTGCATTTTTGCATTAATTAACGCGCCTCGCTGTTTTCCTCCACCGTTGAATATCATTTTTGAGGAAGGGGACGCTTAAGAGGCAATTCCTTCTGGCATTCGATTAAAAGAGAAAAATACTTGGCAGACGAGTGACGCATCGCGTACGCGAAGGCATGCGTACGCCTACGCATTCCGACTTTCATTCACGCGCGCTTTCGCGACGTTCTCGGATCGCCGACTCACGTGGGCTGGACTTTTTGCACACTTAATCCCAAAAGGGATGATATAGTTACGTCTCAATTTTTTTAACGCGTGAATAATTTTTCTATTTTTCAAGGAGTTTAATGCGAGAATATTAGATTTATGAATTTAAAAGAGGCGAACTCCCGAATAAAAAAAAAAAGAAACTCGTCACCCTCACGGCGAGTATTTCTCGTCGCTCCTCGAGGGGTTGAATGCAAGAGTCGTTTAATTTAGCGAGTTATTTACGAGCCGACTTCTCCCGTTTCCCGGCCAATTTTCCCCGATTTTATTTCCCCCCTGGCTCCGGAGCGTTGCAGAATGCGTTCCGCTCGAGGTAGCTCTACTTGCCCGGATGAGTCAGTCGGCGTTTCTTCTGGGACTTTCTAACGTCATTAACCGCGAGTCTAGATCCCGAGGACGTTAAATTTCCGAGCCCTGGAGAGGTACACTCCGGAGTCCATCTCGAATTCTACTCCCGGGAAGGAAGTGCCTCCCCTCGCCCCCTTCCGCGTAATTTAACGGAGCAACGCGTTGGAAAGTGCAAGTGCGCTCGTTCTTTTGTTCCCGGAGGAAAAAAAGATAAGGGATAAACTTAACCGCGCGCGATACCGTCAAGGGTGGCCTTCCATGCTTCGGAAGCTCCTCCCCTTGGGGATAAGGGGCCGTTTAACGAGTAATTAAAACACTTTCCGCCCCAATTACGGGGTCGATTTATCAAGAACGCGACCGGGAAGAAGTCCCACCTTGAAGATTCGCGTTCACCGGCTAAAGGAGTCCGCGACATTTTTTCCTGGTCTGATTTTCTTGCACCGCGTTACATCGAGGACCGAACATTGCGGAAAACGTCTTGCCACGAGTCTCTCCCAATGGAGATATAAAAAGTCAACGAGAGGCGCATTGTCTCGTAGTTACCCAAGGTTTCGCGACGATAAAAGCCTCTTATCCCCTTATCGCTCCGGATTCGGCCGTCTTCCATTGAAGGCTCGCGCAATGAGGTGATTCAATTGACCCTCGTCTACTTACTAGCGGGACCGAGTGTCTCCCGGAGGGGACTGCATTGCTGTCCTTCTCCCACTTCCGGGGCTGCCGTAAGTTCCTCTCGCTTCCGCTCGCGGCCCTTCCGCCTACTTCCCGGCCGGCTTCGCGCGTCCTTTCGTTTCCATGGCGACGCGTCCTCGCGTATACGACGCGCGCGCTCTTCACGCAATAAAGTTCCTCCAACTTTGTTCAAGTTCATGCCATTCGCACTTCTTTCCGAGGGACGTATCGGAACTACACGTAAATTTATTTTAAACGCATATGAAGATATCTCGCTTTCGCATCGAGTGGCAAATATTAGCGAACGATCCCTTTAAATTCCAACTACTAGCTTCCGGGCACATCGACTCTAATTGGCAATGAATCTCCGAATTTATTGGTTTGCCCAACCCGGGGATCGATAAACCCGCGCTATAAATTTCATTTTTCATCTTTGGACCAGCTGTTTTTATCTTGGTGCGCGTCCACCCGTTGCGCGCGCAGGTGGCCCGACCGTACCTGCGGGCAAAACCGTCATTCCCGTGTTTACGGGCCCGCGGCCGAGTGGAGCGGTCCTCGGACGTTGTCGGACATCGTCGGACACGCTCGGGAGCACTGCCCGGCCCGTTACCGCGTCCCCCTTTCCACCTTCGCGTTTACGGAACGCGACTGTTTTACCGGCCAAGCCGATCGGGCCCTACTTGCTCATAAAGCGATCAGGCATCTGGGAACCGACCAGATGCAAATCGAGCCTTAATGGCATTAACACGGGACGATTTAAATTCACAGCAAGAACAGGTACTCCACCTCTAAGGTCACATAAGTACCATTTTAACGTCCTCACATCGAAAACAAAGTCGAAAAATCGTACTATATAAAAATAAAATGCGCAATCTTTTTTCCACGGTGCATAGTTTGTAATAATTAAAAAAAAAAATAGCCAACCATTGCATCGGCGAATCGACGTGCCGCTTCTTTTTCTATATTTAAATTCGTTATTACAGGCTAACTGCACCGTAAAAAAAAATTCGGAAAGAGAGTATTCGGCTCCGTGTTCAATGAGAATAGCGATGTATAACGATATATGAAAGTTCCGTTCCACCCTGGATTGACCTATTGAGGTGGATGCAGGAACGACGCGCGTTGCCTTTGTGTAGCGCAACGTCCGTCTTGACGCTCGCGTGGTCCCGGCCTAAATTAAAAGGATCCTCGACACGACGTAACGCGGCTTTCGGGTCTAATGAGATAAAAGGGAGGTGCGACGAGAGCGCAGGCACTCGCGGCTCTAAAACCCGGACGTAAATCCCGGCCTTCGAACCGGTCCGTTTCCGCGTTCCCCCTCCCGGCAGGGATGTCCGCGAGTTCGTTTTTACCGACCGGTATCTCGATCGGACCACTTTCGGATTTACCTTTTCTCCTCTCCAACTCGTCGATTCTTCATCGGTGGCGCGGCATTTCGAAGGGAATGACCAGCACGTCCTGCGGCTTCGATGATATTACACCGGGGTTTCGGTACATACGCGGAATGTCCGTTGCGAGCGCACAGCCCGAGACGAGGTCGCAACACGACGCGCACTCACGGGAGGACGGCTGCGTACTGAGCGGGCCGAGTGAACGCGCGTTCGAGGGGGGCGCCGCGAAAGCGCGACCCCGCGCATGCGTCCTCGACCGCCCGGAAAACGAGACTGCGTCTCGAGACTTTGCATGTCTCTTGGTCCGAGATTTATCTCCACTAATCACCGAGGCCTTTGCCTTCCATGTGAATGTAAAGGAACGTTTAAAGCGAAAAGAAAAAAATTCTGGATTTCTAATCAAAACTCGCGATTCCGAAATTAAGCGAGATTTGCATTCGGAAGGGGGCCGCGGGTTAAATAAAACAAAATGGCGGCGGGACCGGCGTGCAAGGTGGGGGCGAAATTTCTTGTTCTAGTATTATTCCACTTTATCCCGCGATGATTAATTAATCGAGTAGGTGTCGATACTTTATTTTTCTCGATACCGTGTTGACGAGACCTGTATCGTCGCTTTTTTGCAAGTAACAAGTAACGTCATCGACATTTCGGTGGTATCGGTTCATCCCTACCTCGACACGCCCCCTGGAAAACGATCGAAACGACGCGTCGAGAGATAACCCTTGCAGGCCGCAAAGAGCTTCGAGAAAAAATAATCAGCCCCGCTGATTCATCGATCTCCCGTCTGGCGATCCGCGCTCGCACGTTGCGGCCGAAACGCGCGTCCTCGCGGCCGCAACTCTCGCGACAATCCCTGGGATATATTTCCTCGCCCGGCCGCTAGGAAGGCCGTTTTTCTTTTCCTTTTTTTTCAACCGCTGATTCCGTCCCTAGTGGCCGTTTTGCACGGTTTACACGATCGGGATCAAGGCCTCGCGCAGATCTCGCAGCTTATGAGGTTTTACCCAACTCGAGGTTTTAGAGAGGCGCACGCCGTGTCGAGCGGAAAGTGGATTTCCTTGACACTCCGAACGAGTCTTGGGTTAGGATTACTCGCACATTGGATGCTAAATCGGCTGTCTCGCGTTTTCCTGGTTCGCCGTACCGGTCCCTCGCGGAGTTCAAGGCAAGGCGGGAAGCCGGCCATTTTGAAAATCGGACTCTTCGCTCTTTCGAATTCTTTTCGTTCCTCGCTTCATTTCAATATCCCTGAATTTTACATTTCTAAAACGTTTACACTAGGGCATCGAAACCGAATACGAGTCACGTAGAGTCGCAGTGAGTGAGATTGTATAACGAAAAGAATTTTTGAAATGTCATTTACGATCCGGAAGAGAAGCAAGATGGCGGCGGACCTGTCACGTGACCGTTACGGAGTAGCGCGACTCTGCGACAGTTAACGACGTTTTGAGGTAAAAATCGTAGTTAAGTTTAATCGATCTACACCTCGAGGCGTGGCGGATGCGCTACTCGTCCGATCTCGGGCATCCTCAATTACCCACGTCGCTAATTGCGACGGGCAAAGTAATTAAGGAAGTCGCCCGGAGGTGAGGTCGTTCTCGAGCGGGGCGCGAACCTTTGCGGATTCGCCGGAAATTGCCAGCCCACTCGTCGTAAACTGTCGCTCGACTTGCGGGGGAAAACTTGCTCCACCTACCACGGATAACTAATTCGATGCACTTTTAATCGATCTCTTTCCCACCTGTCTAGAAAATACTGGAAGAATTTCGGGAGGGCGACAGAGGCCGATTGGAAAATCCCCGAACGAGCTGAGAGAAACCAGACGCGGACTCTGGAACTCGGCAGTTTTGTTTCCACGGAGCATAAAACGCGTGACGCATTTCGGGGGCGTATTCCGACGTCCTCCTGCGTCCCGATTTTAATTCGACACGCGACATAGCAGAAAGAGTAAGCGTCGGAATTAACGTAGCAACCTCTTCGGCGTCGAAAACAAGTAATGACCGTCGTTAAAATAATTCCAGCCTATGGGGAAGAAGAGCTCGATCGAGTGGACAATGGAGCGGCTCGTTCGAAACGAATGCATCGAATGCATCGCATATTATGTCCCTGGCACAGTCGACGAGATTGCAATTGACGTGGAGTCAATAGTTTCCAGGATGCTCGGCGAAACGGGGGAACTCGAGGGCGATTTAATTCTCCCGCGAATATCCCGGACGAGGAGGAATATTGGATTTCTGGAGAGCACGAGCGGCATTCCGGGCGTTATCGGAAAAGTGCGTGAAATCGACGCGTGGTCTGGCCCGATAGCCACATTTCGCGCGTTATCACCTCGAGGAACGGCCCCGAGTTTTACATTTCCCCGGTGACGATGTCATTCCGCAAAATGTACGAGGACGAATCGATTCCGGGATTCCGAATATTGACAAGGAGATAGCGAAGGAGGAGAGATGCGAAAAAGTACATAGCGTATAAATAGTTAAGTCAAGATCGGTTAAATGGAATATCTATGCGTATGTAACAAGGCCACCAAATATTAGTTGACGTGACAAAATTCATTGATAATCCTCGAAGGATTACATGAAATATCCTGGCAGCCCGACATTGGTACACGTAACCAAAATGTACGGTTTGAAAGAATATTTTATGATATCAAAACTAATTAATTGTCGGATTAAGACGCGTAGGCAAGGAGAGGATCGAAACGGATATCTTTGCGGGATTGAGAGCTGATGGAAATAGGAATGTGAATATTTTAGAAAGTGCACAAGATAAGCGGCGGTTACATAAATAACATTCCGAGAAACGAAGCCGGAGCTTCGTTGTTATCGCGCGGTGCGGCCATCGATTGCGTTTTTCAATAATTAATTGAATTGATAATCTACGATCGAACGAGTCGAGCAGGTCTCCGATTTATCGGGCTCTTTATACTTTCATGAAAATCCGCAGTACCGCTCGGAATTAATTTCCCATTTCCACCGGCGATCATGAATTAGCGGTTACGTACGCGGCCAATTATCTCGTACTCGGGAGGCAGTTCTTCGGGATTTCGAGGGGCCGAAGTTTGCCCTGTCGATAATTCGGAAACTCGGTTAACATCGATCCGTCTGAATAATTCAACGCTTCGCCAACAGGTGAACGTGAACGGCACATATTTAGGCGTACACGACAGGTGAACAACCCCCGATGATCGATTGTCACCTGAAAGCCGGATAACGAATATCACCAAAGTCCTACCTAAAAGCCGTACGTATTAATATAATCATTTAACCTGGAGATAAAAATCCTCGCTAAAAAATTCGAGCGTTCCCCACAATCGAACAATGCACCACTGGGAAAGGATACGTGAAATTTTCAATTACGCAACACCAATCTCTCCCTCGCCTACACCGGAGCGTAATAACTTTCGCCAGAGTACGTACAATTGGAAAAAAAAAAAGAAGAAAAAAAATGTAATTTATTCTAGAAGACGATTTATAAATAGCCCGCTCGGAGGACGAAGTCTAAGAGACACTTCCAATTAATTTCCCTTCTTTTCCAGCTAGAGCGATTTCTTTCTTCCCAGAGACGTGGACGCGAGGCCGAAGAGTTTGCATGCATTCTTATCCGTATCCAGGTGTTAATCACTGCTCGAAAAATACGTGCCTTTGTTAGAATCTCGCCTCGCCTTGCCGGCGATGAGTAGAAAGCTGCCAAGGCGAGTACCCGAGCCCCAATGGAGAGTAAAGTGCACAAAGGATTGTTACGAACGCGTTCGCAGCTTGTAACCCATTGGCAGGAGTTACTCAACAGTTAATACGACAGTTCCCTGGCGTAATCGCGACGAGGGAAACCAAATGATCAGAGTTTTGCCGTCATCATTGACCATGCACTCGGGCAGTGACGAAACCCGGCGATTTCTACGCTTTCCCGAACGGTTCCAGACTATCTTTCGCAATATCGCGAATACTAGCTCGGAAGTACGTTAGTGCGCCTCGAGGAGGCGCTGTTGACTCTTTCTAAATATACCCGATAGCGTTGGAGCGTATTAAAACAATTACCCTAAGTCGATTCGCTCCAGATGATATTCCTAGTTCCAGCGATACGTTAGAAGTCAAGATTTGCGATGGACGGACAATTGTTAAGCCTTTAGAACGGCTAAGATTAATACGTGTCCGGGTGACTAAGCTGTACAATCAGTTTTGTTATTGCAATGACAATGTCGTTGGGGAAGCACGTTTGAGCGGCATCGGTTAATGCAGATAGGACTTTTAAGTCACAATTAGGTACTAATTATGTTTAATGACCGTAATTCTTGACTGCACTAGTAATACCATTTTTCGAGTATATCACTTTCGTGACGCACGTGAGATTAAATATTTTTAGAGCTCATTTTCAATGTCCAGAAATTTCTCACTAAGATACTAGTAATACCTCGTATCCAATCTATAACCGCACCTATTTGTTAGCCAGAGATTCGTACCTATATTGCTTATTAAATGTTAATCAGAATTCGCACGTATTCTAACCATACTGAGGTTCGAAACTTAAGTAATGAAAGCTCTCCAGTTATGTGAATTTTAACGTCTACTTAAATGTATCGATAAAAAATACGCGCAAACGTACGACCTCATTTAAGTATCTCTAATGACACTCGGGATATTAATCCTCGAAATATTACAAGACTGATATTCTCGATACCACTGTCGCTCCCCTTAATGCGATGTAAATTCTTTTAGGAAAATATACACATGTACTTACACTCGTTACTATAAATATGTTAGTAAGAAAAGTGCCCATAAAATGCGGGAGGGTATACATATGTTCATCTCTTAAATTACTCGGTAAAATTCGCGGTAAAAAATGGATTATCTTCGTCATGAGTTTAAAACGTCACGACTTGGCAATAGTAGGTCGCAGATTATGTAAAGCGTGTTTCTCTTTTTCAAGTCAGTCCAAGAGGACACGTAGAGTCCCGATAAGTTACGCAATTGCAAGATGATTGTTCTACTTATTCCTTACGAAATTATGTTTCGGTCGTTTCTCCGAACGTTATTGAAAGGTGTCCTCTTTTCCATTACGTGGCACCAGATTTCGTTGGCTCAAGAATAGAAGGTTAAAACGGACGTGTGATTTCCTCGGACTAATAGAAAAGGTGGCATGTCGCGGGTTAACGTTTCCAGCCAAGCCATGTAAAGTGGGGCTGAAACTGCGCCTTTCCTCGGCATCGGCAAGGTCCTGCAAAAAAAAATCATACCATTCATCGTCTTCCGAATTGCCATTCAAAATTAACGTTACTCGTACAATTTGTACTCACATGACAACCAAATTGGCTTCCATAGAATTTTCGAGGAGCAGCTCCCTCAACCGTAGGTGCCTATTAGTCTTATCATTCATAGCAAGAAGTTCGGATTCCGTTATCCTAGCTGCAAAATAAATCCACACATTAACGACATCCCTACGGAGATATTTATTCCTACTCCAAGGCGAAAAATCCTTCATACCTTCATCGACATTCTGTGTCGTGGCCGTCTGTTGAAAATCCGCGATCAACAGATCAAAGAAGTTCCTCGTTTTCGGCTGAGCTGACTTTGAAATATCAGGGATCACCTTCAGAGCGGAATAATCTATCCTGAACTTCGACAGGAGACTCGCCATGCTGTAAAAACCGGACCTTTGTATTTTCTGCAATTTCTCATGCATACAAAATTTAATTCGACGTCATTAACTATACCTCCTCTGCTCGTACTCCAATTCCGAGTTCTTGTTCGCCAAAACGAACACCCTCAATCTGCTGTTCGCCCAGTTCCTTCTAGTACTGATAATATACGGCAAGAGAAGCGTCAAGCCCCCGTCATCGTAGAGCCACCAGACATCTACAGTCCCCTTCTTCTGCTTCCTTTGAAACTTAGTCATTACGTTAACAACATCTTTTGGAATCCCGACGATGTTCTGCTTCTGTTCGCGCCTTTCCTCCCTCGCCGGGTTTGGAGAATCATTAATCTCCTTCGACCTTCCCAGAGGAGGACTCCCCGGCATGGAAACATCCGAGACGCTGCTGGCTGAGAACGGAAAAAAAAAAACGATGCCTCAACTCTTAGGATTTAATTATGTATTAATCTAACGTCCCCACTAATGGGCCTGATACTTTACCTTGACTAAGTTGTGAGAAACTTCGGTTCCCAGGAATAGTCGTAGGTGATGGTTTCCGTTGATCTTCGACGTCTTCCAAAGTCCCGCTGGAGTCCAGGCCTTCGCTGACGCGCAGAAGAGCGACGGCTACGTGCATGTCCAATGCTTTACTGTAAATACGCACCCATTAGCATTCTAAAAAATATCTTACACCCTGCCCCCCCCCCGTCAGATCGTTCCTTACTGCATAACGTTGAAGTACATGTTCAAGTTATCCCACGGGCAAGTGGCCCAGTCTTGTTTGTAGCCCATCAGCAGGATATTAGGTCGCAGCTTCCCGAGCCCGGACGCTTGCAGCAGAGACGTGGCCCCGTCTTGGAAACTGGTTCCATCGACTAAACTATAAAAGGCCTTAATCTTGTTGGTCCTGAACCAAGCGGTGCATTTGGCCACCATCGCGGAACGGGTCTTATGCGACAAGGCACTCTGCAAACCGAGATCAAGTTACCCGATTGGTAAAAAACTACCGGTACCTCATCTGCAACATCGTACAAAAGTAATATACCTCGACGATATGACCGCAGACAAGTAGACTTTGATTTTTAGATATGTGATGAGCGAAATCGACCAACGTGGCTCTGGCGCTTGGTGATCCGCAAAGTACCAGAAGCTGCGGTCTGTAATTTTTCACGTGTTCTTCCACCCTGTCGAGCTGTTGCACGGCGGTTAAGGCGTTGTTATACGTTTGCGCCTGCGTGGTCGAACCCCAATTAACATCTGAAAGAGGCAGAATTAGGGGATGAATTGTGTAGGGTCCCAGAAGAAAAAAGAAAGAAAATCAGTGAACCCGATTTAACTTACCGGGCTTCCTATACGATACTATAAGATATAATCCTAGAACGACGGATAAAGTGATCAAGGCTGTCCACCATGAGATCAGAAACATCACAGAAACGCAGAGGATGGCGCCAAGGAGACTAAGCCACATGTTGTAGTACTGAAAGTTGAATAATTACTAAAAAAAAATTACGGGACAGTCATAAAAATGTCTAAACGCAAATGCAAAACGATACCTTGAAGGTGGGTCGCCATCCGATCGGTTTCGCCAAAGAGGCATGAAAAGTGCTAAAATTGACTAGGGTATAAGCGGCCAAGAAGAAGTTGGAGATCAGCGGTGCGATGGCGTTTAATTCCCCTGGAAATTAAATTCATTTGAGGATCGTTCCATCGGGGATATTAATTTTTTTCTTCTATTTCTAAGGAACGAACGAATCGAGTTACACGGTATATCAACGGTATAATGTCTCTGCTTCTCCTCAATTTACCGATTAATATAAAACCAACGGCAATAACGAAAGTGAGAAGATATCCCCTGACGGGTTCCTTCCCTCTTTCTCCGCTGAACCAATCGATCCCAGGATACAGCTTATCCAGGCATAAAGCCTGGAAAACCTTGGGAGCTGACACAAGAGATGCCAAGGCACTCGAAAGAGTGGCCGCAAAGCAGCCTGCATAAATAAAAGGCCCAAAGGCGGCAACTAGCTCGATTACCTGGGGGACAAAAAAGTACCGTCATACCGTTCCGTCTCTTGATCTCAATGGTAAAGTTATTCCGAGGTATACCTGGAAGCTATTATGAGAACCGTAATGGCAGCCGCCGGTACAGTTGAAGTCTGTACCAAAGATACTCCAGGGTCTCTCGGAGACGGTAAAATTCTCAATAGCCGTTGTTACGTTTTCCACGATGGTCTCGTTCTCCGCATTGACGATCGACTGGATAATCTGCGTCTTATTGAAGGCATTGATAATATCGTTAACGTCACCGGTGGCATCCCTCAGGACGGATCCACCGACCATCAGAGCCATCATTAAATACGACAAGGTAGTCAAGAAAATTGCCAGCAGCGTTCCTTTAGGTATAGCCGATTCGGGATCCTGGAAAAACGGAAGTCAATAAAACGGGCTCAGGGAAATCGATGGACAATTTGAAATAGTACCATTACCTTCAAATCACCGGATATGTTGGCACCAGCCAGGATCCCAGTCGCTGCTGGAAAGAAGATCGCCAGGACCGAGAAGAAGTTGTGCTCCACGCCCTCGCTGTATCTATAGTCAGGATGGAAGTTCTCCTTGAACAGTTCGGCTGCGGAGGAAAATGATCTCAATCTCTAAAATGTGATAAAAAAATCTTGGTCGCCCAGGAGCAATTTAAGAAATCCTACCGCTGTATCCGACGAATCCCTTGGCCCTCTCCAGATCGTTCTTGGGTCCTATGAAGGTGCCGATGGTGAAATCTGCGATGGCCACCAGAAGGATGATAAGGAGCCCGATCTGAGCCTTGGCTTCCCACTCGAGGCCGACCATGACGATCATCAGCAAAAGGACGATGGTTATACACCCTGAAAAACGAAGGCCCCAATAAATATCGAGTGTTCCCCGCACCCGTGATCCAGCGACAATCTCACCTATTATCCTGATGTCGGTGTTATCGCAGTCAACGATGCACACCCCATTGGACTTGAGACAATCGACCATGCTCTCGCAGAAGCCGACGACGTACATGGCACAGGCAACGGCGTTCGCCAAGGAGAAGATAAGTCCTATCGAGCCACCGAATTCCGGTCCAAGCGATCTGGATATCATGTAGTAAGTCCCACCTACCGAAGAGCAAGATCTTTACAGGCCATTCCTCGATTTTTCCCCGATGCACTATATATTTTCATGAGTCGATGAACTCGATAGCGACACGATACCGCACCTCCTTTGATGAGACCATTGGTGCTTATCGCGGACATGGAGAGCGAGGTGATAGTCGTGACGACCGTCGTCGTCATGATCAGAAGGACGGCTTCCCCTGGAACGAGGATTTGAGTTAGAGGAAGTACTCGGGGGATTTAATCGATCCAGCTGCTCGTAAGATCCATTACCCACGCCGGCTTGAGCGACGACCCAAGAGAGACGCAGGAAGAGCATCACGCCCCAGATGTTGAGGAGGCATCTCATCAACACTCCCTGGATCCATCCAAACTTGAACCCGGAAGGGGGGTGCTTGGTCTCCGGGATGGAAATGGAGTGACCTCCGATCCCCTGGAAAACGGATCGCATACATTAAACGGAGATAAAAAATTAAATAAAAAGGAAGGTACTCGCGAGATTCGCGAAACGAACCACGCGCCTCTCCGGGAGTTACGCCCACGCGTGCGTCGCAAATAATGGCGAGCCGATAAGAGGGTAGCTCACCACGGAAGCTTTTAATTAATCATATCTCGCAGATGACGCTTCGAATAAGCGAGACGTCCACTCGTACGACCTAACCGTACGGCGAGTTAAGTGCATTGTTGATGCCACGTGCGCGCACATTAAACGCACACGTTGCGAGATGCCAAACAAAAGGTGTACACGGGCGTGCGCGCGATTCTACTCGCCCTAAAAATTCCTCTACACGATCATAATCTACGCATGGGTCATCTGAGAAGATTCTTCAACAATAGACAGCTTCGGAAGTTCCTCTTCTAGGTGCCTCTTCGAAGAGCTCCCTCTTCAGGGTCTCGAATCCAATGGGAAATTAAATGCGCGTTCAGGTTTTCTCGGCTATTTCTTCGGCTCGAAGGAGAGCGCCATAAATCTACATAACTGGGACCTAGTTGCCGCAATACTGGAAGCTGTTATCCGTGGGGATCGCTGCATCGATCGCATCGACCCTGGCGATAACAAACGAGCCCTGGATTAAATCGCACGAGGAACAGTGACATTCGTCTTAAAATATACAATTATAAAATACGCTTATCTAGATATTGGAAAAGTCCTATTTGGAATTATTCGCCGTCTAAGATGCGGATGCGCGGCTCGGCGCTGACATAACGTCGCGGTGCATCGAGTGCACTCTTAAACTGCACTCACACGTGGAGGCAGATTTGTCCGAGGGATGCGCTGATTTGTACTTATACCTAAATGACTGTTACGGGTAAATTGAGATTCAGGGGCGGTTGCAGACGGCGGAGGGAACCGTCTAATGAGGAACGTCGAGAGAATATACCGCGCGAAACGTGGATCCTCTTTTTTTTTTTTCTGTTTCCGACAACGAGGAAAATTTTTAATCATTCTCAATACCGCGAGAATCCGATCCCAAGACAATTTCTTTGTAATTATCTCGAGCTGGGGAGAGAAAAAGTGAACTAAACGGCGATGGATAATTTCTTTGGAATTATCTAAGAGGACGAAATCGAGAAAACGTAGCGTTACCGCATGTCACGTAATGTTTAAGGCGCGGATATATTTCCGCAAATCGGCTCATCGCCAGTCCATGACCTGGGTCACCGTCATCGTGCACCTGGGATTCGTATTTAAATCCTCAGGAACTTGCTCTAAGTATTCGTCACCTTGAATTTCGACAAGAGACCGGATGAGAGCCCCTGAAGCACGTGGAATCCCTCTACATCCGTACAAACGTACAAACGTACATACGCTCGGAGTAATTGCACGGCTGTACAAGGAGTATCTATATCCCTCGCGCTTAGGCTAAGCATTCTTTAAATACTAGCGTTGCGATTAAACTCTAAATAATTCCCCGGCATCTCGTACGGGCGATCCGCGACTCCGCCGTGAATATGTATAAATCCCGCACCTGGAAGAGGCCTTCGATAAGAGGACGATTAACCTCGAGATAATATCCCGATAACTCGTAAAGAGAATTGCAATTCCTACGTAATCGTCGACAAGCGATCGGTCGTTCGTAAGAATCGCCTAGGAGAAAATTTTCGCGACGACTGTTGGAATAATGTAATTGAATGGAAAAAAACGGCCGGTCGTAACTCTTCGTCGAAATTGGCGCGAGTCGTTCACGGATCGAATCCTGATTTGCATACACCGGATGACTCAATGCCCTCGAGAGTGCATCTCTCTCTCCTATCTAAACGTAGTGCGATTTCCGATCCGAGACAACAGGGGTTAATCGCTTCGCAGTATAAGTAATCTCGGATTAGTGTCGGCGAGGCGGATTGATCGCACTTGAAGGATAATGTGATTGCGAGTTGCACATTTCCCAGCGACAGGGGATCACGGACTGTCCTCCAAGCGGGATAAACCTCGAGATTCCACGTGAGATATCTTAATCGAGCCGGAAAATCCGCTGGAGTCCCTCGAAAAATCCAGGGAAAGAAGTCGGAGGAGAAATCGCAAACGCGGACGTAGAAGCTACTCCGAATGGGACACCAAAGGGACCCGATTGGAGTTGCGTATAATTTTCATTCTCACATTTTACGCCGCGGGCTGAGGCGAGCCTAAGGTATTCGTCATCGTCTCTCGCTGATGATTTAATTACCCGGTCGAACGTGAAGGTCTTCATTTTGACCTGTCCTACGCCATGCGAGCCAGGCGCGCTATTAAGAGGGCTCGTTAGAAAAATGGGGTCACTTCTTCGTTTTTTCTCCTAGGTCGTCCCTTACGTGGGAACGCGGCAATTTAGGGTTATCGAAGACACGCTCGTGGCCCTCAAAATCGAAGATAATTGCCCCCAAGCTGGCGAATATCGGTGCTAATGGACCTAGTTACCTGAAAAAGTCGAGGAATTATAGAGACCGATATCGGAGCGATAAACCGAAATCCAACGTAGAGAGAATCGCAATCGAGAGAAGAGAAAGCGCAAAGGCGATCCGCCCGGAATGGGAACGTCGATTTAACGAAATTCACGATTCAGTAATAGGCAAAGGTACACACGCGAGTGGAGTGACGAAACCGCGCGCAACATCGAGACGTACTTAGCGTACCAGAGGGGGCTCGTTACCGGCGATTAAGCAACAATTTACACTTTTTATCCCAGACGAGCGGGATTTAACCAACGGCGCCAAGGGAGATCTTTAACGTGCGATTTGGCAGCCACTCCAGACGTCTCCGTGCGCAAATTCGAAGCCGCCCGTGAATTCTGTACACATCGTTAAACTCTTCGCACCGTTCCGGCGCCTGTATCCAAACTTGAGCGAGATTATTGACGAAGACCTCACGGCCAGGTTTTCGGGATCGTGGGATCTGGTGACTCCGTATCCGGTAAACGTTATCCCGTCCTTACAACGAAAAGCAGGGAATACCTGCCGACAATAATTCCAACGATTACCTCGTCACCTTGCACTCTTTCCACGTTTCGTTTATCACCTTGTGGAGTAACACGATTCTACCTTAAGTCTCCATAGAAAGCGCAGCCTCGTTATGGCGTTAAAGGTCGCCTTAACGCTTGAAAAGAATTCTTCTCTAATTTTATGCGCTTCTCACCTTGTTAATTAGAGTGGGATTGTGGAGCTCGTCAAGGGTCGGCCTATGGGCAGCCTGGATGCTCAAGATGTTCCTGTAATTTTCGAGCCTCGGTAGCGCCTCCCTGGTCATGTTCCTCAGAGATTTTCGGGTCTCCTGTTCCCCCAGGAGGCTGGTTCGTCCTTCGAGGCTGTCGACCCGGTTCACGTGGAACCTGGTTCGCCTCAGAGGATTCAACTCGACCGTTTCCGGATCGACGTCCCTGTTCTTGCCGTTCTCCATATTTCTCGATCTCTCCTCTTCCGTTGAAAGCTATCCTGGTCTCTCCCTGGTCCTCCTCTGTGAACGTCATTCCTTTAAATGCTATAATCTAATAATTGCCTTTGAAAAGATAAGATTACAATAAATATTGCAATAACGTTTTGGAGAACGTTGAGATTTTTAAATTTCCCGCGCCGGTTATCGAAATCGTCGGCGGGCAGATTTTTTTAAATCCAATTTCGCATTATTTTAATATCTAGGTAGAACCGAAGATCACGCGAAAGGGAAATAAACGAGGTAAAAGACCTCGTGGGCGGTTTCTTTTCCGCACTTTCCAAGTCGCCGTGGCGTGCCCTCACCTTGGAGTAATTAGTTAATAACCCGATGCCAGTAGGCTGCCAATTATGAGATTACCCTTGTTCCACGAGGGCCTGTAATTGTCTGAAGTTAAAGGAAAAATAGGCCCTACGCAGCCTTCTTGAATATTAAACAGGGTTCTTCGAGTCGATATCAATGTTTAGAGAAAACGTTATTCGGGTATCTTTAAAAAATTCGCACAAAACCCATCTGACAACGTAACGGTAATCACTGGTATAACGGAACAGGCCGAGATGAGATTTTCGAGGGTAGAATTTTACCGGGGGGTGAAAACTTTCCCAAAAAATGAAAAAGTGAAAAGGTGAAAATGTGAAAAGTGAGAAGTGAAAAAGTGAAAAGGTGAAAAAGTGAAAAGGTGAAAAAGTGAAAGGTGAAAAGGTGAAAAGGTGAAAGGTGAAAAGGTGAAAAACGTAGTGTCGTGCACCGCCACGAGATTGTAGAAATTTGGATGCACCGCGAGTGCAACCCCTAGGCGTTCCGGAAAGTAAGGATGAGCGGTTCGCGAGCTCTGATTGGCCAAGCCCTCGACCAATAGCTGCACGTCTAGGAACTCCTTTCAAACAAGTCACGACCCTCGAATTCCTCTAGTTAATTCTGGGACATACCTGACAAGCAGCGAAGTGAATCCACCCTCAAGACGACTTAAAATGACCAGCAATTAACGGATGGAGGCGTTTAAACGATCCCTGCTTTCTCGGCGGTTCGGTATCTACCGAAAGCAGCCGCACACTTTCTCGAATTGCGCCCCGATTTTCGAGTGCGTCGACCCCCCCGGAGTTTAAAAAAAGGAAACAGGTTCGGGAGCCCTCGCGCGTTACGATTGGTCGAGGCGTCGACCAATGGCTGCAGCCCTAGGCGGCAGCTTTTCAAACGAGTCGCGATCCCGAAATTCCTGAAATTCCCGAAATTTCTCCGGGCGCCTTGCCGGCGCGTGGATGACTCACCCTCGGCTTCGGGAGGTGGTGCACGCGTGTGCACCGTCTCGTTGCACTTCCCCGTCGCGTTTCACGCGTGCACTGGCACGCACGCGGTCGGACCACGGGGCGGTCTAGGAGGTACGCGACGCGACACAGGGAGCACGTGTTCACGCCGCGGCGGCCCGGTCTCAACTGAGAAAAATTACACAATCCGCTCCCATATAACCTCTTCGCATAGCTCGGCCTCACGCACGCATCGTACGACGCGCCGATGTGGCCGCGTTAGCCCGCACTTACCGGTGTACGCGACGCTCCGGTCGTCTGCACGTTCGGCTGCATTCTGCTTGATACTGCACGTCGCACGTGAGATCGACCGAGAGGTTAAGGACGCGCCTGCGACTCGGCGGCGCCTCCGCAAGGCTCGGAGGTGAAAGCTCTAGAATCGCCGGCGTCTTCGCGGCTGAACATAACCTCTCTCTCTCCCTTTCTCTCCTTTCGGCGACGCGCGTCTGCACGTGCCGGCAAGGATTCGGCCTGCTGGAGGCGCCTCCTCTGAGCAGCGTTGCCAAGTCTCGCTAGATTACGAGAGCCGGCAACGGTGCATCAAGGAAAATGGCGATCAAGAAAAACTACATTATTTATGATTTTACTGATATGAAACGCTTTCCCTTTGTAACCATTTCAAATCATGCTTATGTAGAAAACTGCACGCGTACAAGAGTACGTGAATGTAAACTCTACATACATGGAAGCTCTTGCGGGATTAATAGTTTTTGGGGTTATAACAGAGACAAAGTGAACTTAATATTCTAACAAAGTAGTCACGATGTAGAGCCTTTGTTCACTTTATTGAATTGATGCGTCTTCTTGGTGTAGTGTGCGCGGCGTGCACATCATCGAGGTGTCAAAACGCGTGGACAATAAAAACCCCTATACGAGCACGCTACATGCAAATCGATTAAATTAAATTGGTGCTGCTTGAATGGATTAAGTCCCCGAGCCTTGCATTTATTTTCGGTACAGAGATTCTCAACCGTGGGGTAATGATTTCAAGGAATTCTGAATATTTCGGTTTTATGCATCTTTTTCTGAACCTTATAATGCATCTTCATAAGCAAAAATTTGTATGCAATTGCTTTTTGATGCATATATCTCCACAAATTATTCTTACGATTGCTCTATATTGATGATGAATCGTGTTGAATATACGAATTATAAAGAATTTATAGAATGTACTCACATCTTTAAAAAATAAATATCCTTTTTCCTTGTCAAAATTTTGCAATTCAAAGAATTCTTGCAAAGCCAATTTTCCTTGACTGATAAGGTATTCTTAATATAGAGTCGTTTATAAATTCAAATTAATTATCACTGAAACCACTAAAAACCAGATCTATCGCAGCCTGTACATCTCCATTAGTAAACTGTAATGCTTGCACGTTAACGGCATCGTCTTGAAGTCCTATTTCATGCATCTGTGCGAGCTGTCTCTGCAGGTCGGCAAACTGAGGGAGAACGGGTGGCAAAATAGGTGCTACAGGAGGCGGTACAACGGGCACTGGAGTCGATGCAAAAGCTTGTTGCATTGCTTGAGTAAACATTTCTGTTGTAATAACGGCAGAGTTTGAACTAGCTCCAGATGTAGATGATGAGGAAGTAGACAAGGGAAAACCTCTTGCTCCTGCTCTAGATAAAGCAGTGGCTAATTGCGCCGTTGTAATTGCAGAATTTGATTGATTTGTTGATAAATTAGAAGGCTGTGTCGAATCCGACGATTGAGAGGAGTCTCCAGCCATTTCTTCGTCATCGCTCAAGTTATCGATACTATACGAATAAGCAGTAGTTGATTGAGCATTCGATGTTGATGCATTGCTGCCATTAACGGCATTATTATGAGCCTCTTCGTGAACTGCAGCTGCTATATGTTGTGCCGCTTCAATGAGGGCAGGATGTAGCTCACCAATTCTAATTAAAAAAAAAAATAGAATTGATTCAATATGAGGAATATTTAGTAAAAAATTTAAGAGACCTTGTGAAATATAAACAAAATGTATAATACTTGATAATGGTTGATGTAACAATAAAATGTGCCATTAATTCTGGATCTTGTAGCATGGCTATGGCAATAGGATCTTCATTCAACCCTGGTGAAGACGAAATTATGTTTTCTACAACTTCGGGCCTTTTTATTAATCGCTAGAAACATAATATTACATGACATAATTGTAAACTTTCATGTGATTCTAAATCTAGGATAAAAAAACTGAATATAACATTACGTGTAATGCACTGCGCAGTTCAGGATTCTCATTGAATGATCGAAAAACGGATGACAGTTGTAAAATGCTGCGCAAGGATGCGGTTTTAGCAGGCACAGGTACTTCAGGGACCTTTTTCTTCAGAACGTGGACCATAGACCCATTCTTTAAACCGCATGCTTCTAGCGTCACGTCGTCTTCCAAAATGCATCCGCAATAAATGAGTTCTAGGAAGAACAAAGTATTTATACCACCCTTGCTTTGAGCATAGGAACTGCCAAACGCTACTAGTTAAAATTTAAACCAGACTCTTTTACACCATTACAAACTAGCGTCACTGGTTTCTTACCAAAAGTGTCCTTTTGGAGTTTAATCTTTTCGGCAGTTTGGACTCTCAGTTGCTCCACTTTCGACTTCAAGCTCACATCTTTTAGTTTGATCGTCGTGAAGTTTTGTAAGGTTAGCCGAAGTCCAAGAAACAATTCGGTGCCCATGGCTCCCGACACCTGCTACGAATTATCGACTTAACGTCCCAAAGTCGTCACGAATGGGCCAAAAATGCAATCTCATGGGCTCGCGTCGTTTCAAGATGCCACACGACCAGCTCACCTCCCGTTCATCCCGTTTTCTACGATCCGAAAAACCGTAACTGCACGACCGTACTAATTGCGCACAACTGAGCGACCCAGGAAGAGTGCCACACAATGCTGAGTCAGGGACACATGCCCATACAGAATTCAAGACAAATTTCGAGTTCCGCGAAATATTAGAAACAAATAAAAGCGTGCTCTGACTCAAGTTTCAAAGGAAACTCACAAGAAGAAACATAACCCCTTTCTACTTACACTTCCCAAATCTCAAACCACTAGTCAATGAGCGTACTATTACCGAATCTAAGCTCATTTTCCCTAAATAGTTTAAGAGAGATAGATACCCGATATCTATTATTCTATATTTAGCGTCTGATAACGATACCAGGGTTAGAAATTTTAATTTTGGCGCCCGGTCGAGCGCTTCGAAGTCAACCTACATACTTGACCTGCGCAGTAGGTGCGATGGAGAAGATTCTGGGATTCTGGCGCATCGGAACCTCTCTGTCGCACTCGTTGCCGGGATAGGGGAGAAAGAGACGGACTGGTCTCTTGATCAGAAGAAAGAAGTCTTTCAATAATCGGGGGAATTGTAAGTTTGCTTCGGAACTGGACCGCGCTCGTAGTTTCACCTCTGGTTTCACGCCCACGCGCGACGGGCTCGCACGCACATGCACGCGAAGTGCACGTACACTTATGCGCACCGACGTCAGGTTAATTTGGAAATGGTCGCGGCGCTTCCGAGTTCGAGTCGGCGGTAGTGTTTTTCCTTTGAGTCCCCGGCGTGTTTACGACCCAACGTGGTGACGTTTCATAGGCAAGGGAATAGTGCCTTCGGGGAAGATGCCGAAGTTCCATAAGATCGAAATCAATCGGACCGAATGGGAGGTACCGGAGCGATATCAGATGCTCACTCCCGTCGGCTCGGGCGCGTACGGACAAGTCTGGTAAGAAAGAAGGCGTACTCGAAGAAAAGAAGAGTAGAAAATGATTAAAGAGCTCATTTTCATAAAAATTATGCCCTGCACTTGTATTATTTATCAATCAGAGTCGATAATCATTGGAAATTCAATGTACGTTACCAGTTGGTTCGATGGCCATGATACCCTGTCGATGTTAAGTGGTCAGTGGCAGGACCGAATTGTCTGACTCTAACCTTCGAAGATTTTCTACATCCCTAGACTTTATTACAAAACAATGGTATTCTAGAATTTCTTAACATTGTGTAACGACCACTGTTTCGTTTGGTTTGGTCTGTGGTAGTACATATCGATGTAACAAAACATTTAAGATTTACGTATTTCATGGCGACTGCTACGTAATGCTAGAGAATAGAAAATATCGAGAATGGAGTGTATGCTTTCGTTGGAATTTTCTAAATATAACTGAAAATAAATTTCTTGTTATATTTAGCTCAGCTGTGGACACGATAAATGGTCAGAAAGTAGCTATAAAGAAGTTGGCACGGCCTTTTCAGTCGGCCGTACATGCTAAACGGACCTATAGGGAGTTGCGTATGCTGAAACATATGAATCATGAAAATGTAAGTTGTTACCACTTAATCATTCATTGTTTTAAAATTATTAAGATTATTTATTAGTATGGTACCATAGCTGATGTTGAAATATTTAATTATTGCAGGTCATTGGTCTATTGGATGTATTTCACCCGTCTTCATCGTTGGAGGATTTTCAACATGTGTAAGTTTAATGTATTACATTTCATGTTTAATAGCTTTGTAGAAAATGACTCCTGTGCAGTTTGACAGTAATTAAAAAAATTACCTTCTAGATATTTAGTGACACATCTTATGGGAGCCGATCTCAATAATATAGTACGAACACAGAAGCTCTCTGACGATCATGTACAATTTCTTGTATATCAAATCCTCCGTGGATTAAAATACATTCACTCAGCTGGTATTATACATAGGGTAAGTCAAAAAATATATTTTTTATTTCCGTCAAGCAACTCCCATGATATCGTTTATTAGGACCTGAAACCATCTAATATCGCGGTCAATGAAGACTGCGAATTAAAGATCTTAGACTTTGGTCTGGCTAGGCCAACAGAGAATGAAATGACTGGGTATGTGGCTACCAGATGGTACAGAGCACCTGAGATCATGCTCAATTGGATGCACTATAATCAGACAGGTATAATGGTAGCATGCTTTAGAAAAATACATTGGTATTGTTTGTGAAATATTACATACCAAACTATTTTTCACGTTAAGTTTTCAGTCAAGTGATATGCATAACACTAAGATTAAATGTATTTCAGTTGATATTTGGTCGGTGGGATGCATAATGGCTGAACTTTTAACTGGAAGGACACTATTCCCAGGAACTGATCGTATCCTTTTTTTAAAGCATTTGAGTGTTGCTCTGCATAATATACCACCTGCTTTAATTATAATTTACTAGTCGCATTATACTAATTGAGAGAGCTTAAAATGCAAACTAATGAAAGTTTGTAGATTTAACCTTTTTTGAACACACTAACCAAACTGGCATGATCTGCCTGTTTATAAAATGTGCCTTTCTAACTTAATTTGCTTATTGCTAAGGGTCTACCAAACGCTTCTTGTGCTTACTTTCGTACATCACATAAAAGACGCAAGCTTACGTAGATGCCACTGACTTTGCTTCGCACTTATCTTATGCTAGGTTTGGTAATACACATTTACTTGCAAGCAGGTGCTGTGATAAAAAAATGAATAAATATATAATACAATGAAACATCCTCATGGAACCCTTAGTTCATTGAGAGTTGTCATTTTAACTATTCATTTCTGTTATACGGTATTGATAATTGACTCAACAATTAATATCGTGGTAAAAGTCATGGAAACGTAGTCGAGCCTTAGCAAGAGCAGATATTCACCAATTAAACCTTATTATGGAAATTTTGGGTACTCCACGAGACGAGTTCCTGCAGAAAATATCAACAGAATCAGTAAGTAAGCTTCATTTGCTTTTTAGTTTGCACTGAAAGTAATTATGCTTTCGTTGTCATCACCACTGCTGAGTTCATCAAGTGCACGGTAGCTGGTACATGCATGAGTGTTACGAACACCTTATATTCCTTTTCGCGTGTATGTTTTTACATGTACGTGTTTCTCATGAAATTATTTTATATTTCTCAATGCACCCAGATGGAATGAACTGATATTTATGCATTCTTCAATTTTGTATTATCGAGTTAAATAATACTGTTTTCTGATGTGATTAATATTATTCTCTATTTTTTAATTTTTTTATATTATGATGGCATGGGTGTTCGCTGCGTAGGAAAATGGAAATATAATTTGTTAGGAAGGATATTTAATAAGCTACTATAAACTGTTTTAACCTAGTGTGGCTTGCCTTCAAAACGCCTTAACGCTAAGCAGACATTGATCATTTAACACGAGTTTTAGTGCTTTGTGGCACTCCTACCGAAGAAACATTAAATAAAATAACCAGTCAAGAGGTAAATCTATTTTATTCGCTATTAAAATTATTCTCTTTCGAATGAATTCCCTTTAGCCCATTATGTAAGGAAGAATAAAATTAACATAAAAATGTGCAGAATTAATAATATTTGGACTAAATGTCGTTTAAAATAAACAAATACGTTTGAATCTATGTGACTTCAGTTTTCAATGATATTGTCAATTCTATGAATTTCAGGCTAGAAACTACATACAGAGTTTGCCACCCCTGAAGAAGAAAAATTTTAAGGACGTATTTCGCGGAGCTAATCCTATGGGTAAAATTTATTATACATTTTTATAAGTATAATAACATCCCTAGAGAACTTTTAAGAAATAATACCTTTTTTAAAATAAGTTAATAGCAATGTGTACTTATTCACAGCAATAGATTTACTCGAGTTAATGTTGGAACTGGATGCAGACAGAAGAATAACTGCGGAACAAGCTTTAGCCCACCCTTATTTATCAGATTATGCTGATCCGACAGACGAACCTGTGTCATTGCCTTATGATCAAAGCTTTGAGGATATGGATTTACCAGTTGAAAAGTGGAAAGGTAGGTTTGTCTGATTATTTTCCACTTGAAATTTAATTTCATGATCTATCGACTAATAGTGTTTTACCCTTTCCAGAGCTCGTGTACCATGAAGTGGTAAATTTTGTACCTCAACAAGCACCACCTCCACCCGTGACGAATTAATCAACGACTTCGTTGGCAGTTTTGTAGGGCAAATTGGTACAATTAACTGGCGTAAGATTAAAAAGCAACTAAAGAAACAAATATAAAATGCACAGAATAATATTCAACTGTACATAATATGTAACCGAGGGTAGCCCAGAGTTCGAGCTTATTTTCGCATAGTACATTGTATATTTTTACTATCATCAGAAGAAGCAGAGATCGAAAGTATAAGAAGCAAGGATCACTTCTACTTTTGATTAAGCTTATTGGCAGGGTTTGTGTGAGCATTTCCAAGAGTTCAGAACTACTTTTTGAAGTCTTCTATACATAGTAACGGGATATTACATACTGTGTACTATGTACATAACGAAATAATATAAATGGAAACTTGAATAGATCTATCATTACAGCAGTTAGTCCTTCGTCTTAATGGTAGACTCTTATGACTATTATGATACTATATGGACCTAAAATTATTAGGATTCATATCTTTATATTCTTGTATCTGTCGATTTTTCAAAATATGAAATAGCTTTTTGAAGATTTGTACGAGCTAAATAGCTCATTTGACTAGATCGAAAAATTGAGGCGAACAACCACATTAAAAGTGTTGTCCGTTCACTTTTGAATTTTTTAAGGGCGCTTTCACCTGTCTAAGGCCTAAGCCATTATACGTACCTTCGTACTAGGTTTAAAGACACAGTAATCTAAACGATAATCAAAAGAAGCCTAATTTATTACATAGCTTACTAATTTTCTAGAACTACTCAAGCTAAGAGATTTTTTTTAACCATTCTATTTTCTATTCATATAACATAATTAATGCCAGGTTGTAGTTAGAGATAGCTAAAGGTAAATTTATTTTTGCGAACATATTAAGCACCAGTGAAGGCTGGAGAGAGTTACTGCATTTATTGATGCAATAACGTTAGGATATTTGCAAGAAATATTCAATTGTAACAGGGCGAATTAATTAATCGAAATTACGACATATTTTCTGTTATAACAGTTTAACAATACGTAGACTTCAAGTCGCTGTCTCTTATGAAATGTCAAAAAAGAAAAAGAGACTAGTATTATTTTCATGTTATGTGTTCATATTTGGAAGTATGGAAAGAAAAACGAAAACCTGTGAAAGTTGCGTTAACCATGTACTATTTTTGTTGATCTTTTCGTTGTTAAATAAAGAACAAAGATGACACCAGCCTACAGAGTACGCATTGTCCTCCGTAACCTGTCAGCCCCTTTTCCTATTAGCGTTCATTCTTATGGAATATCTATACTTAAAAAAGCCGAAATCATTTTTAATTATTCGATGCCGGAACGTTTATCGTAATTGCTCTGTTATTATTCTTATCTTTTTTGCAATCAAATTCATGTGTCTATTTGTAACAATATTTTACATCACTGAATCACATGTCAGGATGGCCGAGCGGTCTAAGGCGCCAGACTCAAGGTTCACAACCTTCTCAGCTGTGCTGAGTCCGGGCTTTCTGGTCCTCTCTGAGGGCGTGGGTTCGAATCCCACTTCTGACAAATTTTTTTTTTTCCGCCACTAAAATCTCAAGTTATTTATACTCACTATGCGAGGGCTTATTTTATGCAATTCTAAATATAGTACACATGCATATTTCATCAAGTCATACGTGAAGACCGAATTTTAAGGAGCATTATGAATAAATATGACCGGAATGTCACAGAATGCGGTGCGTCAACGTATCGAGGATTAAAGACCAATCATAATTGCGCCGAAAGTGACGACAAAGTCGAAAGTACTCCAAGTTAGAAATTCGCATTTCGCAAATTCGCAATTCGCAATTCCCAATTCCAAGTGTTTACTTAAAATTTGCAAATAACATCCCGTATGGTCTAGTGGCTAGGATACCTGGCTTTCACCCAGGAGGCTCGGGTTCGATTCCCGGTACGGGAAAATTCTTTTTTCTTATTCCTTAGCGCTCCGTTAGCTCCGCTACGGAGACATTCGTCATAACGTTCCTTACCATCAACCAACCAACGCTTTTACAATTAATCCTGATCTCATTCAGCGAGATGCTATCGCTAATTCTGAATGCATTTTCCCAGTAATTTATATTAATCGTTAACAGGACAGAATTTAAATTCCGAAGTAGTTTATCAGCCTACCATTAGAGTAATTGTTTCTCCGGTCGATAATCAGACGTTACAGCAAATATTAACGCGAAAGCACTAACTCGGTCGAAGCAGTTCGATCAAACCAGTTGAAGCTAGAAATTCTGCATGTGAATTTGAAATTTTGTAGATCGTCCAAACAGTAATCAATGAAATACTTAAATGATACAGAAATGTATAAGGAAGCGATTCTAAACTCCAAGCGAAAGCCACGGGCAACAGGTATATTTAAATAAAAGCACATTTCTTAAGAAACCGTAAAATCGATAGAAAACCAAAGGAGATTATTCCACAGGAAAAGAAATACCGATTCTCGACTTTTATTCCACTTTCGAAGTAGCAACGTGGATCTGGTACCTTACCGGAAATTTTCCATACATCATCAGAGGCTCCATAGGGAACAGAAGATACGTTTTTGAGAAATTCATTGCCGGATACAACATATGCCTCTTCCTCATAAGCATAGGAGTGTGTTGCTTGGGACTCGTGGAAATCGTGAATTTTGCTGGGTATTATTTCATTATTAGTATTTCTGCAACCGCATCTCTGTAACAAATGACATTTTTTCCTTCTTGTTCAATAATCGCGATTTTGTTGCTACAGAGACAACACTCTCTACGCGACGACCTTAGTTTTGCGTTTCGTCACGACTTTAATTTCCACGTTGAACATAGTGATCATACGAGTATACTACAATGAAAAGGTCTTATCTCTCCTTCTATAATCAATATTTCGAATATTTTATTTCTACGTTCCGATTTAATAACTCACTTGTTTTCAGTTTATATCCGCGTTCGAACAGTTTGCTGCTCAGGATGTGTTTCTGCAAGATTTTGGCTGCTATTTAAAGTACAAGTTGTACAAGAGAATAATAAGCTGCAGTACGTGGCTCAACACGATCATCGACGTGGTCTTGAGTTTTCACTATTCTTGGGTGTACAGTGTATCGGACATTCGGTATTTTTTTCTTCTTCATTACATGGACATTTATAAAACCTCAGCCCTCTATTTGGATAATGGTTACGATTATTCTCGACTTTCCAGAGTGTTGGTCTTTTGGTCCTTGTGGAACGTGCCCAACATGATGATGAGTACGAATATAAATATGTTCATAAACTTGACGATGATGTTAGGAATCAGGTTCCGCGTCCTCAACGAAAAACTATATTCGATCATTGCAAGAACCAATGCCTCGCCTCCAAAGGTTCCTAGAAAATTGAAATAACAGGCCGATTAACTGGAAGAGATTTCCAGCAAACTAGTCGAACAAGTAACGCACCGTTTTACTTTCCTCTCCAGGTGATATTTTTCTCCAAAAACATTGGAGATAATGTCCGCTCTGTTGCACGGGTTCATTACAATCTCTGCAACCTTGCACGGTGTATAAACGACTCCTTCAAATGGAACCTGGCAAGTACAGCATTCAATTAATTCGCACGTAAGTCTTTGTCACAGAACGCATTTATATGCCCTAATTATTAAAAATGTACTTCCCAAGGTTGTAAATGTTATTAACGCTTTTACAACCGTAACCGGAACCTTGTACGCCGTGTTCGTCGAGGCCCAGAAAGGTGAAGAAGCAGATCAAGGATTGCTTATCGTGTACGTCCACTGGATATTTATTCAGAGTCTTCCAACGGTGTTGAGTGTACTAATCTGCAGTTGGACGCAAAATAAGGTATTAATACGTACATTCTCTGCTATTGCTATTTTTTTTATCCACGCGAGATTATTTATATTTTTTTTTTAGGCCGCACGTGCTGAAAAATTGCTGTACAAGATCAACGTACAAGAGACCGACGCAGGGCTTTATTCTGCGGTACGAATACTGGAAAAATATTCCCACGATACGTTTTAAATAATAATGCCGCTATGTACATTATTTTCAGGTGAGGATATTCTCCATGCAAATGCGGCACCAAAAAGTGTCCTTCACCGGAGCCGGTCTCTTACCTCTAGATACAACGCTTTTATTATCGGTACCCTGATTTATATTATCAACGTCTTTCACTCGTTAAAACTTCTTTTTTCCTCGTCTTCATTTATCCAGCTCAACGTATAATTTTCGTACTATCGCTTAATAATTTTCTATTGCAGATGGTTGGAGCTGTAACAACGTATTTGGTGATACTTATTCAGTTTTACTCGATGACTAAAGTTTATAAGGAAGGGTTGAATAGAAACGTACAAAATAATACTTACGGTAATTACAGTCGTTACTGATAGTAGTTAATTCAGTTTTTCATACATAACTGACGTGTGTATAATGATCTATTCTGAACGAGATAAATCATAGAGAAAGGATTAAATATTTATAAAGGAGTACCTAATGAAATTGGAGAACGATCGCGTCTAAGGAACGTTTAAATTTGAATGAAGCGGCACTTGACGGTTAGGATCGAATTCCTGTGATGAAAGGGTTAGAAATACGAACACAACTGGAATGGGGGATGTGCACATATTTTGCTGTCCAATTATCGTGCAGGATCCATCGGAAACAACCAATGAGAACGCGCGAAGGATGCCTTTATTGTTAGGATGAATAAGAACCCTGCATAAAATTTATTCAATGCATAGGTAGCCACTTCTGTAAAATGTAATGTCATCAACATTAATTTATACACTAATTATGAAATAATCGTTATAAATAAATGTAATTACAGACAGAATTTGACTTTTGCTCCGACTGACCAATCCTGCCTTTTAGCAGACCGTATCGTGTTCTAGACGACAAAATGCCGTTTAGATTTGCGACACAAGCGTCTTGAAGTTACTTACAGTTACTTATCACAGAAATGGCCGCGAACGTGGACGGCGTTTTCCGAAAAAGTTTGCAAAATGCAATTCTCAAGAGTAAAGTTCTCGTCGTGGGTGCTGGTGGTATTGGCTGTGAGATTCTTAAAAACTTAGTGATGACAGGTTTCAATGATATTGAAATTGTAAGTCAATGTTCTGAATTATAATTTAGTAGAATAAGCGGTTGAAATAACCTTTCGTACCGACGCCATAATCACATGGACGTATTTGAAGCAAAAACTCTTGATTTACATTAGTCTTGTAGCAGTGGATGGGACAATATTTTTCGAAAAATTAATATCGAGTTTCGGTACTATTAAAGTAACAATATTTATATGAAAACAATTTTTTCAGATCGATTTGGATACTATCGATGTAAGCAATTTGAACAGGCAATTTCTATTTCAAAAGCAGCACGTTGGTAAATCGAAAGCAGCAGTAGCTCGTGAAACAGCTTTAACGTTCAACCCTGATGTAAAGATAATTCATTACCATGACAGTATTATGTCGTATGTATTGTACATTTTTTTATATCGACGCAAACTAAATATTGCACCGTTGTTTATTATTAACGTATGGTCTTGTATTTTCTAGATCTGAATATGGGTTATCTTTTTTTAAGAAGTTTACGGTAGTATTAAATGCTTTGGACAATCGAGCTGCACGAAATCATGTCAATCGAATGTGTTTAGCAGCTGATGTACCATTAATTGAATCTGGGACGGCAGGTTACGATGGACAAGTAGAATTAATAAAGAAAGGATTGAGTCAGTGTTATGAATGTATGCCGAAGGCGGCACAAAAGACGTTCCCTGGTTGTACGATAAGAAATACACCAAATGAACCTATTCATTGCATTGTTTGGGCAAAACATTTGTTTAAGTAAGTCTAATGTATCATATTATTTAATGTAATCGTGTAAACTGTACATTAAAAATATGAATAACTTCGATATAAATTTATTACAGTCAGTTGTTTGGAGAACTTGATCCTGATCAAGATGTATCTCCAGATACTGCGGATCCAGAAGCAACAGATGGGGCTGGTGAAAATGCATTGAATACAAATTCAAATGAAAAGGGAAATGTAGACCGTGTATCAACTCGGACTTGGGCTCAGTCTTGTAATTATGATCCAGAAAAAATATTTACAAAACTGTTTCATGATGATATCAAGTACCTTCTAAGTATGGATAATTTATGGAAAAAGAGGCGACCACCTACACCTCTAGAATACGGAAACCTCCCAGATGGAGGTAGGGATTTTGTTTTTAATTATTACATTTCGTCTTCGTACAATTAAACATTATGCATGTACCTCCATGCAACAGTGGCTGGCTGCAGCAAAGATACAACTGAACCTGGACTAAGGGATCAACAACAGTGGAGTATATTCAAATGTGGCTTAGTGTTTGCCGAGTCTATAAAGAACTTGAGCAAAGCTTTGGCACTTTGTCAAGAAAAATCAGAAAATGATCATCTAGTCTGGGATAAAGATAATAAAGATGCAATGGATTTCGTTGCAGCGTGCGCTAATATTCGGGCGCATATATTTGGAATTCCCGAAAAAACCCGTTTTGATATCAAATGTACGTATTTTATTTTCAAATGTGGTTTTATATATTAGTACGTATTCAAATTATTCCTTATATCTGTTTATAGCCATGGCAGGCAATATAATTCCAGCGATAGCGACTACAAATGCAATCATTGCTGGTGTAGTGGTGTTGCACGCATTCCATGTTTTGGAGGACAATTTGAAAGCCTGTAGATCTATATACTTGAGGTTAAAAGCAAACCACCGAAATCAATTATTAGTACCTGAAAAATACGTAAATCCTCCTAATCCTAAGTGCTACGTATGTGCACCAACGCCACAGGCTGTCCTCGCAGCTGATACTACCAAAATGACCATTAAAGAACTAGAAGAGTCGGTACTTAAAAATCGACTGAACATGATTGCACCCGATGTTATGATCGACGGTAAAGGCATAGTTGTTATAAGCAGTGAAGAAGGAGAGACCGAACAAAATAACGAGAAAATTTTGGAAGAGCTCGGTATCAAGGATGGTACTATTCTTAAAGTAGACGACTTCCATCAAAATTATTCGCTAACTGTTACCGTAGTACACAGAGACCGACCTCCTTTAAAAGATGACAGTCCCGATTTCATAATTACTGGCGAAGATGAGGATTTGAAGCCAAAAGAAGAAGCTACAATAGAGAAGCCATCGACATCGAATGGACAGGTACATGCAGATGAATATTCCTTTCTAGTTGTGAAATGGTAATTAAGGATCCTAAATAATATGATAAAAATTGGCTTTTTAGGTTGATAATGGAGATGAAGATGCCATTATCATCGAAGAAACAGAGATCAGTCAACCATTAGAACCGGAAGTAGCCAAGAAAAGGAAGACGGATTCACCTCCTGAAATTGTTACGAAGAAGCGTAAGATAGAAGAGAATAATGTGTGTGATGATATTTGCATTATCGACGATAACATGGATGCACAGACCACACCAAAAGTGTCTGCCAACGAAGAATGTAAAACAAAGATAAAAAAAAAGCAAAGTGCTTCTAGCGAGGACGATTGTTTAATAATATTTGATGATGCTAACAATGTTAGTGCTGCTGAGAAAGAAAAACGATCGTGCCATTAAGAAGTGGATACCGAAGTTTTCGAGTACATAATATTTATTGTGTATGTCGTGTCCAATCGAGGACACAAAATCCTTGAAGAAACGTTGATCTTGGTATAAATACGAACACTCAGTTTTCTTTTTACTGTACATCCGAAGTTATAAGGTTGTAAACGACAATTAAAATTCCTTTTTATACCTTAAATTGATTTATCAGTAGTATTAATTTTAAATTAATTTTTCCTAGCGAGAGTATCACTTAGACGTCTGTCTTGGCACATTCCACGTATTGATCGAAATCGTAATTGAACATTTCAAAATCTACTTTATACCGTTCATACAATTTATAAACGATATCGTGCGATAGGCTTTTGAAATATCCACAAGTTCGCGTAAAGTCGGTAACGCCATTACGCGTTTGTCCCAAAATGGGTAAATACGTTTCGCTTTGATTCAAGTTCAATTTGGAAAAAACGTAGTTTATTTCGCTAGGATCCTTGTGCTCTAATTTCAATAAAAAGTTAAAATTGGCCTCACAAACCGAACAATGCGAATGATACAGAGCCCAATGTGGATCGTCCCTCTCAGGTGATTCCCGTAAAAGCCAAGTAATGAATTCCTTGAAACTGGGAATTAATTTTAATCTGTAAATGCAAAGCCCTCAAACTATCTTAAAGATAACTTTCACAATTTTTCACCCGGTAGCGAGACAATAAAGAGATTTACTAACAACACGTGAATTTACCTTCTGTCGTTGGTGAATATCTTTTTCAACAAACCACCTGTTGTTTTGTTCGAATGAAATAAATTAGGTCTCGTCAGGTAGAAAATTTTCGGAGCATATATCCACGCCTGAGCCGTATACTTTGAATTATCCTCTATCCTGTCTCTGCGATTACATTTACGAAACAACATATAAAAATTAATTAACTATTTTTCGAAAAATGCTCCATTTGAAGCTTACCTATAAAATGAAACGAGTCGTTCAAACGGATGTCTGACAACGAAAAACTTGAATACATTGACATCGTTGATTAAAGCCTCTAGTACCTGAGACGTCTCCGGAGCGAGTACTTCCGCTTCCCTTAAAGTACAACGAAATATTAATTTATAAAAAAATGCCTATAATACCTCTGGTTAACTGGTACTTACTTATAATAATTGTGAGTCACCTGATGATTCCTCATATCGGAGAATATCTTGGTAAAGCTTGTCGAAGCACTCTTCCTTATCCAACAGTACAGGGCCCGATGTCTTGGACTGTATAAAAAGTGCTTCCTCGCAATCGGATTGCTTAAATTATACTTAGAGCACGTCTCGACAACTCGTTGAAGGAGCACTGCATTTTCCTGAACATTATTATCCGCGTCACATGACATAAAGTGCAGAATAAGCGCGCCTACAAATAATTCGCAATCCGTTACCTGTGAATCTACGGTCAGGTCTTTCAACTCGTCATATTCTACACGTTTGATCTCAAGATCTACCGATTGACTTTCGTTAACAATTGACCCGCCGCATTTATCACCCTTACTCTTGTGTACCAGAAATGTCTTACTCCTCGTTAAAAAGCTGGTTTTGGTCTTTACCAAGATCAAGCAAACGACAATGTACACGACCACGCAAAGAACACATTTTCCAAATTGTATTTTCGCAGTCATCCTTAAAAGTAACGCTCGCTATGTCGCAGGACGATTAGCTGCTCCAGAGACAGAATGCATCCGTTACGAGAGAATAAATCTGCGGAGGTGGTTCACTAGACAGATAATGCTTATCTGCCTATCCCCCATTCTGCCTCTCGGCATCATTCATCGCCCTTCCATAAAGTTTGCCTCGAAACAATTACATCCATCACAGAAATTCCCTATCAATTATCAATTCCTCCTCGCATCTCAAGTCCATGCAAGGGAATTGCACATGAAGAAAAGATTTCCCTGCAAGTTCGGTACGGACATAACTGATGATAGCATAAGCTTTATTAAATTCGGACAGCTGGAGTCTCGACTACACGGTAATAATCCATATATACGAATATATATATATTTAACCTTTATAAATCAATCGAGAGATCTTTAAAGGATTACAAGCGAAGATAACAGTTACACTTGTGAAAAAGGGTTTCATTACGAACGAAAGATTACGATGGTTATGAGTAGAAAAAAAAAGAAAGAAATGGATACAGTGCGTACACTCGCGTGTAAAAATCCGAGAATAATGGAAGAGGTAATTGACGTGCCGTCAAATTGTCTAGGCAAATAAAAAATATTAAAAGTACTTGGGCCCGCGGCATATTTTACAGCGACAGCGAGTTATCAATTAAATAATCACCCTTGGTGTACACTTAAACCGACATCCGGATAAACCTTGCCAAATTGCACATGGACATTCGCGGATAATTTCGCTAAAATTAGCCCAATAGGCCACACTAATACATCGTGATACCTTTGATATCATTGGAAATCCTCTCGATAAATTAGTTACCGAGGGGCAGCAATGGCTCTATCGCCCAATGAATGAAAACTCGCTTCCATTCCAGAGTTTACGGTTCCTTGTAACCGTCTTGTACTATACGTTCAACAGTTGACGAAAAGGAAGAAAAAAAAAAAAAATAGAGTGGAAATGTTTGCGGCCGATTTAACGAAAGGGAGGGAATTAACAGCAATTAAAGCCCCTGATTAATCGAGGGACAGTAGCCCACTGATTCGGTGCATACTCGTGAAAGAACCCCGAAAATCGTCCTTGAAGGAGAGCGTTTATCGTTACTTCAACGATTTCTTCGAAATTTCTGAAGTTACTGGGAAAACATGCGTAATTAGACACCTATACGTCTCAGTTTCACACAATTGAAACATCGCGTGCGCGTATTTAGCAGCAAACATGTGGTGGGACGGTGATATAAAATTGTGAAATGTTCTATCTACGGTCTCTGTATCGATGATGGTGATGATCACGAGAGGACCGATGATCGTTATGTCGACTGTGACGACTCGTTCTCCAGAGGAACTCGTCGACACTGCGTTCGTAGCTGCGCTTGTCCACGTTAGACGTAGCTGCACTATAATCCGGAGGTAAAGGTAGTCCATCGTAGTATCTTGGAAGTGGTGGCGGAGGAGGTGGTGGTAAAGTATCGTAAGGATGAGATGTTACGTAGGGGGGCAAAGGAGGTAACTGATGTTGCATCGTCCTCATGTAATCTGCAACATAGGCTTCCGCAGCAGCAGCAACCCCCAGTCCAGATCCCCCATAACTTCTAGAAAAAACGTTGACGTATGTAAAATATTCTTTGTTCTTGTATCTGGGTGACGGAGCATAATAATTACTTTGAGTAAGGAGAATCTCCTCGACCGAACCAAGCAGAATATCGTCGGTCCCTGGAACTTCTGTGATCTCCATGGGCTAATCCACTTCTTGCGAGGGAAGCCAAACGAGACCTGGATGTAAGGAAAAGCTTGCGTCCTCTTCTACCACCTCGAATGCGAAGAATTCTAGAGTTCGATGTCAACTGCCTGCTGTCGCGATGACTTCGCGACGACCTGGTTACGTACTTGGCTGCGTCCTTGGATTTTCTGAGTATCGGGGTCATTTCTATTCCTATTGTAGAATTGACGTTACTTGTTTAAAAGGCCCTGAAATTGATCGAGACGTTTGGAAGCATTTTGTACCTTCGTCCTCTGGGAAGAGTCTACATAATTCCTCGGCAACTCGAGGCTCGATTTCCTGACCATCTCGCCCAATCTTCACTTGTTTCCCGTCGTTCCATGGATTATAGAGATGTAGAGTCGCAGCGAATGGTAATTCCTTCCTGCAGATCCAGTCTACTTTAAATACCCCTCCTAGAGCCTTTGCCGATAAACCCGGAGGCAACACCTGAAGCAGGATATGGAATATTTCATAATCCATGAAAATGATTATCATTGAATTTTTAACTATCTTCACTAACCCACGATATGGATGGTCCGTCTCTTCTAGACTCGGTGCTAAGTCTTGCAAAACCGGCGAATTTTCCTGATTCTTTGACCGAAAAAATAAGCAGAACATTTCTGGACTCTCTGAAGGCTTGATTTAAGTTTGCTTCATTTTGGGGCAGCGTACTCCAAACGCCTTTAGCCTTGGACAGTGTCACGTTCTCCGCATTGTTAGATTTGATGATGAAAAATCTAACAGTAAAAACTTTAAAATATGCCCTTAAAAAACTACGTTCAATTTCCATCCAAGGATATTTAGTGCAACATTATAATTTGATTATAGAAATGAATTTGCAAAACAAAGTACACAAAATTGCTTGGACAGAAATCTAGTATTACAGGCTTAAGGAAAATATAAAAATACTAAAACGAGTCGAACCTCGCGTCTCTAAACAAGTAATTCAACTTCGTGGCATAATCATAGTTCTTGGCAATTCCCCGGCTCTCTCTAGATTTGGCTCGTTTTGGTTCGGAATTGGACGATGAATCGGAATTTTTTGAACGTGCACGCTTTCCCCTTCTTCTGCTGTGGTCATCTTCGCTTTGTGACGAATCGGAAGATACCGAGCTTATACTCGGCTGGCTTGAATCAGATTCCGAACTGCTGGAAGAGACTTCGCTACGCGTATCATATGTTTCATCAGCAGCTATCTTCAACTCATCTCCTGCGTCGTTCTCTCCACCACTTAGATTCACATTGTCCGTTCCATCGGTGTTACCGTCCATAATTTCTCTAATTTCTTTTGTATTCACGCTAAACGGTTACCTCTTTCTGGAAAGTAGCAACTACGTTCAACGAGATGTTCTTATCGGTCCCGTCATCCAGGATCTATGTTTCTGGATAAGGCGGGCTTTTGCGTGCTAGGCCAGAGGTGTTCCCTTGTGTTTAAATCTCCTCTGAAACGCAAATATAAAAACAACCTTACAGAGAGCCTAATCCAGGAATAATCAATTCGATCCAGAAAAGGTGTTACATACAAATGGATCCCATACATTTGATAAAAATTACTCATTTGCCAATGATTCTCTAACATTTTATGTGTAACCAGCACGAATGAGACATCCGATGCTACTTCCGAGCAAAGACCGCGAGAACAAAACTGGCAGGCTTTAATAGTTTTAATAAAATGTGAAAAGTCCATAGGCAAAAAGGCTGTATCCGTCTGAACTTTCTTCTCTTAAATAGTTTTAGCACACGTCATTAACAAAAGTCTCTAAGCTCCAAGAGCATGTCAACCGAGTTACTATCTAAGTCACAGTTCTCTTCTACTTGCACATAAACAAAGACTGGTAGCTAAATAATTTTACGAGCATCGAGGCACTCGGAACTTCCCGATACACGAAGCATGGCATTATTGGAAGTCCGTGCATGTTTCAGAAACTAAACGTAACCATAAATTTCATCGGTTTGTCCCTGACTACACGATACGTGATCTTACACGTAGCAGGGCATAGTCCTCTTGCACTCGAAATATCGACAGAAAGCCTGTAAGAACCTTGCGTGACGAGAGCCAGGAATCTCGTTCCGAAACAAGTCGGCCTATCGCACTAGACGCTATCGGTAGTCCTTGACGCATTCCCATATTTCTTGGATTTTGTCACCAGTGATCTGGGCGTCTCGACGACATCAAAGATACTTTTTTATATTTCTCTACGCGCAAATAACAAGGTACGGTCCTCTAAAACTCGCGGAATAAGCCTAAAAAGAGTTCGCCTTTAAGGTTAACCCGAACTATGTTCTGGCACCACTAGACATGCTCGGAATCATCGTCATCGTCATCGTCGTTTAGGGAAGTTCATCTTTCGCAAACGTAAAGTCTTTTGACGGTAGATACAAGCCCTTCAGGTGGCTTGCACACACTTACGTGTGCGCTCGTATTTTCCTCACTTTAAACACACTTCGCACCTCACAATGCACGCGTCTCGAACTCGGCGCAGCCGAGCACGCTTTCAATTTGATTTCTGACCACGCGGAGCATCGCCGGCATTCAGGATCCTCGTGTTTCTCGTCAAAGAAAAATTGAATTAACTGAATTCGATCATCCAACAAAAGAGATGTAAGAAGCTCGAGCCCAGGGAGACACTTCCAAGCACTCCATTTATTAGGGGGTATCACGCCACCCCCCCAGCGCCATCTTCGCATGGAGGAAATCTTTTTCTTGAACTAAATCATTTGGCGCACTATTTAAATTTACGAACTATGGCCCGGTTCCACCGAATGCGTCGGGTATCACACAAAAACAGGTGCGTAAAAACGTGGAGGATGAAAAAACAATCAAAATTGCGTTTAAACACGTGCATCACGTCTGCTCCGGTCTCAATTAAATTTTGCTTCGCAGCTAGTTCGCGGATCAATCAATTCTTTTCACCTGATCACACCTGATTTCACGTACCTGTTAAATAGCCTTCCATGCTCTTTACAACTCTACGTGTGTTTGATCCGATTAAATCTAGTCGCAATTCCTTCTGGTTACAGATAATCGAATATCTTGCTAATTATCGTCGCTTTTCCCGAAATAATATTTTGTACAGTATTTTTATAAATAAAGTATGAAATAAGCAATGTTTAGCGGTGTTAAACTTGTATGTGGTGTAAAATCTCTTTAGATTCCTGTATTGATAAGACATAATCATGAGTGTGGTAAAATATTGATTCGTACGCAAATGCGGTACGTTAGAGGAAAATACGTAGTTATGAACGGACACGCTTACGTTACAACAATAGTGCAACGTCAGAAATGCCCAATGTGTTCCAAACATATTTTGTTGCATCTTTCTTGCTAGAATATTCATTCAGCGTAATTCTTCAAGGGCAGCTATTAACTGACGAAGTACAACAATGAAAATAATTATAATCATAGACACTTTAACGAGCTGTGTTGTAAAAATTAATCCTCATCGTGACACGTGTGTTTCAGAATTGGTCATTTCTCGCAAGATTTTGTTTATTCCCTGAGGAAGGGAGACTGCACTATGACTTTGTAGTCGGTGGACAAAACAGCAGAGTCAATTTATTGCTTTATTTTGACTCCGAAGATCAATGGCCCAGCGTTTATCCATCGAATCATTCTTGTTCGGAAAAGTTAAAAATTCTGAGCATCGATAACGGTCAGATAATATCATTGTTACCAGAAAATGACTTCACATTTGCATCCGGATGCACATGGAGTAATGAAAATCGAACAGAAATACATTGTAGAGGTTCTAGAAAATTTTTATCTTCTCGTCCGAGATGGTGGTTTATCGTCTTAGCTGACTGCTTATCCAATAATGGATTGAACTTAACATATTGGGTATCTCTGACTAATGGATCTCCTGGTAGTTTTTGGCGAGAGCATTTTTCGGCAGATGAATTTTGCAAGTATCCTCAGGGACTTTTATATATGTTGCATATGATCAATATTGTGTAATAATTTTCAATATTTTTCCAGATATTCTGCCTATTCTACTAATAACTACCTGTGCATATGCAGTGTTACTTGCATTAAGTTTTTATGTAGCTTTACAGTTACGTTCGCGAAGGTTGTTACACGTTTCTTATAAAATATTCATGGCATCGATAGTTTGTGAATTTTTTGGAGTCTTATTAGAGATAACAAATTTTCTAAGTCGAGCCAGGCGAGGTATCGAGGTTCGGCGTGCCAGTGTGCTTGGTAACATATTAGAATCATGTTCCGAGACACTGTTTACGGTTTTGATGTTAATACTTGCACTTGGATATACCGTAACAAAAAGTTTGCTAACGCCAGTTCAAACGTGGCGACTTATTGGCTTCGTTTGTATCAGCATAATGTTTCAATTAACATTATTTATCTACCAATCGGAAGTATTTGATCCAGGGTTGGTGCTATATATTTATGAATCACCACCAGGATATATATTAATATCCTTGAAACTCATGGCATGGGTTATATTTATATCTTGTTGTTACAAAACTAGCAGAAAGACAACTACTAAAACCAGATTCTACATGGGTTTAATTTCACTAGGATCTATCTGGTTTTTAGGTCATCCATTAATGGTAATATCTATTGGTTCACAATAATATTATATCGTGATCTTTTTCCTAACAATTTACCAATTACTTGCAGGTATTAAGTGTTACTTTATTAGTGGATAAATGGGTGAGAGAAAGTGTAGCAAAAGGATCGTCTCTGTGGATTGTATTCCTGGGCCATGCAATTTTTTTATACCTCACTCGACCAGCAACTAACAATACACGCTTTCCATTTCATATTAGAACATGCCAGGTTGTACCTATTGGCGGTGACGGGCAAAGTCATAGCTACCAACCACGTGCACGATCTACCGCTACTTTATTTACTGTACTGCAACCACAGTCTACGATTCCTATTTCATCCAGCTAAAAATTTAACGCATATATGCTAGTCATCATTTTTACAACTATTTTACAATGTTTCCTAACTACTTGCAAGATGACCTGCAGTGCCTTATTTATTTATACAGTGTATCGTTCTCTGCTGGGAACAATTTCTAAAGGTACAAATCCCATTCGTACAATGGAAGACCCCTGGGAAATGAAGTGCATCTTTCATTTCCATTTTTAAATAAACTACTCTTATTAATTTTGTAATTAAACTATAAATGATTTAATAATTATATCTTGTTAGCTACTTGTAACAAACTACTGTCTTTACCCGTGTCAATCGCACGAGCCGTCCAACCATCCATCTCTCCACCTTTGATTTACTAGTTTACAATCAAATTCTGGTTTTCCAAGTTTCTTATTAACCTCGTTATGTATCGAACAAAGCCATTGGCTAAGTTGATATTGCGAGTTAGTTTGAGGTGGGGAAACTTTTAGTTGTTTCCTTAAATCCTCCGCACAAGCGGTGCAAGGATAAAATTCTGAGAATGTGTAAAAAAATGATTTCATGTCAGTTTTCTGTTCACTCGTAGGGGTATCGGGATAATAAGCTGCCATTGTGTGTAGAAATGACCAAGTTTTCGAGCCCAGTTCATCCTTGTCTAAAGGACAATTTTCCCTATTGGTCGCCGCAGTAGCTACATTGTCGTCTTTTCCCTGTTTTTCGGATTCCTGAAATAAATGTAGGTCCGCAAGTTAACCACAAATAACGTATTACAACAATTACCATGCCTATCGTATCATAACTCAAAACATTGCATCATGCTTCCACATTATCATTTGCCAAAAAGGAAAATAAAATGTAACCGATATTTCGACAAGACAGCATTAATAAATTATAACCAAGCATATAATCAAAGACATTACTTTAACAAAAAGGACTAACTCACTTTTTCCGAGTCGAATGTTTGTTTCTGAATTTTAGCCCACGATTTGAAATCCATACACGTTCGGCACGGTTTCTCATGAGACATTTCTCTTTAATTAACATTAAAACTGATATATTTCAAATTGCTTTACTTATTACGCTTCCGGGAACAACATAACCTGTCAAACTCGACCAAGGCACGAGGCATGAATAACACAGGTGAGTTGGGAGATTGCTCACGGACTGAGTTGCGCTAGATGCGTTCTGTGCTGCCCTAGATGCAGAATGTGGGCGGCTTATGCACTTCTCACCTGATACCTCCCAGTGGCGGCCCAACTCATCTCTGTGATAACAAGCATCCTTTAATATCTTTTATCGCAACCGCGGCTTCTCCGATACAACTGCCCGTTTGACGAGCGTCGTCGACCTGAATCGTCGAATCCGGAAACCGGCCTAAAAATCAGGCTAACAGACTATAATAAAATGACCAGGACTGATTTAATGATTTATTCAGGTATCATTTAAATCTAACACATTGATAATAAATCTTACGTGGCTACGCTACGCCAGCTAAAAAATGAACATTACGAGTAAAGAAAGAAGAGTCGATTTTATTTAACGATTCTCGTAATCCTTAGAAACGTCTTCGATCCTGATAACGAGAGAGAGAGAGAGAGAGAGGGAAAGAGAGAGACTCGAAAGTATGTAAACCCGTTTGCCGAATTACACGTCACGAGGCTAATAAAAAGCTCTTGTGTTGGATCCCACGTGAAGTCGACATATTTTCCAGTCGACGATTAAAATGTATGCACGCACACAACATACGAGCAATTTACTAACCGGCCAATATTATCGACGGTACGAATACGAAGATATTAATCTACATTAACCGTATGTACACATGCGTATACATATATGCGTGCGCACGTATAATAATATCAAGTATATACAGCAACGTGAGGTACTAATAAATTAATCTTTCTTTAGATCGTTCCACGTACATACTCCACGCAGTCCAACGATCGAAGAAAAAAAATGAAAAAAAAAAGAAATCACGTTTTCATCGATTATTCCCCCCCACGAAGACTTTCATCGAGTACCGTCGAGGTGATTCATTTTGTAATTAGCTACTCGTCGTCTCCCTCGGCCTCGATTAAACGACGTCGGATGTTTTATTAATGTATTTACAGACCCTTTCTTAGATTTATCGGGTACCCTTAAATTACGCCGCGATTGGCTCTTCTCATATATTGTCCCCATAGAGGTCGGTTCATGATAAATTGGCACTCGAGTCCGAGACCAATTACCAATCGCTTTTAATTTAATTCGACTTTCATGCTCGAGTAACTAACGGGAAGTGTTCCTAACGAAGTCGAGTTTTGGTGTTTCCCTTCTCACTTTGAAATTCACCCGAGTACCTGTATACTCACGTAAAGGGTTAAAACAATGAATTAGACAATAAGAAGCAAGACCTCTCTCCGTAGCATTCGGCGACCGAGGGGGTAAAGACCAAACTCGGTAGAGTTTCGCACCAAGTACACGTATAAGGGGATGTAAAAGAACCTCAGATGCGAAACTCCCCCATCAGTATCTATAAAATTTAGTCTGGAAACTTTGGATAGAAGATATATAGATAATATATATTTTTTTCTTCTTCCAGATCATTTGATCGCGATGACAATGAATTTCTCGGCCATTTAGGTCCATCGATCGCCGTTGCAACGGATAGAATCGACAAATCTTGGAATTACGTCTACGATTGCTGTCAACGATTACAACGAACATGGGCACATGTAACAATTACAGCAATATCTATCTCGGAGTGACTTCCCCAGGGTTGTCGCATCACTTTCGATCGGATTCGATAATATCCGGAACAACGTTTCGCGGTATAAAACTAACTTTCACAAGCTAACAATCGAAACACCGTCGTTTAATCATCGTACACTGCGAGAATGATGTGACAATGGTATTGCAGAAGTGGGTCAATAAAACCGTACCTTTAAGCATATTGCGGGACAAAAGTGCCGAGGGCAACGCATTTGTCGTCATAACCGGTAATTAAATGCCTATTAGCGTAACGATCGGTGGAATTGAAATTGATACTGACGTAACGATACAGATCCTCGGTCAACAGTCCCTGTTGACAAGAACGTTAATAGTAGCAGTTAAAATACAAGTGTCCCCCGATAATTTCATGAATTACGCACACATAATACGGCGTACATAACACATAAGAGGGTGTATACATGTATATACACATATATTTATACGATGTTTCATTTCTTTACAGCTAATCAGTAATACTAAGGTTTCTTTTCCCGGCATCTCCCAAAGAATATTCCAAGTTACTTTCAGTGTGCACTCGCTTTAACCGAAGATTCACCCGTAACGAGGTACCTAATGATTAGTAATTAGGTATAATTAACAGTAGAAGGGGCAAACAATTGGCCCTGAATTTATGCCATTTTTGTGCATTACTTTTAATCGACTGCGGCGGGAAAAAGGAGCGAGACCGAGATAAAAAGGACATCGAAGCCCCCCTTATCTCTACCTAATCACCCAAAATACAATTACCAAAGCTCTAATAATTTCCCCAGGTCCTCGCAATTGATTCCTCGAAGAAGAACAGGGGAATAAAAAATGGTTAAGCCTGCTCGGCTTTTTCCCGCAGTGATTGCCGGCAACGTACATCGAAATTCTACCGCCAGGACCTCTAGATGAAGAAAGTACGCTCTTAAAGGACACGTAAAGTGGAACAATCATATATTTCTATGTACTTTTTCCTCGCCTAATTTAACTTAGTCGTTAAGAACCTCGTAACTACAGTGATAAGAGTTAAACATCGATCGGCGCTCCGAAATTCACACTTAAGTAACTACTCGGATTTTCCCTCCTCAGCGGCGTTAACACCTTAAAGCTGACGATTTTTAAATCTATCCTCTTAACGTTAATCGCGTTAACTTCCTATACCTAATTAATAGGTGGTAGTAACTCTTCTTAGATACTCCTAGAAACGAAAGTTCTCGGCTGAGACGAGGAATGCTCGTCCACTCAGCGGGAAACTCGAACAGTTTCTGGCTGTGGATGCGATCACATAGGACATTGGATAATAAACAAAAGGCGATAACAAAATCAATTACCCGACACCGGGGAAATTGCAATTAATAATTCGACAAAAGATCTCGGGGTTAACAACGTCCGATGCCTCCGAAAGACATCGCGACAATTCAAGATGCGTTTCGATAATGAGCCTCCCAAATGTGAAACAATAATAAGAACGATCGGAAGCAGTTTGTTAATACATTCCCAGCTGAATTTTGCCACAATGTTACTCTCGTTACAATTTCATCATATATATATCGATAAACCCCGCACGAATTGCCAGATCAAATAAAAAATCCCTTGAGACCATCGCTCCCACCCAGGACGATAAACAAATGACAAACCTCGCAATAGAGTGGATTTAATGCGCAATTAAATCATTTAATCGCCCTCGGCAACGATCCCTTACTTCGAGGATAACGTGCAAGAAATCGGTACAAGCGTACATTGAAAATCCGAATATATAAGGAAATTGGATATTTTCCACATCTCGTAATTAAAATGGCGACTATACTAGAGGCACATGCGGATATCGAGTCTGAGCTATTGTTGAATGCATTATCTACACTTATCTAAGCTAAAAATGAGCAAATCTTTAAACGTGGCATAGAATTACAAGGAAATATAATTTCACATTCCAAATTCTCATCCCTTATACATCTTATCAACAACATTAATTATTTGGTAAAAACTGTCTTTTAATCCCGATGATATCCCTCGCGGATTTCGAAGCAAGCCTCCACCCCGTCTTTGGGGCATCGCCCCAAAGACGAAGACCCCCCACGAAGAGAGGAGACCATTTCCCTCGGACCTTGAAAAACGTAGTTTCCACATATCGAATTCGGGTGTCCTATCAGAGATCACGATCATAGCCTGGCCACAACATACAACGCCGTGTGAAATTAATCTTGCTACTTGTATAGCACGAAACACATCCGCAGTGCCTTCCAATGGATGGGAAAGAGGAGGAGAACCTCCCATAAAAAAACTTCCCTCCTCGATCGCCGTCCAAGCAATATCCTGCAGATGTTAGTAACGTCCACTATGAACATAAGCGAGCATACATCCGGATGTTTAATCGTCTCCTGGAATATCCCTAAGCGTACTACTAAGAATACTCGTAACTTAAACGAACCTCTAGTTAACATCTAATTAATGAACGGTACATTCACTCTGCGGGTCAACCAGGTAAATAAGTCGTCCAATTGATAAGCGCACATCGAATCCGTGCAAGTTGGCCAAATATAATGATACATAAGAGACGCCAGATACTCGATAGATAATGTGCACCGACGCTTATCGGCCAGCTAATCATTGTTCCGCAATTGTTCGCGCAGTGTCCGACAACGACACTACAGAAATTCCCCTTTAGGTACATCGTGAATTTTCATTCCTGGATAAGCGAAATCCTTTCGGAGGTCCTCTACACCTCGCTACGGGCACCGAAAGGGGGACAAAAGAACTATTGTACTCGTTAAACGACCTAAAATAGATCTGGCTTCGGCGACGTCGCTAAACTATTAGCGAGAGTAAAAAGTTGGGCGGATCCGCGGAAGCGCTGCACGATTAAACTAATAAACAGATCCGAGTACGCGTGTATATTAATATGCGTGTACCTGCGTGTACGTAAATATATATATATATATATTCGGAAAAACCTACGATCTATGTGACGCGCGGCATGGAAACAAGAGAGAGAAACGGGCAACACGTGGAAGTAAAAAATCGAGATAAAGCGAGCGACCGGTAACGGAGCGAGAATTGTAAAGCTCTTGAAAATATTAATTATCATAATTTATCGTTAAGAGATATTTAGAAACTATACCTGTCTCGACGCATGCGTATGCACGCATGCGATACCGTCATACGCACGTGCCGTTTACGCCCAAGGACTTGATCGAATATATATATATAGTTATATATAAATATAAATAATTTGCCTTAAAATACCAGGATGCATGGTGCACGTATTCCATCCCTTTCTCCCTCTCTATTCGTCCGCTTAGATTTCGATCTTACTCTCACTGTATATATTCTAAAGAAAGTTTATATCTTGAACCCGTTTTCGTTTGTAATATTTTTTCCTCATCTCGCCACTACGGTGATTCGCCGGAGGGTAAAATTAAATACCGCGATCTCAGAGAAATGATCGGAAAGAGGAAACGAAAGGAGACAAAAAAAAAATATCCGTAGACGAAAAAAAAAAAAAGAGAAAGAAAACGACCCGCCCGTTGCTACGTAAACAATAAGGAGAGAGAAAAAAAAGAGACGGGCGGGCGCTAAAGTACAATTAAATCTCTTCGCAAGGTCTCTTTAGAGTAAAAAATTTTCAAAATTCGTCTACCCTCTTCCTCCCCTTACATATCTTTCATTTTTCTTTTCTCTCGTTAAGCGTGTACCTTCATCCACCGAATGACAATTTCCAACCGGGAAACGATCTACGGTTAAAACATTGATAGTTATTTACAAATGGATTCTACTCCTCTTATCGGCCGTCAAGGGACACGAAACGTGTCCCGGAGGGTAAAAAGAAAAAAAAAAGAAAAAGAAAAAACTCTACCACGGTGAGATCTTTCGTAAATCCATAAAGCTGCTGCGAGGGCTCGACCCGAGGCATTTTTCCGAAACAAGAAAAAAATTGCCCGTCGACTCTTAATTTGTCATATCTATTTTTTTTCCCCTCTCGTTTTACGCCAACGAATAGGCGATCGGGTTGGCCCTCGCCGGAGTTATTTCACGAATTTGTAAAAACCGTGGAAGAGCCTCGGTAATCTTCGTCCTCCATTAGCGGACCGATAATATCGCAGCTGCTTCGTGTGCTTAAAGAATCGACTTAAAACCTAATAAATCTGCTTGGCCTTATTACGGTTCAACATTAATGATTCGTAATACGCTAATAATTACACTCTTCTCAAGGTCAGACATTTTGGTTCCATTACCCCATTAACAACGCGATTCGATTAATAAATTACGATCATCTTTCTTGTTTTTCATTTTTCCCTAGCTTTTCTTTCCATTAACCCGGCAATTGTCCTCCCATCGAACGTGATTACCCCAGTGCGTGTTGCTGCCGTTCCGAAATCCCACCTAAATCCGCGTCCCCGGGCGCCCTGGGGGGTAAAGGGTTACCCCCCGGATATTTATTTTTTTTTTTCCCACCTTTTTGGTACGAATTCGATTGCAAAGCGACCCGAAGGGATGGCCGCGGACCGCGGGTCTGTCCTTACGAAAAAGAAGGAGCCTTAAGATTAAACGATTACCTAAATCTCCGGTTAAAGTCGGACACTAGGTGGCTTTACATCTAATGGGCTACCCACCGGCCGCGCCTATTTACTCCTTAGATTTACAACTAGAATAAATATTATTGATAAGTCAAGGTCCATTTTTATACTTTCCGTGATAATATTAACAGTACGCCGTCCCATACAGCCTAACGTCGGAATCCTCGATATACCCCGGATACATATACATATATATATACCCTCGATCAGCTGGTGACAAATGTCAAGTGACACCCCTTGGCGCGACTGGCACTCCCCGTTAAAGGCAAAACTAATGCTTAAAAATCGGTCCTTTTACATTTTTATTCCTATCGACATTCCTCCACTCTCCCTTTCTCTCTCTCTCTCTTTTGTCAGACTTAGAGTTAAAACGTGGGACTCGATAAGGCGAAACGCGAGAGAGCGTTCCGCGCATTTTGACCTAGCTCGGAATAATGATAAAAGCAGATCGCGCAAAGGGATGGCAGTCCTTGTTCTTCGTTAATACTGACTCGGAAGCTGTTGCACGGACCCTTTACGATCATCTACCACGAGATCGGGTATATACTTTCATTTGTTCTTAAGTAAAGCGCAACGCGGCCTCCAAGGATCGACGACTTTCAACCCAGCTGCCAGACACGCTACGTCGAGGACTCCGAAAAAGCGTAAAAACGAGCGTTCTCTCTCGTCTGCGAGACGACCGGTTAGAAGACGATTAACCCGTTCACTGCCAACCACGAGATATGTACCTCGCAGTAAGCGTATGTACCAAGACTGCCTCTAAATTTCCCTGGCAGTGAGCGGGTTAAATGGTACGACTCTTTCCTCGCCACCCAGTTGCCCCTCGCTTACAGCCGCGCCCTTAATTGCGATTATTGTGTCGATTATTGTTCCGAAAAAATGTACATTATTGAAATAGTATTCATCTCTCGCGCAGGTCTGCCCACGAACGGACGAGGCTGCCGCCGGTAAAAATATAGAGGACCTTAAAGAGCGTTCGCGTTACGTGCCTACTGAATGATCGGAATCGCCTTATATCCTAATAATCCTATCTTATTCACATATTATATCCTCCTGCCGTAGCTCGCCCGTTATTGGATCATCCGCGTGTCCTAGAGCTAATTAATTTGCATTATTCTTCTTCATCTTTTTCTTCTTCTTTTTTTTTTTTTCTTTGTTGCATTGATGGGGCATTACCGTCCGGCCTGAATCGAACACGGCGTAAAATCTTAACGTTAACGTGTCACATTTTGTCCGAACGAGAATGACGCCCGGCCGATCTGCTGGGGATCTTATCACCCTGGTTCGGGCCCTGATAACGCTCCGACGTAGCGAGAACGTCGAGCGGGCCGCGCGTCACTCTGGTTTAGGCAGTGTTATTAATTCTTCCTCTTCCCTAGTTTCTTCTTCTTTTTTTTTTTTGGAGTAAGCGTAGATGTATTTCAGACTCCGTATCCGGGATACGGACGTATTTACCATTGAATATAAGAATCGACCGAACGAAAATGTACAAATTACCTCGAGCGCGTTACCCTTGCACGGTACGCGATATTAACGGAAGATCGGCCAATTTGATGGGGCCATATCAACGGGATCTTCGCAACGTGGCCACCGTCTCGAGCTTCCTCCGAAACCGGCCGACGAGATTCGGGTGGCCAAAATCACAATAGTGCTCGCAGGGAGCAGAATTCGGGTATCTCGCGACTCCGCGATCGCCGATCGTTGAAACGTCAAATCCCGCGAGAAGTCTTCGCAAGTTGCGCCGAATCCGCGTGCCCTCGTTTAGAGCAAACCACTTCCTTGGATTTTGCCCAGGGTGAGGCATGCGCCGTTAACGGCCGACACGTAGAGTCCCTTTACTTTGGCCATCGGCTCGAAGAGTTCTCGACATCTCTACCAAGTACGGACAGTTCTTATGTCCGACCGAACGGAGAAAAGAAAAAATGTCCGTCAATGCCTCCGTCCAGGGGACGACGGCGCCTAACTTGCGGTGGCCAATTTTTTTTTTTCCTCCCTAAACCTCGTGCCGATCTCCGGAAGCGTCGATCTATCTCGGTGTGGCGGTGATTTCACGGTGGCAATGTTTTTTAATTAACATCCTAAGGTTAAAAATGCTCTTGAGGCATGGACCCAGCCTCGGAAAAGGAAAAAAAAAAAAAAAAAAGGGAAAAATAAGCGTAATTCACGTCCGCAGCTGAACCCCCGGTGTGTAAAATCGTTCAGTTTTGACGGTCGAGCCGCGAGGCGCCCTAATCTAATCTAAAGAACATGATTAACTAAAAGCACCTTTTGTTGAAACCTAAGCTCTACGGATTTCCGAAAGCCCGTCGAGTGCTCGGCGAGGCGTGCCAAGCGTCGAACGTGCTTTTTGCCTAACAAAATGCGGAGTCCGACCTAGGACTTGGCACTCGTGTCAGGTATTGAGAGCTAATTGACATTGATTATAAAAGTAACCAAGAGAGAAAACAAAAAAAAAAAATTGGCCACCCAAGGAGATCCCTCCGATGTCACTTCCTGTGGCCTAAATCCCCCCTTCTGCTTCATGATTCGATCATACCGCAGGAGAGTCAAGAGTCTACCAAACTCCTTGGCACGAGGAATTACGCGAAGTACATAACTCGTTTTGTGTCTGCGTGAACGGTGATGGCTCGTGCCATGGCGCCTGGCGTCCTGTCTTCGCTGCATCCGGATTGATGAGATCCTTCGCCACTGCAAGAAACAAGGCTCCTTAACAAAACCAAATCCCATATCTAATGATCTATCATTTACGGCGGTCGAGTAAGAGGAACGAGGGAACATAGAATAAGTCAAATTACCTGTCGTGTTCCTTTTCCACCAGGTGGTATCTGGCACGGAAAGCGACCAGATGGGCGTAATATGCCGGTGCCGGTATGCTCACAGATCTGGTGCACCTTACGTAAGTATGACACAACTGGTAGGTCAGGCATTGCAATTCGTCGCTCTCAAAGTGATTATCGTCCCACAGTACGTGATAATGAGACGGTCTGGACGTTCCCTGTGGCGAACAATGGACGTTATCAATTAGAGAGAATATTTAAAATATCTTAGAATGGATATTTTATAGGAGATCCAGATAAATTCTATGTTTTACCTGAATGCCCTGGTGACTGCAGAGGTAAAAGTCGAACTCGGTCGGATGCGTGATGCAGACATCGACCGTCGTCCCAGCCGGGATATTCCCGCTCTTCCCACTCTGCTCCTTCTTTTCCGCGCAGAACAAGCGAGTGTGGTGCCTCTTCTGCACCACGATGAACGTTATTCCGGGCTTGTAGTCAGCCTCCAACTTGATACAAGCCTCGCGAATGGCCGTAAGCTCGTGCTGAAGAACGTGAAGAAACTGTCCCTCGGAGACGCCGTCGCGGTAGAGAATTATCCTGTGCGGCTTGTAGCCTCCCGTGCTCTTATAAAACATCACCAGTAGTTCCCTGCAAAACGAGCACGATTGCATTAATACGTACCGTAGTGTCAATGGTAATGAAACGGTTTAGTAATCAGGCATTCGTGTGGTTGCTTACCTAACCATCGAACTGAGCTCCTGAATGACCTCTTGTCTGTGCTGTTGTACTCTAACGGTAGCTGCATAGCGAGACGGATGGGCATCCATGCTGCCAACCACAGCAGCGATGCTGGGTTTCTTATTGTCACCAGCAGGAGGATGCGTCACGTCGGCGCCCAGGAATATGACAGGCTCGCTGAAGACCTTGGGCCTAATGCTCGGCACCAGAATGCTATTGATTCCGCCCAACTTTACGTTAATTTTTAGGCACAGATTCGATAAAGTTTGCGGCGACGTCTTGTTCACATTCTTCGCTTGAACACACTGCGTTGCCATGCCCAACAAAGTATCACCGACCCTCTTCACTTCGGCTGAAAGCAAAGCGAACGTTTTAACACCGTTGCAGGAGATTAACCAATAATATAGCGTTTATAGTTTATTTATTTTTTTTTTTACCATAACGCGGTACTTACCATAGACTGGTGTTTTCCCAGGTAATACGACGCATACCAGCTGTAGAGCCGGGAAGGTTGACTTAAGATACCGGAACATCGGCTCAACTTGATCAGGTCCAGTGGCATATTTACAGAAACACGGCTGGCCGATGATCGGCATACCGGCATCGTTACTAATTTTTTGTAATTGCGTTGTGAACATTCGCAACGCGTCTTCGCGAACTGTTCTCTGAGGAGCGAAGCATGCTATCGCCCAGACCCTTATTTCCACGCCGGTGAAGAACTGTTTACCACGCATATCCCAAACTCCTTGATTGGGCATTGCTTGTTGCTTTGTCTTGAATGATAAAGGATAGCCATTTTAAAATCACCCGAATAAATTCACCTTCGACTAGAACCGACTGATTAATCTAAAAGTTTCTCACCTGTCCACTGAGGGAACTTACGCGCCCTCCGTACTGCAGCTTGGGCGGAGGCAGTATTCTACCCCTGACTTCCATCATGGTGTTTGAAATTGTGAGTCCGAACTCTTGCACGTACGAATCATTATTAAAATCGGCTCGTCTGACCAGATTGTTGATTTCGCGTTCACGGTCAGGCGCGGAGCGTGCTGTAGCTTTAATCATCGTTGAAGTCTGCATGTCGGTCAACTTTTTTATACATCGCTGTCCCGCGACAATATTGCAAACCTGAAATCCAATTGGCGTAATTAAAAATGCCTCGCAGTTAATCATACAATGGATATTGAAGTTTCTTGCATTACCTCGAGTGGCAAGTAAGTATGTTTATGCTCTTGACCAACTTGCAGGCACGGAAGATGAGGATAACGCAATTTCATTTTGTATTTATCTAAGAAATATTTGGCTACTGTGCACTCCACTGTTTGTCCATTTTCTAGTTGCAGGGGAAATCTGCAAAGCGTTAAAACACATTAGTATAAATTAAAAACAGGCCAAAAATGGATATAACATCTAATGGGATTTTTTTAAATAAGTACTTACGACTGCATTTGAGATGGTTTACGGGTGACATTGCAAACCCTGTATTTCCGCCTCATCGTACCGCAATGAGTTATCTCGATTTTAAGTCCCTTAATTTCTTTGGTGAATTTGACTCTTTGAGAATCAGTGAGGGGTTTTCTTTGATCACTAATGTCTCGAATGTCTAATACTTCGCACATGAATTCTATAGCTGGCTGTGCTTTGTAAAATGCGGTAGCGGATACTGCATAAGAAGTAACATGAGTTAAATATGGATCGTGACTTAAAATTGTAAACATTTCGATAATATTACGGTAACAAACTAACCATCGATATTCAACATCATCTTCCACTGAGATGGTCTCACCGATTGATGGAAACCAAACCACACTTCACGACCACCACCCAACGGATGATAATAACCATCTGGTGTGCTAAAGAACGATCTGCCTACAGGTGTGTACGTCATAGATGGTAAGTGCCTCATTACAACATCCAAAGCAAGAATTGCGTCGTAAGGGATTTGTCTTGTACGTCCTTCAAGGGCCTCTTCCAAGGCGAATAACGAAACTTGTGCCACCCACTTGATTACTACACGGAATACTCTGTCTTTACCTTCACCAGGTAATATTACCTACGATAAGAAAATCTCATTTATAAACTAGTATTAAAAGCATAAACCAATATTAATACCAAGAATGAGTATCGATGCAAAATATTACCTCTAATTCTAATCTATCATTGCCGATCGGCAAGGGGTCCCTTGTGTACAAATTGTTTCTACCATCAAACACAGGCTTAAGAGTTCCAAAAATTTTGCTATATGCATGAACCATGGTTTCGATGATTTCTCGATTCACTTTCCGAGGGCATTTATCCGGTTGGATGTTGATGTCATAATGGTGTACATAGCCACGGGGCATAGTAATTTGGAAATGGTTTGCTCTCAAACCTATGGGTCGACCCTCGCGTCCGATGTTTGGCCTCCGAGGACATGCAAACACTGAAAATAAAATATTTTCATAGACTTTCCACTATATACAATATTATGTCAAACTTATAGGGCAAAACACTGTTTCTTATTTATATAAATGATACATGACATCAAGTGATGCTTGAGAAAGGTCATAATCAAGTGAACTTCTTTTAAATAGATTTCTGTATCTTCTGTAGATACTAAAGAATGATACGATTCCCAGCAACTCGAATGTTAAACTTCCAATTAAATATTTGTTTTCTTGATGTCTCAAAACAAGCAGAAAAATTTCATAACAATGAGGACGAAGTTTAAAATCTTACTCGGTAATTCCGGAGGCTGAGGGGGAGTGTGTGTTTGTTGAGCCGGCACGAGTCCCAAGGAGCTGGGAGTCACGACACTGCTCCCAGTAGCTCCTGCTGCCCCAACGGCGGTACTCGTTGTAGGTCCAGGTGGAGGAGCTATTAATTACAAACATAATACATATATTTAGTTACACCATATAATTAATTCCGAGTCAACATTTCGCACCGATCGTAGAAAAATGATTGACTATAATTAAAGTATCATTTTATTTAAACTACTATGCAAACAAATAAACAAAAGATATTGCTTTAAAAATATCCCTATACAAATCGTTACGTCAAACATTCTCCTGGTAAAGTACGAGTTTATACGCCGATCCGTATAAATATTTTCCAGGATTAGACGTCGACTTATAATAAGAACCTCAACCTAGAAATTCAGAGGATGTTTTAAATCAATACCATCGCTGTAAAATAACCTCCGGGACAAGCATCATCGTCCAGCTAGAAGTATCGTTGAACATCGTTTTGCATTGATCGCTCTTGGAGTATGTGCACTGACGGGCAGAAACTGAGGGAACATCGAAGCAAGGAAGTCGTAACCAGGGAAGCATGTTATTATCCTAGCTGGTATTATTGAAACTTTTATGGGAAAACTATTGATTCATTTCGATGGAGTAAAGGATGAAAATGAAGAGAGAAGATCGCGAGCTCTAGAAAACACGCTCCGTTCGGGAAAGCGCACAAGTGACAAGTGGAAGAGCGATTGTTAATCACCCAGGTAAGTAGCTCATTAAGAATTGGCATCGGTGACGGATAGAAAAGCGAGCACAGACAAGTGACGACACATTGCGCCTGTTGAACGGGGTTCATTTGGGGTCATTTGGAAAAGATTTGGTGGGTAGCGAGACGACAAGAGTAAGTCGGCGCTTGGTCTTCCCGAGCTTCTGGGGGAATCTCTTTGCGATTTAAGCGGTTCCAAATCCCAGCATCGTGGAACAAAGGGCCGAAAGCTCGTGGAGCAACGAGGCCTAGGCTCCTCGTCTAGGCAAACGCGAGGACGGGGTTCGAACGCGCGTACATCTTTTCGGTTTTCCCTTGACCGAATCCCTTCGGGGAATGAAACCCCGTTATACTTACGCTGCCCTACGGGATGCATCGTGGCGGTGAGACTTGGAAAAACGCGGTTTATCACTAATAAACAATGTAAAAAATTCAACACAAAACCCACTTGACCGAACAACACACTCCCCACAACACACACCGCGAGCGAGACTACCTTCCGCAATGGCTGCCACCAGCGCGACGCTGATTGGCCGAGAGCCAGCCAATCAGAGACCGAGATGCGAGGCGGGCGCTAGACTCACTCCGTTGCGCCAATTCAAATGAGAACTCCGAAATTTAATATTCCGATGCCTAAATATTTGATTCTGTCGGTTGATAAATTTCAGATTTACTATTCCTGCACATACTCGTGTTGTTACTTTAAAATGATAACGAGATTTAATAAGGAATGTTGATCGTATAGATTTTACGGGTGGAATTTGGGGTGGGTGATTGCGTGGAATTATATCGGAGCATAGTAGCAGAATTAGCATTGATATACTTCTTTTAACGTATTCGCATCTTGGTAACGTATTTGCGGTACAAGGGAAAATTTTTATTGTAGAGAGATGAGAGATTTTATATTTTAATAAGAATTTGGTAAGATTGCCGTGGCCCTTGAGGGCGCCATGAGCGGCGGCCATGTTTGATTAACGCGCCAGTAGTGCTGCCGCGGCTGTTGTCGGAAACTGCGCCCCATTTCGGAACATCGGTGATTCAGGTGAATTGTTTCCCTCGTGCGTGTTTAATTCTTTTCGAAAAAATGTCTATTCCAAAGAGCGGGGGATTTTTAAGGTCGGCGGGGGTTATAAGTAAAATCACGAAAGAATTAAAGTCCGTTACTTTTAAACCAGTCAAGAAGATGACGGTGCAGTTCGATCCTTTTCATGAGAATGCAAAGAATACGAGGTTAGTCCGATAATAGGCAGATCGAATCTCAGGCCTGATTTTAATTCGCAGGATCATTATAGATGTACGATTTTGAAATTTCTATATAATTAAATTATCGCAGAATTATAGTCCTGGGCCTGGAGATTATCTTTGTAAGTTATTTCCTTATGTCAGAATTAATCGGTAAAGGTAAAACGATTTTAAAGCGGTAGTCATGTAAAAAAGGTCGCGAACGCGCTTTACCGCTCCAAAAAATTAAAATTGGTCGAATATTCAGGCTTGCATTTCTGAGTCGCGTGACGTCAATAATCCACGCATGCGCGTTGCCTAGTCTCGTTTGTGGAGTAGCAGACGACGCAGAGTTATCCTATTTTTAGACGTCAAAAAGGGTGATACATACGAACAAAACGTAAATGATTTAATTTTGGGAAGAATAGTACATGGATCTCTATCCAAAAAAAGTTATTGCTAAATTGCCCGAATAGATAATGTGAGTCTAGATGGAATTTAATACCATGAAAGTGATTGGGTGTGAACGATGGTAGACTTATAGTTGCCAATTTCAACACATGAGTTTCAAATATCTGCTCCCCTTGAGTACTTATTTTAACATAAATTTCTTTGATAGAAAATAAAAAATGAAGTTGAACACATTAAAGTAAATTATTATTATTGTACCTACCAGTACATTGTCCACATCCATAAGCCTTGCCGAGCATTGACACTGCGGTGGTGATGCGCAGCGTGCTCAAGTCTGGCACAGACATTGGTATTTGTGATTCCAGTTGCGCCATAATTACTGTAAAGAAATTAAAACATTTATTACTAATTATGAAAAAAGTGATATTATATTTAAAGAACCGATTATCACTCATGTGTTTATTCATTAACCGTAACGTGTCAATTTATATTCATCCTTGGAAAATGAAACTTGTACTTCTGCTCTAATGCCGGTTTTTTTTTACTTTACAGACAATTTATGTTCTTTGTAACAGCGCCACATGTTGTAGCGACTAATTTATCATGTGTAATGAAAACTAACATTGTCTGTGATCGATCTGAGCCCATCGTTACATTTGATCTTGGTAAGTTTAAGTTAACGTTTGTGAATATTACTTATTGTTTTCCTATAATAATTATTAATTTAGAATGAAAGCCTCCTTTAGCAATATATCTGACAGCAAATCTTCAATCTTGTTTTTCAGAATCTGGTGAAAAGTTCCTGTTTAAGTGCAACAATCTGACAACAGTGGACATTCTACAACTTTACAACAAACATATAAGCTCTTTGGTACCAAAGGAGAAACCAGCCGAGGGGGAGCTCGTTAAGAAGAAAAAGAAGCGCAGACGATAGTGCCATATTTACAAAGAGCTAACTTATAACAGTTAATTTTTGTTTTTCATGGAACGTCAGAGGTGTCGACCAATCGAACCAGTGATTCAATGAGTAGTTTGTTATTTTATCGATGTAGTTTGTAAAGCCTTTTATACGTTCTAGAAAATCTCAGAGATCCCACCGAAGCGTCTATTGAGAATTAGAAATGTTTACAATTAGAAAGAAGAATGGTCGTCATTTTCTAGTCTGACAATGCTTTTAATACGGTCCACCTAATCCCATTGCATCGATCATAAGACGTATCAAACTACCTACATTGTCAATTCACGGGAGGATTAGCAGAACGATCACGCATAAATTTGAGTAATTTAGCAGTAAAACCAAGAAAAAGTACTCCATTTGTTTAAAAATTATAAGTCATTTGCTCCATACGAAATCAAACAATTATAGACAATACATATACACTGGGTAGGATTTTCTAAAGACACATTTCATATTTTTCTTATCACGTCCACAAACGACATCAAGATGACGAGTCATACGACTGGCAGGAACAAAGACTATAACATGAGACTAATCGACACCCTTTACAATCAGGTCCCCGCATTTACGGATATTTTCGACGAAGAAACATGGTACATCTTCGTAGGTTGCTTCGTAGCGGGTACAATTGTAGTCACATTTATCTTATCTAGATTCATAACATTAAAACCTGTCGACTAATTCCATACGTCTCACAGATACTCTGAATTTTCTAAAGCCTCTGTCTATCGAATAAATATTTTCTAAACAAGCGCCTCGCCGTTTCTATTTTTTTTAGTTTCCTTCATGCTCGAGCGATAAATAAAACCGCAATAATTTTCCTGACAACCCAATGGTCGTTAATATCGGAGTCCGATTATGCCGACGACAGCTGGCCGAAGTGGGCAAGCTTTATCCAGTCAGCTAGGCCGCTCCTCGCATCCTCGGGCAGCTATTTTTAATTTATTTATATTGGTCGATCGACGCCGAGAGTTAAACGACACTGGTTCGTTCACCTCGAGGAAACCTCGGCAGCTCGCGATATGCCATATTTCTCGATAGGCTCCCTTTATCGTTCCTTTCATCGCCTTATCAGGCCACCCATAGTAGTCGCGAGTTCCTTCGCCGATGTACGACCAACATCGCCCAGAAGCAAACTAGCTCTTCCTCGAGAAATCCCCGTCGCACAATTGCCCTTAGATATATTCGACAGCGCCCCAGAATTAACTCGAGGAAAAACAGTCATTGATAAGGGGTCGATAGCCCCGAACGCACGTACAGAGAAAAAATTTTCGATTAAGCCTCATTGCACAGTTTAAAAATAATAACGCGCATTGATATAGGTCTGATTAATTTCGGGGTGATAATTGGAGTCTGCTTACCGGTTAACGACTACACTAAGTACCGTAAGCGGCGAGGCGCACCGGTGCATTATTTTCAAATTGCGCCCCGCGAGTTAAGCCGCCGCGATTTTCGGGCCATTACTCGCGAATCCACCACATCATTGATAGGAGAGTCAACAGAATCCGTTGTCAGGGTGGCGGGCGTATCATTGTACTTGTGTAATCGATAGTGACGGAGTGAGTTACGCGGGGGGTAACACCGCAGTACTCTTCGCCGCTTCCCAGTGAGGAGCCCGAGATCGAGAATCGGTGTCGCCGATAATGTATGAATATTAACGAGTACCTCGTAGACCAAGGCTCGAAATAAGTCGGCACGAGTCATGGGAAGTTGAACTTTCGGCCCGAATGCGTACCGGGGCACGAGAAAGTACCAAAAGGGAGCAGCGAGAGAGCTTCTCTCTTGAAATCCCCCTCATCGGATATCCCCGAGGAGCGAAGACAAGAACTCGAGCAATTGCGGGGTACAGTAGCCGAAAATAAAATACGAGTGGAGGCCGCCAAGAATCCAGGAAAGGGTGACAATGCCAAGGGTCAAACGAAGTAACGAGTGGGCTCGATCAATGGACACCGAAGTGCCACTTGAAGCGTCTTATCGATAAGAAAGTGCATCTCTTCCGGGCTGGCTTCCTGGTCGAATTTTATTCCACGACTTAGTCGCGGAGGAAAATCACCTCGCGAGGGACAATGCCGAATAAACGCGGATCTGAAATTACGACTCGGAGTAGTTTTTTAATCATTTCGCGGAACGAGACGGGAATTACTCTCCGAGATTTGAGGGCCACCGAGAAGAACGCGGGAAAAGGAGGTAACAAAAGCGAGAACCGACCTCCGACCAATTGCGGTGTACAGTCGTCGAGAGTAAAGGATCGAGACCGAAGGAATTAAATATACAATTTTCTATCATACACAATGTTCTTGACAAATCTGGCCACGTTTTGGAAATGTACCGCGATGGGTTCGACAAAGGAGCGGCGTACTTTGCCTCCCGTGGATCGTGCCCGAAATTTCCGAAAGGAACTCCCGGGACAATGGGGACAAGGGGTGAACGGTAATTAGGGATCGTTTCCCGAAATGTGCGTGCAAAGGTACACAATGGCATGAATGGAGAGACACCGAGAGCCCCTAAACGGTACATTGGCTTAAGGGAGCCAAAGTCGCCGGAGGAAAGTCAAAGAATAAGCCGAAACGCCCCGAAATAAGGGACCCAGGGTCTAATTAAACGACTCCTGGGGCATGTACCTGGAACGCACTTGACAGCGTGGGGGGTACATGCATCCAGGATGTAACGTACATGCGTGTACAAAAGGGTCGCGAGGGCTCTTCCACGTGTCGCCGCGATTAAGGCCGCACGGGAGATCTCTCCGCAGGCGAGGAGAAAGGCGTGCTCGCTTTTTGCTTCCTTTTTATTCCAATTCCTCCTTGCAGGGAGGATATATCTTACGGCTGGTCGAGGGGCCCAGGAAGCGTGTAAGGTTACACAAGGAGGAGTACCGATGAAAAGCCTCGTTTTAAGTTCCACGAAAGAACGGATACCCTCTTCGGGCTACATTTTGGCATTGGCCTCATCAGGTTCGAGTGGAGGCTCACCTTGAAGAAGAAAATGCCCCGCTCGACCTCACGTGGGTAGGACTAAAGTTCAGAATTTTCCTGTACCGACGGAAGCGGTCCTGGCGGTAAAAAAAAATTCAAAGCCACCCGGGACCTCAAAGATGTTAAGATCACTATTTTCAAGATTTCTTTTCTACGGCTTAGGATCCCGGCAGAGGCTTGAATTAACTTATGCACGTACACCGTGGGTAGTACTTATGTTCTCCTCCGCACTTAAGCATCTAGCGAGATTTTCTCGCCTCCCTGGGCGCATCTCGTATCTGGACGCATCCTCTTCCAGTGTGTCCCTTTAAACGCGCAGCCTTCGATTATCCTCGGAGATACGAGTGAAATCACGGTGGGTGAGGTCTGCGGGGACTTCGTAAAGAAAAATGGGCCGGATCGAGCCGAAGGTCGGCGACTTGCCGAGGGGACCGAGGGGAAGAGTGCGTGCACGCGTCACGCAATGCAAACTCGGAGGACCGCAGACACTTTCGGGGGGTCCAGTCGGTGTCTCTCTCCTCTTTTTATCGAACGTATATTTGTCTCCCTTCCTCGGCCGGTCCCTTTAAACCGTCGGGCGGGCACAAAGAGACCCGGGCGATTTTTTTTCCTTCTCCCCCGAGTTTCTTTACGGTGCGTTAAACGCACTTGTCGCGAGACGCAGCCCGGACCGGTGGTTTCGCCTTTATTTTCACGAGCGAGCTTCTCAGGGCCTTCGAGATGGCCGATCGCCTCGAGTCGCGAGTGCGCTTTCCACCTGGATCGGGATCTCACCTCGTAACCGCTTTCTACGAGCGACAACCTTCGTTTCGATCTCCTTAATACCGTTTCGGCGCTTCTGGGCTAAACTCGAACCGCGGGACAAAGGGCGCATGCTCCGTTCCTTTACATCGAGCGCGCTTTAAAGCCGTCCCGGAGCAACAGATATGCCACGAGGAAATATATCGACCAGGATGCCACCCTCTTCTCCGGATTTAACGGGACAAAGAATACTTCCTCCGCATCTGGTACTTTCATGGCGGTCTTCGAGCCCGGGGAAGAGGAACGGACGTTTCCTCCGGAGCAACGCGCAGCTACCGACACCTGTTCCCATCCGATATATATCCTTAAATGTCCCATCGAACGAAATCACCTGAAGAGTCGCTACGCATTTACAAACCCATACACGTGAAGAATTGTAACTCGCATATCTTTACCTTTTGCCTTGCCCGGGTAAACGGCGAAACTTTCTCCGCTATCCTTCCGGCTCGATCGTTCCCGCAAAGACGCCCGGTCGGTCCGACCTCGTCCACGTTGCACTTGGCGCGAGACTATGCCGAGTGTCCCGCTCGCAGGGCTTAGCACGACTGCCGGGAAAGGTTCCCGTGTATTTGCACCGACTCTTCGGGCCGTTATAATTAGTTCTGAAATAAAGGACCGAGGGCGTCCTCGCCAAGGGCGGATCGGAGGGGCTCCCGATGAAAGCAGGGAGCGAAAGCCTAGAACTTCGCCGGTCCCGGTCGATCCGGCCGATATTGCGTCCGCGGCTATTGGTTATGAGCCGATGTTTGCGAAGGTGCGCTTTTTTCTTTTTTTTTTTTCACTCCAAAGGAAATATTGATTTCCGCTCGGCCGAGTGTAGGCGCGAAGACTGCCCAAACGTAAGCACCGGATGCGGTGGCAAGTAGACTTTGTTCCGTTAAATCGTCGAAGGGGATGGCATCTCGGTCGATATATATTTCCTCGTGGCGTATCTGTTGCTCCGAGCCAGCTTTAAAGCTCTCCGGATGCCGAGGGACGAAGCATGCGCCCCTTGTCCCGACTCCTGGAAAAAAGGGATCCTCGTTAATTTTAACGAATACAATTAAACCAGGGCCTTCGGATTAATCCCCGAATAATATTCCAACGGCATCGCGTTATCTCCGATTTTTGCTTCCCTCTCGAGTTTAGCCCCTCTTTTTGCCTCCTTCCGCTTTTCCGAGTACCCCGTAAATCCTAGGGATGAAAGACCCCGGGATCTCTTATCCTCATTACGGGCTGTCGAATTAATCTTTGCCCAGTTTTTCTTCCTCCCCGTACAAATTTAAAGAACAAGTCGTACCACGAGTTCGTTATCTTTAATGCCATTCGATGTGATATGCGTTGGCTTTTCCGCATGGAGACACAATAGGGACGGAAATTCATGGTTTTTCAATTTTCGCCGATTTTCTCGATACTAAGCCTTTCCGGTAGCGATCGAGGACTACGAGCTCGCCTTCCCGATTGCCTCCTATCGATGGTTCGGGAATAAAGAGGGGACCCACCTCCTTGGAAACGGAACCCTAGGGAGCCGCGAACGGGAATCAAACCTCCGGAGAGCGACCCTTCGCCGAATTGGGTTGCCCATGATTTTCCCCGACCGAATGTGTTTTATCCCATTTTTTCCGAGGTTCCCTTAAACCAGGTTGTTCGACCCGAAGTTGCGGGACTCGCCGACCTACGGTGGAAAATCGGGAAAAGCCGATGAAACGAACAAAATAACATTGAGTGGAAATTTAACAACCGGCTTGGCAGTTTTACCGTCGACCTAGAATCTTTTCCTCCGCTTGGCGGGATCCAGGAGTTCCCAGGAGCTGTTCGACCGACCAGGTCGCCGTTTTGAGCAACAGCATCGCCGGCAAGGAGCCCCTGGGGTTAAAGGGTCAGGTTAGGACTCGTTATTGGGTTAGGTGATACGAGATTCGCGCAGGGTGGAGGGATGCGTGGAGTTTCGCACGCACGTTCGCTCCCTTCGTCTCCTCCCCTGGCCCATGTCAGAGTCGCGTAATCCCACGCACCCTCGCGCAATCATTACCACCGGGGACAAACAAAGGAACCCCGTATCGGCCCATGGGGCGATTACTCTTCCCCGTGGATACATGCCCCATAGTTTGGCGACTTTCCTTCCGGAGCCGATTGCGCGTCTTCGCGCAAAAAAAAAAAAAAGGAGCCGCAAATCGAGTCCCTTCGCCTCTCCACGCGGTACCGATTAATCAGTCGTTACTTAAGGGCGAGTCCTCTTTGCGGGAAGTTCTATTCAACTTCTCGACAACAAAGGGACCCGCCAGAAGCGGACGGAAACGTCCGGGGCATTCGACGGCCACGTGGGAAGAAAAATCGCCGACGTGCAAATTTGTTAAGCAACGCGAGACGGAGCGACGCTCTTTCGAGGTCGATTCGTGACTTAGGATGAGTTTCCGGCTTCCAAAACGCATTCTGCACTTCCGGGGGAGTTGACGGAATTTAATGAAAGACCTCTTGAGTAGTGTTCGCTGTCGAGATTTGAAAATTAATTTAAATCCCTAAGGATCGGGAGGAATTCCAAGTGTTACTTAAATTACCTCGAGATCACGTCGTGTAATGGAATATCGCTCGGCGAAAGTTCTCGGTGTTAAAGGAAGAATTGGCACAAAGAGCGCCAGGGGAAGGCGAGCATCGCACCTCGATTCATAACACCTCGAATTGCGTCTTCAAACTCGAGGGGTCCTCGGGTACTGGGGCAGCGTCAAAACATTTCCTGTACCCCGGGCACGCGGCCACTTCCGAGGGGAGACAACACCTCGAGGGAAGGACCACCACATCGTGTTCCTCTTTGTCCGATATTAATACTATTCGGGTCGATAACCTTGCACCTGAAAAATCACCGCAACACCATTTGAATATAGGTTAACCCGTCGTTCAGGGGGAGAAATTACAAGATGTCCATAAATTACCGGAATCACGCTCGAGATGGGAAAAACGCATCCCACCGGATGGTTACAGCCTTCTAACCGAGCTTTACCCCATATAAATCGAAATGTTTCGCTTTACATCCGTGAATAAATTATTCAACCTGAGGGGCAACTATCTCGAGTTGCGGCGGTCCACGAGCGCGTAATTAAATCTCGCGGATTAAATCGATTCCAGGCCGAATCTCGGCGCAAAAGTGCTCGGTTCTCGAATATCGAATTATTGTTTAATAAATGCGAAGCACAACCGACGAGGGATCGGCATCGGGTGGGTGGTAAAAAAAAAATTAAAGTCGAACGTGCGTCGCGCGACGCGCGTGGGCCGATTCATAACCTCGAAACTGCGTCGTCGAGTTCGAGCGGCCGAAGGTCCTCGCGTCAAAACCTATCCAGCGTCTAAAACCCCTCTTCCTCTCTTCCGAGGAAAAGGGGCCGGAAAGGGAGAAAGCCCAACTTATCGTGCTCCTCTTTTTCCAGGGTTCTCACCACCTGGGCGATCGAGTTCGATATCCCGACAGGAAAAATTTCCGAAATCCGAGTCACGGCTCGGACGCGCGGGGCCACGTAACGCTCCGCGATAAAACGCATCACGAGACCCGCGAAGAATAACTTTTAGGTTATGTAAGCTTCGAGGAAAGATCCTAGCGAGGGATCTAACCCATTTAACTAGTCCTCGGATTGCATTTCGCCGTTTGAGGGGAGATTCGGGGTGAACGTGCGTCGGTCGCAGGGGTACCGGAAGTCGTCGAGAACCTTCCGAGTTTCAAGGGTCTTCCGGGAGTAAGTTCCCCTCCCGCGGGATTTACCGAGTGAATAAATCGTGCGCGAACCGAAATTAACGAGACCATCGCCAGGTCGGACCTTCCCTCGGGAAGAATCGAGAAGAAAAGCGATACTTAACATTTAACAAAGCTCAACTTGCATACGGTCCATCTCGTACGTCATCGACTGTCCTTACGACGAGTGGCATACGTGTCCGCGGCGGAAAAGGAGTAAAAAATAACAGAAGGAAAGGGGGAGAGAGTTCGCGCGAGGGAGAATAGAAAGCGCGGCGGAAACCGATTCCGCCATTTGGCTCGAGGCGCATTAACATCTCGGGGGGATCGTCGGAGATATTCGCCGTATGCTCGCGAGCATCGACCGCTCGTAAACACATCGGGTTTCCCGGCGCGCGTGGATCCACCTCCGGGAAGCCGGCCGAAAATATACCCTCCTAGTACCGCGAACTCTTTCCCCCGTCCGAGTAGCCATTCGCAGGGGCTCGACTCACTTGCGTAGCCGCTCTCGAGCGCGGCGAGGCCGTCAAAAAAGATCAGCAAGTGTCAAGGTTGCCATTTCGCGGAGCCTCTCCTCCCGGCCGGGGGGGCGCGCGCGCACTCGCGCGCGCGACTGGTCCCTGCACGTTCAGGGGACGCGCGCGCACCCACACGCGCGCACGCCGCTCACTCGGCCCGCCACCGAAGCATCGCTGTCACAACACAATAGGCCTCGCGATGTTATTAACCGCGAGCCTCGGCCGCGCACTCGCACGATGACACCAGGTCGCGTCGCGTCCGCCGAGTCCGGCGGTGCTGCCTCCTGCCGCGCGCGATCAAGTGACGCGACAGCGCGCCGCGCGACAAATCCAACCGCGAGCAGGATTTTTCGCGAAATTCACCGATGCATTCGGCGGTCCGGCGCTCACGGCTCGAGTGCCCCCACCGCGCCGCGCGCGGGGCCACTGCGCTTGCGCGGGCCGCCCGCAGGACCGAACCGCCGCGGCGGGGCCCCTCGCCGGGGATTCTTATCGGCGACGCCGATGCGCATCTTCGGATATACGTTTTGAGAGAGGGTTACGAATGTACCTCCGGAATAAGATGCGGAAATAGAGGGTGGAATGAATTCCGAGGTGTTTATCGTATTAAGAGCTGGACCACGGGGTCTAGATATTTCCGCGATCGAAGAGCGGAAAGAGGGGAACGATGATAGTAATGGGATTATTTCAATCCTCCGCTGTGTGGAGGATTTTATTCCATCGTATCGTTTTTGGCGCCGGACCGTGAAGAACGGGAGGTGAAATACCTGCAGGTTAAACCTCCACCCTCCGAATTCCGTAACGGTACATCGTACGGATTTCCGCGCGAGTTCCCCCGCCTGCCCTCCGCGCGGAATGGAGGCGGCCGAAAACAGATCCTTCGGGTTTTTGAGAAGGCCGTGGTTGCGAGAACGCGAGCTGTCTATTCTCGTAATCGTTTATGTAAGAAAGACGTTCCAAAACCTTGGAAATATAGTCGAGCGCCTCCGATGGCGCGGATACCGGTAATTTATTTTAAGGGCCTGGCATAATTAACGGAGAACCCCGCAGCGTCTCTAAGCGACCCTTTACGCATCTTTTATCGCATAGAGACTAAACGGAAGTGAAAATTACCTTTCTTCCTCGCGACGCCGTGCGACTTATTCCGCCACCTAAAGATGTCGGCCCTGGATGACGTCACGGCCGGCCGACCAATCACGGAGGCCCGCGAATAACACGCAAATTCCCGACACCGTTATCCCGTGGAATAGCAGGCCTTTCGTAAACCTCCCATTTAGAATTCCCGGCTTATCGATAGGCTCGGTTCATGGGATATTTAATCAATCGGAGAATAACGTTACCCCCTCGCACTTCGTCCCCGTGGAGCCGTTGCACGCCTCGGAGTATACGAATGCGAGTTCAACTACGCAGTGCGAGCAATATATATCGATTATCGCCGCCGGCCAATGGCGGCTTTGTGCGTCGTAAACAATGCCTCCTGATTGGTCGGAACTTTTCCCGCGGTTTCGTTTCATCGGCGACCGGCCGGCGCATGCGCAGTTCGAACTAGACTCGGCGCTGAAACGTGGACGCCGAGAGAGGTGCGTTTCAAGGAACAAGGTCACGCAGGCGTGAGTGCGTTATCCGATCCTTGCACTCCATTTATTTTTAAATACGTCCGTATCTATAAACGGATGCTTTCGAATATTCGGAGGGTTAAGTGCCGAGCTCTCTCCCCTCGCGTTATGTACATAGAACGAAGTGGGGAATCGCGTCGCAAAATTTAAGCAAATGTGACTGGCGATAATGGTTTTTTTCTTTTCAATTCTTTTCTTTCACCCTTCATGCACAACGGTATGAAATATGCAACTCTATACGTTAAAAAGCAGTTTCTTCTACTTTTACCTGGACATGCGAGTTAATACATTGCACCACGATTTAGCTACGCGGAGCGATTTTTATTCAATTAATTAATTGGCGATACAAATTCACGAAAACAAGTCACAACGAACGAATTCTCTAGTGTACTAGGTTAATTAGAAAACAGTTGTATAAAGGGTTGGCAACGACTACCGTTTATCGCGACATAATCGTGGCAGTCTAGATACGCGAAGGCGTTACAGAAAATAGCTAATACGAATAAGGCGCGGTAAAGACGTGGCCCATGGGTTTGAACCAGGGCTTAATGTCTACCTCGTATCGAAGATCTTACACCGATTAGTCACTATATAATTACGTTTTATTCCCCCCCGATTAACGATATCGAAGCAGCCAGCTCGTTCAAGAAGTACGATACGGAGTCGCAAAGTCCGATGTAAGCCCAGCTACGGTAATTTCTGCTCGAATTACTTAACCGGTTCTTGGCATCGTTATAAAATATCTTCAATATTTATACAGGCAACCTATGGGCATATTTAATATATTCTGCGCTCTAGTCGATCGACCGCTGACAAAGTCGATTAATCCATGAACGGCGACTTACATCTCATCGTTTAAACACAAAACCTTGTTACTTGATCAACGGGACGCAACCAAACACATCTTACAAATTTGATTTCGGCCTAAATTAATTCAGCTACTCGCTCCAACATATAAACACGGTGGAGGCAAAGATCACTCCCGGACGCTACAAATTTCGACAGAACGAGCACTCTCTCTCTCTCTCTCTCTTTCCGACGGAAAGTATAAATAGTACCTCAAAGAAACACGTTACGGAAAAATTCCCTCCGGGTCGAGCATCGGCTTACCGGTATATATCTCCCTCTAAAAATTGTATTCCCGCCTCGCGGGACGTCGCCGCAAAGAAAGCCTTCGATAAAGATAAGACGCCCGATAGCGCGGCCTCGGAGACGAGCGATCCTCAGTCGAGGTACATGCCCTCGTCGTCGTCGTCCTTCTTCTCGGTGGGGGCGCCGCCCTGAGGAGGAGGCTTCCTCTCCGCGGCCTCCTCCTTGCTCTGCTGACCCTCGGCCGGGCGTTGGTCTTCTGATTGGGACTGGCCTTGAGCGGCCTTGGCTTCGGACTCCAGGGCGGTGACGAACTCTTCCAGGTTCCCCCTGACGGCGGCCCTGACCGCGTTCGGATCCAGGCCGAACTGGCGGACGACTGGGCCCGCCTGGCCCGACTGCAAAGCAGACCAAAACATTGAGAGCGCCTGGGAGAACTGGGGAGACGAGAGCGTGGTACAGAGGCTGTCCCCGGGTGGCAAGTGCACGCTCATCGCACGCTCCAGACTTTCCGTCGTAGCGATCGCCGGTGGGATGGACTTGGTCAGCTCGGTCGCTACGCCCCTCTGCCGGACAATAAGCTCTGCTGTAGCCGACCGAGAACAACATACGAAAGCCGAACCGCCTCTCCAGCTGGTCAACTGGGCCAGGGTCTCCGACAGCCAGGAGAAGTTCGCGCGCTGTACGATACCCAGGATCGAGAAAATCATGCCACCGTCTCTCCCCTGATCCCTCGACGCGTTCATACGCCTCTAATTCGACGAGGCCCTTTTATTCAACTATTTGTCGGCCTACTCTGCCTTCCTAATATTATCAGCCGCAATAATCGGGTCGTCCACATTATTTTATATTATCGCTAGGTTTGCGCTGGTACCGGGCACTTTAAATTTTAGGCCGCGAGACAAAGGAATTCGGTGCATATAGCGAAATGACGGCATTAACGATTAGCGGATAAGCAATATCATGTTTGGCCTCGTACGATGCTTCACATTCGAGAATCTGTGAAAAAACTGAGTATTGTTGGTGAGCCACTTAGGGACAATAGGGAGGAAGTATGTAAAGTTGGTCACACCGCTCGTTCGAGGAACAGTATGCAAAAATTAATCTTGCCACTTTCGCAATCGTACACCAATGGTTTGAACTCTTCGTATGGTATCGATGAAGACAATTAAGAATCAAGATTTTAATGGCCCGTTGATTGACGGTCGCGGTTGGTGACTTATCGCGTTGTCGGTGTAGCACAAAACTGATTAGCAGTCGCGGAACATCGATCGGGACCGATGGTCGAGATATGAAGCTCAACGAATGGCATGATTTTCTCTGTGATAGTGGAAAGTATCGTACAGTATTTCGTAGCAAAGCAGATAACCCATTCCTGCAGTTTCATTCGGTTTACTTTACCGGGTTTAAATTAACGATAAGAATCAAAGCACTTGCTAGAGCTCGCATATTTTTCACTCGATTAAAAATGAGAAATGGATGGAATTGTTAGTCTTTTACTTCGTGCTAATTCCGATGACGGTATTATTTCTAAAAGCTGATGCGATAAGTAATTCTATTCTATTGCTTATTAAAATTGTATAACAAGAAAAAATGGAATGTTATGGATAATTTTGTAACCATGCCTATTATGTTTTTAGTCATTAATTGTGCGATAGTAATATTACCTGGGCAATGGGCTCGGCACCTGCTGGTGTTGATATACCAGAGAGGTAACTCTGTAGATCGCGGAGTTGAATGGGAGTGCTAGGAGAAGCATTCGTTACGGCGGTAGATAGTGCCGCTGTTCTGGAAACGGACTTACTGGCACCTGTAGTAATAAAATTGAACAGAACGGTGCTATAAATCTGGAAAATGAAATAAATAAATATTAACCAACCTGAAGACTTGGAAGACTCGGAGACAGGAACTGACGAGGGCACCGGGGTTTGGGCTGCTGGCGGCCTGGCTACGCTCGTCGTTACCGGAGTAGACGACGAGGGCGTATATGCTCTATTGCTTTGTACGTTGTACCTATTCATTGCTCCCAATAAACTACCCAGACCCCCAATTTGACCGACCCCACCAAACAACTGCATCAATTGCTGTTGAGACATATTATTCAAAAGATTTTGCAAATCTCCATCCGGATTAGCACTTCCACTTCGTTGCAATCCAGGAGTAGGGGGATTATTCAAGACCTCGTTGATTTTTCTACATTGTTCTTCGTCTTTACTAGTATTAAGGTCCTGTTAAAAAAAAAAATGATTACTTCATGGTCTAAACACATATATATTATTTGTCTTTTACCTGCAACCAAAAGAAGAACTTTCGGCTAGACGATTTAAAGCGCAGAAGATATACCCTTCCTGATTTACATTGAGGTACATGCTTGAACTCGCAGTCGTCTGGGAAGATAATCAAATCCTGTGCACAGAAACAAAATACATTAGCAAGAAATAAGGAAATTAATAGAACTAGGAATTAATTAAAAAGAATTAAACGACTTTGTGACTTCTGAAAAGCTATTTAGAAAGAAATGGAACTCACATCTTCCACTACGCCGGAGGTGCGATCTTTCCAACAGAAATGCATTAACGTGTCGTCCGACTGGTAGACATAAAGCAATCCTTTTCGAGTATCCGGATAAACCATCTGCTCTTTCATAGTCATTTTTCCAGCTTTGAATTCGACCAGATTCTTAGACGCCCCCCGAACGGTACTATTACCAAACAACGCCCCGCTCGACATCTTGAGTATAACTTAATTTTTTAGCAAGACACAAATTACTACGTTTAAACTATTTCGTAAGCGGCCAATACCGAAAATCACACACGATCTTACGAAGGAACCCAATGACAGAGCAATTCGAGCTGATTGGAATAATTCAAGATGGCCGTCCATATACGTAATAACTATGTGTGATGGAATTCACATTAGAGCATAATGCTGGGAGAATTTGTCGCATTTGTCGCGTCAATCCGTCAGGAACCAATCAGAGCCCAGTTCCACAACTCGAGTTAATCGGAGTTCAACTAGTTTACAGCAGGTTTACCGGGGCAGAAACCAGTTAACTTCGGTTAACCCGAATTGTGGAATCGGGCGATAGAGGCAGCACAGGAGGCACAAACCGATAGGTGAGCACCTTCCATGCTTTTCTCCATATATGTCTATGGTTTGTGCCGTGAAATTACCGAAAAGGGAACGAGAAAGATGGAGAGGTCTCCCGGGGCAAAGGAGGGGGCACCGGGCCGCATCGCTCCACATCGCTTCGGGCAACCTTGCGGTATGTTGACTGATCTTGGCATCCGGTAGGTGGGATGTTTTCCCGTTCCTCCCCGCACCCGGCTGCCCGCGAGCCTTGGCCCTGTCAAGCCATCGGAATCCAGAGCTCTAAAGTCTGGCAAGGAACGACCAGGGAGCACCGTTGAGGGCAAACGGTGGACGCCGAGGCCTCGGGAACGGCATGTGAGGCGACGGAGGCGGCCGGGTAGCCGACGGAACGAAAGCGGAGGGAAACAGAGGGAAAGACCTGGCCGAATCGGCGAACGATGCGCTCGCGCCCGGACTCGAGCGTCGCGCATCCCGGTGCTCCAATTCGTCGGCGGTAACCCGCGTCGACAAGTGATCGCGGGATCTTCGAGAGAAAGCAGCTCCGTCGGCAGCAACGAGGCTTCTGCAATGGCCGGGACGGAGGATACCACGATCGCCGAGCTCCGCTCCGAGGTCGAGAGACTTTCCAGGGAGCTCGACCTCGCCTCCACGGAAAAGGTCCAGTCCGCACAATACGGCCTCGCCTTGCTCGAAGAGCAGTCCGCTCTGCAACAGAGGTGCAACGACCTCGAGGCACTCTACGAGAACACGAAGCACGAGCTCGACATAACCCAAGAGGTTAGCTTTCGTAGACCTTGTCTCGGTCTCTTAGACTATGATATTCCAGTCACGCTTGGTTGTACAAAGGTCTCGGGGCGAGCAGGAAATTATAATTCTCGTAACTTTCTTTAGGCTCTAGCCAAGTTTCAAACGACTACCAAACTGACCACGAAGAGCGGCATCGAGCAGGAAGAAAGCCTTCTCTGCGAGAGCGCCGCAAGGGAAACCTCCCTCCAAAGCCAGATTATTGAGTTGGAGAATGAAACAAAACAGGTACGATCGTTGGATTTTTTGGTGAAGAGGTTATAAAATTAATGGAGATTTATTGCAACACGGGGGGGTTTGTAGAATCATTATTAGAAGTCCCTACTTTTATAGCTTCGTCATGAACTCGAGCGAGTGCAATCCGAAAGGGACCATGCGTTACAAGACCGTGAAGAAGTTGGGAAGGACCATTTACAAGCTGAATCCGAGCGGAAAAGCTTGCGGACGGAGCTACGAGAGTGTAGATTTCGGGAAACCAGACTACTCCAAGATTATTCCGAATTGGAGGATGAAAATATCTCGCTGCAGAAGCAGGTTTCTGTTCTGCGATCTAGCCAAGTAGAGTTTGAAGGTGCGAAGCATGAAATTCGCAGGTTAACCGAAGAATTGGAGTTTTTAAACAGTCAGGTAGAGGAATTAACGAATTTGAAGAAAATCGCTGAGAAGCAAATGGAAGAGGCCTTGGAATCTTTACAAATTGAACGCGAGGCAAAATATGCCCTCAAGAAAGAACTTGACCAGCGGATGAATAGCGAATCCATATATAATCTTAGCAATTTGGCCCTTTCTATCCGAGGCATCGCCGAGGATCAAGCTGCAGGCAGCGATGGGGATGATGATTCCCCTGCGCTGCGCAGAATCGAGGCAGATTTGAAAACTCAAGAGCCGGGTACATCTGCCTCTGGGAAGCAGGTTGATTTGTTCTCGGAGATTCATTTGAACGAATTGAAAAAGTTAGAAAAGCAGCTAGAACTCGCAGAAAGTGAAAAGGCTTTGCTCACGCAGAACTTGCGTGAATCACAGTATGCGGTAGAGAAGAGTCAGGGAGAGTTACAGTCTTTTGTCGCTAGAATAGTTCAATTGGCAGCTCACGTTCAATCGCTACATCAACTTCATTCGAAGTTGCCGGAGAAGCAGACCGAAGAAACAGCATTGGATAAGCTCACTCAGGTAAATCAAAAGTCAAAGCTGTAACGTTTGATGCTCACAAAACTTGCAACTATCATTTATTTATTTCTGTAGGCTGTTATGCAGTATCATCAGTGGAGCACAATATCTGCACGTGAGGTGGATCAGCTGCAGAAAGATTTGTCAGAATTGGAAAAGGGTTTAACGGTATCCGACTCGACCCAGCAGCTTAGAACCGAATTAACAAATCTAAGGAACAAGGTTCGTGCCCAAAGGTTTAATCTGGTCTTTTAACCGTCTCATTACTTTTAAGGGTGGAGCGATAGGGTCACGTCAGTACTTTCCTAAAGCTTTATCTCTAAGAACTGCAATTCTATCTATAAAAATTATATTTTATTTTGGAAGAATTGGGGATCTCTCTCACCTCATTCCGGTTTTAAAGGTTGAATAGAAATTATGGCGTTTCAGATGCCGTCTGACCCTACGTCAGAGAAGAATCTACAGGCAAAGGTTGGAACGTGTGATCCCGTTAACGTATTTATCATTTATTTAATAACGACTTGTTTTCTTGGCTCCTCTAATGATCTCTGTACAAATTGCTTTTCAGTGTCCTAACAGCGTCTTATTATACATCGCTTCTTGACAATTTGGTACCTTAACCGAACGTGTTCGTGTCATGAAAGTATTCGTCATATCATTCACACATTTCATATCTCCCAGATGAATGAATCGCACAGAAGCCTGAAAGATTAGGCGAGGTCCTACGTTCCGTTGTTCCACTATTGTGCCTTTCGACCCATCCGTCAGCTTTTCAGCAAATGCAACCAGGGTTGGCATCGAACTACCTATAGTATCGTTTAAAGATTTTTTTTCAACAACGATCCAGAGATAGATCTTAACATGTTTTCAGAGTTAGTAAACAATTGAAGAAGTTCAAAGTTATACGAAAATCGGAGAGGATAATCCTTTTATGGATAATTACCGAATTTTGCCAACCCTGATCACGAATCCAACCATTTCGAATGCGCTACGCGAGCACACGTGCTTGCCCTAATGGCGATGCCCGTGGCTTCATAAATGTCGATTTATTCCCATCTAACGCGGCATGATTCGGACGTAAAGGACCCTTCTTGCACGAAGCTCACGTAGAAGCCCTACGTACCAGTTCATGAATTCTTGTCGAAGAAAGTATTTGGGTCCGAAGTGGTAAAGATGCGTCCTTAACGTAGTTACTGTAATACGTAGAGTACCTTTTAGTTTAATTCGAATACTAAGGAAATTTAATTTCTGCAGTAAGGAGTGAATTACCATAATTGACCCAATTATCTTTGCCTTCCAAAGTCTGTCCTGTTTCTTTTTAAAGTCTGAAAGCATAATATGCTATCAAGCGATTCTTCAAAGATGCATCCGCCGTATAATCACGTGCATTTCTAAATGACAACGATGTCTTCCATGGGTCCCAGGGAATCGAGTATACGAGTATTGATAAGAGTCTTTGTTGCATTACAGCTCCTGGATACCGAGCAAAGGGGCATGGAGCTCGAGTCCGACGTTCTGACCCTGTCAAAGTTGGCGGCGGATGCCGGCGGTTCCCTCGACTCGGCGCAAAACGACTTGCAGAACATCACCGACGAGCTAGCTCAACTTTATCATCACGTTTGCGCCGTGAACGGCGAGACGCCTACTCGCGTTGTTCTCGACCACGAGAAGATAGTCCCCGAGAAGGAGAACGATAACGATAAGATCCAGATGATCCGTCTCTTCAAGACGGACATCAATACGAAGGACCTGGAGAGTCTCAGCAAAGCTAAAGAAATTAGCAAACACATTGAGACCGCGCTTGATCAAATCAAGCATCTCAGGAATGCTGTCGAGCACACCATTGAGTTATCAAAGATAAAAGGTGCGCAAGCCAACAATCCTTGGGACGGTAAATTATCCGACATTTTCAATTATTATACCATTCAGATTCTGTTGTTGTTGATTTTTTTTTTTCTCGGAGAATCTTCTAAGAGAATAAACTTACTCGTGTGATTTTAGCCCCAGTCAACGAGAACAAGGCTGAGCAAGAGACCGATCTGCAGGAACAGGTGATCAAGTTGAAGGCCCTCCTCTCCGCTAAGCGAGAACAAATTACAACATTGAGGAGCGTTCTGAAAGCAAATAAAAATACCGCCGAGGTGGCTCTGAACAACCTCAAGAGCAAATATGAGAACGAGAAGCGAATCGTAAGCGACACCATGCTGAAGCTGAGGAACGAGCTGAGGATGCTGAAGGAAAACGCCGCCACGTTCTCGAGTGAGTCGACCCTTTTTATTAGACCCCCCTTTTTTTTTTAAAGTTCGTACAGTTTGGAGTGCAATTGTTTCGAGTACAGTAATTTTATTTTCACACTCTCTCGTATTCGACCAGTTTTCAAAGAGCTGTAGTAATGTTTCCGTTTTTTTTCTTTCCTTTTTCTCTACTAACATACTCCGATTCACGCACTTGGGCTTAATTGCTACTAATCCGCAGTATTAATTTATCTAATATTAACTACGCTCAGCTGTGCTACGGTGGACTTTGCAGTGGCTCTCGTCGTGTGTTGTCGGTCACCCTGTCCGGGAGTTAGCTAACAATTCGTCCGGTTTCCAGGAATAAATTTATCCGCAGGCTTTTGCAAACGATACCAATTAGCACGTAGATCGGTCATTAATTTTCATATCTTGCATAAATTATTAACATCCACTGGATACATCGTTTTGTTCACTTCTTACGTTGAATATCCTTTCTGAATTTCTGTACTTTTGCTCCGTTTCTTCCGTTCATTTTACCTGTACCTGTTTCTTCCTTCCGTTTGCATTAAATCCCGCCACGAGTACTCAGGGTTTACGTGCTTTTTCCTGGTGTTCCTTGTACATAATATGATCTGTTCCCTTCGTGTTAAATCCTGCTAACAATGCGATCCTCAGGTCTACGAGCGATGTTCGCCGCGAGATGCGAAGAGTACGTTACGCAAGTGGACGAGCTCCAACGTCAGCTGGCCGCCGTCGAGGATGACAGGAAGACCTTGAATCAGCTGCTGAGACTGGCGGTGCAGCAGAAGCTCGGACTGACGATGAAGTTGGAAGAGCTGGAGGTTGACCGTGAGCTGAGGAGCAGCCGCAGACACACGTCGGGCGGAAATGGACGCGGCAGACCGCGTTTGCAGCAACACACGAACCGTCCTAACGTGGGCAGAGATTTCTTCTAGAAGATGTTAAAGATGTGGAGCAAGATATTTTGAGAGAAGTGGACACTTTGAGCACGGAAAGGACTCGACGGGGTCCATGGTAGTATCGAGTAACGAATCCTTTCCGTGCTCCAGCGTCGCAGGACGGCCACGTATCGTTATCGCGGGTATTAGATTCGAGGAATTTCTTAAGTTTCTTCTTTAACCACGCTAGACGACTTTATATACGTCTCGTTGCAATTTGGAGAAAACACGAGTCTTCTCATTGAACGTAGCGTCAGATTTGTGCCGCCTCTTGATACCAAGGGTGTACGGAATATTCCCCTTGACGTGCTTTTCTTGGTAAACATTTTGACTTGGCAATATTCCTGACGGTTTTGCAGTCTCGGTGTCAATCGGCTGCCAAATAACGATTTTACCGAAATCGTGACGTTATCGGTCTCAATGAGGTAACGTACTGCACAATTTTCTCAGAATTTCAACGAGATTGGAATTTTAATGCGTACGTTTAGTAGAGAATTCGGACAATTCGAGGTAAGAGTGAAATTTACGTCCATGGTGGTCTTCAATATATTACGCGGTACGTCCTAAAGCGGAATGCTCTTCCAGGACAATCGATGCCTTTAAAGTAATCGTTTCTCCGGCATAACTTCGCTCCATGTCACTGCTTATGTACACGTAGGTATTTTGGCGTAATATCTGCCCTTCAACTGTTGAGAACAGTTTAGATTACAGGAACTTGGTTCACGCCCGATGTCCATAGATGGTCTCGGAGCAGACACCGCGATTTACTCATGGAATTGGTAGGACGTTTTAATTTTGACGTACAATTCGTGCAGGATCGACTTTAGGATGCACGACGGAACTCCCTGTCGTCTCATGCTTTAACTTATTTAATTATGTTGTCCAACATAATCTCGTTTTACGGTGTATGTGAATGTGTGAATATTATAGCAGGATGCGATTTTTCAAAAAGTGTCGGGTCACCCTTTTATTTTATTTTTATTCTTTTGTCAAAGCGGTAGAACGTAGAGGACCACTAGAGCTGCGTTCGCTGCATGACGCGAAGTCAATACTTTCGGTATCGAAAAAATATAATTTCTCTCCCATGAAACGACGTTTTCAGGGCACGCTTTTGGAAAAGCCATCCTTCCTTTAGTCCTTACGTTCGGACCAGTTTCGAATGTTCGGAAACAAGAGTCAATTCGCCCGTTCATTAAGTGTCGGACGCAGAGATGTATCTACGTAGTGTCGACATTGGTATCCTTTGATACCGCAGTTATTCCGGTTATCTCACGCAGGATAAAAAACGCGTCTCGCAAGTAGGCAGATCGCAAAGATTAATCGACGATCTTGTATTACCGCATACATACGATAGGGACAATATAGAATTGAAAACAGAGAGAGAGAGAAAGCACGAGCGCATTAGCATTTATAATCGACGTAGATGAAAGAAAAAGACGAGGCGACGTCTAGGACGCGTCGAAGTAGAGGAAAGAAATGACGTTTTCTAGATTTAATCGTCCCTCGCGGCTTTACCCCCTGTTTTTTTTTTTTTTTATTATTTCTGAGGGGAGGCCAGATCAAGGTAGAAAACGAATTAGTGAAACGTCCGCCCGTCCTGTGACTCTCCGTTCGAAATCACTCCTCTCCCGTCTGGATGCTCGCGAAACTTCTTTTATTTCTCTTAAAGATATATTTAGCGACGTAGACTATACATCTGTCGCGAAACCTATTCAAGCGATTTTATTTATAAATCATTTCGCGTTCTGTCCCGACCCAGAGACAAAAAAATATTTAGGATGAAATTACCCGACGACGCGTTTTCGAGACTCATCGGGGTATCTTTGATTTTTATCTCAGCGATGTGGCCTAATCGTCTTTGGCAGCTTCGTTTCTACTTTCCTGTCGTCCATTGTCTGTTTTAAATTTGAGACCATTACTGCAGCTGTTGCTCTGTTTTTATTTTACTATATATTACCGTTCCATTTTAATATTGCTATTATTATTGCGTTATCGATGTAGTATTAACGTAGGCGTAGCCGTTTATTAATTAATGTTTCTTGAATTGTATATATCAATGAATTTCGCTGACGGTGCTCGTGCAGTTCTACCTGTGCTTGGGATATGTGTTATCGGTCTTTCGGGGAGTATCCAATTGTTGGATAATTTCTCACCGATTACGACTATTGGTGGCGGGAACCGCGGGTGAAAACCGTTCGTGTATGTACTTCTCTTTTTTTTTTCCTCCCTTTTGTTATATTTATTAACTTATTTCGGGGATAGGTGTATGCTTTTGCATTCTTTATATTAACACGGGATCGCTCTTTTGGCAGTATTTTATTCTTTCTAAGGTCGGTAGAACTGCGGGGCCACCTTGTTGGGGCAATTTTTAGAGGAAATTTGTAACTGCGCTTTATTATTAACTACCTTCTGGGGCGTTTTCTCGATCAAGCCCCCGAGGAAGTTTGATTTAAAAAACGATCTGGGGTAACGTGGGAAATATTTAACTCATTCGTATGGCTTTTTACGCTGATTTCACGCGTAACGTTTATCATGGGTTCCGCGTCACTCGTGACGTTCGCTTCGGTTTGATCTAGCAAAAGGAGACCTTGACGTCATGGGATTCGATTTATTTCGGCTTCGTAAGAGTATCCTTCGTGCTCGCGACCGTCTAGCGCACTTCTACCGGTGTCCATTAGTCGTTACGCTAATTTTAATCCGGGACTTTTGTAACAACGTTGCCCACTTAGTCGTCGTTACGTCCGTATACGGCAGTCGCCATTGACTTAGGAGCTAGGGCGAGCACCTCGACGGAACCGAATCGTCGATCGTTTGCCGATTACAATCGAGTGATCAGTTGTCGCTTTTATACTCGTAACACCGTATATTGTAATACATTTGTCACCGTGAAGCCGCCCCCACGTCGCCTTAATCGTGGCTCGTCTCTCTCGAGGGGTCCTTCGGCGACCCTGCTCGATCCTTTTTCCACGGCGCGACGATAGGAGACACCGCGACTCGATATTAAATTAAATCAGGCCGATATTAGCGGCTAACTCTTATACATTAACACGAAGAATCTCTTTAGGAAGGGTTTGATCACACGAAGATGCAAGACCCTCGGTCCTGCGTGCTCGTGGATAGGATAATCGGTCTCCTTGTAATCGCGGTTATACGATGTACCGTCACTCGTCGCGTTTACTTTGCCGAGCCTTCTCGGCGGTCCACCGTCCTTGCCGGACCTCCGGTTACCTCGAAGACGTCCACCCGTGGCGCATCTTCTCGTCGAGGGGCTCTCCACGATTTTCTTGGCGACCTGGGCACGGCTGGAATCCACTTTGTGTCCATAAACCGAGCCAGCCTCAGGCTACCGTCCCTTCCCTTCCTCTCGCGTCACCGTGGGAGCTGGCCAGGGAACCGTCCTTTACTTTTTCCTCTCGTTTTCCGTTTCGAATCTTGCGTCGAAAGGGGCAAGCCGTACTCCCCTCGACTCTTTGTATTGCCGTCCGCGCACCTAGTGGCGACCTGGGCCTTCGTCGGGTTCGTTTTCCCCGATCTTTCACCGAGCAAAGAGGGGGGAACGCGAACCCGATCGCTCTTGCCAAAGCCACTTGATCACCGATCTGTCCTTTTAAACGGAGACGCTTTACGTCCTTCGGGGGGAAAAAAAAAAAAAAGTTCCTTCATAAAGCACTTGCGAGCCATTCCGAGGGAGCCTTCCGAGGGTGAGGGAACTTGGACGTGGCGGGTAAAAATAAAACGAAGAAATGCGTGTCGAGGTCGGTCAGCCTTCGGGGAGGATGCCATGTTGGGCTCTTCTGGGTGGGAGTTCGTTGTCGTTTGTATATCGGTTATTATTTTTATTTATTTCTTAATCTTTCGTAGCACTCGTTACATCCCTGTTACTAGGGAACTTGAACGCGTCGTTGTCCATTGCACATTATTTATCTTTGACGTTCATACCGTTTTATGAAGGCTTATTCAAGAATGACTTGACCAAGTCCTTTTCGCGTTGCACAGATTATGCGCCAGGGAATTGAATCCAGGGGAATTTAGGGGTACCAGTGGTATTGTTAGCTCTTCCAGTCCTGATTTATATACGATCTGTCCAAATGTTCATTCCTAGGAACGTTCCGATAATTATTTAAGCGGGAAGTAAGGGCAGGGTAACGAGCGAAGGAGCGATAAATGGCGATACGTGAGATTAACCCTTCTTCGACTTTGCGGAGGGGCTGCGCTCGATCAGGGTTAATTAAGACATTGATTTGCTCAAGGCTTCTATAAAAAGCTCCAATTGCGTCCCCCCTGACCAGTGCTCTCACGGTGACGCGAAACGGCTTAGAAGTTAATGATAATAGGAACAAATAATTATTGAATAAGTAGCTCTATACATATATTATATATATATACAATTATTAATTATGAAAGAATTATATATAAATGAATATATTATATACATTTATCCCGTTGCGATTAATTATCTCTTGTTACTTAAACGTAACGGGACTGTCGAGTGGATTATTGGGGGAAAATTTCGAGTGTAACGAGTAAGAGTAGGTTCGAGGAACGTCGAGGTCGTGCGGAGGCTTAAGGTCCGGGTCATCGTGTCCATAATTGATATACCCAGGTGATTAATTGCCGACTCGATTGTTTAACGTCAACGGTCGATCCTTTTCGTTGGCACTGCGAGCGACCTGCGTCCAGCCAAATACGAAAGTTCTTTTTAAAGCGTAAAACTTCGCGGTTTACGTTTACACCTGTATCACACACCGAGGCCGTTTCTTTTGTCGATCCCGTTCTCTTGACATATCTGTAAAAAATGAAAGGAGGATACTGAGCGCGTCGTCTCCTTAGGTGGAAGTCTGCAATGAGCGTTCTTCGGTCGGATCGAAAATTAGGGGCGAATTTAATCCACCGTGGGCGAATTTGAGAATTGTAAGGAGGACGGTCATTGCGGACTCGCGTTGACAAAAGAAAATAAGAGGTATACCTTGGCGTGAATCTGACGGATTGTACATAATGTAAATGCACGTTAGCGTTGGGTCTTCGACCCCGTACTTTGTGTACGACGGGTCCGGACAATTAGCCGACAATTTGTATCACAGGCCGTATTTTCTCCGTAGCGGTTCGTCACGTAGGGGTTCCGATGAAAAACCGATTTTTAGAGGTACTCTCATTTTTCAAGATTAACCGTATTTAAGAGCCACTCCGCGGAGGCGCAATCGGTGGTTGTCTGTAACGACGTGGAGGGGTTACGTGCATGTACGACGGACATTAAATAACTGAATCGATGACTGCCTGCCGGAACTTCGTTTTGTAACATAAATTCAAATATAACCATTTGTAACCAAATTTCCGGGGTATCGTGTTTTCGCAGTCCCCGACAACGAGGGAAGTTCCCCGAAAATCTGGTAAAATGGAGTCTTTTGACTTTGATAGGAAAGGGGTGTTCACTTTTATTTTTTTTTCTCCTTTTTTCAAGATCGTCGATACGAGACGATGAATTCTGAGGGGACACCGATAGAGGGGATTAACATTGGGAAAGTTTTCCTTCTTTCGCTATAAGCGAAGGAAAATCGACCCAAAACGCGGAAGAGTCTCTCCGAGAAGAGGAGGTCGAAGACAATGGATCGCGTTAGCGGGATCTAATAGAGTGGAGGAAATTCCGGGAGATTTCGATAGGCATCCCAGATACGTCGTCCGGATATTCCATCAGGTTTGGGTTGTAATTCTCTAATCACGGCGGAGACGTCGTCGATAATCTGGAGTAGATATCCGGGGATAATCGGATGTTTGAATGTCCGGGCCTCCGATATCCCTTCCAGGATTATCGATCCCTCGCCGAGCATGTCGACATGGATGTGCATTACACGGGGTACGATAAGCACCGTGAGCCTCCCTTATCTATGAAACAAAACCCCGGAATCATCGACGGAATTATCATCCGAGGATTTTTCATACCCCGAGAGGGCAATCATTTTTGTAGAATCTTGTAATTAATTCTTGGAAGGAAGGGGGTACTATGGGGAGATATTAACTCACTTATCTCGGCGTCGGGACGTCATGTCGAGTCAGGGTCGAGTTATATCCGGAGCGATTTACGGGGCTTGGAATCGAATCCAAATTCCGAGAGATCAAACGGGGCTCGCTACTCGTCGATGCCGTTCAAGGTTCCCTTTCAGACGCTTACTAAAAGGGGTTGGTAGGTTCTGAAATGCGTTTTAATCAAAGCGAGTCTACAAAAGGGAACGGAGAGGTATAGGAAACATTCGCCTACGAGGCTGCGTTATTTCACGTTTCAGTCTAAGATAAAGCAAACTTTAAAATGCTTTGAAATGCTTCAAAGTGACGGCTGCAATTTATTTATTTATTTATTTTTTTTCAATTAAGGGTGTAGACATCTTTTGAGGACACCGTGTACACGCGTCATTTCATTGCTTCGTGACTTTGACGTTTATGCCTGGAGTTGTCAGTCTTGGGTTATTAATATTTTTTTTTTTCCTATGTCTTCGGACACCGTGTACACGTGTCATTTTATTGCTTCGTGACTTTGACGTTTATGCCTGGAGTTGTCAGTCTTGGGTTATTAATATTATTTTTTTTTCCTGTCTTGGGGGCTTTGAATCTTTGCTCGGGGCAAAGGCAAACGTCCGTTTCGTTTACCCTCTCACCCTTGTTCGGCGCCCTCGCAAACCCGGGGCGGACACCCCGCAACAATAACTCCGGAATCGCTGACAGTCCGGAGTATTTGGAATGTTGGCTCGTGTCTATAGACCCGGTCGGTCCGGGGTGGTCGGGGTTGGCTTTGAGCCAATCTGTGCTCGAACCTGCACCCGAGTCACCTCGGAGTATCTCAATATCCGGCCCTTCTCGACCCCGGGTACATCGACATTCCGAGGTCTTCATCGTCGAGGAAGGTCTCCCGGGGATAGAAACCCAGAAGACTCCTCAGGGTCGCATCCGTAGAGACGCGCCTCGATCCGGGGAAAAACATCCTCTAGATCCGCGGGCGATATTTATAATCGGGAATGACGTAGCGAATGCCGCCCGAAGAATTTCGAAAGATTCTTTATCGTTAATTCAGCTTTGCCGGGGAATGGGAAGAGTTGCCTCTCTCGCCATGAGAGTTGGCAGAGAGGCAAGATGGCGCGTGGTCAAGGAGGAAGACATGGTCGGGATATTAAAGACATGGGAAATCTAAAAGTAAACACTTATTCACGCGAGGAACGATAAGAAAGAATTTCCCACATTTTTTTACGGCGAATGGAACTCTCGCGGAAGATTGGAGGAGCCAGGAGGAGCGAGATTTTCTCTCCTCGCGAAAGTTGGCAGCGAAACAAGATGGCGCGGGCTCGAAGAGGGAGATATCGGTGTTAAAGACGCGGCGGATCCGAAAATAAATAAATACGTACATAGGAAGGTGGAATAAGCCGCTAGAAAAATTCGGGTCGTTTCGGAAGATCGATAGGATTTTCCGGGAAAATTGAGAGAGAGCCAATCGTGCGTCTCTCTCGGCGGGAAATTTGGCATCTTGGCAAGACGACGCGTGGTCGGGGAGGAAGAGGTGTCCGGAAGTTGGGAGGAAGAAAAAGAATATTAGGAGGAACCGAGGAAAGACTCGAGGACGGACGAACAAGGTCGAGGTTTCGCAAGGCGGCGCCGAATTTCCGCGACGGAATCGAAGCCGATCGACCCTCGAGAGGAGAGCGAGCGCGTTGCTCTTTCCGCTGCGGTTCGGCCGGCGCGTCGTTATTTATAATTCGAGGGTCGTCTCTTAACCTTGCCCGAGGTGGACCGTCAGGCATGTCACCTCGGCGTCCATTTCGATGCCCTCTCCGGTCCAATTGGGTCAGGTCCACTCAAGTCGACGCCGAGCGTCGTCGGACCCATCGCGTCCCTATCCAGGTTCCTCCCCTGGACAGGGACGACGATTGAACGAGAAATTCAGCGCTCGAGAGCTTATAATCACGTCTGAAAAAAACAAATCCTGAGATTTATATGAGAGATATTTACGCATATAAAGAGAGAACGCGCGGAAAACGTGGAGGATCGAAAGAAGTTCGATATCCTCGATTAGGGGTCCTGGGGCGCAATCGATACCTCGATGGCGCTCGGGATCGATCTAGCGCGGATCCTATGGGTCGCGATGGTCCCTTTGGAGGTTAGGTCGGTCGTCCTGTCGCGCGGTTCCGGCTTCGGCGGGGCCACGCCCTCGCGAGGCCCGGCGTCGCGGCGTCGACGCCGTCGCGGCGCCTCGGGCGGGCAGCGCCGCCCGGCGGCCGGCCAGTCGGCACTCGGCAGTCGGCGGCACGCGACGCTCGCCAGTGGACGGTCCCGAGCGCCCCCGAGCGCCCCCGAGTGGTCCCGAGTGGTCCCGAGCGGCCCCGAACCGCGAGCGCCAGCCCCAGTCTCCCTCCAGTCGCCCAGGCGTCTCCCTCGCGCTCCAGAGACCGGATCCACCCCGGACGCCGGCGGGTGCCGCGAGAGGACTTCCGGCCGCCCCGCGGACCCTCGGTCGCCGCTTCAGTGTTTCCGGACTTTCCGGGTCTCGCCAGACCAGCCGGACGACGGTGAGTTTTTTCCCCTTTCTCGACTCCGGGGCGCGCCTCTCCCCTGCGTCCTCCGACCCAAGAACGGTCCTTTTCCTAAAATCCGTGGAATCGCGTTCTCGTTAGCGATCGCATCGAAGCTGGAAACTAAAAGTGGGCTTGGAGGTTAGGAACCGTAAAAACGCGCCCTCATCGGTGATAGAAAAATTAAGAATCGTAGTCGCGAATTTGGGAAAATTGTGCCATCGCGTACACACCTTCGGTATATGTAAATATTGCTCGAGGTAGGATGCCTTTCTCTCTTGCGAGTCTTCCGGAGACGCGACGAGGTGGTTAAAAAAAATTACATGTATACGCGGGTGTACGCACATTTATGGTTACGCGTGCGAGGGCACGGGGGTCGTTGGTATCGCGGAAAGAACCCTGTCGCGAGGAGGGGGACGGGGGGGCTTATTTTGCGGAGCAAAGAGCACGAAGCGGCGGATAATGCGCGGCGGAACGCCGTAAAATGGGTTTATCTCACCTCGGGGGAGGTTAGGTGTCCCTTTATCGCGACCGAGCGCGGATTGGTTCCCGTTTTTATGCCTTCAATGAAGTGCCCTTCCCGCGGCGAGTCTCGCGCGTAGGACGTCGCGAGCGTCCTGGCATTGTCACCGGGACGAGATTTACTATTGTATTTATAGAGACCGACTATGTACGCGACTCTATTTGCCCGGGACGGATTCGCGATTCGTACCTTGTTGCGCGGGTAAATATAGTTAACGGGTTCGTCCGATCGGTTTTTCCTCCTCTTCCTCGAGTGCCCGGCATCCCGATATTCCGAGGGCCAATTTCTTTCATCTTTTTAAACCTTTTAATACGCCCCGGTGAAGCGTGAGCCAGTGGTTTAAGTGCCGACGTGGTCGGACCCAGGACTCTCGTCCGGCGCGACTCGACTGCCTCCTTCACGAGGAATATTCCCTGGCCCTCTCGATAGATTCCAATCAATCTTAACGATTCGCTCGTCCCTTCTCGAGGGTTTCCCCGGGAAGGAAAAAAAAAAAAAAATCGGCCGAGGTGTCGAAAGGGGGCAAAAGGGGTAGAAATACCCGGAGAAGGCGCACGGAGGATTGGACGAGACGGGTCTTCTGGATCGATTTCAATGCGTTTACTTTATGCAAAAACGGGAGGGAAGGAGGTGTAAAGGAATCATTTCGGCGCTTTGAGAGTCCTTGTTATTTTTTTTCTTTTTTTTTTTTCCCGGCGGGTTCTTGGACCGCAATTGTACAACGCCTTTGCACGGCAGGGTTTGCGAGGGTGGGTTCTCAAGGAGAGATTATCCCGACCCTCCCAGGGAATTTACATTTGCACAATTTGGGGAGGTAGTTCACTCGCCTCGGAAATTTTCTGGGTGCCAATCTCTCCCTTTCACTTACTTTCACCTTACCCCTTTTTATTAGAAGACTAGGAATTCCGTCGGAGATCTCAAATCGACGTTTTGGGGGGATTTCCTCTCTCACTCGTCGGTCGGTTATGCGAAAACGCGTTTCCGCAGAGCCCTCGGCTTCTTTGCCCTGGGTGTGCCAAGACACGTCATGGATGCACTATGCGTAGACGGACGCGTGCAAGCGACTTGGAACGCTGCACCGGGTGCACGTGCAAATGTGCGGAGGAAACGCCGGGAGAAGAGGAGGGAATTTTCCCGGAAAATCTCGAGGCCCTCGTTATAATACCTTCCGGGGGAGCCATTTTTTAATATCTTCCCTCTCGCGAGGAATTCCCTCTCGGATGCTTCTTTTATTTTTTTATCCTCTTTTTCCTTCCCGGCGGAATTTTTCTTTTGACGCCGTTCTAGGACGAGGGCACCCTCTCGGGTGCATCGTCTCCGGTCGCGGGAAAAATGCTAATAAATTTTCCCACCCGCTCGCGAGGGGATTTTCCTTTATTTCGAGGCTTCGGGATCGCTTGAACATAGATCCGTAGGCATTTGTCGGTTGATTAAGAGACGTCAGGGCCGAAAAAGGACGCCTGCCAGAAACACTCGTCGCGGATGCACTTTGGGCGCATCGACGCGTGCACCGTGCATCTTGGAACGATCCGTCGAGAGGGAGTGTCCGTATAAATATACGCGTTCGCGTACAGAGAGGGAGGTTTACATGGTGAGATTCCTCTTTGGAAACGAAATTTCGGATTTGCTCGAATTCCCCGGTGTTATTTTTTTTTTTTCTCTTCCATCGGGAAGGCGTTTCGCAATTTTTGGTAGGCGTGGGGGACCCGGGAATTTCCCTCTTCCGGGGGAATAAAATGTATACGTGCGCGGGAAAAGGCGCGGCTTATGTCGCGTGTCGATGCACTTTATGGATGCACTTTTCCCGGACCTACGCGAGCGATGCGTCGACTTGTCACGTCGCTATCGGGGCACGTAGAAGGTCCTGTTTGTAGACCAGGATGCGTGGACGTATTTCGTGTTTATGTACACTGGGGTACATATGTACGTGTATGTATTTATGCCCTCGCTTAGGGGCGACGAGGCGAGAGGGCGAGAGAGAAGTTTGCACCTCGGGGAGGGAAAGGTGTGTCGGACAACCTCCTGTATCGAACCTTTCCAGGTGAGCTCCGGTGCAGTTTCCATTCATGCGGAATCGGGGGGGATCGAAATCGTGACTCCGACTGCACTCGAAGTCCGATAAACTGCATCATACCCTTGCACCTTATAAGGAGGGCTGCTGAATCGCGCGAAAAATTGAAGGGTCCCTCAGAGGGTACTACAAGGGAGGAATTTTTTTTTTTTTCTTATCTCGCTACCTTTTTCTCATATTTTGTGCATTGATCGATTTTCGAGGATTCGAGATATCGCTTGGGTTTTCTTGCGGGGGCTTGTCGGAACGGATATTCATGCCGCGGCGATTTCCGGGGTCTTACCTTTCGCACCTGGCCGGGTGTTGCACGCCGCTTGAACTATCCATCCATTATGCAGGAGGAATGAATGCAAAATCGATGAGAGGTCTGTACGACGACGCTTGTACCTCCTACGTGGGAGAAATGAGTTTACCCCGCGATTCGATCTCCCGGGGTGGAGGCAATTTGTAATTCCGATTTCCCTCGTTTGGAATTGTTGAAACGAACGCCCCGCGTTGATGCCGCGGTTCCTCGATTGTTTTTTTTTTTCTAACCGAAGAAGAAGGGTTACTTTATGGAGGGAAAAATAGGGGGACTTCTAGGGGGTTCTGGAGTTTGGCGGGATTTTTTTTTTTTCTTTTGGTTCCCTCGACTCGTTGCGGGGAGTGAGTCGCGAATGGGGGGGTCGATATCACGGAACGAAGACCGCCCTCGATAAGAGTCGCGAGAAGCTTTCGTACCTTAATCCAAATTGAACTTTCGGATAACCGGCTTCCGTCGGTGCCTCGGGTTAATTGGAAATTAATCGCCGTTGCGATCGGGGGTTGATTTACCCCCGACGACCCTCGCGACGTTTCCCGGCCGAGGAGTCGTAATCAGGACCGAGGGCGATAACGAAGGAGGAATTTCGGAAAGAGCCCGGGCTGATTATCCGTCAGCTGTTTTCGTTACTTTTCATGCTTTCGAAAAGAAGTTACGAATCTCTATACGTCGCCTGGAAGGGAAACTCCCAGTCGTTTCCATCTCTTTTCTCGTTTTTCCAAATTTCTCGGTCTCCGACTCTCCACCTTCGGCCAAGTCGAGAAAAGGGATGTCCTTCCGCGAGATTTCCGAGGCTGATTCGGGAAAGGGGGAATCTTTCCGAGAGGGGGTGACAAATGAACGGACACCCCCTTGGGGGTGGATTATTCGGGCGGATATGGACCCCCCGCGGATTCTTCGCGGTTCCTTTATTTCGCCGGGCTCTCGGAAGGACAGGCTTCCCTTTTCTTTTCGGCCGAAGCGGGGAATCTCGTCGGTTGGTTTCGTCTCTCGATAAGCTCCCCCGATGACCGCAATCCGTTTCGCGAAAATACCGGGTCTGCGGGGGCGAAAAAGCCCGGCGAAAGGAGCGACAGGGACGAAGTGCCATTGCCGGTGTTTTACGAGCCCGACCCCCTCCACCCTTCGCCTGCCTCTTCAAGATTTACCGAATCCTCGAGGTTTTCCACCCCGCACTTCCGAATTCCCAGTCCTCCACCCCCGCCATGGGATTTTTCTTTCAGTACTCTCTTTCCTTAAATTAGAAATCGTCATTACCTTCCCCCGAGGAAGTGCCTGCTTTATTATATCCTCGGAGGGTTCGCAGTTTTCACATTTACTATTTTCTTTTTTTTTTTAATCCTGCAACTCTTCGACTTTTATCATTTTTCTTTTTTTTTCCCTTCTTCAAGCTCTCGGCTTACATGCGTTTGTTCGCATTGCCCCTACCGGGGCGAAAGAGCTCGGGGACAAACGAGAATCGGAGGTGTATTTAGGGAGAATTCGGGAACGGGAAGAGATACGCGGTTTGAGATAATTAAATATAGTCGACGTCTGCTAGGAGGAGGTTCGATCGAGGTCGGGGTATTAAGGTGAAGGTCCCTCGAGGTGATTTCAGCCGGGGGTAACGACTGCGCCGACCTCGGAGGAACACGAGGTCGAGAGGGGAGGCCAAGATCGAAATAATTTCTCTCTAATCGGCCGACTCTCCCGGTCAAGGAACGGGATCGATTAAATTACCTGGAGCTCTCGGGAGGATCTTCACCAGTCACCTCTTCGCCGGGTCGATGGGATCACTTGTAGGCGTCTCATGGGAAAAATTGACACGTCTATCCGTTACGCGGAAAATCCCTCGATCTTGGATAAGGGTCCTAACGATTTAATGTTTAATATTTTATGACGTTACATTTATTCCGATTTTTCCGTAAGAAGGTTTGGAGGGAGGGTTAGAACGTTTGAGGAACTTCGGATTTTTCTCGGGCCTCTTCTGGGCGACGTCGACGTCCACGTATCCGGACATGGTCGGCAGGGTTTTATTATTAGTCCGCGGAAAGAATCCGGAGGCCACGAGTGGTCAGTGACCGACCATGAAGTGTCGGAAAGTGCGGGAAGGCCGAGGGTGGTAACGCTTACAAAACATTTATAAATAGTCAAGTAAAAACGTCCCGTGCGATCCGGGAACCTCGGGGACATTTTTCCCGACCTTTTGCCTCCCCCGCGGAAGCCATTTCCGCGCAAAGTCCCGTCGACGATTTTCCCGAAAAAGGAGGTTCCTTTCTTCGACATCCGGTACCGACGGGCACAAAGGACGGAGTAACGAGACTGGGAAAAATATTGCAATTTGTTTCACCGGGATTTATCCCCTTTGAAGGGTGGCGGGAAATTTTCCCCGGATAACTGGCGACTCTTTCCAGGGAAACCGGGGGGACATTCGGCGGAATTTCTAGCTTGGCTTTTTTTCACTTTTTAGTCTCGGGAGACCATGGTCTCTCGCAGGGCTTCTCGCCGTGCTTGGCAGTCGCAGAAGCTCCGAGGTCCAGCTTCGTCCGAGGAGCTCGACCTCGTTGCCAGCTGGCTTCGCCGTCGTCTCTATTCTCTGCTCGGAATCGCGGGGCCAGCCCGTCGAGTCACTCAAAACTTAAGCTCCTCGTTTTAGAAGCTTACCGCCGGAATCCGCAGCCGATAATGGACGTCGCGATTCGCCGGGAAAGGGAGGGAACTCCCGATCGGGAGGGAGAGAGAGAGAGAGTTCGATCCGCGGATCCCCGTAATCCTTTGGCGGCCGTAAAACGTCCACCCCCCTTGTCCATTTTCCCCCTTGAGACGATGGAAACACCTTTCTCCCTCCTCCAGAGAAGCTAAACAAATAATAAACAAAAAAGAACAGAGGATTGATCGGCTCAACCGCGATCTAGGACTTTTACTCGAGACCTCCTTTAAGGGGATGTAAATAAATTCCTGTTGTCCCGGGCGGGCTACCAAAAATTCCGGAAAAATTCCTGCAGATACTATACAGGGTCCATTAATTTTCCCAGGGAGGGCGATGTCGTGACGAGGGTGTGTTTATATTTTCCAGAGGATGTCGTCGATACGCACGCACTCGACCGGCGGCGGGATCGTCGGAGTGAGCAGCATCGGATCCGACAGAACCGGAGCCACGTCCACCGCGGGTGGGTCCCACTCTCATTCCCACTCCCACAGGAAGCACCATCACCACCACAGGAGCAGAAGCGCCCCCAGGGCGCCGGAGAAACCCCCCAGGAAACGCCATCTCAACCCCGGACATAGTCTCGCCTCCATTCCCAGCCAGATCAAGCTGTCGATGCTCAACAGCGGCCTCATCTCCTTCGGTGTGTACTCTTCGACCGTTTTACAAAGTACTTATTCCCCGCGTGTTTTTTTTTTTTTATATTTCATACCCCCCCTGCGTCCCGCATTACAAATGGGATCATTAAGTTGCGTATGAAAGTCTGCTCGGAAAAATGTATAAATTCCCAGTTACATCGACTCTCTCTCGGGGACTTCCACCCCGTATCTCCGAAATGCACCCATCCCCTGTGCGGGATGGAGAAACGGAAATATAATACACCGTAGCGTACCCCTTGGCCCGAATGGCGCCTCATAGAATTACAAGGAGTCCCGGCCATTATCCCGATTTTCCTCCCCCCATAACGAAGGATTACCATCCGACCCTGATATCGATATCGGTATCCCGAAGGAGGCTCTTATTATCCGCTCGGTTACGGGGGTAAGAAAAGTTTCCCACCCTCCTGGCAGGACTTTTCCCCATTCTTCCCACGCATCCGGGCGGAAGTGCCGAGCTCTTAATTCCTTCCCCTCTCGCGTGCGTGCCGGTTAACCGGGCTTAAATTAAACTCCTTTTATTTACGGCGTGTTCCCTCCCTCCCCCTGACACCTCCGGCTTTTAGATCTCTCGCCGCCACATTGACGTTTTATTAGGAAAACTTATCCCGGAGTTTCCTTTATTACTTCCGGCCTCGCCGGAGATTTCTGCCCGGCTTGGAGCGCCGCGATGCCGTCGGTCGATACCCTCTGTACCATTGATTCCTTTCGTTCACTTTATCATTCATTCTTTCAGGCCCACTTTGTACTAATTCTCTGGTCCGGGGTTAATTATTTAGCGGGGGAGAGGACGCGCGTACGGAAATTTCCTCCCTTCGTGGCGGGACACTTTCCCGGGGATATTAGCGCGTCGACATCTCCCTAACCTCGGCTTTTATAGTTTACGTTGGTTTACGTTGGTTTATGCCAGTTTACGTCAGTTTATGCCGGTTTATGGTAAAATCGATTCCCCATCCTTTGCCTGGGATTGGCGGAGGGCCTCGCCACCCCCGCGTCTCGGTTAACCCAGGGCTAAATGAAAATCTTTATTTACGGGGAAGCTTCCACCGATATGCCGCCTCCTTCTCTCCCCATTTTCTTCCTTTATCTTTTTTTTATATCATCTATCCCGCTAAAAAGTCGCCGCGACTTTTTATTAGCAAAACTTACCCCCCCCGGGGATGCGCGGTTTATTACTTGCACTTTTGCCTGACTCCCCCGATTGTCCCGTATATTTTCTGTTTCTTGAGTAAATAAGGGTGGCCACCCCCCTCTCGTAATTAGCGCCGATGCGTTTATCGCGAATCCCCGCGATCTGGTCGGCGGAATTACCGCCCGGGCGGAAAATCTACCCTCTGTCCGCGGCGGGGGCGTTTTTTGTCCGCGCGGAATTAGATTCTCCCGGGTGGAGTAACGACCCCTCGGTAAAGAAGCGATCCCCTCCTACGCCTCTGCCCGTACCTTATAAATATCTGATAATTAATAATTAATACCTCCGATCATTTTTTTTTTTTTTTTTCCCTCCACCCTCTTCTGGTTGCCGCTTCTCGTCTCGCGGCAGCTCTTCATCAGGGAAGTTTAAACAAGGGGGGATCATCCCGACCTTTAGGGGTAATTTCCCGGATTTTTTTGCGGGGATGTTTCGCCGAGCGTGGGAGGAAAACGCGAACGCCGAGATTTTCACCCGGATATTTGCATTTGCGTTCCATGAGCAGGGCCAAACTCCTCTCTAATCAGTGGCCTGCGGTGTTATCACCCCGTGACGTCTTTTTAAGGGCGTTTCCGCCCCCTGACGGGTGACACGGGCGTAAATCACCGCGTTATGGATTTTAAGACGGCGAAGGTGCGGTAGGTAAGGGTCGCGGATATACGAGTGACGATCTGAATGGCAAATTTCGGCATTAGCAAGTCAATACACAGGCATCGGTAATTCCGGCACGGTCTCTTCCTTCTCGCGCCCTCCCTGCAGGGGGTCGGAGGAGAGAGAGAGAGACAGAGCCAGATCCTCCCTTCCCTGTCATCCCCTGCGATCGACCCCGTTTCCTCGACGACGAGCCCGAAACGTCCTCGACACTCGGCACTGGGAACCTGGGAACTTTCGTCGACTGCGACCGGGGGGAGAGAGAGAGACACGTGGGAATTCATTTCGCCCTGGCTCCGGGGAGGATTCCAGGAGGACCCTCCGCGAGGGTGCCTCGAGAAGGGAGGGTCCTACGTAAGAAGGGCGGAATCCGCCGAGTCTCCTCGAAAGCAGCCTCCCAAGGACGCCGTGATAATCGCCTTACGTCTTTATCGCGAGGGAGTTCGAGAGAAAAGAAAAAAAAAGACTTAGAGAAAATGGGGAAAATTCGGAAATATCTCGATTTAAATCGAGATCAATTTTTCAAGAGGCAGGTGGAATCTCTTTTCCGGCAGGGAGACGTTTCCGAGTGATCTCTGACGTCTGTCGGCGTCTTCGGGACGTGGGGAAAAAAAAAGAAAAAAAAAAAATAGAGACGAGGAAGATGGACTTTCTCCTCGTCTCGTATGTTTTTCCCGGCCCTCGATTGGCCTCCTCGGGCCGAAAATCCCGGGCAGGTATTTTCTCTCCTCCTGCCCTGGATTCCGATCGGCGACATTGAGACCCGCCGAGAGGAACCCATGTCCCCTCCGTTTAACCCGATAAAGGCCCCTGGGATTATTTTTAACCCGTGCTAAAGGGTGCAGCGCCTGCAACGCCGGCTGCATCGCTCGGAGTCGTTCCTCGTGTGGGCGACCACCAACGACGCCGCTGATCTTGACACGGATCCACGTGGACGGTCTCTCGTTTTCTCTCCTTTTTCCCCGTTCTCTCTTTTTTTTCGCTCTTTCCCTCCTTTCCCTGTCTCCCTCGACGCGTTCCAGTTAAAGACCTCTGTCACCGACGCCGATGACGGAATCGAGGGTCAAGGCTCGATTTTCGGAATTTCCGAACGCCTTGTCTCCTTTCCTTTTTCTCTGCGAGTACCGAGGGGACTGCGGTGAATATGGAAATTGGTGTGCGATATGTCCGATAAGGTTTCTAGGACGATATTCCACTTCAGGGTGCCGTTCGCGATCCTGTAACTGGGAGTAACGAGCAGGTACGACGAGTACTCGCAACTCGATACTTCAATTCGTTCACACGTGGTAATACCCCCGGGCGGTATGTCGGATCTGTAAATCACGGTTTGACCGGACCCTCGTCGTTCGTTCTGCGCGATAACGCGTTTCGGCGATTCGGCAGATCCGGCCGGAAAAATCGGCGAGGTCGGAAAATTCGGTTCTGAACATTCTGACCACGTGCTCGAGCAACCGAAATTCCTTAGGATTTCCAGCTCGTTAAAATTGAAGGAGAGGGATTGGAAAAACGGCGTAGAGGAGGAAATCCTTGGCGTGTGTCGGAAAATGGAGGAAAAGCCGTGGCTTTTCTCTGAGGTGTCCCCTAATTGGTCAAGCCCGCTCGGATTTGCATCCGGGTTTGTCGCGGATGGCAACCCCTGCCGTCGATCGTTCCCGTTCAAGGTTTCCAATTACTGGGAGATCCTTCGGGAACACGAGGGGAGGCGAAAGGGTTCGGGAAGATGGCGAGGGCGATCGGCCCCGGAGAAATCAAGAGCGCAAATAAAGCTCGAAGCTCGAGTCCCCCGCGACGACGGGACCTTTCTTTCCCGCGACTCGATTTTCCTCCCTTTCCCTGTTTTGCCTCGTCCTCGGGACACGGGGGATATTCCCTCGAGGCATCGACCAAAGAGGACCGATAAACGGGGAAAGGAAGGACAGGACTCTCGGAATGCCACGTCCTCGGGAAAATCGGAAACTCTCTCGACCCCCTTATCAGGGAAATATGAATTAATGTTAACCGGTAACGAGGCCAATCCGCGTTTCGGAGGGAAATTGGCGCGCGGAAAATTTCCGAAAATTTTGGGAAATTCGTGAAAATCTGCGAGATGCCGGAACGTTCGAACTATTCGGGAGGCTGGGAGGACCTTATCGAGGGCCAACGTTCTTATCACATACCGCGGATCGGGGGGACGTCCGATTCCGCAGATTCCAAAATTCTCCGGATGGACGCGGCGGTTCCGCGCGCAAAATTGGAGCACTTCCAGCGGCGCGGTCCGAATTACGGCTAACAACTGGAACGCGGAATTCCAAAATAAATAGATCGGCCAGCGAGAGCGGGCCTGAATTCCTCGGTTTTATTTCGTTTCCGGAAGCGGCTCTCCTCTCGTCCCGACGCGGAAAAATCGGCGATTTTTTTTTCCCCCGAGGTCTCCCCTGCTTTTCTCGATTTTCCTCGTTCCACCTTCATCCACCTTAATCTCCCATAAAAGACAAGAGATCCTAACAAAATGTGCAGAAACGCTAGTTGGACGTAATTACGGGTTAATTGCGAGATAATTGCGGGGATCGGCGGTGCATCGTTAAAAACGAGGACGATTATCATCGGTAATTGAGTTACCCGTTGCAAGTGAGAGGGTTAAACGAACGAGGGTGGAGGCCGTAATTGTCGGCCGGGGCGCGGCCCTTCCGGCGCGTTTCGGCCGCGTGCGGAGCGCGGGCGCCGCTAATCCACGGGTAGGCCGCTGCTAATCCGATTTTCCGATCCCATTAAAACAACTCGGGGTGCACCGTGGAAAATAAATCCAGCCTTCTTTTTCCCCCTCTGTCAATCCGCGGGCGCGGGCTCCGTTGAATTTTATTTTCCGCACAAATCCCCATCCGAGGGTGTTATTAAGTCTTGCTTTGCATTCGATCGTCCCGGAGGATTCAATTCCACGACGCAAAGGAAAAAAAAAAAAAAAAATAGTGCGCCTTCGAGGATCGATCCCTCTTCGTTTTGGAGCCAACGTCATGGCGTCTTTGAGTCGTTCCGTTTGCGGCTCGCGGGGTATTTATCTGTTTATCTGTTTATCCATTTCTGTATGCGTTTCCCTCGGAGTCTTGGCGCGATGGGGTGCGTTTGGTTCCCCGGCTGGGATTATCGGGATCAATAAAATGATTTTACACG